CCATGTCTTCTCAAACTGCTCTTTCACATGTTCATCGCCATCGTGCTTACACACAAAGACGAATGGTAAGGCACTCGCCGCAAATGCCATGAACCGATCGTTGGACAGTTTGGATGCCGAGTACAGGATCTCGCCGGAGATCACTCGTGGCGTGGCGTCCTCCGCTGTCAGATAGAGGTTTTTGGCAAAGTCAAAGGTCGTCAGAACCCGATCGTCCGAAGCGAGCCGCAGCAGATAGCCCATGGATGAGCAGTAGGAGGCGCTGACCGTGTCATTCCGGTCCACCACGTACTTGGTGAGGATTTGGATAAATCGATCTGCGTATGGGCGGAAGAGCAAGGTTTTCATGCTAAGCAGCACCAGAACGCGGCTGCAACCCACCTTCGATGGCAGGCCCACGGCCGACCGAAGCACATCTTCGAGTCTCTGTGCCAGTTCGTCGAGATTGCTTTCATCCAAGTTGTCAATCAGATACCGCTCAATCACCTCCATCATAGGGGATGTGCGGATGCTAGAGAGACGCATCTTGTCAATCTCTTGGCTGGTGAGACCATACTTGTCGGCGTTGAGGTGGACATAGTTGACAGCCTGTGGCTCCAGAGAGCTCAGAGCACTTAGGAACTTCTCCAGCATATTGGGAACATGTGGGCGCAGTAAGCTGCCAGGGCTCTTCTTGATCATTGAGATCAGTGCACCGATGGCGTATCCTTGCACTTCTTCCACGCTGGAATCCAGTCCCTTGTCGCTCAGAAGGAAGGGGATAGCACTTTGGAGTAAAGTACCTGCGCGCTTCTCCGTGCCACTCGTCTCGAGTGTGCGGATGACCGAATTGGTAATGGTTTGACAGAGCTTTAGCGCGGCGGTGCGGACAGACTCCTTGATATCGTCCAGCAATTTGAAACCCTTGCTGTAAATTTCATCGAGATACTGGGCGTATTTCTCCGGACGGCGACCTTGGATCAGATCTGCCACGGCAGCACAACTTGCTTGCCGAACACGCCATTCCCGACCAGCTAAAATGCTCTTGAGAAGATCCTGCATGATATCATCAAAATGGGTATCGATGACAACAGTAGGGTCCTTAACTAGTGCTTGCCAGATGGTGTTCATAGATCTTTGCACGTTCGGGTTTGGATCGAACCGGTAACGGAAAAGCTTGGGGTAAATCTTAGGGTTCTTCGCCAGGTAGCCATCGACACTGGAATCAGAAAATATGCTGCTGATTCCAAAGCGGCCAAATGCTGCACGATTTGTCCAAATAGCATTATTTGAAGCCAGTGACATGAATCGGTAAACCAGGGTGGGGTCACCCGCCTCGGCGGCCAGGTTCATGATATCCTTGTAGGTGTTGACAGACGACCCTTCACCAGTGGGGAGGGCCCCAGGTTCAAATAACTGGGTGTCGGCCTCAATCTTGCCACCCCCGAGGTTGGGACCAGTCGAGGTGAATGACTCAACCAGGTCTTGGACCAGATCGTCTTTCAGGGATTGGTCACCAATCTCATATACAAGGCTGAGTCCATGCGCTCCAGTCTCCTGCACCACCTCATCCCGGTTTCCGAGGAGGCTGCTGAAAGTAGCTTGGCACTTACGCAGTCGCTCCTGCATCTCCTGCATGTGACCGCAGTTCTTGACCAGCGACAACAGCCAGATTGCAGACGCCTTCCGCAGAGATGGCTTGGGCGCAATGCAATCGGCAATGACCTTGTCACAGATCAGTGCAAACACCGAGCGCGGGACATCTGAATGAGGGAACTCTCCATCGATGTCGAAATCTTGGATAAGAGCCCGAGAATCCCAACCAACAGCGACGTTGCTCAAGGCCTCGCCTGCAGTGAACTGAACTTCGGGGCTGCGGATTTCATGTAGGCTGTAGAGCGAACCCAGGAAATCGCTGAACAAGATACTATCCGAGCCCGATCGAGAAAAGGTCAGGGTCAACAACCCCAGAGATCTGACAGGGATTTGATTCTCGGTCTTGGCGTCGCGCGATAGCTTTTCCAGGATCTTTTTCCAACCTTCTTCTGTGATAACATCAAGAGACAGCACGCCAGATAGACTTAGCTGTCCAATGGCCTCTTGTGCAGTCCTTTGGAGCAGAGTATCACGGGAAACATCTAGAATATCAAAGAGAGTCTCAATAAACTGCTTGGTTTGTGCTTCTGGGGCTCGGCTCGCTAGCCCGCGGTACGCAAGTCGACTTAACAAATACGAGAGCGCTAAAATCGCCCCACGTACTCGCATAACCTCTTGACCAACAGCAGTATTCCACGATTGGATGGTAGCAGACAGCTGAGTAATGAAACTCCTCAGTTGGTCCTCTGAGAAGGCAGGATGTGAGATCAGAATTCCAAATGCCCGTGCAGTAATACCCTGGTTATCTTGGTTGTTGCTGCAGATAGGCTCCATCAAGGATGCCGCACGCGAAATCAAGTGTTGAACAACGTCATTTGGTGCTAGGGAGCAGATTTCCACGAAATGAACACCACATTGCCGCAGGCCTTCACGCTCGCCGGTTACAAGACCTTCGAGTGTGCCAGACAAAAATGCCAAAACAGATTCCTTTGCAGACTCCCAAATATACTGTCTCACGGCTGAACGAGCTTCCACGCTGGTGGAGAGAAGAACTTCTAGCTTATAGTCCCAATCTTGTTCTAGATCTGCAGCAACTCCCGATGCCGAGAACGCCTCCCAAAGTAATGTATTTCGGAGGAATGAGATGGCAGGCATAAATGAACCTTTGTAGGAACCAGACAGGAGTTGGGATGCGGACAAAGCCTGAACATTCAAGTGTTGCTCTTGCCCTCCCGGGCCAAGCAGGAAACGAGTAGCCTCATCGAACTTTGGGAAGTCGAACCAGGATTCGTCTTGAACTGGAGCTGCCGATGAAGCTGACCATTTCCCATCCTTGGCAGGATTGAGGAGTCGGTACCAGTAAGGATGCAGACCTTTCCTTCCTTCCTCAACGATTTCTTGTTGTCTTTCTGGGCCTCTTGCGATGGCCATCAAATCGATCCAGCGGGCAACCACATCGCTAAATGGCAGGAATCGGTTCGCAAACCGCACTGCAGCATACTGAACACCTCGCACCGCACGGTACCCAGTGTCGGGATCAATATCGCCAGGCTGCATGCTCATCTGACGAACCAGGAATGGCCGCAGCTGGTCTTGGAAGGTCTTGTCATGGCTGTCCAATGAAGAATTAAGAATACTTCCTAATGCCTGATCGATGCTGACGAATATTTCAGGACTCGAGTCATCCGCACTCAAGGAAGCAAAGAGCCATCGGACCAGGTCGAATTCGAAGTTCTCTACAGCATCGGCCTGCGACATAAAGTCGACCTTGGGAACCATGATACCGATACTCTCGTAGGCAAGGCCTCGCAAGCTGAGGTCTGTTGTGGGTAGTTTCTGTCCACTAGCGGCCGGACTGGGCCATCCTTGAGACTGAATGAAATCTCTTAGACCTGCAATAATTATGGGCGCGATTTGCTTGAGATCAGATGGCGCGCCCATACGAACCACCCAAGTGGTAAACGTAAAAATTTGCGTCCTTAGCTTCGACGCTTGCAACCCCTGAGAGGATCTAGCAGAGTCTGATAGGAGCCCATCTTCAATGACCCTCAATACCCGCTGGGGGTCTGCAGTAGCTTTGATGGACTTCCCCAGAAAGACGAGGAGCTTCACTTGGAGTGGAGGGCGCGCGGGTGGAGCACCACCGGAACCGAAATACAAATCATACAACTCCTGCACAACATTAGGATTCTCAATATCCGCAGTAAATCGCTTCAGAGTCTCATCTCCGAGATCAGCAAGGCGGGAGTTGGCATCAGCAGAAGCGATCAGTGAAGGCAGGAATCGTTGTGGATCCTTAAAAGCACCGCTTCCGATGAATCGAAGGGCAGTAACTTTTGTCTCGGTTAGGTTCAAGCCACCATCGGTAGAAGGATTCCATGTCTCGTTTGCTGGGGCACCCTTGTTTAAGAAGCTATACTCGTCTGGAGATAGACCAGGGCATGTTGAAGTTTCCTTGGGGCCAGGGGTAAGAAGTAACAATTTCGCCAGCCAAAAGGACAAGAATTCGGAATCTTCATCTGATAGACCCAGTCGGGATTTCAACTGCTGATCTTCTTCACTCCCCTTTGCTGGCAGCTTGAGAAGTGGTAATAGGCGCAAAACCAGATTAAATACGATAGCACCCTGAGTGGGTGACGTTCCGATCTTCGAGATACCCTGGAGCAATGGCAGTAGGATCTCGACTCTGGCTTCGGAGCCGAGGCGATCAATACCTTGCTGGGCATAGATAAGATCAAAATGCCTGATCAATTGAGAGTTTTGCTCCTTGAATTGCTTCAACAATGCCGCCACGGGCAGCTGAATAGAGGGGGTTTTGACTCGGGTATTGATATGCTGGCAGACCGAGATGATTTTGTTGCGCACCTCCACGCTCTCTGACCCGAGCTTCAGCAACAAGGGAGGCAGATATGTTCCAAGTAGTGACTGTAGTTTCTCATCTGTGTCTGCCATGGCAATTCTGAATTCCACCTTGCCTATCAGACTCAACTCGCGAGCCTCAGGACTCTGTGAGTCCGCCATGATGAAAGTGTTTTGTAAAAGGGTGGTTCTAACGGAGCATCTAAGTGACCCAATGAAAAAAAAACACCAAGACCCGATTTTTATGAAATGAATCGATAATATAGGCAACCGCACTCACGTCATCGCGTTCAAAGTGAACAGTATGGGGGGCACCTGCCCAGGTGGTCCATTGATTAGTCAGTGTTTGATTAGTCATTTTTCTTGGCATCCATCCATGGATGGATGCCTCCATTTATTTCTGGCAGGTGCGATCCCAAAGTCAACATACTCCCGTCCACGGGTAAATGAGTCTACAATAAGAAAAGAGATACAGGTTAAGCACTTGGCATTCCAAGGTCGGGTCTACATTACAACGAGACATAATGTTCTAAATTAAAGTCATGATTGAAGTAAATATCCGTATCTCAGCCTTCCCTTCTTTGCTCAGCAGCTTCGCCTCTCAAGAACCGGCCAACCTCCCTTTCTGCCTCAGCCGAGGGATTAGTGCCATCTTTCTGCTTGGTATTTCCAAAGAGACATTGCCAAAGGTCGTCCTTCTTCACCATCTCGCCACCTTCAGAGCCGCGTTGCATTAGTGTTGTGAGAGTGGCATCTTGTAGTTCCATCGAGTTGGCAGATTCAATAGCCGCTTCTGTAACATCGTCATCGTCCGCAGGAGATGTCGAGAGTGCCGCTTTGGCTTGCTTTTCTTTCTCCGTGATATGAGCCAAACGCCGGGTTACTGAGATCTCATATATGGATTCTTCCACCGTGCCGGAGACAAGGTACATCCATACTGTTGTTGGTCGATGTTGTCCAATACGATGGACTCGAGCAATGACCTGGAGTTCGATTGCCGTGTTGATGAGTGGCTCACATAGGAAGACATGAGTGGCAACGGTCAAATTCAACCCGGATGCCTGTGCTTTGCCATGTAGCAAAAAGCACTCAATCTAGATTACAAATCGTCAGTGTAATTCTTCCAAGGTTCCAATGAGGGATGGTTCCGGGCCACTTACAGCTGGGTCTGATTTGAACTTCTCGATACCATCCGGAGAGTCAATAGTCGTGCTGGATATTTCAAGAAACCCGAATACAGCCTGTAATGAAGACAAAAAGCTTCCATATTGAGAGAAAATGATAGACTTTGCGCCAGGGTCGTGTTCTCGCAGCCATAGGATGTGTCGGACCAAAGTGTCAATCTTTGACCCGTAAGATTCCTCCAAATCAATGTTCTTGATCTCGTTGAGATGGCCGGAGCTGATGTCGCTGTAAATCGCATTCTGAGAATGACCTTCGTAGCTCAATTTGACAGGTGTCTTTTCCTCCTGCACCACTAGCTCCTGTGGCTTGTATGTAATCCGATGGAAATCATTGCGCTTCAGCTTCCTCTTGCACATTGGACAATTTTGGTGTGCAGTCCACCATAATTGCAAGCAGTCTTTGCAATATTTGTGACCACACACAGTCAACACGCCTATACCAAAAGTCAGTTCACGTGTAAAAGATATATCAGAGAGAAAGCAATACTCACCAACTTCGAAGGTCGATTGGCAGACAATGCACTCTCGAGGGTTGCTGTCCGAGCTAGAGTCATCTCTTAGATGAATGAGATATCTTGCTTTAGACCTGAGAGAGGCAATCTTTCCTTCAATCAACTCCTCCTGCTCCAGTCTTAGGGCAAAAGCGGATTCATCTAACGGCTTGCCTGCGCTTTCCTCGTCGTATGGGGCCACCGTATCCGAAATCTGCTGCAGGTGACGATAATACTCCAGCCGATTGTTCATGATGTCGCGGAAACTTTCAACTTCTCTGCTCAGTTTGGTCGATACTTTCAGTTGCTCAGCGATCATTTGACCGGCGTTTTTCAGGACCATTTCGACGATCTCATGTTCAGCACGAGCACGAGAATTGCCCGAGCTCGCTTGCCACTCCAACGATGCCACGAGTTTGCGAAGCTCACTGACAATGCCGCGGAGCGATCCGAGACTGGGATCAGGTTGAAGCTGACTGCGAGTATCCATGATCTTGAGAAATAGTTGCGGAGAGGGTCCCTCGCCTCTTTCGGCCTGGATGATTCCGGCTTTGGCTTCGTGGGAAATGAGAGTGTTCTTGTAACCAGTGAGAGCGTCATAACGGTCGCTGTACATTGACCTCAAAGCCTCCATGTAGACATACATCTCATCTTGATGCTTTGTTGACCGCTCATACTCATCGCCCTCAAGCTTTGCTTCTTCTTCCTGGTCAATGAGAGACTGAGAGACGAGTCTAACCATGACATCCCGCCATTCCTTGTATTGCTCGGCATTCTTGTTAAGAGCGTCGCAGAAATCTTCAAGTTTGCTGAGCAGATTGTATGCCTCGACTCCTTTGCTGTAGAGATGGGGCTTCATTTTCGGGATGTGCACGAATTCTTTGTCTCGTGCCTTGATCTTGACTTTCCTCATGTAGCGCTCAACTCTCCGGGCAACGTCAGTCAACATCTCTTTGCGAATGACTTTTGCGGCCTCATAAGCCTCCTCTTCACGTTTCTCGAGCGCTTTAAACTCATCTGAATCTGGCTGGGTCAGATTTGGATCGCTCTTGATTTGGTAATATGCGTTCGCAGTGAAAAATACTGCAATATGCTGGACCTCGAGTGCAGCTCGAAGCTTCAGTCGACACTCACCGAGGCGGCTGTTATTGCCTGCCTCTTCATCCTCTTCGTCCTCATCATCCTCGCCATCCTGATTGATAAATCCTAGATTAGTCTCGTCTTTGTCACTGGTAGCGCCTTTGGTCTTCAGTAGGCGCAGCTGCTCTCTGCTGTCTTCAACCAGCCGCGTGGCATGATCCAATGCGTTCTGCCAAAGAGCAAGGGCTTCTTGGCGGCGTTTTTGCATTTTCTAGAAGCTGGCCTCGTCGAAGTTGAGATAGCAGGAGTGATCGTTCTTCCGCACGTATAGCTGCCTCGTTGGCATCAGTCATGGCTTCCAGAACTTGGCCCACAGTCTGCAAAGGACCAGAACCTTGACCTAGGGTTCGGCGATAGCGAATGTTGGGGCGAAGGCACGTTTCACGGAGTCTTGTCAACCAAGTACGCATTTTTTCGACAATTACAAGATCTTCGGGATCCCAGTCGCCTCGAAGGGGAGCTCCCGAGGCGTTCAAACCACATTCTTCGCACATTTGCTCAAAAAGCTGACCATACTTTTGTTCTTCTATAGCCGTGAAAGGAGTAGTGATAACAATGCGCTTTTGAGGCGGTAGCGGAGCTCCTCCAGTAACTGACCTTTCCTGTGCCGAAGAGCGATTGTGTTTATGATTTTTGCCAAGACTGGCCCAAAGCACAAGCACAATCTTCTCCACAAGGGAGCTGAAAAGCAGAACGGCTCATAATGGAGGAAAAGGAGAAGACCAAACAGGTCGTCTATGTTTCTGCGCAGCGGGGTACCGGTCACAGCCCAAGCCATTTCTCGAGGAATCAGGCGAGCTACTTTCGCTGCATTGCTGACACCACTCTCAATCATCTGGGCCTCATCCAGACATACACGCCACCATGAGAGACGAACGAGTGGTGTCTTCCTCTGTGCGAATCGCTTTTCGTGCCGTAGAGCTCGCTGTGGGCCACCACCCGTATAGTGAATTTCTTTCGCGATGACATTGTAGGTTGTCAGAACAACATCGAACTCGGCAAGCTCGTCGACAATCATGTCGTCGGTTGCTTGTCCCGAACGTTTGATGCCATTGTAATGATGAACACTCAGAGTAGGAGCATGCTCTTTCAACTCTTGTTTCCATTGTTCAAGAATCGCGGGGGGCGTGATAATCAGAGTGCCGCCAGTAGGTCTCAACCCGTCGGCATCAGCCTTCCAGATCTGCGATTCTTCTCGCTTATTCAGACTTATCAATGCAATCACTTCGACTGTCTTGCCCAACCCCATTTCCTCAGCAAGTATTCCGCCTTTCAGGTTATCCGCGGCATCGTACCATAGAGAAAGGTCGGTTGTCAGAACCATGAAAAGATGACTGAAGTAGTAGGTCCGTCCGTCCGCATCTTTCGTGGAATTGAAAGATGCTGGAATGTCGCTTTTGGGAAGTTCTCCCATAGGCATAATTTCGCCATTTGGCCCGACATCTCTTCCTTCTCTTTGTAAGAGCCAGCGAACAGCTCTTTGCTGGAATGGAAATAGCTTGCATTTTAAATCAGGGCATTTGATATTTGAACTGTCTGTGACCTCGGGAACGTGCACGTTCTTATAGAAATCGCGGGGAGACCATTCTTTGGGGGTTCCCAGCATACTCTCACGATATTCGCGCGGGTCTGCTGATGGGCGAACGCATTTTTCCTGCAGCACATATTTTGTAAACGCTTCCAGGTCTGCTACCCCCAAGCGGCTTGAGTCTGGAACCTCGATAGAATCCTTCCAAAGAACAACCGTCTCGAGAGAAAAGCCTGCTCCATCTGGTAAGGCACACAGGTGCGCTTGGTAGCAGGCTGTAGGCACCTTCTTGGAGAACTTGTCCACGTGAGCAAGTCTGCTGGCGGCCTGAAGTTGCCCAAGGAGATCGAACAGCCGTGGATCCTCGCATGGATATATCAGCAATTCCTTTTCATCGAGACTCGATAGTTCCAGTTCCATACGATCAGCGCCGTCCTTGGCCGGGTCTGGTTGCGGCGCATTGTCCAGATCTTCATCGAGAAAATGAACGCTTCGAACATCAATGAGTATAGAAACACTGGAGGTGGAGAGGTCTGGGTCGTAAGGTCTTTGGTATTTGTTCGTGTTCGTATTCAAGGGTTTCTGAGGAGGGTAACGGATCAGTGGTTTTGCTTTAGAGCGGGACACCAGTGGCAACTTACTATGCGCATTGTCAATCTTGCTAATGGAATGTAGCCCAAAGGCACTCCTGCCGTTGATACCCCATTTTCTTGAGTCAGACTCCTTGCGCCCCGTTTGGTAGTCTTGCGGCGCTTGGTGGGACGGTCATCGCATTGCTGGAAGATCGAGTACAGAGATTCGAGAGTCGCGTCTAGAATAAGAATGGATATCAGTGCTTCAATTTCGTCAACACGGGCAGCAAACAAAAGTAGCTTACCTGGCAATGTAATCTCTTCTACAACCATACTCATCTTGAAGACCACAGCCTATCCTGTCGCCACAATGCAGAGTTATCAAGAAGAGAGAATGCGCCTCCGAAAGATGGGGCTTGTCATCTTATCGCACTAGTCACGGGAAGATAAGACAGGTGCTGATCCATGGATCCATCTTATCGTCCCAAGGTTGAGAGATCGGCTAAACGTAACTCCGACTCAACTTGTATACTACCAAGACGACAAGACAGCAGTAGCTCATGTCTCGACATACTGCGTCCAGTTACCTATAGTCCAATCTATCGACTAAAACTTCCGCTATTTATTAATCTCATAATAGCAATGCTTTTCAATGTCCCTTTCTCTGATAATTGTATGATGATTTACTATGTAAACATATCTATCCAAGGTTCTAGGTGGAGATATACTTTAGAACCATAGTAACTCACCCAGTGGCAATATCAAGTTTTCGCATTCGAGAACAAAATTTGTACATTCATAATAAGGATATACACATACCTGCCTCTGTTTTATGCTTAATACTCTTCCTGAAACACAGGCTCACGAATCCTTGTACATTCCCACACCGAGCTTTAATTTACTTTGCCCAGAATCTTCGAGTTTAGAGTCGGAACTGGTTGAACTTGGAGTGGGCCCTTTAAGCACTCTGTATAGAACCACGCGTATTGATATATAGTCTCTTCAATGTACTGTCAGTTCTTTCTATAGCTTGCGGTCAGCTAGTCATGTAATCATCGTAAATTTTTGACGTGAAGCGATGGCGGTTTAGATCCAATCCGGTTGAATTCCAAAAAGGAAATACTAGGTGTTCATAGTTATGATTTTGAAACAAAAGATTTCAACTACTACAAAAGAAAATATCTCCACCCTTTCAGTCAGCGTGCCCCGTTGTCAAGAAGCAATTTACGGGCTGGCCCTGAAGCAATAGACAGAGGTGTATTGCCACATATGTCTCTCATATTGAGGTCTGCCCCATGGTTGATGAGAATTTCCATCACTCTCACGTCCCCCAATTTTGCAGCCAATGATATTGGTGACTGGCCAGCTCCGTTCGTCAAATTGACGTCTACCCCATAATCCAGAAATAGTTGAATTACATTGATATCCCCTCTTACTACAGCCAGCCATAGTGGTGCAGCACAGTCGACATTCTTTGAAGGGGTTTCCACAACATGATCAAGGATCATTCTAACCACATCCACATCTCCATTTTGCGCAGCGTATGCTAGAGGTGTGCGACCAGTAGGACTTCTTGAGTCTAGGCCCCTCTTGTGCACCTTGATTAGATATTCTACCACAGGGGTGAGACCGGCAGTATAAGCAAACATGAGAGGGGTATCCCATGAGGAATTATTCCTGCCTGGACAAAGGCAAGAAGCATACTCTGTGATTGGGTCATCGGCTTTGATGTTGCATCCTTTGAAGTGCGTAAGCCAGTTTCTGGAAGAATACTCAGAGAATGTTTTCAGAGGCTCGCTCTGATCTGTAACCAGATACCATGTGCAGACTTCCGCCAAGGTTCGATTTGAGTCCTCGCGGCTGATGGACCCTTTCCAGGTGGTGGCAGGAGAGGTTTTATCGACAGACACATCTGATTCAGCTTTAACCAAGAACTCTCTGGCAGTTTGATGGAGCAAGTAGACTTGTGAATGAATGACCGTTACAAAAAGGCCACAAACATCTCGAAGGGTTCTTCGAAAATCTTCCTCGGATTCCAGGTAATCCTCAATCTCAGCGGATGACTGGCGGGCTTGATAGAATGCCATCACTATAGCCATTTCACCCACTGATAATGGTCTCGCTGCAGCAACAAGAGCAGACAAGATTGTTCTCGCTCTCTCCGGTGCGGAGCTTCGATTCAGTATCTTCTCATATGCATCATTGACAGTAGTGGGGATATGCTTTATTGCGTCCCGGATATTGCCTCTCGTAAAACCCGGGGTCCTGCTGATGACATCCATAGTCAGGTTGACCCACAGGTAGGTCTGGTTGGGAATCGGCAGGAGCTCATCGAGTAGAAGCTTGCACTGCGCGGCTTTCAGGGCTCGTCTGCGGCCAATATCCTCAACCCGTTTCCGAACGACAAGTTGGATTTCTTTAGATATTTGTTCAATTTCTTCTTCCCCCTCCCCACTTAGGTGGATAGTCGACAGGTCTTCTTGGACTCCTCGAAACTCCTGGTGGATATGATCATATGGCCTGCTTGTCACAAGAAACTTCACATTGCCATTTTGGGAGCCCCCCCATCTGGAAACGCGTCACAGCTTTGATAAGATGTGCGCGCCCATCATCTTGGCACTCGTCCAAAGCGTCAAGTACACAGATGATCGTCCCAGCACTTGGGTCCGCCACAATCTTGGTAAAGATTGACCATAGATCACTGAAGGACTCTGTCAAGTCCCGGCCAGTATTATTCAGGGTTTGAAGTATCGAATCCCGCAGAAGATGTGGTTGTGATAGGAAAATATGGTGCAAGAGCGCGCAAACTGCGCCTGTCACGGTTCTCTGATCTGGATAGTCATCTTTGAAAAAGAAGTAACAGATCGTAGATTCCTTTGTGGCTGGTAGCAACTCGTCTATCAGGTACTTGGCTAGTACAGACTTGCCGCAGCCAGGATCAGCAGACACCCAGAGAAGACTCGAACCCTGAGATCCATGCCAGTCTTGGAACAGACGGTGATTGGTAAACCACTCACATGTCCCAGGGACTCGGTCACTATTTCGATCTTTTCGGGCCTTGTAGGGGCATGTATTTTCACGAAGCGTTTGCATCACTTTTTGAGCCGCCTCGTCACGTTCCAACATATTCTGACGCGCCTGATTGTATTTTTGAGCGTCCAGGATCTCGTTGAGTTTACCATCCACGTTCGCAGCGCCAATTGTCTGAGCATCTTTTTCGGCGGAAGATTCAAGTTCCCTGATGCCGTCCAATGTCCCAGCCCACCCCTCATAGTCGAAAGCATCACCAAGTAATTTGATTGCGGTGTTCCTTCGTAGATAGCACAGTGCGCGGAATTGGAGCTCGAGAATCGCGGTGTATAACACGGTCAGATGGTCCTCAAACTTGCTCACCAGTTCGCTGCGGTGTGGTGATTGTGCAGCTGAATCCGACCGGCACAGATCTTCCATGACTTTGAAGCGAGAGATTAACCCCGCGTTGTAGTCTAGTATCTCCAAAAGAATTGCTTCTTGCTGGGTTGCCTTGAGTGCTAGCCCGAAGACTACCGATAGGCCAGCACAAGCAATAGAGGCTGGTGGACTGGCGCTGGCTGCCAAATTGAAAATCTCTTGGACCCTCAGCACTCCGTCAAATACCTTTCTCGCAAGCTCCTGGACCACAACTTCATGGTCACCAAACTGAATCTTCCACTTTTCCTTCTCCAGCTGGCTTGTCTTCCGCTCAAACAGCTCGCTTAACTGCTGCTGTCGGCCAGCCGCTCCAATCGGTAGAAGCTCTGAGCCTAGCTCCGAGCCAAGGATTTCGTGGGCAGATTGTAAAAGGCGCTTCTTATTTGGGTCCGCATTTAATGCCCGTTCCGCCCTCTCCCACAGGCTGAAAGGCTTGTCGTTGAGTTCCGAGCATTGCTCATGATCATTCGGGAGAGGCTTCTCTGCAGAGACGGTGTGGGTGGCAGCTTCTGCCGGAGACCTTTGTGCCGGAGACCTTTGTGTCGGGGAGCTTTGTGGTGTTGGGGGTCGACGATGAAATAATTCACGCAATTTCTTTTCCAGCTTGAATCTCTTGGTCATTTTTGCTAATGCTGTTGCTATTTCAAGGTGACAAGAGTAAAAAAGAACAGAACTGTTATCTTTATGGAGATTGATGGCTAGGTATTGTTATACGTGGGATTGAGCTTGGTTAAGCGAGTAGTTGTAGGGAAAAGAAACCCGGCTTGTATAGGAGATTATGAGCTGCATATAACTTATAATCCATTTCTGGCCAACTAGAAGAATGTCAATCTTGTTAGGGAAGTCGTTTCTATGTTGTAGAGGTTTCAGCCCAACGATTTCAGCCCGACCTTTTATTTGCTTTTTCGAATAAAATACTAGTTTGTAATGGTGTCGTATAGCCCTGGTTTAATCCGTACTACCGATCTTTTACTCCAGATGTCCTCTTCAATGTTCTATTCATTATCCCCCCCTTTACTACTACTATACTACCTACTACTACCACCACCTGGGACTATAGGTCACAGTATTGCTAAGCGCTCTGGGGAACCTCTGCATTCAACTACTCCGTGCTCTGTAAGAAGTCTGTCAATGTGGCTCCGCCGAGAATAGACTAATGCTTGCGAGCCGGGCGTATTACATATACCATTTATATGAGCCAGAAATTCCAAGGTTGTTAACTACTATAAAATACAGCACTAAGGCAGTATAAAACAAGAGAAATACTACATTGGACAAGTCAGCGTAATCTACAATGACAGACTTCTTCCGGGCGGGGGGGGGGGGTATATGTATATTGTAGGTACCTAGGTAGGTATAATCCGTTTCTGACTAAGTAGATGAATGTCCCGAGTTCAATCTCTTCCTTATTTAGGCATGTACTCACAGTTCATATATTACGGCTGTGACAATTCAGCCGAGTATGTGATAACTAGTTTATCATCAAGAGTTCGTCAGCCTCATGAGAGACATAGTGGGTAAACTGAAGCTGAAATTACAAGATTAGCGTGTCTTGGCACGTCAGCCGACGAGCTGAAGGATTTATAACAAGATTGGAAACTACATATGCACCTACTAGTAGGTACTCTCGGAACTTCGGACACATTTGATTCAACCCTTGAGAATTCACCATCCTCACTGAAGAGACCTGCGACCCTCTAACACCCCGATAACAATGTCAACTAGAACCCAAGAAGTATTTAGGCGCGTGGACAAACGCATGGACAAAACGATTATCTCCAACGTGGTCTCGGGCCTACTGCGTCGCAGCCAGGACGAGCTAGATCCAATCGATTCGGTAATGCTTTTCGAGGTCTCATACGCTGCACTCCTAGACTGGATTGCTTCAATTCGTATTGCATTCCTGCCAACTGAAGGAAGTAGCGGCGACAACCTGTTGGGATGGGCCCAACAATTCCTTGAAAGGTGGCACACCTTTTACAAGGTCATCGAGGAGTTTGTGGATGATGCTTCCCTTGCTTGCCAGCTCGCTTGTGGCTTCTGTGGGATGCTTCTTGAAGTATGTTCCGGCTAATATTTTGATTCGTATCTTTTTGCTTGAGTGGGATAACTTCTGCTTAAATGAATGCTAACCCATCAGTATAGCTGTGGAGGGAAGATATGGCCGTCTTAGAAATTTGCTTCGGCTTCTTTAACGACATGTCCATGCTCTTAGAGGACCTTCTGAGACTCTCGGAGGTAGTTGATATCAACACTGAAGTCCGTGAGCAAATGGTATTGGCATTCCTAGATCTGTTGACACTGGTTTGCGATGTTTCGATCCATACCCAGAAAGCAGTCAATGATTTGGTGCTGTCGCCACTCTCCCTGAACCTTTATGAGAAATTCGCTGGTCAGATTCAGACTTTTCGCCAGCGTTATGAAAATACCAGAGTCTCTGTGTACAAACAGCAGCTGCTGAGAGAAAATTTTGAAGAACACAAAGGTACGCTCGCTCATAACCATCTCATCCCATACATAGAAAAGAGGAAACTCAATCTGACTATGGGCACAGTACATACCGAGCTCCATTCAATCACAAATTGGCTTGTTTCTGATGACCCCGTCCTCGCTGATCTCGCCAAAACAAGTGCCCATCTCACTCCCTCACGAGAAGAGATGACATGCCTCTGGGTAAGGTCTTATTTAGAGTGGTTCCTGAAAAGTAAGCACAAAACTGTTTGCCTGACTGGGGGGCCCTGGCTCGGGAAGGAGTGTCTTGGCCTCAGTCATTCTCGACCACCTGCAACGCCCAGTTGGCTATGTTCGTGTGTCTCGCAATGTTTTGTTTGTTCCTATCAGTAAGTAATTGATAATAATAGCCGATGTGACAGCGTTAACTCACATCTTCATAGATGCCAATATTCCTGCCGAGACCACTCCCAGGTCCGTCGCCCGTTCCCTACTCCTCCAACTTTTCACGATGAGTAGTGGCAGCGTTCCAATCTACCAAGTTTTGAGTGATGGTTTGGGGCGCAGCAGATCGATAACGAACCTCGATGACTACGATACCCTTTTGTGGAATGCACTTGAAAGTGCGCTGGGAACTAGGCCCCCCCGGCTCCAGCGAAGTAATCCTCGTCGTGGATGGCATAGATGAGGCTTCTTGCGGCGAGCTTACCCTGCTACAAAGACTCGCGTCTGTGACATCCAAGGCACCTTTCGTCAGGATGATTGTTCTTGGCGCACAAAAGCCTTTGGAAGTAAAGGGTCAAATTTCACTGGAAATCACTCACGCTAGGACCTTCGACGATATTTCTTGGGTCCTTGAAAAGGGTTTGCTGTCCAGCTTTATGGAGCTGTCTGAAATGGATAGAGCCACAATTGCCGATATGATCACTGAAGCCTCTCATGGTTCTTTTCTCTGGGCCGAGCTTCTTGTCACATGCGCCGTCATGGAAGCTGAGCTCGATGGAGTTCGCAAGGCTGTTGATAGGCTTCTTAGTGCAAAGCCAAGCATTGTTGATATGGTTTTTCTGATCCTGCAAAATCACGACCCCACCATGGAAGCCAGACAGATGCTGCTTTGGTTGGCTACCGCTGAACGTCCCTTGCACACGAGAGAGCTTCTCGCCCTGGCCAGCGTTTCGATCGACAAGCATACAGTCGGTGAGATAAAGGGCGATATTCGGCATACACTGCGTCCTTTCGGCTCAATTATCTTTTTACAACATGGTCTGGTCACTCTACGTCATGGCACCATCCGGCATGCAGTGTTGGAATTATTCTATCAAGGCAAACTTGTCCCTATCAGCGATCGGCACGCTGATTTAGCGACCAGGCTCTTGATCTACATCGAATTCCACATAGCCCAACAGAGCGAGCCATCGGTCTCACCACTGAGACTTACAGGAGACCAATATTCTGCTTACGAAGTATCCTCTGCTCGATTTCGCCCTCAGATACTGGCCATTTCATTTTAGAAACAGCACGGTCTTTCAGAATAGCGGTCTGATCAGCGCCTCCAAGGAGTTTGCCAACGTACTGCCTATCTCGACCACATTCGTCTGTCTCCAGAACGCTATATGGGACCCTTTGCCAATCGTCGTTTTCCTGAGCTATCGAGAGCTCCTGACAGAAATATACCGTGAGCTATTAGGTGTAAACAACGTCGTGACACTCCAATGTGTTGTATTCTCGGCTGGGATGTATCGCCAACTCGACAAACTCGACGACGCCATTCCACTGTTCTACGAAGCGGCCATTGGCAGCTCGAATCTGTTGACTACTGGCCATATTTTGACTTCCGAAATGGTTTCTGCTTTTCTTTCTCTGACCAAGGACAAGATCTCAAGCGCCAAGACCGACATTATGATTAAAAGAGGCGAATGCCTGCTACTTTCTGTGGAATGCTGCAAGATCCATGATGGACCTGCATCTGAAAAGCATATTGGTGCCCTGAGACAACTAAGTGAGCATCATCGCATGATTGGCGACGAGCAGCAGGCCGAGGAGGTGATGAGTAGTATCGAAAGTATTACTCGGTAGATGTCGGCATCCCCTAGGGGGTGTCAGGCTGGGATATGGCCTAGTGGAAATATGCCGTATTTCCCTCCGTCAAGTCTTCACATTCGAGAACGAAATTGTGCATTCATAACAAGGAGATACACATACATGCGTCTGATTTGTGCTCAATACTGCCACAGACATTACAAAAGAACCATAATATCTCCAAGAGACAACCTCTCAAATTACAGCAAGAACCACCTAAAAAGCCCCAACCTTATCATCCTGACAAAACGGACATGTAGTAAAGTCCTCCGCTAACCCAACCTGGATCTGCCATTTCGCAAAACAAGACAGACAAGAGAAAGACTGAACGAGACGAACCATCGTAGATGCAGACTGAGGCAACCACCTGTGCGAAAGCAGCACAATATCAGTAGCAAGTCCGGGTGTCTCTTCAACCAGTTTCTCGAATGCCTTCCTCTCGCGCAGCTCCTTCCTGTGCTTCTGACAAACCGCGACGACGACATCTCTCAGACCTCGATCCGATTTCGGTGTTGTTGTGTATGCTTCGAAGGCAGCAGTCAAGAATTCGTCCGAGTTCCAGTAGTCTTGGGCGAGGGTGACGAAGGTTAGTTTTGCTTGAATTTTGAGATATTCGACCTCGAATTTGTCGGCGATTGCGTGTACCTTGACATTGAACAGCAATGGGCACATTTGAGGGGGTTGGTTGATGTCGTAATGTAGTCCGTAGAACGAGCGTATCATGGCTTCCACGATGCGTGGATGTTCGTCTTTCATTTCGAACACATGGGCCTTTTCGATTTCCTGCGATCATCAAGTCAGCTAAGCCCGTGGATAATGGAAATTTGGGGTTTGGAGGGAGTTACAATGGGAACGTCAGAGAAGAACCTGCAAAAAGTCTCAGATCGGCTGCAGACTATGATTCTGTGCACCTTCAAGGCTTGGTCTGCCGTGAGAATTGTGAGGTCGGAGAAGATCCCTGTGTGGTAAAGGTTGTCTCTCGTCAGTCCTCTTGTTTATACAGTGTGTAGACCCAAGAACTTACTCTCCTAGCCGGTGGACGAACCGATCAGTACCCTCGACGCTGTAAGAAGTAAGTTCCATTGCAAAGACGTGTCGTGAGAGGGTTGACGCACAGGAGACGAGAAGAGACTAGTAAAATATGTGAAGAAGCGAAGCAGGGATTCAAGCCTGTTGGGGTAACAACGGCGAGCAGGTCAGACGCTTTTTATCCTCAGTGCCAAATGAGACTGACATACCGGAACAAAGGTAAATGACTTATCTACGACCTTGTCTCATCTCCAAAATGGTCCTTTTTTGTGAATAACTAATTCTTGGACTTTTTACAATACATAATAACTTCATTACTGACGTCTCTGTCATGACGCGTTGTATTCCGTCTCCATTTCCCAAATGGGAAATCATCTACCTTGCAACTTTGACGTCCGGAACCCTTCATATGATTGCCATTCTCCCTAGTTTATAAGAGCTCCAGGCCCCTTTCCAATTATAGCCCTCACACTGCCTCTTCCAGTATCTCCAAGATCTTGTGGAGAAGAAGCCGAAACCTTGCCTTCAGGGTCGGTGTCAGATACAACGGTGCCATTGACTGCATGAACAGATCGATGGTACGATTGCCCATTCATCTGACTTTTGAACACATTGGTGGTGTCGCCCCAAGAGCTTGAGCTTCCGCCAGTGATGGATTTATACCGCGCAGTGCCAGACTGACTCGCGTGTAGGTATGATGGCCCTGACGACGAGGTGTAAGTGGAAATACCGAGCCCTCCTGTTGATTCAAAGTCGAGACCTCTCATCATCCACGAGTCAATAGTCATCCCATTAGACGTGATGCCGTAAGTAGCATTGACAACCAAGGGATATTGGAATGTAATGCTGTTTGAGATGGGTGCATCTCCGAGCTCCGTGATAGTGTTATTGCCAGTTGTGAGTTGCCTATTAACCTGGCTGTACCCTTGTTGGTTGAGTAGACCGTGATTGGAGAATAATAGTGTCTGAGACCACGAGTACAGAGAAGATTTAACACTGAAAACTCGCTTGACAGCCACGGAGTACGACAAGGTATCATTCCCCCGGTCTCATTGCGGACAAGATTCCGGGTCACAGCAAACACTGGCAAGGGAGCATCCACCATGGGCCCATTCTTGTCACGAGCGATAGTGGCTTTTGAGTCTGAGCTGTTGTCATCGATGTATATGAAGATATTTCCCGTGACAACCCAGTATGAGCCCACAGTATTCGCAAATGTGGCCTTCCCATCTGCCGAGACATTGAGACCGGTTACCCGGATCTCAAAGGAATGTTGCTTTCCGTCTTGAACCATAGGGAGAAATGGGGAAATATCAATCTCCGGCTGTCGAAGATCAAATGCATCAGTCCCAACAACCGGACGCCAGTATCCCGGAGCCACGCCTCCCGTAAAGATAATAGGAAATGGCCAGACAAGTCCGGCAAGGATCCCATCGATGTAGAGCTGAACTTCACGAAAAGGAGTGTACCCATATAGCCCACCGACAGTGCTTTCAAAGTCTTGGGTATCCTGAGAGAAGACATTGGACCACCAGAACTCTTCTTCTGATTGTCCACATGCCGATATAGACACAACAGCACGCGATGCCGCAGCAGGGATCTCGTACATGACTGTTGTGTTGTCTGTAGGAAGTTGGAAGGCACTTGGAGAGTTTGATGCTGACTTTTTGGCAGAGATTGGAAGAATCATATCCGCTGTCTCGACATTCTGACCTTTAGAGAAGTGCGCCGTCAACGTGGTATTGAACGAGCCGGTGTAGACATCGTTAATAATGTTCCCCAAGTCAAATATCAGCTTCTGGGGACTCTTCCACAACGAGTTATACTGCGACATCTCTTTGATATAGGTCCACACAATCCCATTGGTTGTCGGCTCCGCCGTTGAAGTCCGAAACACTTCATTGTCTCCAAGGTACATGAGTGCCAGGCGGTCAAATTGCTTCCCCGAGAGGTGACTGTGAGATTGATTCGTACAGTGTCAAATCCGCAGTTCGGGGGCTCATAGTTGCCTGTAAGTTGCAAGATTAGACACAAGTAGGAGTACTTTAGAGACCTCTTACCAACAAATGGCGCTCCGTAACTGGCGCCAAAAACATGATCCATGAGCAAGATCTCAACATCGCAGTTGCCGTTTCCACTGGAATCGAGAGATATGGGCGAATAGAGCTGGAAAAACTCTTGCAAACCAGTTGAGTTAGGTGCTTGCGATGAAAAGCCAGCAATAGACTGCAATCCGCTCTGGAGTGATGAAGCCGCTGACAGGTGCCCCAAAAGCAAGAACCCGCATATGCCGAACAGAACCATGATCGCTAGCAGTCGGAAGGTTGGATTGGTTCTCCTCAGCTTATCGTTGTTATCGGTCACCTTTGATTTAAAATCGTAATGATCAATAGACGAAACAGTGTTCGCAGTTGTGTAAGCCTTTTGTGGCTTCAGTGGTTCTTGACTGAGTACCAACGCTGGAGAAGGATTGCGAGACCTGCGATGCGAATTTAAAGCATTGCAAAATGCAATCACGAGCCAGATAAGAAGAATAGGTGGCAACCATGCAGCTAGCCGGGTAGAACAATACTCCATGGGAAATTGCAGATCCGTTAGTACTCGAGACAACATTGGAGGAGCTAGCATGTCAGCTCTGAACCAGTTAGGATATTGCATTCTATCCAAGGCGGGTGGCTGAAACGTAACCTCTGGAGGGTACATGCACAAGACGTACTCCGCTAGTAGACTTCCTAGAAGGTTGCAGATGCCCCTGACAATAAGGTGCATAAAGAGGGGAAGGTGCGGACTCCCGACGCAAGCCCCGAAGTAACCCCCTCAGGCTATCTAAATATGTACTGTATGCCGAATATGCCTTTGAATTATCCGATGGTTTCCATTGATATTTACCAAGAAATGCTTGGTATTGTCTAAACATGTAGCAACATAGCACGGCTAGACGAGTAGAGAGCATAGTGTACAAAAGAAAAAGTAGTAAGACATCAAAATGTCTTGTGTAAAGCAAGCCAAAAACAATCACTCCATATCCAATGCAGACTTTTATACCGAATTCACATAAACAAGCGCCAGGCACCAAGAATAAGGGCCGCGGTACCGGTACAGACACCCCTGGAGAGAAAAGAAAGTCAGTATAAGCTCGCGTATCGACAAGATACGCCGGGGATCATACATAAGCCACTGCAACGTCGAGAACTTGACAGCCTCAACTCGTTCCCTTAATCCGGCAACCTCCTGCTCAATTCGCGTTTCGGTCTCCTTGATACGCATTTCTTGGCTATTTGCCTCCTCACGAATCCGACCTTTCTCTAGGTTCAGGTCTAACCGGACCGAGGCTTGTGTTCGTCCAATCTCATCCCGGAGTCGTGAATTGAGTTTGGCGAGGTCTGCCGCGATCTTCTCGTGTGATGAGCGGGTCAACTGTGCCTCGGTGGAGTCTGCGTTGAGTAATTCGGAGCGCAATTTGGCAAAATCCACCTTTTGTGTATAAGTTGATCTCTCCGAGTCTAGTAAAGCGTTTCCCGTTAGATCTCTGGCAAGCAGTACAAAGAACATATGCGACAGAGGCCGCATTCACATACCTTCTCGGAGGACCATTGTCCTTGTCAGATTCTGGATTGACTCTTGAATGATATCGTTCAGTACTCGCATCATAGCGACGGACTGCTCCTCGCTGAAGCCCTCCGCCTGAAGGCGCTTCACGAATTTCAGGGTATCGAAGTGATGATCGCGGGGCCGGACAGGAGTCGCATGAAAGGCGCGACGAGCGGGATTGTATGTAGCCACATAGACGCCATTGTGTCGGATCGGATTGCCGCGGTTCGTTGTGGACGTTGCCGGCGTGGTTATAGAGGTTCCTCGGGAAACAAGATATTCGGAGATAACATCCCGGGACGATGTGGAGATGAGCTGGGAAGATTGGGAAGGTGTGCTCGAGTGAAATCGTCGTCTTAAAGGACTCCAGCCTTGGGGAAGTGGTCGTCTTTGACTTATCGCAAGCGCGGGATGGTGGGTGATGGTGACCGATGGACGCGAAGAGGAGCTGTTCCATGTCAGGCGGGGAAGGATATTGCGCGGGACATCCGCGACATGTTTTTGAGGCGCCATGTCAAGGACAGCGGGCAAGCAAATAATTTATTCAAGTGCACTTTAACCCGATCAAGAGTGACGCAGAAGAGGGAGGCTTGAAAGATTCCGGGGCCTGAAAGGATCGGGATGACTAAAGAGCATCGGAAAGATCGACGCTTTCAGTTTCCCGGCCCGGGTGCCCACCTTACCCGCATTGACTAGTATAGTATTGTAGGGTCAAGTATATTCTCATTTCATGCAATTAGAGGACTATTTTGATCGATCTTTGACTATGACTGTTTGTAGAAAATATCCAAATCAGACTCCGCATGTAAACGCTATCACAAATCCATGTCCTTTTCGGCTATTTGACATTCAATCCAATCTCGTATCTATAAGTCAAACAGCTTCTTCAGCTGGTCCATGGTATCTTGGGGGCCATCAACGGAGTGCCCAATGGTGTGGGGTCTTCGTAGATCTCGTAATCGTTGCCTCCGACGAAAGTCTTGTCGCCGAAGAAGTGGATAGTCTTGTAGTCGATACCCGAGATGCCCTTTTCGGCTTCGATGTGCTGTAGGCAGTAGGTCTTGTCCAACCGGTAGGGAAGACATCAAAGGAAATCTGACCGCCAATTGAGTAGCTGTGTTGGCAGATTGATTAGTATCGTGTCAAAAGCAAACCTCGCGGGACAAAGACTTACGTGAGACCGTAGTCGGGGAACTCCTTCTTCAAGGACTCCACCAGGTTCTTTCTGATATTGTGGATCTTGTCATAACTATAGCGCATGTCAGTCAGCAATTCCATTTATGTGGACATAGTAATGCAAGATCAACACGTACGCTTCGAACTCATCGCGCTCCTCAACGCTAGCAGCACGTCCAACGGGGCTAATGTTGACCATTCCATTGCGGAACTCAACGAAAGTACCGCGCTTGCGGGGCAACTTGGTGTTGGCAATATACTTGAGAACGAAATCCACCAGCGCTTGGTACTTGTCCTCCCCAAGCCACTGAATGAAGTTGTTGCTAGCAAGCGACTCGCCGAGGCGGAATGCGGTCAGACCGTTTTCAGAGAAGCAGAAGTCGAACATAGTGGTAACATCGATGGCGGAAGATCCAAGCTGCTCCTGCTGCTTCACAAGGTTCGAGCCGCCAACCTGAATCGTGTTAGGAACGGGGTGGGTGTATTTATCGGGAGGAGACGAACGAATCCAATGGCGCACTTGTGGCGCAATCGAGACAGCAACTCGAGCATCTCTGGCGACGCATGCTATAATACAAATATATCAGTATAACTGAATAGCAGTGAGTCTCATTGCGACCTACCCGTCTCGCGGGGGTGAGAGTCTCGTCAACATCGAACAGAACAACCGTGTTCTTGATGGGACGGTCCTCCAATGAGGGGTAAACGCTGGCAGCTTCAGTCATTTTGATAGATTTAGTCAATTGAGTCTCGATAAGGGATTTGTCAAAGACAAAAATTGCGCGCAACTCGGGGGTAAATATAGAGAGAGGGGCCCATTTTGGCCGCAAGCGGTGAGTGAAGGCGGGAGCTTAGCGTTGGGCCCAGAAACGGAGAGAAGGCCACCTGGTCTCACTCGTTTTTAGAGAAATGTTTATTGGATTTAATGTCTCACTTGGATCATTGGTATAATTAGTCTGTATAAACTGCCCCTGGAGTACGCCATGTTGCGCAGCATTCAAATGTTGACAGCGAGATCTAGACTCCAGCTGGTTCCTGGCTGTTATCGATAAGAAACGGAGGGGTCAATTATCAGGTCAGAAACGAGTTAAACATGTGCACTGGAGAATTATCGTAACTACTTGTTATATACTTGAGATATGTATTTCCTATTGTACTAAGTGCTCCATAGCCATGTGGACATGTACAGTCGAAATGTCCAACCCAACCCAGTTCCCATCTGAGGCTGTAAAGCCAGCTCCCAATACCCCAACGCCGAAACCACCCAGCAAACCAGCAGTGGACATACTCAGCGTCCCATAGTGGACTGGAAGACCCTAGCCGCAAGCTCACTCAGGAGGCGCGTCCGATCCGGCACTGGAAGGTCCAAGAAAACCTCATAGACACTTTTGCCCTTAGCATCGCGGATCGCGCCGAGACGATTACCCGCAACAGCGCCAGCCAGCGCACCAGGCAAATTGCCCACAATGAAGCCCATAGCACCACCACTGACACCGCCAACCAGTGCCCAGAATCGCCCGGTTGGGCGAGTCCGCCGTCCGCCTTCTCCCTCGTTCTCCTCGGCGAGACCCTCTTCGCGCAGCATCTCTTCAAAGACGGACCCGAACTGGTCGTTGTCGCGGTCATCGCGGTTCCCGCCGAATCCAAAGCTGGACCAGGGGAAACCGCCTGTTGGTGGGACTTCTGCTTCTGCTTCCTCTTCGGCTGCCTGGTATGCGCGAGTAGCGTCATATTCCCGGCGGCGCGCGGGGTCTGATAGGGTGTAATAGGCGTCGTTGATTTCCTGGAACTTTCGTGTGCGCGAGGGTCGCTCCGGTGAATCCGCAGGGACTCGATCGGGGTGGGACTTTAGTGATTCCCTAGACTTGGTTAGAGGGGCATTCGAAGAGGAGTTGTGGTGTGCTCACCTTTTATAAGCATTGCGGATCTGTTGTTGGGTGGCATCTTGGGCGATGCCTAGAGTCTTGTCTGGTATGTGTTAGTTGGACGAGTATCAGTTAGGCCTTAGAATGAGGTCTTACAGTAATTGGGGCCTGGTCAAGAGTTAGTATAGATTTCAGTAAGAGAGAGTAAAATCAACATACTCGACATGGTCACACCTGGCCCTTGGGTTCAGCGAGAGAAAATGTATTAGGATAGACTAATGATAGACTCAAAAGAACGATTTGGGAAGTCTTCCATGGAGGCCTTCACATGCAGTGACGTCGTTGTGGCCTTGTAGCCTGAGGCACAAATCCCCATGAGGTTCCACGGTTCAACTGTTCGTGATATTCAATTTAAACAACTACAATTGTAGACGGGAACAACAGTACATATTCCAATATAATTTGAAGATGATTATGATCTCTACCACTTGGGAGTGGATTGCTTGGCTCCTTGGGGTAATTTGTCTCCCGTAAAATGCAGTCTAAGTCCAAGTTCAGCCGGCCACACCCCAGCCACATTTATTATTCCGCCCAGGGGGTGACTGGTCAATCCAATCTGAAGATCCCCTTTGATTCGCCTGAAATTAGCATCCCGTACAGAGAATCATTCACAAACCCCCCTCAGAATCTCAATTGTGCCAGCTGTCAAAAGACATTTCCTGCATAGAAAGTCCCTAAAGCGGGTGCAAACATCGGCCTAGACCTCAGATTGCGCAGCAGCTAGTGGCTAAGCTGCATCTGGCTCTTTTCCCTTTTTCAATTGCCACACAGAAAGCCAAAAAAAGTCTCAAAAGAGATAATCAGGGGCATTGTTACGCAGCAACATCTCAAACCCACCTTCTGCGTACCTACCCACCACAATCCCCTAACGCACAACCGTCTTTCAGACCAAACACCTCATCCGCCGGCCTGACCCAAGTGTCCAAAGTTGCACCGTAACCAGCTCCACCCAGCACCAAACCAACACAATGGGTTGGTTCGACGGCAAATCCAGCACCGTTTCATCAGCGGGGTACGTGCGACGACGGGCATCACCCACACACAGCTCGCACAGCTCGCACAGCAGACGCAGCAAATCCGGCTACTCCTCCACGCACCATACGCGACACTCAGCGCCGTCTTTCTTCGGGCTAGGCGGTAGCCGCTCAGGAGGCCGATCAAGCCCATCTGTATTCTCGTCGTACTCATCTTCGTCGCGACGAGCCCGTCCCCGCGAGGGGTTCGTGCAGCGCATGATCCGCGACATCAAGCGTCTCTTCCGTGATATCTATCGCTGGGCACGTCGCAACCCCATGAAGGTCTTTATGATGGTTATCGTGCCGCTTCTGACCAGCGGTGTTTTGCCGAAGCTGCTTGCCATGATTGGGATTCGCTTGCCGCATGCTGTTACCAGTGCCCTTGGTGGTGCGTCGAAGACCCGTGGTTTCGAGGGTGGTGGTGGTGGGGGTATCTCGGAAAACATTGGTAGCCTGATGAACATTGCCAAGATGTTTGCGTAGGCGATATGCGACATATCTCCAGGGCTGGATATGATGTTCTGTTTGGGCCTTGGGCCTTTTTTTTCCCACGATTTGCAATGCCTTGCTGAAATTCAACACACGACGATCACGATTATACACCTACTGTCCTTTGCTCCTTTTTTGCTTTTATGCTCCTGCTCTCTGTTTCGGACTTTGCCATTTTTCGATGTTGTCATGAACTGGGAGGCCCGTCTGAATTCGATAGAATTGATTTCTTTGGAAAAGCTGCTGTTTGGTATCGACATTGAAACATCTGAGAATTCAAAACAAGTCTAGAGATACATTGGAGCCTCCTATTTATACTAAACTAGTCAAGTTTTGATGCCCAAGCCGGTGGATATGGTAGATGTTGGACAGCTGTACACCGCACTAGTTGTGTCTGCAGCTGGGGAAGCGCACTGACCGGCAGACCCGCCTACAAACCCGCCAAACATAGTATAGTACTCCGTAGGTATGGAGTACATATATTCCTGCTGGCAGACCGATCTTTGGGTGTACTCTGTAGTGCCATGTGAGATGAATCTGCAAGGAGTACATATCATACACAAACAGGATCGCCAATGGGTAACTGTAGACCGTGCACAGCATATCGGTGGCCAATAACCGACTTGCATCATTTGCCTTGAAGTTTTAGGTTCGAGAAAAGAAATTATGTGTACATTTTGTTTCTACTTGGGTATTGCCGACATCCAAGCAGGAATTCTATAGTAAAGCAACCTTGGGAACTTTTGTGATCAGTCCGGCAGAGAAAGCAACGACAAACACCAGTGCAATCCAGCTGCCCAAGTCTATGATCGCTGGGAGCGCTTGCCACGCTTCCGAGAGCGGGCGTTCGAGGTAGCAGTGGTCTCAGCCTCCTCAACCAAGGGCTCCTCGGCCTCATCAGAATCCACTTCCTCGGTGGAAGTACCCAGCACTCGACCAACAGTCTTGTTGAAGCACCAGACGGGAAGCTTGCACACCATTGTCTCACGGAGAGTAGGGCGCTCAATTTGATCAATGTCAAGCAGGAACTCCTGGCGCTCGCCAGCCTCGTTCGGCTCTTCCAAAAACACATTGCCAATAGAATCGACAATCAGCGTCTTTCCATTCTCAGCAACGACGCGCTTCCGCTCGCCAGTGCTAGCAGGTTGCTCGGTGGGAGTGGAGGTACCCGAGGCACGAGCGCTCACACGGGCTCCTCCCTTCTTATCCTTCTTGTTCTCCTTATCCATCATACGCTTCTGGCGACGGTTGACAGCCACGGCACCAGCGTCACCGGATTCAGGGGCGGGAGGGGGAGGCGTTGCGATCGAGTCGATGCCCGGAATGCCACGAACACCCATTTCATCGCCCCAGGCGGCTCTGCGGGCCTGGCGAATATAGCGATCCACAAACTCGCGCTGGCGCTTCCAGCCAAGGATCAGCGCGGCGTAGTGAGCACCACCACCAAAAACGAGGAACAGACCGAGCAGCACGGAGCCCAGGCCAGGACGGAACCGCGAGTAGTAGTAGCCGGTACCCTTCCACAGGGGGAAGCCATTCTTGAGGAAGTGGTCGTAACGCTCGCGGTTCGGGCCGCGGAGGACGTTGGCGACGAGGTTCAGACGGGCAGAGCGGGCGTCGGCGTCTCTGACTGCGGCGTCAATCTCGCGCTGAGTAGGACCCTTGTTCACATTGACCCCCTTGTTGGACTTGGCCTTGCTCTTGTCCTTGGCGTAGTTGGCGATGAAGGCGCGCTTGACCTTGTCCGGGTGGATGGTTCTGGACTTCTTGCGGTAGGCCTTGGTGATTTGTTCTTGATTGGCATTGGGACGGATCTCGAGGAGGTCTGACGCCGGGTATAGAAGTTAGATACGTATCATCAAGGTGATAGGAATAAGAATGGAAATGGAAAGAAAAGAAAGCCGATGGCAATGCTAGGAGAATATCGCATACCGTAGAAGGTCACATTGGCACCTTCATTTGTGGCCACATCATTTTGTAGGCCAAAGATCTCATAGTCTGTTCAATGGACCAGGTCAGTACAACATAAGGGTTTCTGGGGTAAACAATACCCACCTTCTTTAGACCAAGCAGCGACGAGGCCGAAGAAGACGAAGAGAGATAGAATGGCAAATGGCTTCATGATTGATAGCGGTCAATGCCGCAAAAGCCAGAAACGAAAGTAATTTGAACGAATGAGCTGTGTGTTAGTGGAGGAGACACCTGTAGGGAAAAAAAGCGGTCGGGCATTTACGAAGAACCAACGTGGCCCCAATAGAGTTGCTGTTTTTACGGTCTTTTTCTTTCTTTCTTTCTTTTTTTTTTTGAGGGGAAATACTGTTGGAGTCTGCATGAATTATTGCATCTGAGCGTATTCCGTATAGTATATATAGAGGGATTCTAGATTCTATAAGTTTTTTCTTCTGTTTCTTGTTCTCCAGAACTTCCTAGGGGAGTTGCCTAGGCAGTCAGCCCTGGAGTCAGGAACCTCAACCCGTTACTATAATTAGTAGACGGTCATTTTGTTTCTACAATATACAATATAGGTACCTAACTAACAAGGTACTATTTCTCATCTTATTACTTGATAACTTGGTGAAACAAGACCGTGCTTCGACTAAAAGTCCAAAGGGGAAAAGGCCAAGAAAAAAAAGACTCGTGTTTGTTTCCGGCGTCTCTTTCCTCTCTACTCCGTCTACTCTCTCTCTATCACTTTATTACCTGTCTCATTTTCCAACTCTCCCTTTTCCAACTTTATATTCTTCCCTCCCACCCTCTTTTTTTTCATCCAAAATGGTCTCTATCCCAATTGATGCGATCACTTCGCGTTTCGGCGATCGCTTCAACAACATCCGCAGCACTTCGTTAAGTACACGCTTCGCCAACCTGCGCCCTATTTCCGAGTTCCTCGATGTCAAGCGCCTTTCCAAGCCTGCCAACTTCGGTGAAGCCCAGAGCCGAGTCAATTACAACCTGTCCTATTTCTCCAGCAACTATGCCGTCGTCTTTGTGATGCTCAGCATCTACAGCTTGCTGACCAACCTGGTCCTGCTGTTCGACATGGTCTTTGTGAGCTGTGGTCTCTACGGAATCAACATGCTGCAAGGTCGGGATCTGGACCTGGGTTTCTCTCGCTTCACCACTTCGCAGCTCTACACCGGACTACTCATCGTCGCAGTCCCTGTCGGCATCTGGGCTTCCCCCCTTACAACTGCCCTGTGGTTGATTGGCGCTACTGGCGTGACTGTTTTCGGCCACGCTGCGTTTTTGGATAAGCCGATCGAGAATGCTTTTTCCGAGGAGGCGGTCTAGGTGGTCGGCCGCGAGCTCCTTTTGATATGCCCTCATGGGGAAGACCACCGGGGGCACGAAAGGGGAGAAATAATAGGGGACGCGCGGCGTGGGAGGAGACTCGATTGGAGGAGGTGGATAGTGAGGAGGATGCATACGGGCGGGAGCTGGTGCGGAGCGGTCGATACAGGCAGTTGGAGTATGGAGGACGAGGGCCGCGGAGGCGAGTGGATTACGAGGATCTGACGGATGAATCTGAATCGGTTGATGGAGGAGAATTCGATCTATATGACCATGAGGATAGCACGGTGGCCTATGCGGTTCAATTGGCCATGCGGGACAAGGAAGATCAATTGGTGGATACAGCGCTCGAACGAATTCGCCGCGCTCAAGTTCTGGGAAAGAAAAATGTTCGGCTATCGAAACGCGAACTGGATGCCTTGGAGCGCAAGCGCCAGCAGACGGACGGCTTAAGCCGGCGCCCATCCGCCAGTGTCAAAGTGACGTCGCGCCCATCGTCCCGCCGGAGCGGAGCAGTTGCTGCACCAGAGCAGCTGCCCGGTGCGTACCCGGCCTTTGCGCCTGATGCACACAGCTGGGCTCGTGGGACGGGCACAAACAGTCGGCCGTCCAGCTCATCTTCTGCTCGGCCCCGGACTCCTACGACACAATCTCTTCGTCCCCAGCAGTCTAATTCGCCTCTTCGACCTACGTACCCATATACACCCGAACGCTTTGCACCCAATGGCCGACCACAGTCAATGCAACAACCGCCTGTGTTCCAACGGCCACTGCCAGACGATCCTCAATGGGCGCCACCCTACTATAATTCCATGCAGATGAGCCCATACGGGGAACCCGCGCCATACCCATCACAGGTTCCCACCGATCTCCGGCACGGACAGCAGAATCGAATGAGTTACCCTTCAGGCCCTCAATACCCAGTTTATCAATCTCAATCTCCGGGCAAACGCCCGCAAGACACACCGCAGACCCGGAAAGACCTAGCTCCAGCTCCAGCTTTAGCTCCATCCAAGTCGGGGTCGGAGGAATCCAGTGAAGAATCGAGCGAAGATGAAGTGCAGATCGTCAAGGTGGCCAAGGTGGCGGAGCGCAAGGCCCCACCCGTTGCAGTTCAGAGGCGGCCGGTTACTGGAACCACTCGTAAGCGGACCAGTCGATGAAGATGAATTGTCAGGGTTGCCCTGATATCTAAAATTACTTTTGTGGAGTTTTGTTTTCTGTTTTACTCTTTTTTCTGTCTTACTGTGTACTGCGATGGCGTTTTGTGGTAGATGGACTACAAGCATATACATATATTACTTCCACTTTAAGCTCATTTGATATACGTAGATCTTTGTACAATATAGAGAGTATCTTGTAGTTAAATAGTCTGAATAAGTGGACCAATGCACTTGGCAATGAAAATGTCTGAACATCTGACAATCTCAGCCTCAAAGGCGTTAGATCTGCCAAGTATTCAGCCACCCGGTGTATCCGTAAGAGACCCGTTGGCTCGCGTGACGACCTTGGGACAGGCATATTAAATGTTAATAGGATATTAATAGTAGTCTGTACCAGAAGTAAGTACGGAGTACACCTGTAGCCTAATCTATCTACAGCAGTAACATCCATTAGAGTAAATATTGAGGCTGATCACTAGGGACTAGGCTGTGGGGGCGCACAATTTTTCTGCCTTGGCAGTCCTGGGGGATGACGTCGCTTTATAATCTCTTTAGGGGCTCTTCTAAACAAATAATTATTGCAATTCTTTCTTCTCTGCTTCTTCTCTGCTTCTTCTCTGCTTCTTCTTTTCGGGTACTCTACAACATAAGTAGTTGGGTATAAACAAATATATCTTGCGCATCATCGTTGTCCCGGTTCCAACTTGATATCCCTTTGTCATCTAAGCGCCACTGTCGCCCCCTTTAGGCCTCTCATTTAAACCTGGAATGCTGTATTCCTGTCAGTGTACATAAATACAGGGATATAGGTGAGTTGCAGTGGGGAAAGTACTTGGAATCCACTTCTTTCCATCCTATCCTCTATGGAATCACATCTTGGAGAAGCTGCCACTGACAGGATCCTATAGGCTCGCATTGTGCTTTCAATCCTCCACTCTCGTTGATTTGAGCTTTTAGCGGATTATACAAACATACCTTCGTTTCATCAAGATCGGTCTCGAAGTACAACCAGTACAACTCAAAAGTCGCAAAGATGTGGATTATATCATTTTGGATGTTTCCGTTGATATCAGCCTGCATGTGGGTTGGTAAGGCATCCCTGCATGGAACTGGATATTATGTTCTGGGCTGCAGCTAACGTGGTTTTAGCAATGTTGATTGCCATGCTGGTCACCTGGGTCAACGAGGGGAGACCGCACTACCCTAGTATGGACAACGGGCAGACCATTGCGTATGTCTTCTTCTCCACCATTAGCCCGTCTAATCATCCATACGCTAACAGGACTGTTACAGGTATATTTCAGATGTCGGAGCACAACACTTGAAGCCGCTGTTCGTCGGAGGCAGCGTAGTTACCGTCGTTTTTCTCGATTTAGCATTCCTTTCCGAGCGATGGCTTCGACACTCCAACCAATTGGCCTCGAACAAGGGTAGATTGGACAAGACATGCGCTATTCTTTCCATCTTCTTTGCGATCGCCGGTGCTGCCGGTCTGATCCTACTCGCTGTCTTTGATACCCTCCGCCACCCGAAAATGCACGATGGTTTCATCGCCCTGTTCATGTAAGTCATTTCCACTCCTGGAAATATGCAGCCAACAGCCAACTGACCAATCGATCACCTCTCCAGTGCTGGATACGTGATTAGTGCCATTTTGGTTTGCATCGAGTACCTTCGCATCGGAATCTTCTACCGTCGCGAGCACCGCGTCTTGCTCGTCAGTTTTTTTATCAAGCTTGCCTTCGTTATTATCGAGCTCGCGCTCGCCATCGGCTTCGGTGTCTGCATTGGCAGCAAGCAATCGTCTAAGCAAAACCCCGGTGCTGTTCTCGAGTGGACGATTTCCTTCGTCTTCACTGGCTACGTTCTCTCCTTCGTCGTCGATCTATTGCCTTCCGTGCGCACCCGCAACCACGTGCCCCAGGGTGAGAAGTACCTAATGACCCAGGGAGGCCGTGAAGAGAATGTCTCCATCGAAGAGCCGCTGACTCATGACTCGATGGGCCCGAGCACCGGCTTTTACCGTGGCCAGCGTGTCTAATTCCCTTTGATGTGATTCTATATATTCCTGTATTTACTTATACGACGTGCACGATGTCTCTCGATACTCTGCTTTTGTTAATGGTTTCTTGATACCTGTCATGGATACTCACATATATGGTGTTATTGGGAAGTTGGGCATACACTGTTAGATCAATACGTTTTTGGGATACATATTTACATATTTACTTCTTATAGCAATTCAATCAACATTTTAGATCTTTCCTAGTCTTTTCTCAATCTGTTTACTAGACATCGAACATCCAATCCCCCACCATTTATTATCTCGCATCCAAATGCTCATATAACAAGAAACGCTAGACCCCCCAATGCCAAGGTCATTATCATATCTACATATCCCATATCAAATACAGAAATCCATAACCCCAAAATCCCAAACCCCCAAGAAATCAAACCAAAAACTTCCCCCGAATCCTCTCCTGCATCTCAAACCCAACTCCAACCCTCTCCAAATACCCCCTAACACCCCCATACCTCATCTCAAGATACGTCGTCGTCTCATCCACAAAACCAGGCGGACAACGCGTATAATCCTCCCCAAGCCCAATAGCCCTAATCTCCTCCATCCGCTCCTCAAACTCCGACACAAGCTCCAGCTCCGAACGACCATAATCATCAACAATCGCCTCAGTCGGCACACCCCAACAAGCAACAACATAAGCAAAACAACCAATCCCGTCCGGTCCTTCCCCTGCGTGCAGTGCACAAGCGTGGGATACGATTCCTCGCACGCCAGGATTTCAAATACAGCGCGGATCTCCGCCATGCTGGAATCGAGCGTGTCTTGCGCTAGACCCGTCAGGCCGCGCGGTTGCATTACCGAGCCGCAGACTGAGACGCACGGCGTCGCTGCGGTAGCCTGTTGTTACGAGCCCGATTGTTTTTCTATTGTTATTAGATTATTAGAACGGTACTAGGTTTGTGTGAAGGGGGTGCGGTACAGATATGTAAACCAGTCCAGCTTGGATAATAAGGCGCGTTCGAAGCCTTTGCCTGTTAGGCTTATTAGAGCTCGGTTCGAGCCGGGGATGTGGAGGAGATGTTCGTCTGGATTTGATGGGATTGGATCTGGTGATTTTTCTGTTGGATTTGATTCTGATTCTGATTCTGATTCTGATTTGGCGATTTCGCCTCGACGTTTTCGCGTGCCCATTTGGTGTTCTGTTCTGTTTTTGGTTAGTTTCTGCTTTCTGGTGCTTTTGCAGTCTTTGACATACTGCGAACGAAGATCGATGACGGTGTGAATGTGTAGTTCTTCTGCTAGACGGCGTTTATCTCGTTCTGATGCGTCGTCGAGCTGTTATTTCGAATCAGTTTTCATTTCTTCCGTCTGACAACGCATCAATGCAGTCATTTAGCGGGGTTGGAATTACCCTCGCGCTGCGAAAGAAGACCCCTTCTTTCAGTATTCTATGTTAAATTGTTAGTTTTGTATTTAGACTTGAACATCGAGACGCGTAACTCACTCTTTGCGACAAAATTGATTAACCGACCGGCCGACATCGCGGAAATTGATGATGTTGTCGAAGGGCCGGTCGGGTGAGTCTAGATCCACGCTGTTATGGCGCGACATGGTGAATTAGGAATTAGAGAATATGGAATATAGGAAATCCGTCGAGATGAGGAGGAGGAACGTGTTTAAACGTGTTTAAACATGTGGAGAAGTACAAATGGCGGTGGACGCGGACGTTGGGCAGACATCGCGTTTTGGCCGATAGTCGCCTGGACAATGAACTTTTTGTTTTTTACTCCGTACTTATTGCATTGTCATTGGTTGCATGTATGGGATTCAATGTTTATTGGTTTGTGTGTCTTGAAAGAGTTGACTATATATAGCAGAGACGGGGGTTTTAGTTTGTTTATGGTATGATCTGAGGGCCATGGAGATATGTAGAGATGATGAAACAGGTACCAAGCTAAACAAAGAACTTCCTTAGATCTAGACCGGGAACATCTCCAACGATCAATTCACTATGTCAACATCAACACTTTACCTAAACATACTGTCCCCGGTTGTTCTCCCACTGTGGCTGCAGGTATGACCAATCGTGATTGAAATTGAATCCAGTACGATAAGCCCCATATGCAACCAGATCCACCTGACTCAATCTCGCCCCCTGCTCCGTCAGCGCCCACAGACTAATCGCCAACGTATTCTCCCCACGGTTATTAATCACGCCCGGCGGGAAAGGGAACCTAGTCTGAGGCCCGATATGCGGCAGGTAATGACCGAACTGGTACCCATTCATGAAGATCTGGACCACTGCGGGGGCGTCAGCAGATGCCCCGAGCTGCAGACCAATCGGAACGTCCAGGTCGGAGTCTAGATCGAGCTTGAAGGTGGTCGTGTAGAAGCGGCCTGCTGCACCAGATACGCCGTCCAGCGGACTTTCTGATGTCGCCGTCTTGGACGCTTTGTATCCCGGGAGATGCCAGCCAAGACGCTCGCCGTAGAGACCTCCTTCGTTCATGGGTCCCCGGACGGGATCGATGTTGGCTTCGCCGCCTGCGTTGCCTTGGATGCGCCAGGAGGTGAAATCGCCGCCAAGAAGCGTAGCGCCTAGTATTCCGCGTGGGTTTTGCGACCCGTTCGGTTTCACGTTTGCTTGGTCGTGGCCTGTGTAATCCATGACGACGGTTAGGACATTGTCTTTCTTGCGCAAGGTAGAGCTGGTGAATTCGAGCTCGGCTGATGTCGCGGCTAGGTCGGGATCGCCAATGGCTCCACCGACGTAGACTCCGTTTAGCCAGGCGGCCCAGCCGGCGGCGACGCCATTTTGGACGGTGATATTTGCGCCTGTTGCGGTCACGCCGTCGAAGCGTCCGCGGTAGATCTTCGTTCCGGCATGGTAGCCGTAGTCGCCAGAGTAGAGCACGGGAAGTGTTAGTGGCGCTACGGAATTGACTGAGGTTGTTTTGTTGCAGACTGTCCAACGAGAATCGTCATAGTCTGGCTTAATCTCTGGAAGTGTATCTTGTGCTTTCCATGATTTCAGGGTTGGCAGTGATATCTTGGCATGTTCGGCTCCTGGGGCTGACCCGATTAAGCTGCCATAGGGTGTCTTCTTGGTTGAGATCTCCTTCCCATTCCACTTGATCTTGGTAACCTTTGGGTTTCCCGTGTAGACCCTGGATATATATTAGCTAACAACTAATTTGAGGGCAAGCATTGCACTTACTCAAGAGATGTCGCGTTTGCGTTGTCACCAACAAGACTGACTGTGTGCCCGCTGACACTTGCTGTGCGAACGAGATATGGCCCAAGGGCAAGGATCTGCTCACTGGGAGTTACCCGCGGATTGGAAGTAGTCGGCACCGCAAAGAAGTTCCACGCCGTCTCTTTATCGAGAAGGTAGACTAGCACGCCGTGCGAGAATTTCAGCACAGTGCTGCCATCTCCCTGAGTGTATGTGTACTTGATGCCGTGATCCCATTCGGCGGAGTTCACTTTCGAATTGCCGTACGTTTTGAAGGTCAGATGGGTCGGTGCATCTTTGAAGACAAACTCTCCTTTCTGTCCGATATTCAGATAGAAAACAATGACATCTACGTCGAGGGTGGCGTAGGTCAAAACCTCGGCGGATGAATAGAGCAAGCTCGAGCCATCCCCGATTTGGTAGTCAGTGACTATAATCTTGCTCTGCCGACCGGCCAGTTCAATATTTGGGATTGTGAGGGCTCCTATTGTGTAAAATCCAAGTTAGTGCAATTCTTTCCTCCTATACAAGGGCACATACCAGCCGAAGTGTTGACGTTAAGTGAAGTAGTAGTCACAGCACGAGACGAGCTCGTAGAGTGCGCGAGAACATAGAAGCCGGCATGGGTTTCTGGGTTCCGCAACGCCCACGTATAGATACTAGCATCGCTGGTGTAGCCAGTTCCATTCCCTTCCATCTGCGTTTGGAGAAGACCGGACGACACGCGAGTAAACAGACCAATCAACTTGGTCTGCTTGAGCTTGTCCCGAATCTCACGAGTCTCTCGCATGGGCGCAGAGTAGTCGTACGAAGTGTAAACAACCGGAGCAGCACTTTGTCCCCAAGAAGTTGCCCCCATCACCATATAGATATTGTGCAATGTGACTCTGGAGCCGATGTTATTCTTATAGTAGACGTCGGCGAATTCAGGCGAAAGCTCGGTAGAGCATTGATCGTAGAAACTCCCACCCCAGGCGGAGAACCAACCGCCCTCGAATTCTGGCAGGTACTCAGGCTGAGAACTCGAGTAATTCTGGAACCACTGGTAATAAGTGCGGACGAGATTGAACCCAGTGTTCGGGTTGGTGCAGGATAGACCACCAGGATAGGAATCCAGACCATAGATGTTGACGGCACCACCCACATCCTGGTAGTCGGTCGACCAGCTCATCGAGCGCATTCCCTTTTCGTTATGTGTGCTCGGGACGACGATGCCGGCATCGCTAAAGGCGGCTTTGATTTGTTCCATGTACTTGACAACCGTGTTATCAGCACTGTGAGTTGTCTCCTGCAACTCATTCTCGTGCTGATTGAGAATGACCGGACCACCATTTGTGATTTGGTTGGCGGCGATGATCTTTCCGATCTCCTGGATCCATGGATACCATCGATTATAGTAGGAGCTTGCGCTGGTGCGCGTGCTGCCCATTTGGCCATTGGATGCCCATAATGCGAGCCCACCAGCAGAGGTCTCGGCATTGCAGTAAGGACCTGCGCGCGCGATCACATACAGACCGGCCTGCTTGGCATAATCGAAAACACGTTGGACGTCATGGGCGCCGTTCTTGAAGTCGAAAGTGTCTTCGGAAGCGGAGTGGAAACTCCAGAAGAAATAGACTGATCGGAATGAGTCCTATTGAAGCCCGGAGGGTTTGTCAAGTCACACTCACTAGAAATTGCATTAAAGCCATTTGCCCGTAACTTCTGAAACACGTCGAGCCATAGCTCCGGCACGGGGAGTCGCTGGTAATGGAATTCACCCGAAAACACATATACTCTCTCTCCTTTGACAGAGAGGCTGTATTTATCCCATGTCACATCTGTAGTCTTGCCATTATCTGTCGCAGAGACAAAGTGGCTGCAAATGAGTCCGAGGAGGACCGGGAGAAGTGCGAAAAAACGCATTGTTGGACGCTGTGCAGGTACCTATCTTGGAATATGACTTGTTATAATGGGTGAATGCTTCGGTCCTCGCTATAGTGATACCCCGTACTCTGCTGGGATTGGTGGATGTTTTGGAGATTTAAAGTCCGATTAGGCAATTTCCCAGGGTTTCATTACAGGGCCGTGAAGATGCGGGGGGAATGGCCGGCTTTCGACCGGGGCATTGCATTTACATTTTATACTGGATAATGCACGGTAGAACTGAATAAATTTACCCATGTACTGCTTGGTCTAATACTGATGATAAAAAGGTGGAGGAGTCCAAAAATACTCCCACCCGCGCCAATACACATCTATGAGCTTTTGGACTCTGAAAGCCATCAAATCTCCCTTTTTACTTCTGTTAAAGGAAAACTGCTCCCGACTACTTCGACGACGTGACAAAAGATCCATTGGGGTCTCCCCTTCGGAATTGCGGGCATTTCGATCCGACCCGTGGTCAATAAGCAACTTGACCACTTCCCAGTCCGATGTCAGCACTGCCAGGTGGAGAGGTGTGTTGTCATCGGCGTTCTTTGCAGCGATATCTGCTCCATGTTTTAAAAGCAACTTGATTGGTTCAACCATTGCTTTTGATGCTCCGTATGTCATGGCATGCAGCGGTGTTTGACCATAGGAGTCCACCGTGTTGACTTTCTCTCCATAGGCGAGGAGAAGCTCCATGAGACGCTTGTTGTCGGTTTTGTGAAGGGGTGTCTGTCCCTCGCTGTCCCCGGTGGTCCCATATGCTCCGTAGCTCAAAAGATGCTTGACCGTGTTGTAAATGAATGAAAAGCAAGGTTCATGAGCTACATCTGGATCGCATCCATATGACTCTGTATCATCCGAGACGACCGATTGAAGTGGGGCTGGCCCAGCGGTAATTGGGTATGTTATATGGGCATCAAGGTCTAACAGCTGCCTCAACAATTCAGCCCTACCTGTGGAGTTCCTTTTGGCCACTAAAGCATCCAGTGGTTCTCGACCCCAGCCATCGACTTTGCCTGGGGCGGGGCTGCAAGCAACGAGCAGTTCTATCAAGGCCTTTTTGTTGTTCCTGTTTAGTACAGTCTTACCGATGTAATCCCACACTCTCAAACTTGCTCCATGGTCGAAAAAAAGCTTTGCTGTTTCTTCATTGGAGAACGTACATTGGTTGGAGGTTTCTATGAACCCGTGGAACACTTCTTCGCTGTCCACGCTTGCGCCACGTTCGACAAGCAGCTTCACAATGCCGTTGGAGATGGAACTACACTTGAACAGTGCAAGTAATATCGGTTTGTGCTCTGAGTCAGGAGAAAAAGACTTGGTATAGTTGGCGTGGGCACCAAGATCCAGTAGTAGCTTCACCGTAGCAAAATGGTCCGTTACTAGTTTCTTTCCGGATCCAGAGTCGACATATTGCTTTCTGCAAGAGCAATCTCTCTCTTTGTACCAATAAGCTTCCTCTCCTAGCGCAGAAGATAAAATCCTATCATAATTTGATGGTCGACCGGTGCCAGAGTCAAGGTCAAGCAGCACTTTCATAATAGAAAAATAGCCACTTCGAGCAGCATAATGCAGTGCACGTTCAAGAGGTTCCACCTTAATATTTGGAATCTCTATCTTCGTTTTGTTGAGGTGTGCGAGAAGGACCTCCACTATCTCCTCATTCCCACTCTGAACGGCCCAGTACAAGCTTGAGCTACTCCAGTAATATCCAGGTTCGCGATAACCGTCTCGTGGCATCTTTGTTTGATTTTGGAGGTTATCCTTAACGCGTTCGATGTCTGCATTTATTGAAAGCAGGAGCCGGGTTCCATGCATATCGCCAGCTTTGACACACTCCGTTAGACCTTCATGGAGCTCCCAATCCTCTCGTTGATGACGACAGTGCCATAAAAGGGAATGAAACAGATTGTGGTAGCATTCCAGAAGACAGATGATGTCGCGTACGGATATGCCTGAGGCAATTTGCCATATCAACTCATTTGGCAATGAAAAGAGAGACGTTTCTGCCATGTCGAAAAGTCGCTTCAACTGATAGCTTTGGAAGAGAAAGAAGTGTGGGAAGTGAAAGAGGTGAAAGAAATGAAGAGACTAGTGAAGGTCAACATACATAGCCGGCACGAGTATATTTATGGATTGGATTTAAACGAAAGACGTCAGGTGAGGTCATATAACGGTATTTCTTCTATTTCCACAAGTATTTGCGGTATGCTCTAGCCTATTCTGACATCGCTTTCGAATGTCCGTTTCCAGATACAGTCATCCAGTTACCTTGGTTTGAGTAAGATGTTCCGAAAAGCTCTCTACCCTCCCATGACCGCCACCTCTAACAGCCCAGTACAAGTGTGTGCCACTCCAATAGTGCCTCGGTGCGCGATCGAACGGCGTTGATTTTAGTTGGGTTGTGGGCGCGCGTTCAGTATATTCCTCGAACTGAAACTGTGGGACGGAACCCGTGCAGCTGAAGAGTCCCTAAAATTTCATGGCTGGGTTGTATCCGTCTGCCAAGATCAGACATGAGCCCGAGGACGAACGGATAGGGTGGAGGATTCGGGATGCGAATGGTGCGGTATGGGTCGGTGGAGTTGAGGTATTGCTCGATCATCATATCAGCTTCTGAATCTTCGGATTCACGAAGATGGCGTCGTCACTTCCTAGGCGACAGAGGAGGATTGGGAAGAGAGGAAGTGGCGATCCCGGATAAGCCATCTTGGAGTGAAATAGATGAAGATAGGAGCCGGGTCCAATCCGCATTATCATATTGGATACACACTGTTAGAACTCCTTACAGGTCCCGTTTCTTTCGCTCGTGCTAGCAGTGCCAAAGAAGAGGTAGACGTATTGAATGAAAGAGATGGTTCGGGAATATATATGCCCTATGCCATTTGGTATACTAATTCGTTTGGCAATGAAAAGATAGATGTTTTCGCCATTTTGAAATGTCAAGAGGAAAAGGAGGAAATAAAGAGAAACAAAAGAAGTCAAAGAGAGAAAGACAAGTGAAGAAAAAGAAGAAAGGGAAGACAGGGAAGAAAGCGAAGTGAAGAAAAAGGGAAAGGGCGACGAAAGTGAAGGCCACCAGCTTTATATATATCTGGAGATGTACATACTACATTTATTAGCTAGTTGAGTCACGTAATGTTCTATTTCCAGCGTCTGTCTCCCTTGCATCCATTCACTTCAACAAATTCTGAATGTCAATGTCACAAATGATCAGTACGCATGTACTGAGAGCAGCATTATGCTCTAGCCTACTCCGACATCGCTTTCAAACGTCCATCGCCAGATACGGTAATTCAGACCTGACAAGACTTTGATGCAATTATCTGGTCTAGAGTATATAAAACGTGGAAACACTGGCTTGCGGCCAATGGCGGACCACTCTACGTGTGTCGTGCCGGCACCAATGAGGTCGATATTCTGTACCTACATATATACCCTGCGCTGCGATATTCCGAAGTTCTTTTTGGGTGTCTTTTTGGATAGTATGTACCTATATTCATGAGACACGAGTACCGTGGATGCTACCGTCACCTCCGCTGCCGTATTTGGTAATTGCTTGGAGGCCACCACCTACATATGTAGGTAACTTTGCTCTTTAGAACTATGTGATAGAACCCACTAGTTTGATAGCTCTCTCTCCTCCCTGCTCTTCCTCCTCTCCCCGTGGGAGACAGTCAATCCAAACAGTGTTTTCTCCATCTGTATCGCATCTCCATTAACTGTTGAGTGCAGTCTACTAGATATGGCTCTCGTAAGGGCTGGTCGCGACTAACTCTTCTTGGCTGGTCACAGGTTCTCGTCCCTGGAGTTTGATTATCACCATACGACTGTTCATATCTACAATAAGGTTGACAGTACCTAGGAATACATATGCGATAGTCTAGATGGCATGAACGCGAAAAAAAATATAAGTCTATATGAGTGGGATGTATTTCACGGCATATCCATATCATTGCACCCATGAACGGAACCAGATAAAGGATTCAAAAGTCTACGGATTCCTATCGGTCTAGTTCAGGTCCTAGGAACTTACGTGTTGAATCGTTTCAGGGCCTAGGAGCGGGAACACCAAAAGCAAGGTTTTATTAGTTCTCATGGAGAATCAGCCTCTGCGAAATTAATGCTAGACTTATCTCGGAGATACAAGGTCCTACTAAGTCCTTTCATTCGACTAGTCTGCCTAAGAGTAGCTTCGTCGTTGTCCGTGACAGCAAAATTCAATAGCCAAGTGGGTAATAAAGTGTGTCGGCTTCATATGTCTTGATGATATCAATAACCAACACGACTGAAATAGATACTGCAACATTTTGATTGGCTATTGACGTAGAAGGAAGGGAGACGTATGCCTTACTAGTGTGTAAGACCTTCTTAGGGCTGGTTTCCTGCACTTTGGGTATTAAACATGAAGTAGGAAAAAGGGCCCGGATGGTGCAGGGATTCCCACGCTTTATTGCTGAACGCCTCTAACTCAGAGCCGCAAGTCTAACAATCGTCCTCCACGCCAGCCTTGCCTTCTGTAAGTTATCACTCTATCCCCCATGCTATCTCTCCAGTGCTTGTCAACTAGGAAGTGCTCTCGATGACGCCGGCGATGCTCCAAAAGATCCACTGGAGTCTTCCCGTCCGAATTGCGGCTATCCCGATCCGCTCCCTAATCAAGAAGCAACTTGACTACTTGCCATGCCGATGTCAGTACCGCCAGATGGAGAGGTGTGTTGTCGTCAGCATTCTTGGCAGAGGTATCTGCTCTATGCTTCAATAACATTTCGATTGTTCCAACCGTCGCCTCTGAATGCTCTGTATGTCATGGCGTGCAGCGGTGTCTGACCATAGATATCCACCACATTCACCTCGGCCCCATACGCGAGAATGAGTTCCACGAGAGATTTGTTATCGGTTCTGTAAAGAACGGTCTGATCCTTGCCATCCCGGACCCTTACATCTGCTCCACGGCTCAAGAGAAGCTTTGCTGTTTTGTGGACGAAGGCAAAGTAGGTTTCATCATCGAGGCTTTCGGGTTCGGGTGTAACTGTGTCTCCATGCTGGTCGTGTCCGTCGATCTCGTACCCGTCTGAGTCGTATTCACATTGTTTTCGTCTATATGAGAGGACTGATAGTAATGGAGTTGGTCCAGAAGGAGATCGGCAATTCACATTAGCACCAAGGTCCAACAGCACCTTCATCAATTCAACCGTCGTTTCAGACGCCTCTTTGGTTGCCAGTGTATTCAGCAGGGTTTGACCACCTTTATCCACGTCGTTCGGGCTGAGTCCACGATTAATGAACAGTTGTATGAGGTCTTTCTTGTTAGCTTTGAGAAGAACGGACCGACCATAGTGATCCCGGGAGCTAAGATCTGCGCCATGATCGAGGAGAAACTTTGCTATTTCTCCACGAGGGATTGTACATCGATTCGATGTAACTGTGAGCACATGGAGCACGTTCTTGGCGCTCACATTTGCACCGCGCTCAACAAGCAGCTTCACAGTTCCGTCGGAGATCGGGGTGCATGTGCGCATTGCAGTTTCTAGCGGCCCACCTAGTTGCGCAAAGTCATACTCGGGCCAGTCGAGGGTGGCGCCAGAGTCGAGCAGAAGCTTCACAGTAGCGTATTAGTCCGGTTGTGCTTTCTGACCCTGTCCAGAGCAGATGTGGTGCGTCGAGCAAGTGCAGCAGTTTCTGTCGAGCATATATCCCCGATATTCCCTCTTTAATGCGGAATATAAAGCCACGTTGTAATGTTCAGTCGTTCGTACGTTGTTAGAGTCAAGGTCAAGTAGCACTTTAGTCATGGCATAATAGCCACCTTCAGCAGCATACCGTAGTGCATCTCTAACGTGATTGACCTCGAGATTTGGGATCTCAACCTTCATTTGAGTGAGATGTTCCGAAAGAGCCTCCACTATCTCATGATGACCACCTCTAACAGCCCAGTACAAGGGGCCATCATCCCAATAGTGCCCTGGTGCGCGATTGAACGGCGTTGAATCTGTGGGCACACATTCAATATCTGCATTGATCTCAAGTAGAAGCCGGGTCCCATCCACATTATTAGTTCTGATGCACGCTGTTAGAGCATCTTGGAGCTCCCGTTTCTTTCGCTGGTGCTGGCAGTGCCAAAGAAGAGGCAGACACAAACTGCGGCAACATTGGATGAAAGAGATGATGTCTGGAACACACATGCCTGATGCAATTTGGCATACCAATTCGTTTGGCAATGAAAAGATAGATGTTTTCGCCATTTCGAAAGGCAAGAGGGAAAGAAGGAAAGAAAGTGAAGAAACAGAAAGAAACGAAAAAAAAGAGAAAGTCAAGAAGAAGAAGAAGAAGAAGAAGAAGAAGAAGAAGAAGAAGAGGAGGAAGAAGAAGAAAAGGGAAGAAATGAGAAATGAAAAGGAAGTGAGGTAGTAGTATATAGTATATGGATCTCGATAGATGTCATGTGAGTTTAAAGGTTTCCATCTCTCACTTTAATAAGCTAATGTAATAATCTGTGCGTACCTACCTACATATGAAGGTAGGTACCTAGGTATGTACTAAGAGCAATTCTCACTAGCTATGTGTCAGCATACTCCGACGTCGCTTTCGAGCGTCCGTTGCCAGATACGGCAATCCAGAGGTGACAATACTTTGATACAATTCCATGGCCTAGAGTATATACAACCCGAAAACACTGGGTTGCAGCCAATGGCGAAGCACTTCTGCTAAGTGTATGTGTGTCGTGCTGGCATCACCTGGGCACCAATGGGTGCTTACATATATACTATGCCCTTGACAATGTAGGAATATAGCTCACAATGACCTCGAGATATTTGGATGTCTTTTTGGGTGTCTTTTTGGAAGTCTTTTTAAGAAATATTTTAAGAGTATACCTGGGTACATACGCATGTATGTATTCATGGCATACGGGTACTACCGTGGATGCTACAGTCTCTCCGTTGCCGTATTTGGTAATTGCTTGGAGGCCACTACCTAGATAACTTTGCTCTTTAGACCCTTCCCTGTCAGTAACTCTTTCTCTCCTTTACCATCACCCTCTAACAAAATGTCAATTTCACTTCTTTCACTTTCAAACGAACTGTTGTTTGCTATTCTAGCAGAACTAGAAGTCGAAGATGTCACCTCAGTCCTCGAAACCCACCCTGCTCTCTATCAGGTTTCATACTGGTGTCTCCGAAAACGCAGACGTCACCTATCTCTGAGATCGTACTCCAGCTCTGGAGATATCTCCAGAGTCCGAATATTGCTGAAAGCAGGTGGGAAAGCTGATGATTGGTCATTCTTTTTTGGATCATCTCTTGCCGACGCTGCTGGAAATGGCCATGAAGAAATCGTGAAGTTACTTCTTGACCACGGCGCCCGAATGGATCATGAGGGGCATTTCGTTCACCATCCACTCCAAGCTGCCGCATCGAAGGGATATTTTACCATCGTCAACTTGATGCTTGACTACGGCGTTGATGTCAACAGCACAAGTGTTTGTGGAGACACTGCTCTTACTGAAACCATCCGATACAAAGGTAAATATTCTTACCATAAACGAGGGCCGTGGATGGGACGTGGTCGATTTCTGCATAGGAGAAGCAAAACACCCTTCAGCTACTACGATACAATGAAGGTGCTTCTCGAATACGGTGCTAATCCCGACAGGATCGGTCGATCTGCAGCAAATACAGCACTACATACGGCCATGGTCAATTATCCCTAGTTGCAGCAGGATACTGTGGGCTTGCTTTTGGAATACGGAGCCAATCCGAATTCTCGAAACCATAACGACGTAACACCATTACATTCGATTGGTACTAGCAAGTTCAAATACGACCCTCGATGCACTGAGATAGCCAAACTCCTTGATCGTGGCGCGGATGTCAATGCACGAGATAAGGATGGGAGAACACCAATACACATCGTAGCATCTGCTGATGGACGGGGAGAAGCTCTTACTGGGATTTATCTCTCCCACAAAGCCGATGTCAATGCAGCTGATTTGGATGGAATTACACCTCTCCATATAGCGGTTGCAGGTCCACTCGCCAATATTCGAGTCATAGAGCTATTATTGAAATCTGGTGCCGATGCGAATGCAAAAACACTCAAGGGTAACACACCTCTGCATATGGCAGTCCATTACGAAGCACCGGATAAAGCGATCAAATTGCTTTTTGAATATGGAGCAGATATGAACAGTTCAAATGAACAATGAACAGTTCAAGCGTGGTACACCGTTGAAAATGATGGAAGAACGGCTTGGTGACACCGTCAGCCTTCCCTAAATGTAGCGTCTAGTGTGACGGCTACTTCTTATTATCCTTCTTGCTACAACACTAGTAAAGGGAACAAACTCTATAGAAAGGTATACATCCAAGGAAATACCTAAAAGTGTATCTAAAGGACCACTAAAAAGACCACTAAAAAGACCACCCCAAAAACGTAAGACTGTATCAGCGACTAGTTCAGTATCCTTATATACTACTACATAGATATGAGTGGAGTGTGAAGGTAGAGGATCAAAGTGCTGTAGGCAACATCCAGACTAGACCGATCGTCGAGACGGTCTCTAAAAACTCCCTTAGGTATCCATTCCTATGGAGCTCGCCACTGATCTTCGATTTGGTTGATTAGCGCTTTAGTTTGAGGCGGAGGTTATTGGTTTGGATAAGAATGGATGATCACCTTGAAAGACACGTCCAATGACTGCGATGGTTCCATAGAGACATCGTTATTAGATCAAGTACCTATATACGAAGCACCAAAAATTACTAGAGAACTAAACAATCCAACCCAATATCCCCCAGAATCGACCGATTTCAAGTCCCAAAAACACCAATAGATCACCCCGTAAGATCCAAATAACAAAATCGTACATCAAGTCAACGTTTCAAATAGACATACACATCAACATTCAATATGAGAATCACAGATTCTCAGAGAACCTCGATTCTCTTCTCCCGTTCACGGTCTCGCCAATAGTAGGCGGCACAGGAAGACTCTGCCCAATACTACTTTCCTGCAGACTCTGGATATTACCGCCGACATCCTTAGACGAAGATTGAACTCCCGAATCATGACGGGAGTCGTCATCGTTCGACTGCTCCGGACTACGCGAGACGGCCCTGAGGAGCGTCCTGCTCAGACGGTTCCTCTTCTTACCATTGCCATTTTGCTTGGTAGAGTTTGGCACAGAGTCGGCACTTTTAGTCTTGGTCACATCCAGATCGTTGCTGTAGTAGCTCGAAGATCTGTTGTGCGTCACGACAGGTTCACCCACGCCAGGGGGGGTGCGAGCCAAGTGCTGCACGGCGCGGCTCGTCACGACCGGTTAGAGTGGCGCCGCCTTGAAAGGCGGGTTGGTTGTCTGTGCTTGACTCCGGGCCCGGCTGGTGTGGGTAGATGGGGACCGGGCCACTGGAGCGGCGAACGAGACGATCGCGGAACCAGTTCTTGAGCTTGGTGTCGGCGCGCGGGCTTGTGACTGGTGGCGTGAAGTAGTGCACAATTGTTGGGCCTGAGGCGGCGGCGTCTCGCTGCTCGATCTGGGGCGGCTCAGTCTGGCTTCGTGTCGGCCGCCGTGGGACTGCAGCGGGCACGTCGTTTTCGTCGGGCTTTGAAGGTTGAGTCTCTGGACCGAGGAGGTGGCTTCAACAACGGTCGCCGGACCGGGTGTCTCTGTTACAACGGAAGTTTCCTCAGGAATGGTGACCCTTGAAACATTGTCCTCTGTCTCAATAGAGGCTTGCTCGGGGATGGTCACGGTCGAGATATTGCTGTCTGCGGCTGTAGTCGGAGCCTGCTCTGCTACAGCTCCCTGCGACACAGCTCCCTGGGACACAGGTTCCTGGGAGACAGGTTCCTGGGGGACAGGTTCCTGGGAAACAGGTGGGACAGCTTGAGCCTCTTCGGTCTCAGGTTTCTCAACCCGAGCTCGTTTACCCTTCTTCCGCCACAAGAAGAATTTGGGGACCTTGCCCTCGGATTTGTCGCGCTTGCTTGCATCTAATTCATTGGTCAGACATATATTGAGAGAGGGAAAGACGGGGCAACTAACCTTTTTCTTGCTTCTCCAACTCCTTCACCTCAGCTTCACGTTGACGCTCCACGGCAGCATGTCTCTGCTCCTCCTCAGCATCCAGACGGGTTTCGATATCATGGGCTCTCCGTAGCTCAGCGTCCTCGGTAACCTCATCTAGAGCAGGCTGGAGGCGCGATCGAGCGATGGCGTCGATATCGGCCATGTCCATGTATTTTTGGCCGCCAATGTTCACTCGATTCCCTCGGGTGGTAGCGTCTTCGTAAACCTCTGCCTCCCGTCGCACGCGTTCCTGGGCAACTTCATCCCACTCCTTCTGTACAGAAGGCGGAGGGCGACCGGTGTCAGCGTACACTTGTGCCTCCATGTCCTGGAGGGTTTGGTCCACATTGCGGCGGGCAGCCTGCATAAGCAATTCACGATCCTTTGTCTTTTGCTCATCTACTTGATCCAACTTGGTCCGCAGGGTGGTCATCTGGCTCCGGATTTGCCGCGACTGCTCCGCGTCGGTCTGAGAGGCATCCGCATCGCTTGAAGTTCTCTTGCGGCGGGTTGTCAAGCGTGACCGTTGTGGCTGAGGTGCAGTGCCATAATATCGCTGGTAGTCAGCATGCTCATCCTGCATGAGCGCCAGCTTCTCGGCGGCTCGCTTTTGCGCTGCCTCTTGTAGGGCGATCGCACGCCGGAGCGCAGCCCCGTCCGCGGTTGATACGGTCTTACGGTAGCCCAGTTGGCTCTGTCCTTTTTGAGCTGCTATGAGGGCGGGCGACTGGCCGGATTCCTTCTTGGTGCTGGTGACTTTGTACATGTCCTTTGCCATTGAGATGGCAGCAGCGCGTTGCGAGTTCCGGTAGTTTCGTTCTTCGATTTCGCTTTGGACAGGTGGCGATGCAGTATACAGCTTCGGGTTAGTGTTAGCCGCATGTTGGATCCGGCTTGCTTCAATAGCAGGGTCTAAGTGGTCAAGAGGGTCCTCTTCCAGGCTAGCCTGTCGCGCACCATCGGTTGGACGGCCATATGGTAATTCGGAGGTAACCCCTGGCTCACTGGGTGCCGAGTCGGCTCTCTTACGCGAGAGCGTGTAGGCGCCCGACGCGGCCTTGAGCGCCTTGTCCCTCGGGTCACCACCGACGGCGGTATAGTTGTAACCATCTGTTACTGAGCTGCCACGTCTGTGGGCAGCTGACGTGGGGGCCTGGCAAACAGAGGCTCTCTTTTCACGAACAGCGAGCATTGCGGCTCCCAGTCCCTCTGCACTGTGCTGGGTGGTGGGTTGGGGTTGCTGGGCGGAGCGTAATCCTTCACGCATAATGCAGCCTTCTCAGCGGCAGGCTGTCTAGCCGGCGGCCTCCATACCTCGACAGGTTTGCGATTCGCGTGCGCGAGAGCGGAGGCAGCGGAGGCGTGGCTGAGTTTTGGAGTACCACCGACCGCGCGTGTGTCTGCCGCAAGGCGCATTGTCAGCTTTTATTCGCCTATCGTATCGAGGGATGATACTCACTGAAGTGCTGGGTGTTGGTTGCGGTCGGGGCGCGGAGAGATGCCCTACGTTCAGGCTTTGTCACATATAGGGCAGCTGTCGCGGCTATTTCACGTGAAGTTAGCGATCCGAGCGCAGGAGATTATTGGGATGCATCGTCTTACCATCATCTGCCAGCCGGGGCTGACGAGTCATTTGCACAGTTGCCATATTTCAGGAACTGCAACAAATTCAGATACAACAGGAGTGGGAAAGAAAAAGAAAGAGGAATCGCAGGGAACAAAACTATCAGTGTGTGGATATGGAATGGAAGTCCGGAAAGCTTCTTTCATCCCCGTGACGTCGATTGGGAAAGCCATTGCATCATCGCTGGGGGGGAATTTTGGGGGAATTTTGACATTTTTTATGGGGAAGATCGATCTGTCCCGAAGCCACTCAGAGCTCCATGGGCGCTAGTGAACGATCTAAGTGGAGTGAAGATGCCGCATTCGAACAAGCGCGAGGCCCATTTTTCGGTGATGACGTGTGGACTCGAGGGATTCCATGAACCCTGATCTACATCGATCTACGATATATATGTCGATCCTCTAAATACTAGTGACGATAACACTCAAGAGTACCTACTAGGTAAGCAACTCCATACATGATTGAGCAGTTATGTTAGCCTTAAGAACAAGGCATATTCGCCAAGGATTTCATGACATAACTAGCTAGATTCTATTGGAATCTTGAAGGGCGATGAAGTCCCCAGAAAGAATAGTCTACTATGTTTACGTAGTAATCTGATGATAATATTGCACATTAGCCATGAAGTCCAACGTATGACCCCATGACCTTACCAAAGTCTTGTGCTTCGCCGCACCATAGACCTTTGCCAAGAAAGACAAGACGGTCATCCCAAGAAGTCCAACCGGCTGCTCCATAAATCCGGTAATATGATGCCGAATATAATCGGCGGTTAATGCATCAGAGGAAAGTGAGTCAATGCGACCTTCATGTAGATGTATCCAGTAGAGAGTAGAAAACCCTGGGTACTACCTGTAAACTACGTGTATAATCTCCCCTAACAGATTTAGCTGCAGAAACACGGTCAGAGCAGAGTGAACAAAGCAGCTGGCTATGCATTTCTCTCGGACATTTCGACATAACATGTTAAATTCCACCAGAGGCCACCACCGTTCGGTAGGTGTGCGCATTTCATCCTACTACCAAAATTCGCATCCACTGACTTGAAGGCTCTACTAGACGACCGACCTCCTTACTTTGCCGGTGGAACCTGAACGTAGATAAGAGCTTTCTACTAGATCATAGAATAATAGATAGCCCGGGGAATACGTTAGTTGATCATCGTGAGCGGTCTTCCGAACTACCATAGGCGGTAGACCAATACGCCATCCAAGCTCTTGTGTAGGCGCTCTAAACACATTAGTAGTCGCTGTTATCTACGTATACATCTGAGTTCGACCTATATTGGTTTTAAAATAACGGCCTCTACCCCATATACATAGTAAAGGACCTAGAGCTAGCTTTTAATACGGAGTACAGTCAGGAGACTTTCTCTCGAAATCCCGTTCAACACATAGAACACCTACGTTGTAAACCCTCCAGTGGCTAGAGAGAGGGAAAAGGATTATCAGCGGGACCTAGGTAGTTAGTAACTAACGGAATTTTGGTCTCTATATCAGTCTTTTGCGAAAGGCCGGTAATAGGCTAGACGGCCCTACCATCTGCGGCTTTTGGCCGTCCCTAAAAGAGCCTTCTTACATAGGGGGGGATCTCCTTAAAATCGTCTAGGCCACAAAAAGGAAAGTAGATGAGAGAAATGAAGAAAAGGGGAAAGAGGAAAGCAAAAAAAAAGCACCTCAGCCAAGACTCGAACTTGGAACTTCACGATTACCAGTGATCTTGTATAGGAGTCGTACGCGCTACCATTGCGCCACAGAGGCGATAATCTCATTTTTTGGTCATATCAGATAGTTACGGCCCGGTCGCAATGGCCAAATTAGGTATTATGAGAACATGTAAAATAAATGCTGTGGTCGAGTGTGGCCCACCGGGTGGTGGGATTGACACGATTAATGGCTATAGGTCTCTCTCAAGACCTAGATGTTCTAAGGGAGTGTTATCTCCGCTAGAAAGGTATAGGAAGTTGTTAGGGAAGGATGCCGAATTCTCTAGTATACATAATCTATAGAGTAGAACGATATCATTATAAACAATTCAAAAGATGGCAGTCGCCTCGAGCTAGAACTTCATAGTAGCAAATTCTCTAACAAAGAAAGAAGACCATAGTCCGAATTTGACAGTCTGTACGGACGAAACTACTAAGTAAAGACACCCACGATACTTTTCCAACGCTCCACCTACATACGTGTATGTAGGTAGTCACGTCACATAAGTATCCTGTAAGAAGATCGAGTAATTAACTTAACACCTTGTTTCTTAGCAAAAGAATATCAAGTTTGACAACAAGGATTCCACTGCAAGCAATTATCTGGTATGGAATCTGACCGGCCCATCAAATGGGGTGCGGCAAAAGACCGCTCGTAATTCTCAGGGAGTTTTAGGGACACCCTCAGCCGAGTTTCTGTTGGCCAAAAGGCCAACTAGACTATTCGCTTTACGAACAGCTTTGATCCCTTTATTTGAGTCTGAAAGCTAGGCCACTCGCAGGATCGCTTGGTAACGCGTTGATAGCAAAGCAGTTATGATGCCGTCCTAAGTTCACCTCAATACAAAGGTGAATCTTTCCGTTACCGATATGATTGATCACCTTAAGGGAAATAGATACGGCTGTAGCACACGGTGAGAGTTCGCTTTGGGTTCATCGTTGTTGACGATGTACTCGTCCTCCTTGTCTCAAAATTCGCCTTGCTCATCTGTCCATTTGAACAGTCTGCCTCGAGCAGTGATGCTATCCTTAATAACAAGGCATAATAGATAACTTAGGGATTCCGTGACATAACTAGCTAGAATCTTCAGGGCTATTGGTGTCTGAAAGGGGTCATGAAGTCCCTTTAGATAACATCTACTATGTAGTATTCCGATGTATGTATTCGAAGTGTAGATCTAATCCTCGCTTAGACAGGGATTCAAACGTATCATGACCCTACCCAAGGTGCCACGTTTCACCAATCCGTCCCAATGTTGCTCTTAATCACCGCCATTTCACCCTTACTGGGACAGAGGAACTTACCATCCTCCTGCACCCTACACAGTACCAACTCTGTGTTATTTAGCCAGTCGCGGGGGATGAAGAAGTGCCTCGTCACCGCAGTTTCCGACCCACGGGCGGATGGCAACCACAGCTGCGCAGTGCACACCCATAGAGCCTTGTCAAGAAAGACGAGACGGCCATCCGCGAGAAGTCCGACAGGTCGCTCCATGCACTCGGTAATACAAAGCGGGAGATGTACAGCATCCAGCCTAACAGAAAAGAGGGAGTCGATGGGTTCTCCGTATAGCACAGACATGTCCAGCAGCAGAAAGCGGGAAAGCCTGCCACTTGTGGTGTCCTCTGAGATGATTGCGAGTTGCATTTTCGGGTGATATGACTGTGCTAAAGCCTCCAATTTCGTAGATGGGGCGAGCTGCTGGAAGTCGAAGCTGTTGACAAGATTGTGCGACAGTGTATACTTAATCTCGAGGGTATCCCAAGATAGTGCGCTAACCCCGCTGACTGTGAAGCCCAGTAGGATATTCAAATCTGTTGGGTGGTTGACCCATTGTGCAGGCGAATCCGCCGGATCGATTACTATCCCAGCAATTATGCTGCTGTCTGCGATGGAGAGGACCTGAAGTCTCTCCGCACCGCAGACCAACAGTCTCTCGGAGCTGCCATCGAACATGATCTGTCTGATCTCGCCACGGCTGGTAGACTTTGTCTCAGCAAAAACTGTTTGCGTTGAAATTTTCTCCGGTAATGAGGACAAGTCGATGCGCTTGACCGTGATATACCCACCATACAAGCAGTACGCGATGTAGTCACCACCCTGGGCCAGGGCGCAGTGGACAATATCCATGAAGGTACACTTCGTAATGAGGTGTTTGCATTTGCTCTCCATGTCACAGATCTCAATTGTCCCATCATCTGTGGCATGCGCATATATATTCTGGTTCTTCAGGCAAGTTGCCACTGCTGTGATCGATGGCTTAGTGTCGGCATGTGTTTCGGACTTCGGCAATGGGATAACGGAGCCGCTTTTATCGTCTAGTTCCGAGACGTAGTTGTTCTCGTAACTATCCACGCTCTCGCTTTCTTCAGATGGGTCCATGCTGGTATCATTGAGCCCTATCAAACAATTTGGCTCCCATACATTACACCATGACCCTCGCAGATCATAGAGTCTGCGACTGTCCGGGCTAAATGCAATATTGGTGACCATAGAATCCGAAGTCAGCTTATACATCTGAACCATCTGGGAGTAGTCGTAAATCCTGACTGAGCCTTTAACGTCGCAGGTAGCGAATACGACACCATTGGGACAACACTGGATATCCGATGGCGTATAGCCTGACTCCCCTTTCGCCTCTTCATAGCTATCATCCATTGGGTCCCACTTGAAGATATTGCCATAATGATTGATTCCGAGAACTCGGCTACTGAATGGATGCCAGACCACACGGTTGACACCCGGCAAGGGGGTTGTGTTGGTTGTCTGCCCCTGTTTCGTTTTGTGCCTGCACCTAGCAATCACCTCCGGCGGGTCAATATTCCAAATGGTCAGAGGGAAGGCTCGATAGGCGACAGCAAGCTGTGTGCAGTCTGGATTGAAGTCCACCGACGATGGGGCATTGACAAACATCCCCTCCGGTACTGAGGTTTCCAGAAGAAGAGAAGGCGAATAGCTAAGCCAAGTTCGGGCTTCATTATTGAAGTCCAGTCGGTAGACACGATGAAAGTTAGTGGCAACTATGAGAAACGATTCGTCTTGTCCGAACGTCAAACGTTCCGGCCGTTGCTGGTAAGGGCTTTCGACCTTGGCGACGACAGTCCGGTCGCTTACTCTCCACACGTAGGTATTATCCAGACAATAGCAGGCTAGGAGCGAGCCAGAATTGCTAAAGGAGATGGAACATATCGGTTCGGCAGGATTGAAGCCAGAGTGCTCTTGAAAGATGACGTTACTCCACAGCCGAATCCTGCCCTTGGGTCGGCCGTTCGCAAGAGCAAGATACTTGGCCGACACTGCAATATGCAATGCAGAATCAGGACCATTTGACACTCGTGCAAGACAGTCACCCCAGTCTGCATTCGTTATACCAGAGACGGATATCGTAGCGGAAGACTTGCTTGCGTACTTCTGGTAAAGCATCGAGTTCTCTGGACTGAGGGGAGGAATATATTTGTAGATCGCATCGGGATCAGTAGTCAAATGAATCCCAAATTTTGCTGTCAGTCTCAGGAGGTCTACAGCCCACGTCTCTAGCAACAATAGTTCTGGCGAGCGACGTAGCGGTGGAGGCTTGATCGTGTCGAGCTTTCTTCGTTGCCGGACGAAGGTCAGGAGATGGGAGGATACTACCTCCAAAACCGAAAGATGCCCGTTCATAGCCAGGAATTGAATCCAAGGCAATGGGAAGTTCCTGCTGAAGAATTTAACAAGGATCTTAAGTACCCTGTCAGATTCAACAGACGAGCGATTCAGGTGGAGAGCCCAAGAAACGGATGAATATGAGACAAACATGGGAGTCTTACGCAGTCGAATTTTCGTTCTGAGGGAGAGATCGCAAAGAAAAGTTAGACATTGGAAGAGCAGCTCTTCGTTCACCTCGTACGCATCGAGGGAAAATGAAAGCTTGGTGCAACCTCCGAGATATTGTCGTGCCGTCTGGTGGACCAGCGCAACCTGATTGTTGGCGTTGATGACCACAAATTGACCACATATTTCGCCGATTGTGTGCCTCAGATCTATGATAGTGTCGAGCTCCGTCGCATAGGGCTCCATGAGCTCTTCAAGTCCAATGGGTCTGGTCGAGTACATGGCCCACGAAAGAAGTATTTTACAAAGAGTTCTGTTCTCCTCACCGTCTACCTTCGTAATAGACGCGGCCATCCCATGATAGAGCTTGTCCATCCCATCTGGTGTGGCACGTAGAATTTGTTTTACTTCTTCTTGACGATGGCAATTGACGACCATTTTGAGGATGAGACTGACCCACAGGAAATTGCCTTGCGAACGGTTCGTAATTTCTTCAATGGTTTCCTGTCTAAAATCCTCAAACTCATTGCCGGGGAGAAAGTACTCCATCTCATCTGTAGCCACGAGACGGATGTCTTTCAAGTTGTCAGCCAAAGCGACGTCTGTAATAGTAACTCGGCTCCTTGCTCTGTGGATGGCTCGATTGATGTTTGACAGTGGACGACTGAAGAAGAGGAGTCGGATACTATTCTGGGATGTGCTGATATTTGAGATGATATCGATAAAGGTTCTGCTCGATTCCGACTCATCCAACCCATCTACGACCCAATATAGCACCGAGCTGATGGCTGAAAGTCTAGAAGCGAAAATATTTTCGCCAAATTGTCCACGCTTCCGCTTTGTCAACATGCATGCCGGACTTGACGACTTCCATAAGTGATCGCCGAAATGACTGGTCTTCAACTGCAATCTGGTAGGCCACTGAGCAAAGCATATTACTCAGGGAACGCTTCTGAATGTCGCCATCCTTAAAGAACCAGTACGCACAGCTTTGTTGGCGCAGTTGAAGGGATTCGGTTACAAAGGAGCACTGAATCGATTTTCCACTCCCTGGAGGAGCATGTGCCCAGAGAATATGGGGAACATCTGAATCGAGCCAATTTTCAAATTCGGGCATTTGCAGGAGATGCTGACATGTTCCTGCCTTCCGCACGGATCGAAGCGAAACCAAGTCTTCTTCCGGTGGGCCGGTCACTCTCAACCACTTCCGGATTGTTTCTAAATCCCCCGTGTCATTCTCGTTTGTTTCCGAAAATCGGAATGCTTTGACGACGCTGCGCAGAGCGCCTCGCACCGACTTGTAATTTGGATCATTCCGACTGGTGAACTTCACCACGTCGTGGTGGTTGGCCATCAGAGGCTCTGGGGTCTCGTTATGATAGCCCAACAATGACGAATACTTTTTTAAGATCATCACGTTCATCGGCCCAACAGCCGTAGTGAGGGTCTCGTAGAACGAAAATATCTGCAACTTCCCTGCATGATGGCGAAATGTATCATTGAGATCGTCGATAGTAGTGCTGCCCTTCGTCAGCTCTCTAACATAATCCTTTGGAGAATGGCCGAAAATGGAGCTGGTGAGAACCCGGTTTAGGGACTCCGCAAGATCAGTTCCCCGGTGCGGAGTAGCCATGAAGAGAACAGCTTTGATGCTGGACGTGATCTTGCGGTACTGCTCGTTAAGATGCCCATGGATGACTGCCACTGGTGTTAGTAGGTGTACCAACGCAAGATCAATGGCTAAGGCTCCACAATATTGACCACATACAAGCTTTCTTGAAGACGAGACCTCCCATAGAGTGTGCGACAATAATGATGGGCACTTCGCCCATCTTGTCGTCACCATCGTCATCATATTTCATATGAAACAGCAGGTCATTAGCGAAATCGCCAATTGATAAGGATGCCTCCTCCTTCTTCGCGGCAAAGTTTGCGTTGTAGCCAAACGTCAAGATACGTGCTGTTGACAGGTCTGTTTCCTCTGACAACCACTTCTTGGGCCAGAGAAACTCCAAGTCCCGATTCTTGCACCATGTCCGTAGACTACTTCCCCCGAGTCCGTGTATGAACAGGATGTCCACGGTGCGGTATTTCGACTCTGGGGCGTGGAGAACCGTAAGGCCCATGGGGTCATCTCGGCGATCTTGCGAGCGGCGCCGTAGATGCTTCGGATATGTCGATGGAAACAGTTGGATATTCACATTAGAGATTTCACTGGGTTGCGATGTCCCTCTGGACGTGACCGAGGGCCCACAATCCTTGCACAACTCCCTTACATCCGAACTCCGTAGTCGACTACGGAGTGAGTGTTCCAAGGAAGATATCGGTGAACCCTGATTTTTCTGACTCTGAGATGTCGAGCTCGAGTGAACGCGATCATCCAGTTCATCCAGTCTGGGAGACTGGGCTGATAGTTTCGATTTAAGTCGTCTCCACTGTCCAGGCGAAGTTGAAGAGTGTCAGCAAGCCCCCGTCCATTGCGGAACGTTCGGCGCATGGGCCCGTCCGTTAGATGTAAAAATTGCGAAACCACTCCGGACAGGACGGATGAAGCACCTGGGCGCCGGCCTGTCGCTTCCCTTTGGAAATACTGGGGTATCCCAACGTACCATTTTGGCTTCTACCAGAGCCTCCAACGCGCTATGGGCACGAGCGAGAATTATATGGGTTGACGACGATTAATTGGAGAGCGGTTGGTAAGGATTGGTAGGTGCCAGGTGACAACCCAGAGGCTCTGCTGAGCGACGGGAAGGTGGCCTTGCAGCCTCTGCAATCCTAGCGCCATGGCAGTACTAAGTGTCTCAACCCGAGCGTGTAGACAACTCGGTGAATCATCTCTCTACACAAACGTTTGCTTTCCAGTGGATTGCAAATATGGATGGTATGCTCAGGTGGGGGTCACCTGCAAATGCGGGCACCCCTAGATGTGGCCCACTCGTGTCATCTTGGCCTATCAAATCCATACTCTGACCACTCAAGCGCCTACTCAAACAGCTACTGCTGTCCAGCCACATTTCGTGCGGTTTAGTCCAAGCTGGGATTTTCGACTAGTCAGATCGACGTGTTGGCTCTCTATTGGGCCCGGCTGATGCTGAGGCTTGCTCGCTTCGGTTCTTCTACCCCCCCTCACCATTCTTTGTTCTCTCCATATTAACTTGAGTGAGCAGACATACCAGCATGGGTGCAACTCATGACAGGGGATATAAGTTCCAGGTGATTCCTGGACCTTAACGATTATTCATGTTGCCCACTCTACCAGTACCAAGATGAGTTTGACACTAACTACTGCCCCTGGGGGCCTGGAAGCGATCCCCCTCTTTGTCCTCGATAGAGCTGTGATCAACGGTTTGGATGTCAGCCTATCTGCCAGAATAGCCGATTGCTAACTCGCCAACTTATAAGCTCTGGAGGGGCAGACAGTACTATCCGCAGAGCCAAGTGGTAATTCTGTCTGGGCATCCACGGCGAAGATCACGACGAAGAATAGTAGCGGGACGATACGTGCTTATTTTGTGAAGGTGAGTGGGCTTGGGCAAACATTGGGCTCAGGCCGATTTTACTAACATAAGGTCGTAGATTGTCAGGGGTGAACTCGCAGGCCCGCGCGTGTTGGGAGAGTTCTTGTCTATGTCTGAATTATACAACACTATGCCTTCCATTGCCCCTGTGCCAAGGGGATACGGAAAGTGCCTGGATTCTGACGGCCACTTCTTCATCTGCGATTATCTGGAGATTGATCACAGTATGCCTAACGAAGCGAAGCTGACGGAAAGTATTTCAGAGCTTCACCGTACCAGTGCATCTCCTACGGGCCAGTTTGGCTTCCACGTCACTACTTATGACGGTAAACTCCCGCTGGTGACAAAATGGGATAGCAACTGGGTCTCCTTTTACGGCAAGCTCCTAGAAGGAGTGTACAATCTCGACATGCAGGCAAACGGGCACTGGACAAGACGACGATGCCATGAAACTGGTTTTAGATAAAGTGGTACCCCGGCTTCTTGGTCGCTTGTATGAAAACAATCGGACTGTCAAACCGTGCTTGATCCATGGCGACCTATGGGGAGCAGAACATAGGCACAGACACACGCACGAAGAACATATATATTTTTGACGCGTGCGCGTACTATGCCCATCACGAGATGGCGATCGGGATGTGGCGGGTGAACCATCACCTCATGAACGAGCCGAAATACCGCGACTCGTATTTCGAGCTTTTCGAACCGGATGAACCAGTCGATGAGTACGATGACCGGAATCGTCTGTACAGTCTCAAGGAGAAGATTATGTATTCCGCGCATGTGCCCGATACCAAAGCAAGAGGTGAAGCATTGGATGACATGCTATATCTGATTGATAAGTATACCGTTGGCAACTAGGCTGTGCTCAGGTGGGTCGAGATTCTCGATCCGAACCTGACCCACTCTTGGGAAGCCCACCTGGGCATTGCCATATATGGATCTGTGCTTCATATTTTTCCTAATTAGGAAGTTACGTTCTTCATGAACCTGCTTTCTTAGTAGTATGATCACTCTCTGTCAGTATCAGAAGGATTCAACCCCTCAATTCCTACTTTCCTAAATTTACACTCGCGTCAAGGCCGAAGCAGCGTATCATTCCACTCATAGCCTGAAACAGGAATCCGATAGAGTGATATTATATCGTAGGTCAGCAGAAGAGTCCTTGTAGCTATTGGTCTAGACGCTAGTGGCGACCAGGGAACCCTGGCTGTTATATACTAGGTATTTTTGTTCTATTTGTGCCTTATGTAGTCCGTACCCCGCACCTGGGCATTCATGAATGTTTCCACGGATGGATTTCTACCTAGGCAGATAACTATGCAATTTACGGGAGATCACGTGGGGGTAATCACTGCAATGACCATAAAGCCAGCTCAAGGGCCGTTTAATCATGACCTGGAGATCCAAGAGACATATGCCACCACACAGAGAACAGCAGCTCCTCCTCATCAGGAGTCCTTGCCCTACTCCGCGTTCAGCCTCGCACAGAAAAGATGGACCATTGCCATTGTTGCTTTCGCCGGATGGTTCTCCTCTCTCAGCAGTTTCATCTACTTCCCAGCGATCCCTTCCATTGCCTCGGATCTAGATGTCTCCACTGAACGGATCAATCTGACTGTCACGGCCTACCTCGTCATGTCGGGCATCTTCCCTTCCATCGTGGGAAATGCTACCGACACACTCGGCCGGCGGCCTGTCTTCATCGTGACGCTAGCTCTGTACGTTGCAGCTAATATAGGCCTGGCACTACAGTCTTCTTTTGGCCTTCTCTTCTTTCTAAGAATGGTCCAGAGTGCGGGTATCTCAGGCTCATACTCTGTAACATATGGTGTCCTAGGTGATCTGTTTACTCCCTCTGAACGGGGCGGATATTCAGGAGTCGTATCCTTTTTCCTCAATACACCACCGAGTGTTGGGCCCGTGATCAGTGGATTGTTGATGTCGAGATGGGGCTGGAGATCAATATTTTGGTTTCTCGCCGCCATTTCGCCCTGTTGCCTCCTTGCAATTATACTATTCTTACCAGAGACGTCTAGACATGTCGTCGACGATGGTTCTGTCGAAACACGAGGAGTAAATCGAGTTCTATTTCCTTTTTTGTCGCCTTCCAAACTTACAGCCGAGCGGCAAATGCCTACCCGGAAAGCGCGCTCGTGCCAAATTCCTAAACCTTGGGCATTCCTGGCTCCTCTAAGCCGACCAGGTACTGCCGTTGTGATCGGATCTTTTGGAGTCTACTATACGTTATACACCTGTCTCCAAGCGTCCCTATCAACCTTATTTGTTCAAATATATCACATTTCAGGCTTAGTTTCAGGATTGACGTACCTTCCCTTTGGCGTCGCCTGCGCAATCAGTGCCTTCGCTTCTGGTACTACAGAGCTGCTCCTTACTTTCGATCTTAATGTCTTTGCTAATTGGATGTAGGGAAGTTGCTCGATATTGAATATCGATCGGCAGCCTCCAGGCACAAGATACCTGTGGACCAGAGCAAAGATCACAATCTTGCATCGTTTCCAGTCGAGGAAGCTCGTCTGCGAATCGTCAAATACTTTCTTGTCGTATGCTGTCTCCTGATAATTGGCTATGGTTGGTCTCTCCAGTACCGGGCCGTGAGTACATAACACCATGAGAACTGCTTACTTCTAGACAAAGCTGATAGTCAAAAGCATATGGCGGTGCCTCTAGTTCTTCAATTCTTTATCGGACTTACCATACAGGTCTTCTTTACCTCCGCGAGCATTCTTCTCGTCGACCTTCATCCTGAAGGCCCCGCCACGACCCAGGCGGCGAATAATTTTGTACGATGTGAAATGTCGGCAGGCATGCTTGCTCTACTGGACTTGCTTCTTGTGAAACTTGGTCCGGGGTGGTGTTTTGTTCTCCTTGCAGCCCTTGTCCTTGTCACTATACCACTGCTATATCTTTTAGAAAGGAGAGGTATGTTATGGCAACAGAAGAGTTCCAGTTCAACAATGACTGGTCCTGTTGAGGAAGCGGAACTGGGAGAAGAGAACAGTGAATTAGAGAAGAGACTACATTCCTAAACAGTCATAAATTCGATCTCAGAGAGCGACCTTCTGACGGGATGTCCTGATGCGGTCATTTGCATGGCTGATATAATACTGACTACCTACCTACCTACCTAGGTACCTGCGCAGTGGGTATGTATGTATTCATGGCTGTGGGCAATTAGCTCCTACATATGTACTTATTCCTAGAAAGACCTGGAAGTAATTACCACGGATATCCCATTACTCTCTTTGTTTGGATCTTATGCTGCTGGACTTGGACTAATGCATCTACATAGGTGGAATACTTGACACTCATAAAAAGATATATTTTCTGAACTCGGTTTAAGTGTAGATAGGCACATACTCGGTACATATGCATATATTCATTCATCTTGACAGGGTTTCTACGGAGGGGTTATATTCAAGCAATCACCACTACTATTTCCAGATTTTGTCATTATTTAATATAAACTCATGATTTACTTCATTTGATAAATTCCACCTTCAGCGCCTTAACTCCTCCTTTCCCTCTAGAAATCACACTAGGTCTACAGCTTCCAATCACCTTCAGCCATCAAAGCCTCACCGAGCATCTTGCTGACCCTCAAGAGACGATAATCATGAAAGCTGGGGGCCACAAGAGATATGCCGACAGGCATGCCATTCACACCTACGAACGCAGGTATCTGAACGACTGGCATTTGGAATCCCTGTTGTGGAGTTAGTGAAAGATGAAACAAATACCAATGCAAAGAAAAGAAAAGACTTGCCGCCCACAGAGTATTGAAAGTTGCAGTTCCCACATCTCCAAGTCCGAGGGGTGCTTCGTCCACAGCACTAGGCGCAAGAATGACTGAGTAGTCCTCAGCTAGCTTCCTCACCATGGCGCGCATTTTAGCGTATGTATCAAAGACTTTCATCCTCTGCTTCTTCTCCTTCCTGGTGTACTTGGCGTCAAGGCCTCCATTTTCCGCGTCGACACTTGCCTTGCCTACTAGACCTTTCCTGATAAAGTCGCGCATTCTAGCGTATGTATCGAAAACTTTCATCCTCTCCTTCTCGGTGTAGTTGTCGTCAATTTCGACTAGGCTTCGGATTTCCTCGTCGCGTCTGCATGCTCGACGGTTAATGGTCCTGGATATGTGCGCTTTGCCACTGACGACCACTTTCTGCACTCTGTCCAGACCAACCAGGTCCTTGGCCTCGGGTGGGAGCGAGACTTCTGCAACCTGTGCACCCCTGTTTCGGAGAATAGCGGCGGCCTTGTCCATGGCTGCTGCAGTGCTAGGTCCAGCCTGAGGCCACATTGGAGTCTTCAACAAAGCAACCGAGAGCCCTTCCAGCCCTTTCAGCGGGATATGTGTAGGGGCACCACCATCTGGGATACGTGTAAGGAGACCACCGTCTGGGATCACTACACTACCATCTAGGATATGAAAAACATCGGCAAGTAGCTGTAGATCTTCAACGCTACGAGCAAAGAACCCCAGGGCATCAATATAAGCAAAGAACTCATGGGCGTCAACTGTAGGTGCGTCTCCCTTTGGCCCTTCCATTGGAAACCCGAGGTAGGTTGGCTTCATAGCAAAGACTCCAGTGAAAGCTGCGGGGCGAATAATACCACCAGCAATCTGTCCTCCAAGGCTGAGCGGGACTTGGTAGTCGGCTACCGCTGCGGCAGACCCGCACGAGGAACCACCTGGGGTACGAGTGGGATCATGGGGATTAGCGGTGTCTGATCCTGAGTTTGCTACGGGGAACTCCGTCGGGGTAGTCCTGCCTGCAGAGGAGATTAGAATATAAAGAGTGGAAGAGTATTGGAATCGACGAACCGATGATGAGAGCCCCTGCAGCTCGTAGAATTGCAACTTGATCCTGGCCTGCCTGAGGTCCCCCACATGTGGGAAAGCCAGGCTGTGTTGGCATACCTAGGGACCCATGAGCGGTGCCAGTGGTCACAGAAAGCGGTATACTATACAATTTGTAACGATGATGCCTACGATGCCTATCGCTAGTCCATGCAGCGGTCCTCTCTGGTCTTGGGGGATCTGATCTAGCTCTCGAGCTTGATTGAGCACAAATGCGTGATCTGATGCAAAGTCAACAGATATTTTCGTTTGTATGGCCTGGGAATGGAAAAGCTTACCTAGAAATGCCCACGCTTTGACAGTGTCATTCCGCTCCTCGATGCGTCCCAAGAGAGAACGGGCGTACTCTTCAACTGTGATAGTGTTATTTTGGAGCATATCCCGCACTTGAGTGGCGGTCAAGAGGTGCAGATTTTCCATGATAGTCGAGATAGTCGGATATCAGACGGTGACAGCCAGGGGAGGTCAGAAGAATGGACTCAAGCTAGAGAAATCGCGCGACTAAATACAGTGCGAAACAAAGGGAACCCCGATAGGAACTGCATAGCGGTGTAAATATGAAAGGAAAACACGGAGTTCCGAGGTGGATGTTTCATGGTCACTTGTTTCGGTCTCGAGGTCTTTTCACAAGGCACCATTGGCCAGCGACAGCATGCTCTGGGATATTGCGGATATGCTACAAGCCGCCGAAATTTGAGTTCCATCATCAAAGAAGGGCAGAAATGGAACAAAGGAAGTGGGGGAAAACGAGTGTTGTCGCACCGGTAACTAATCAAAACACAGTGACTAACCTTGGAATTCGCACACCATGCCCAGAAGCTCTACAGCTCTTTGATTGTCCCTAATCCATTCTAAAAAGCAGATAACAATCCATACTCTTCGTCTATATTGGTTGAGGAAAAGGTACCAGAAGTTGAATTTGATCCTCAAGAGTATAAATCATAAAAGGAGAGTAACTAGAACTGGCGAGTTAGGACTTTCGGGACCTGTTCTGAACATCAGAAAATCAAGGAATCCTTAGGACAGAATGGGAGATACAGTCTCCATACCTTTAGTATTTGGACATTGGTACAAGAGAGATTTACTCCTGACGACTACATGTAGCCTGGACCTATCAACTTTGGTAGAAGAGCGGCCTAACATGATAGTCCGTAGAAGGGCCCCAGGGTCGGCGGTGAGACGGCAGCTTTATTCCTATAAGAACCAAGAACCCCCTTGGTCTCCTACATCCAGGCCAATCCATCGTTTGCCTCGAGTTTTTGAGGCCGCAACTATTTTCTATCTAGTCTCGGCTAGGCAAACAGACCTCAATGAACTCCTTCTCGTTTGCACTCGGTCGCAGGTTATGGCGCCAAAAACAATCACCCTTTCGATCTATCAGATCATCGGGTTTCACGACCCTTGACCCAACCAAGAAGATCGAAGAGGAGCGGATGCCTTCTCATAAGGGAAACGGCTTCTATCCTGTTCAACTAGGAGATAGCTTCGATGCCAGATACCAAGTTATCAACAAGTTGGGCTTTGGAGCGAACTCAACTGTTTGGTTTTGCCGCGATGTCCAGTAAATTGAAATTGCATTCCCCGTACGCATTCGACTTTGTGCTGACTTGAACATCGGCATCATCGCTATATCGCCCTAAAGCTCTACATTCATAACTTGAGGGTGAATCGAGAGGTCGAAGTTCTAAAGCACCTTTCCACAATGAAATCGAAGCACATTAGGAGTGGTCTTGTTCGTACTATGCTTGATGCTTTCGAAATAGAAGGACCCAAGGGCAAAAATCAACGCATTGTCTTCGAACCGCTTTTGACCAGTGTGTCGCATTTCAGGCGACCATGGATCCACCAAGTTTGACCGAAGGTTTGTTGAAAGCACTGTTGGAACAACTATTGCTCGCCTTAGACTTTCTTCATTCTGAGGCCGAGGCTATTCACACCGGCAAGTTCCTTCCCCTTTCCATCACGCCCTCCTAAGTCATCACGTGGTTTTGAAGTGTTAATCTTTTATGTTATATGTATAGATATTCAGGCAAAGAATATCATGATTGGCACTAGTGACAGTTCGATTTTTACCGACTGGGAGAAATTGGAACGGGGGAAGCCATGCCCCCGCAAAGTTGTTGATGGACACACTATCTACGAATCTCAATCTTTCAGCCGTCGAGACAAGGCCCAGAGCAAATACGGGCTGCCGGTCCTTTCCGATTTCGGTGAAGCTCGAATTGGGAAAGTACACTGTGGCCTCATCCAACCGGATTTATACAGAGCCTCTGAGGTCATACTTGGGATAGAGTGGGCATCAAAAGTCGACATCTGGAATGTGGGAACACTGGTAAGCGTGTCCTGCTTGACTGGATAGCATGTGAAAATTCCCGCAAATCAATGCTAATAGATGAATTATTAGGTATGGGATTTATTTGAAGATGGTCAATTATTCGATGGTAGAGGGCCCGACAAACAGCATTCGGACGGACATCTAGCTGAAATGACAGCAATTCTCGGCCCTCCGCCGGAATGTTTTCCGCGGAAGTCCCCAAACAGTCAAGAATATTGGGATCAATCTGGTATTTCAGTCCCCAATTTTGCCTACGTGGTTATTCCAGGCATATTTAACACAAACATAGGTCAATGGAGGGGACAACCAAGTATCCCTGACATCTCGCTAGAAGATCTGGAGGACTACCTTGAAGGTGAAAACAAGGATCTTTTCCTACAGTTCATGAGAAAAATGCTGCAGTGGGATCCAGATGACAGACAAAGTGCTTCTGATCTTCTAAGCGACCCTTGGCTTAATAGCCCTTAAAAGGCCGTCTAAACTTTGGTATGTGTGCAGTTGACAAACATTTGATGCATGTAATCCAATTTTCTCTGTATTCTACATTTGATTCGTTCTCAAGCATATAGTCGGACAAGATATCTCACTCAGAACTATATAAAACGTCACTTGTAATATGTTGAGTGAAGCAAGAATATTTTGACTGAACATGTAGTCGATAAAGAACGTCAACCTTGGAACCTTGAAATGCGGGACTTGGAAGAGTGGGGCTCGCAGTATAACCAATCAAACAATCCTTGGTGGGGCTGATCGAAGCTTGCAGGGCCACGTTAGTTTTTCCGAGCAATGTATTATCGTTCACTGAGATGTAATTCTCTCTCTAAAATGACAAAACGGACAATGTAATAGACATTCTGACAGAGAATAAAACCCCACATTTGTATAGTGCAAGATCGGGAAGAAAACAAGTTTAGTAAGCCATCTTCGGCGTTTGTATATACCGCTCGGCGTTTGATCGCCACGGATGAGACTTATATAACCAGGGTCAAACCCGGTGTTTGACTGATTCTGAAAAATCCAACTTTAAAACCATCACAATGTCAAGATTGACCGCCTTGAAAGAACACCTCCCATGGATTCAAACACCCTTCATAATCAACGCGCCAATGAGCGGTATCGCCAAAAGCAAACTAGCCACCGCCGTGACCAAGGCCGGAGGTCTTGGTCAAATCGGCTATCTAGACAATCTACACGAACTCGCAAACGAGCTCGAGACAGCCAAACAGTCTCTCCTTGAAGCCGAATTCGATATAACAAAAACTCTTCCCCATCGGTCTCGGTGTTATAGTCTTTGGATCACCGCTACAGGCATGGTTGACATTATTCGCAAATTACAAGCCGGCTGTGGCTTGGCTTTCCTTTGCCGATACTGACGAGCTACAAGAATGGACGGAAGGCATTCGGCGCTGCTCGCCCGACACTCGTGTTTGGGTCCAGTTGGGGAGCGTGCGTGCTGCTGTTGATGTGGCCCAGGCCTGTCGGCCTGATGCTCTTGTTTTACAGGGTGTTGATGCCGGAGGCCATGGGCATGAGAATGGGGCTAGCATTGTCTCGCTTATTCCGGAGGTTGCTGATGCTCTAAGTAATCTTGGAATTGATGATTTGCCTCTCATTGCAGCTGGGGGGGATTGTCGATGGGAGGGGGTGTGCTTCTGCATTGGCGCTTGGGGCTTCTGGAGTTGTTATGGGGACTCGGTTCCTTGCTGCGAAAGAGGCTTGCGTTCCGGCTATTTACCGGAATGCGATCTTTGAGGCGTCAGATGGCGGAGAGACGACGGCGAGATCTAGAGTTTTTGACGAGATCTGGGGGCCGAACTTTTGGCCAAAGGCATATGATGGTCGGTGTTTGAAGAACAAGGTATATGAGCAGCATAGAAGTGGTGTCAGTATCAACAAGATTAGGGCGTGGCTTTCCAGCGCCATGAATGGTCCAGCAGCTGAGAACTTAGAAACGAAAGATATGGGGAGTATCTGGGCTGGCACGGGAGTTGGTTTGGTCAAGAAGCAAGACAACGCCGAGGTCATTGTTCAAGAAGTGAGAAGCAATACTCGCAGTCACTTGGAAAGGGCATATCTACACATGGGTCAGATGACCTGAAAAGAAAAGTAAAAGAAGCAATTTCCTGATTGGCCCTAGTTTTCCACCGAGAATCTCTTCGCGGCAGAATAGATGGTTTTGCATAATCTTCTAATCCACCAATGGTATATTGGAAGGATGCGCAATTGACTAAATGCGAAAGACGCTTAACTAATATGTATCCGATCACGCCACATACTGCATCCCACATACTAATAAAGAAATAAGCAATCTTATAGAAGAGTCAATAATCCTATGATTGTAAAAATGCGCGCTTCCATCAACCGCCTAGCGAGCCTAGGTCCATATGTAAATGTTGTGATCCAGCAGATTTTGGCATCGAAGTGTGTAAAAGATGTAAAGTCTGATAGCACATACTTGCTCTATCACTCATGTCACGTAAGATCATAAATATTCACCCCCTGAATTGCTGCAGAGTTGTGGCGTTACCAGCATTACCGAAGATGAAGGATCTCGAGGATGTCATGACGGGCAAAGAAAGACCGGTTCCATTTCCCAAAGACATCTATACCGGGAAACCTGTTAGTTTGGCAAATAAAGAAATCAATGTCGCAGACTTGGTAGAACTTACACATGGGAATGCTCAACAGGCAGATGCCGACTTGGATGCTACCGATGACAATCATGGTATGCTTGATGCCCCCGTGGGCAAACCATTTATAGGCGAAGAATGTCAGAACAAAGCTAAACATGTTTTTGAAAACCAGCATGCAGGTAAACGCCTCGATGGCCATCTCGCCTAGTACTGTCAGCAATAACTTCCACACAAGGTTTGGTAATCCACATACGATGGGCATCGACAATATAGAGTGAAGCAGCGACCGCCCCCATCACCATGCCGACGATCAAGAATGCAAAGAAGACGTCTGGCAGTAGCCAGCCATAGTGCATCACATCGTCTGCAGTCCATCCGAACCCGTAAAGCCCGATGCCGCAGAAAATGAGTTGGGGGATCACCAAGAGGATCCGGAACTCAGGCTCGTATTTGCCGTGGTTGAGCCGGATCATTAACTTGTTAATAGAATCAGAAAGCAGGCCAGACAGAATAAGGCCCACAATGGAACCTATAAAGGCACCTGTGTAAAGATATCCGGTCTTGTCTTCCTCGAACCACATGGGAGGTCCGAGAAACACAATTGCTAGAACTACACCGACGAATACCGCCCATCCGATCACAGCGCCTTGGATCAGACAAGCCTAGAAGTTTATCAGTGAGTGAATTTGAATACGAAGTGGGTTGCTTACCCAGAAGATTCCGGGATGAAAGAACAACGGGAATGGACGAAGGAGCAGCTTGAAGAAGCTCTCATCTGTCTTCCGCCCATTGAAAAGCCTGAGTGATTGAGCGAAGGAATCTTTCTCGGGGACTGTTGTCGCCGCTTCGGTCTTTGAACTTTCGTTGGGACCTGGTCTAAGCTCCTTGGTATCGTCATTGGAAACGCCGCTGAGTGAAACATGAGACTCCATGGACTCGCCGTGCCCACCGCTTCGCTTAAAGTCGGTGTTCAGGTAATCCGAGCGTCGGAAAGCAGTTTCAGGCACGAAAAAGAACATCAGCGGTAATGAAGCACCGAGGAAAATTGCCACAAAGTAGAAAGACCACTGCCAACCCATGGACTTGGTGATTTTGCCGACCACAACAGGAGTCAGGAAGGCAGCACCAAACAGTGCAACGTTGGATACAGCCATCCGCTTTCCTCGTTCCTGTATGGTCTTTATCAGTCCCTCATACCTTAAATCTGCAGGGAAACGAAGGCCCAACTCACATGAACAAAATAAAGATCTCCAACACAGGCATTGACCAACGCCTCGAATGGCGCCAATGCGACACCCTGGAATATCCGTGCCCATATGAGACTATTATGGTTCTTGCCACTAACCCCGGCCCAGATACAGCTGATAACCATCAAGACATGCCCGATCAGGAACAGATGACGTTTACCCCAGACTCGAGCCGTTGGCACAATGAGAATGCCTGCCACACCGACACCGCATAGATGATATCCAGTCAAGAGGGCGGCTGCTGTGAAAGTAATTTCCTCATAATCTGCGATGGTGACTGTATTTGCGGCTAGAATGGAGCTTAGGGTTGTGCAGAGGATGGTTACGAAGGAGAGGATGGCAAGAATGAGATCGCGTCGCCATAACGGCCAATTCTAATGAGACCGTTTGGGTCAGCGCTTGTGTGCTTGTGGAACCAAGTCTTGGAGTCCGTTGCTCTCTGGAACATACCAATGGGTCGTTTGGGTCATCGCTCGGCTGCGGGACTAGGATAATCGGCTGCTTGCCCGACCAGTCGCATTTTAAGCCTGAAGCACCTGGGGTCTGCTCGCTCGCATCGCTGTCTTGTTCGTAGATATCGGAGGTGCCTGGAGGTTTGAAGTTGTGAGCAACACTGGATTTGATCGCGTCTGGGCGGGTAAGGCTAGGGGAATCTTACCTGGGACATGCGCGAGCTTCTTATCTTCCAGTACTCCAAGACCCATGATCGCAGGAAGCTAAGGTCGCGACGCTTGTAGCCCTGGAAATAATGCAGGGGTTTAAAAGAGGAAAGCAAAGTGAGGAGGGGTACAGAGTATCAAACTAACTCTCGACCCTCCAAGAAGGAAGCTACGTGGAAAAGTTTGTCGGGGACCAATAGGGATAAATAGTAGACATGGATAAAAATGAAGAGTTCAACATTTAGGACTATATTATAGGACTAAATATTAGGACTAACCTTAGGAAAGATAAGCAGCTCGGTCGATATGTACTTTAAGGCCCGAGTGTGGGCGTAACCCGCCTTGCAGCGTCATTGTTTTGAATGTTTTGAATGTGATGGGGCAAATTGGAAATGCTTGTCTAATGATACAATATACTGCCTACATTCAAGGCTCCATTTAAGGCTGTCCTTAAGCCAACCACAGACCTTTTATAATTTAGTAGTGGACAGGACGGGTCGAGTTGACGCGGGGAAAGCTGAGCTGCGTACGTAGGTACGGACGAGTTGCCCAGGTAAGACTGGATCGGCACATCCAAGCTTGGACCGAGGCATCACATTCGGGCTTGAGCGTTGATCCAATATTTGGCCGAGATGCAGGTGGATCTCTGTAAGGAACGAAATAACTTGAAAAGAAGTCGTTTTGCTTTTGTAGCACGCTGGCTCAAACCCCCTTTGACGTCGAAATCAGGGACTGGCCCACTGTGGAGGGTGCAAAACCACTAGTGCTGACCCGGGGGCTTGCATATTTCCCATTTGAACCTTGCGATCGGTATGGAGTGTAAATCGTACTACCCGAATGATCGTAGAATAGACAGAGGGTGTGAGAGTGAACTATTGTAATAAACAAGGCGATGGGAGAGGTCTGTACTTGGAATATAATTGGGAAACAAATGCCACAGCCCAAACATAAACATCCCCAGCTGCACCCAGAAGTCCAGGTAATGTTACAACTGAAATACCAATACATTTTGATGTCAGCATTGGAAACGTCCACGGGTCCCTGGAATGGAGACATATCAATTGGCTCTGCAGCAACGGCCCCTGGCCCAGGCCCCAATACCGTAGCCTTGTTTTTAAAAGATGTCTTTGCCTTTCAGAACACGCATAAATACAGAAGAGAAGGAACTTGACATCGGGCATTACTGTTAGCACGTGACCGATAAGCATCATGTGACAGGTCATGTGATGATCAGCGTCACATCATCAATGGGCTCCAGAGCTAGACCCCAAGTTGGGAGGCGCATTATCTCCACAGCAGTGACGACGTGATCGCGTTCCATATTGGAGTCGAAACCTCGTCCTTGAATAGCTATACCCCGCATCATTTCCAGATTCCAACCACCGGGCCGACGCTCCCCCACCTAAGACTACTCCGCAGCGAGCTCGCGAAGCGCGAAGCATTTACGCGAAACCAATCTCCACTGCAAACAATCCAGCCCAGTTTTAATCATGTCGTCAGTCTCTCCTTCGAAGGAACACGAACTTGACCCAGAGGCGCAATCGGGAGAAGAGCAAGATCACCTAGACAAAGATCACCACGACGCGCAGGGACACCAAGGCGAGTTTGAGGTGAAGGAGCAGGATCGGTGGCTTCCGATTGCCAATGTGGCTCGTATCATGAAGCTTGCCCTTCCGGACAACGCGAAGATCGCAAAAGAAGCCAAGGAATGCATGCAGGAGTGTGTGAGCGAGTACATCTCATTTATCACGAGTGAAGCCTCGGAGAAATGCCAGCAGGAGAAGCGCAAAACAGTCAACGGCGAAGACATCTTATTCGCCATGACCTCGCTTGGATTTGAGAATTACGCTGAGGCACTCAAGATCTACCTATCCAAGTACCGTGAAACCCAGTCCGCCCGCGGCGACAATCAGAGACCCCCAAGCGCTGGCTATGGAGCTGGAGGGCCTGTTGGTGGTTCGAGTGCCGCTGGACCTGGACTAGCTCGTCCAACAGGCTTCCCCAATGCTGAAGGCACAAACCCTATGTCGAACCTCAACCTTGACCCGTCCGAGCAAGACGCCTCTGCCTACGGCTATCCGCCCATAGTTGGCCAGCCTCACAACGGCGCCGGCGGCGAGTCGTACTAGTGCATGATGTGAAAGGGTGGACTGAATGACCTTGCGGTTAGTTTGAATATTGGCTGCATGTCCTGGAGATCACCGACGATATTGATTTTAATGGAAGTCTGAGATGTTTCAGCTGGGGGTCTCCGACCTCAGCAATGTCATGAGATGGCAGTCTTGAGTTCACATACATCAGCCTAAGATAACTCGAAGAAACGCCATAATTAATGCCTAACTGAAATCCTCCATCTAGTTAACTTCAAGATTAGATCCCCACGTACTACGAATAACCTTGGAATACCCTTTTAAGTGTCAACAAAATAGAACTCACTTATTATATAGTGGTAAATTCGGAATCAAATCTTTCGCCAAAGGCAATACATCCCTTTATGTGATACTATCCGAAGATGTTCGGTGTTGCCAATATTTTCCCGGCAAGACACACTCAATACCATGCTAGTGGGGCATCTTTGATTTCTATAATATCCATCTACACTGGCCAGTGGAGGGAGAGATAGGCGTGGGGTACCCGCCGTGTAAAATACCCAGGGGTTCTGATATTTTAATATCCAATCATTGAAAAATACCTCGAGACCGAATTTTGTGGAGAACCACATCACATGTAAAAAGGGTCTGGAAGTTTTGCGGGGAAAAGGTACCGTTGATCTGCGTATTGGTGTATTTTTGACCCATCTATTGGGGTATTACCACGACCTGGTGACCTCGAGAACAAAACCTCTCACATTTCCTCCCGGCTGATAGCTCACTTCATCCAACAAACCTCATACCTGCAATTATGAAGTTCACCATTACTTTCGCCCTGGCAGCTCTGCTGAGCACTGCCGCTGCTCAAGGTCTGGGTGATCTGCCCGACTGCTCGGTATGTGTCTATAGTCAACATACAACTCTGCTAAATGTGCCGCCTGCTAAAACAACCCATTGCATAGAAAACCTGCGCTACAGGTTCAATCCCCGATAACTGCGGCATTGATTTCAAGTGCATCTGCGAGGCCAAGTCCTTCCTGGACGATGTCGCCTGCTGCATCGCTGATAAATGCTCTGAGGCTGACCAGGAAAGTATGTTCTCCTCCTTCCCCGCCCTCCCCAATTGAGTATACGGAAGCGGGATTATTCCAAACGACTACGTGGAATGGACAGCGGAACATTACAATGGGCTGATACGTTATTCGTCAGCTACCATCAAGGTCGCCAAGTCAATCTGTGCCCGGGGTGGTGTGACTGATCTGCCCAGCGAGGTTGTCTGCTCAAGCAAGTCGGGTTCCAGCTCTGGCACCTCCACCAGCGATAGCTCCAGCTCGACCGAGACTGGAAACAAGTCTAGCACTGAGACCTCGGATGCGACTACTGTGACGGGCACCAATGCTTCTGCCTCGGCCTCGAGTAGCGCCTCGTCCGCCTCTGCTGCCGCAACTAGTACCGGTGTTGCTGCGCTTACCCACAAGGATTCTTCGCTCGTGGCCGCTGCTGGTGCTGCAGCTGCATTCGCCATTCTGGTCTAGAATGAAGCATGCTGGGTTATTTCAGGGGAGATAGTATGTTTATCAACGTTGAAATGTCGTCATGACGATGGAATGAATGGAAACTGGAAACACGAGAACCCGCCTGAGGATGCACCTGTGTCTTATTTTATCCACGATGTAGTTTTAATTGATCGGGTACACGGTGTCTAAATACCATAGCTTTTCAATGGCGAAGGGATATTTCTAGTAATACACTCATAGAAAGAGATGCCAAGGAACCGTGAAAGTGCTCACATTTCACGGGTATCCTCCAGCAGCTTGGTCAGGCGTTCCTGGCGCTCCTCGCGGAGGGTGGAGAAAGTCTGTAGTGGCACATTAGCTCGGGAAACAGCGAACAGGGTAAATCCTGGCCGATTGATAGGATTCACACTTACCCAGAACCAAAACATCATTTCGAAGAAAGCAAAGCTGAAGACAACGCGGTTCTTCAAGCGATCCAGGCCTCCAATAGCCGCAGCGCTTGTATAAGACGAGGCCAGGTGGTCACCTTTGCCTTGGTAGATAAAGAACGCAATTGCAGCATACATGGCAAAGCGACAGGCAGCAACAGCGATCCACACACTCCAGTAAATCGTCAAAGACTTGGTGATATATTCAGGCAAACTCTGTAGAACCTGCAGATCCTCGGCGGGGAGGTTACCATTTCGCAAGGGCCGGATGTAGGGGAGCGCTTCATCGAGAGCTTCGTGGAAGGGGATGTTGGAGAGCAGGACGAGGTCGACAAGGGATTCGATGAAGATGAGTATGGCACAAAAGGTGAAGGGGGATTGTTGCGGGCTTGACAGGGATGGAAAGTCCTGTAGCATAGGTGTTAGCAGTCAGTTAGACATAGGTATATTCATTGCCAATATGATAGGAATGGACTTGTGAATCGGGGATGTTTCGAGGGCATACAATCTTCAAGGCTTCTCCCATCATAAACACCAGATCGGAGTCTGTGATCACCTCCGGGTTCTTGACCAGATAGCCGGCGATCACAACCAGAAAAACGGCATGTGCCTGGATAAGGGTCTTGGATGAAATTAAAACCATGATGGACGAGTCACAATGGCACGCGTTTGTGGACGAGAGGAAGTTCTGAAAGTCAACAGACGGAGATAACTTGGAGACATGGTCCGAGTGTTCTTTGGCCGCAACACATGTGGGGGAAAAGCAGTTCCATTCGAGATTTCCCCCACCAACTCAACAACTACAATGATTGGATCTTATTTACGACTTGATGCATGTTGATTGAAGTGCGTGACTTACTGGTGAAAGATTGCCCAATTCTCGTCATACTACTTAGTGGTCCAACCATCGATCATCCTCTGCAATGACCGACCAAAACCCGACCTTCAACACAGAACGCCATGTCAAATACTACCTCCGTTGCTTGAAAACCTTCCTCCCGTCCGCCTATACTTCCAATGACTCTAATCGCATGCTCCTCGGCTACCTGACCCTCTCAGGATTGGACGTGCTCGGCGTTCTCCAGAGCAAAACCACACCGGAAGAAAGACAAGGGTACATTGACTGGCTCTACCACTGCCAGGTGCCCTCAGGCGGTTTCCGTGGCTTCCCAGGCACAGACTTTGGGCCAAGAAAGCGAAATAAGGATAATGAAGCTTGGGATCCAGCTAATGTCCCCGCGACATTCTTTGCGCTAGTCAACTTGCTCATCCTCGGGGATGACCTGTCGCGTGTCAAGCGACGGGAGTGTCTTGAGTGGCTTCCTAAAGTCCAACGCGCTGATGGAAGCTTCGGTGAGCTTGTTGGTCCCGAGGGGAGTGTAGGGGGACCTCGCGATCTACGATACTGCTGTTGTGCTGCCGGCATACGGTATGTCCTGCGCGGGCGGAGTGAGACGGGGCTCGAGGGTGTACCGGATATTGATGTGCTGGGTTTTATTTCTTTTATTGAGACGTGCCAGGTACGTGGGGATCGTGAGGTTATGTCCGCAATTGGGACACTAACGCAGTCTAACGAATCAGACATACGACGGTGGCATGGCTGAGTCTCCTTTCTGCGAATCGCATAGTTCGTGTCTCCCTTTCCGCCACATGAACCTTCTGACAACTGATAGGTGGACACACGTATTGCGCGGTCGGGTCTCTGGACTTCTTGCGCCGGACATCTAATGATCTGAAACCACTGCCCCTACTATCGGTAGGCTCCAATCAATTCGAGGCTTTGATTACATGGCTGGCTTCAAGGCAAACAGCCCAACTGGAAGAACCCGAGGAAGATGAAGATGAGAAACAGCGTGAAGTGACAGATACGGGATCTCTCGACGATAGGGTTCGCGGGTTACCCAATGTTCAACCCATCGGGGCCGACACAATATCATGCGCCGGTTTCAATGGCCGATGCAATAAATATGCAGACACATGCTATTCGTTCTGGAACGGGGCTACACTAATGGTATGCGCACCCATGGCTGGTGGTGATTGTATACTAACGCGGATGTCAGATGCTGGACCAGTATTCCGTGGTCGATGAAGTTCGCAATCGTCGATACTTGCTCGAAAAGACCCAACATCTTGTCGGTGGGTTTGGGAAGGGGCCCGGGGATCCTCCTGGTAAGGTGATAGCATGCGTATATCGAGACTGCGTTGCTGACCAATTGTATAGATCTTCTTCATTCATACTTTGGCATGGTGTCTCTGGCTTTCCAGGGTGAGGCGGGACTTAGCCCCGTTGATCCCACAATGGGTTCTAGTGCACGCACAGTCCGACATCTTGAATCGCTGCCTTGGTGGCAATCATGAAGTATATAATACCCGTGCATGTAATATGACGATGGTTGTTCAGCCATTCCACCAATTGACTCATGTCAGCACGCATCAGCCAATAGGTGCAGTCGACTAAATTAATTGGGCGTCGGTGTGCATCGTACATCGTACGTTGTACATGCACCGTCCACAAGCAAGGGTTGGATCTTAGGCAGTAAGGAAGTAGTAACAACGCATTTATCTCCTGCCTACAATTCAAGATTGTGGCGATCATGGTCATTTTATGGTTTCAGGGCTATAGTCGAAGTCTAGCAGAGCCAAGTGAGTGATGCACATCCATGCCTATATAGGTACACAGGCTTGCTGACTATTATGGACATTATCAGGAGATTCTAGATAGTAGCAAAGTCCGGAGCACATAATTTATCTTTAATATATAATGTCTGATGTATATTGTACACAGAGATAATAATAGAAGACCCCAAGGAAAAAAAAGGAGAGCCCGTCCAAGTCCCGAGTTCTCCACACGGTCCACGTTCCCGTTGACGTCTTGGAATCTTCCAAAGGCCTTTGTATGCAATTTCCCTTCTCCTTTCACCATTTGCGGTGTTACTCTATTTTCTCCGGTTATCTTTCCGGGCCCCAAGCTACCCCTATCTGAAACGGCTTTCGACCTCTCACTCCCGGATACCGTTTATCCGCGCATATCGTGTCCCCGTTGAATGGCACCCCCGGCACACCAACCATTTCCAGTCAACCCCTTGACGCGCAGAGACTCTCTCGACGAAACTTGGCAATCATAACATATGCCGCTCCGAACAAGAGCGGGGGTTCAAAGCCAGAAACAGAAGGAGAAGGTGCGTCATCAGGGATGCGACATAGGGAGCTCCGCCGGTTTCCTTTGTCCGAGGCTTGCGCAGAGTCCGTGGAAATAGGGCTAACTCAGAATTCTCGACAGCTTGCCAACTCCTACAATGAACTCCTTGAGTAAGCGATCTCCTTGGTTCCGGGCTAGATGCCAAGTTGCGCTAACATTATACTTTTCTGCAGGGAGTTCTCCTCCAAGGACCTTCGGACCGTAGGTAATTACACATTGGGCAGGCTGATTGGGAAGGGCTCCTTCGGCAAGGTCTATCTCGCCTCGCACAAGCTCACCAATGGCTCCAAGGTAAGTCATGTCATGTGAAGGACAAAGTTGTGGAGGCAATACTGATCAATCGGCAGGTGGTGCTCAAATCGTCCAGCAAGGAGGACACCAATCTTGTGCGCGAGATCCACCACCATCGCCAATTCCTCCATCCTCATATCGCGCGGCTATACGAAGTGGTGGTAACTGAAAGCCTCGTTTGGCTTGTGCTGGAGTATTGTCCTGGTACGTTACACGCATGGCAGAAGACACCTAGGGAAACATATTGACAAAGGTTTTATGCTAGGCGATGAACTCTACAATTACCTCCTTCGACACGGCCCACTTCCGGTAGAGAAAGTTAAGCGGATATTTACACAATTGGTGGGAGCGGTCGCCTACGTCCACAGTAAATCATGTGTGCATCGCGACTTGAAACTGGAAAATATATTGCTGGATAAACAGGAAAACGTCAAGCTCTGCGACTTTGGGTTTACCCGTGAATATGAAGGGAAGGCTAGCTATCTTCAGACATTCTGTGGGACGATATGCTATAGTGCACCCGAGATGCTCAAAGGAGAGAAGTACGCGGGCGAAAAGGTGGATGTATGGAGCCTGGGAATCATTCTGTATGCGCTCTTGGCAGGCGAGCTGCCATATGACGACGATGACGACCAAATCACCAAAAAGCGGATATTGTCAGACGAGCCGACCTTCAACGAAAAGTTCACGGACGATGCCAAGGCTTTGATCAATCTCCTGCTATCCAAACGGCCTTTGATTCGACCCAGTCTAGACGAGATCCTAGCTCATCCGTTCCTTGCGGAGCATGCTCCTGAACAACTCGCAATCCTGAAGATCCCAAGACCGTCGCCGTTTACTACGCCACTGGAGAAGACTACGTTGCAACGGATGAAAAGCGCTGGGGTCAATATTGACGAGGTCATTGAAAATGTCTTGGCTCAGCGGTGCGACCCACTGGCTGGCTGGTGGGCCCTGCTGATTGAGAAAGAGCAACGGAAGGAAAGAAAAAGAGAGCGCAAGCGCCGTGAGCGGGAGGCCGAAGCAAAAAACCTTCGTCGTCTGAGCGCCGCGAGCAGTCGTCTAGAGAAGCGATCATCGGCTTTGATGGAGGTGGAGGAAGAAGGATCAGGGTTGCGGGATCGTGGGAGACGGGATAGACGAAGCTTACCATCTCAGTTGGCAGTGCCAGATCTTCCTGCCCTCCCTGAACCGCTTCCTGTATTACCAATTGAGGCCACCACGCCACCATTGCCGCTCGACAAAGATTCTATACGGTCCCACAACTCGACACTACGCCGTCCAGTCCCACCGCCAAAAGACAGGCGGCGATCACGACCCAGCATGCTGCATGTGAGCGCATCACAGCCGGAGTTGACGCAGCATCACGGCATCTTCCGGCGTCGCACTAGTCGTCGTCACCAGTATCCGATACTCAGCCAACTAGCATCTCTCAAGCATTGGTTTGTAGAGTCGGCGAAGAGAGCGCGGTCTCCCCATGCCAAATCGACGAACTCTCGCAAGTTCCTCTCCGAAAAGTTGAGCCCAGCTAAGGGTCAAGATACCGGGAAGAAACCCGCGGCGTCGTCGTCCCCAGCAGGTCGGGTCGCAGGGGAGGAGGTTGTGACACCCACCCAAGTCAAACGAATCTCCACTGCTAGCAGTCTCGCTCCTAGCAGTGCCTCATACCGCCAAAACCGCCATTCTTACCCTCGCCAGCCGCGGTCATTGAACACCAGCCATAATAGTCATCGGAACTCCCTATCGCCCTCACCTATCACACCACGCGGGTCCTATCGGCGTTCATCGGCCGGTCTACGAGGACGCAAGTCCACATCCTCCTCGGTATCATCGATCCGCAGCATTCATCACGCTCGTGCTCACTCCAAGGCCTCTTCGATTTCCTCCAATAGTATTGATACTATCTCGACGCCCACTGCCAGAGCCTCCAAATCGCCTCATTCATCTGTCAAAGTCCTGCCAACCACCCCGGGTGCCTCATCCCGCTTCCCGAGCAATATTCGGTTGGTAAGAGGGCCAGGCGGAGCACCTCGAGAGATTGGCGACCACTCAGATCCGACGTCGTCCTCGTTTAATGAGGCGGTACCAACGCCATTGCTTTACTCGCCCTCTTCAAGCCTGGTCTTTGCAAGGCGGAAGAGATCTCTCTTCAAGGGTCCTATGATTCATACCAGTAACCTGCCGGGTTCTGGTGGGCTAGCCAACTCCCCCATTCCCGGCCAGCCGGTGAATACCAGCGGTCCCGATGTCGCGACAGGGCGGCCTGCTGCACGCAAGAGCCAAATTATCGAGGAAGAGGAAGACATCGAAGGCATTGAGGAAGAAACTGAAGAAGTCGATGAGTTCGACGAACCTAGTACGCCTGCTGATTTAGTAACCCCCAATGAGCACCCGGCAGACGAGAACGGGTCTCCCTCAAGCCCCAGAACGCCATTCGCTCCTATTCCAGCCCTTGAAACCAGTCCCCTTCGGCCTCCTCGCTCCTCCTCTTTGCGCTCGCCGACTGATGCCTCAGACAAAATCGGCATCGCCGAATAATACCGATATACCAACCCGACAGCTTCCTTGCAATTTCTCACATGTGCATTAGATTCGGGTGTTCCTTTGTCCATCCCACGATCCCTTATCCCTATGTTTGGTTAGATGATAGAGCTTTTATACCCCCACTTACACAGCGTATTTCGTTTTCGTTTCCTTTGACTGTCTCTTTTTCAGCATAATTGGATCCATCATTGGACCTATGTCTCTCGCTCTCTTGCACTCTTTTCCTTCACATTTTCCTACCTTTGTGAAGCTCCCTCTCTACCCTACATTTCCTTGAACCCTTATGATGATTCGACACTCGCTTGATTTTAATGTCTTTTACTTAGCATTTCCCTGTTTCATATAGAACTCTGTCTCATATTATCTCGCTGGATTTATCAGCAACACAATACTTGCATAATGAAATTACATAGACCACTGCCAACTTCGATATCCCCGAACATGTATGATAATGATATGTATACTGAAGACAGCAATGGCATGATCAGACTGCATGAGCCGCGGAATCCCACCGCGATACAAGGGCTTCAATTCGCCCCCCCAGTCGAGTAAAATTCACGTTCTACCAACTCGGCAAGGTCACTCTATGCTGGGCTCCTCAACTCTTCATCATCAGCCCCCTGGTCCCCTTTTATTTTAACTTCACTGCGCAAGACTTCGCGCCGTCCCGTCAAGTCTTCCTTCGCCGCCTCCTACCCCCCCCTTAACGACCACACCCCGATCACCCTCCGCGAGATCCAAATCCGCTTCTTCCTCTCCATCTACTGGATCTGGATCGCTTACCTCATGCTCGACCTCTGCAAAGGCCCTTCTCTCCATCCTCTTCAGCGTGATCCTCCGCCTCGACACCCCCAACGAATGGCAACCCCTTTTCGGCAGCCCTCTCCAAGCATACAGCATCCGCCGGTTCTAGACGAAGTTCTGGCACCGCCTCACAGTCTCATGCTGCGCTTCTTCCGGAAAACAAGTTACCCGCCGTCTCGTTGGCATGATCCCCGAATCTCGAAGCGAGAAGATCTTTATCGCATTCTGGACGTTCTTGCTTTCGGGGCTGTGCCATGTGGTTGCCGATTGGCAGGCTGGCGAGCCATGTCATCCGTACGATGATCTGCTATTCTTCGTAGCGAATTTCGTGGCCGGCGCCGTGGAGCTGCTTGTGACGCGGAGGCTGGCGCTCGTAAAGAGGAGACGTCGTGCGGATGATGATAGGGTTAATTGGTTGGTTTGGTCGAATACGATCAAAGCGGTCGTGGGGTATGTTTGGGTTTTGGGGTTCTTTTTCTGTATCACTCCCAAATGGCAGTACCCCAAACTTCTTGCAGTTCTGACGTAGGTCCAGGGATACTAGTGGTAGTATTAAGTAGTAAGTAGTACTATATATGACTGATGAACAGGATAGGTAAACAAGGCATCATTTAACCGCCATCTGCTATCATTGCGCGGTATTGATAAAAGAAACGAAGAAGAAAGAATCCTATTAAAACCATGAACAGTGTATAATTCTGTGCGCACCAGGAAGGTATAGTATGAGGAATTTCCGAGTAGGTACTCCGAATCAGACGCTGACAGTGTGGTACCTGATTTGGCGGGCCCTAAAGGTGAACAAAATATGGTTCCGCGAGTCATGCCAGCACACGCCGTCACTGAGCTGACTGACTTCTAGTCAGCTAATATATTAAAGGGGAAGGGGCAGTCACTGAAGGCTCCCACATCCTCCTTTTTCTATCGTACCTGAAGGGCGAAGCGAAGCAGCAGATCCGCGCAGCAACGCACGCGGTGTACATTAGGGAAGCACGCAGCAGAACCTACCTAAAGATATCCAGCCTGATAACGTAAAAAGAGCAGCGACGCTAGGGAAACATAGGCCTCCCCACTCCGTACTCGGCCGACCATAGCCGCACGGACCGACCACCCGTGGACCCCGATCACAGTGACTGTCACAAAATACCACAAGAGGTTTCAAGACACGGACTTCCTAGTTGGTCTTCTTCTGCGGTAGGCCAAATTCCCCCGTACACTTCTTCTTTTGCCCGCCTATCAGGAAACGCTGGAAGGATAGATAGAATGGCATAAAGGCAAGCCCTCTGCAATAACAGACTAGATACTGAGTACAGCTAATGGGGCCGAGTATTTCGGCCGTTTCGTACAAGAGACGTCTTTCGTTAAGAACATCTATCCACACTATGTAACCATAGTGGTATTGACCTAACTCTCTCTAACTGAAAAAAATGGCAAAACCCGCAATTTCAACAATCTGTACCTACCTACCTAGGTACATATGTAGGTAGTTAACTACCTAGGTAGTTAGATACGGCCATGATGACTAGCTGTAATACGCACCCGTGGACGTGGACCCGTGGACTTTTGTATGGTATTCGTACCCTAGGTCATATGAGTTTCTGCGTAAAATACCATGTCTCAACTATACATATAATCCACCTTAGTATTCGACAATAATCAATCAATCAATTTTTATTAAAGGGATGTCTAAGCCCGCTCTGGTTGGAAATAGTGTTTACTATCCCGTCTTGACAACTCCCACGACCACCCTAACCACGGTAAGTCTCCACACTAACATTTTGGCATAAGGACAACAAAACAAAGCTCTATGATTCAAACAATGGACTAATCCTATACTTTCAGAACAATTCATCACCACTACTTCACTCTATACGTTGGAATTTTAAAACATCAATTCTGAAGACGACACGATGCTAAATTGGCTCCGGAAACTCTTCGGTGCCAACGAAGTTGCCCTAAACCCGAGGAACCAGCAGCATCGAAGTCGGAAGCGAAGTAAACGGATGCGCGCGCGTGAACGAGAACTGCGTTTGCAAAGCCAAAGGCAGGAGTTGAAGGGAGGGGAAGCGTAGAACACCGTTCTTTTGGGGGTCACCAGGTGTTACTACCCCTCTACATCAGACAAGGATTTTTAATGATTGAAGGGGTTTACTTTTCTTTAGGTGGGGGGAGAATGAAGGAGGGATAGAGCTGGGGGGAAAAAGAAGGTCACTTACGGTTTTCTCGATCAGATAGGGAAATGTAACTACCTCCTTTTTACTAGTTATATAAGCTGAATAGGAACAACTCCTTGGCAAAAACGCTTTCTTAAGATATCTCGCCGTCCTACAGCCTCGAGAATTAGTTTATTATAGTCGTAACTCCGAGCTATATACCGGGCGTCGCAAATACTAGCGCTATATAAAAGCCTTACTAGTTAGCCAGCTTACCTTCCTAGGCGGCGCTCGGGGTAATGTCGCTAGGGGTGAGGCCCCGAAGAGGGGTGAGGCCCCGAAGAGGGGTCTTAGGGGGTGGCAATATACACACTTTCTATACTCTAATAAGTCGACATCTCATGCCTACTCTCGCTACCCAGAAGTCAACAATACAGATCTGCATGTTTTTATATCAATAGAGAAGATTCTAGTCATAATACTTGTATATAACTAAGCTACTATTTAAGATGAATGATCTGATCTTCCTTGTTCAGGCAGTTTCAGCCCGTTGTATACGCCGATACATGCATGTATATGTTCATCTACATAGTTTTCATGGTTTAATGCCCATACATGAGCTGGCATTCTCAAATAATGCCAGTACTATCATCCTCAGCAATGACAGTGATGGTGCAAAAAGTAAAATAGTTTCTATAAAGACAATAAGCCCAAGCAAAAAACCAAACCAAAATCCCAACACCCATTAGCCATTAACCATTAGCCATTACCCCAAAAGAGATATTGAAAGCAGAGTAAATGATAACTATCTACCGCTCCACATGAACGGCTTCGTGCTTCTCGCCTACACTCTCATCAAAACCATGAGACCCCATAACAGCCTCCTCATCCTTAGTACTCTGACTCTCAAGACCAACCTCACTCTCACCAATCTTATCCACGGTGTTCGTATACGCCGGAACGAAGTTCACAGCAATAGCGTAAGTCCAAGCGACGACCATAAACTGCAACTAGCATTAGCCACGGACCCAACGGAATGAAAACAGATAGGGAAAAAAAGAAAGGAAAAGGAAGTCGATCCAAGTAGAACATACCATGGTCGGAACAATAAACGCGAACCCCGTATTATCACGCATATCAGCAACATGACCGAGAATAGGCGGCACAACAGCGCCTCCACAAACACCACCAACAATAAACCCAGAGCCACGCTTATAATGGCGTCCAAGGCCACGAATACCCAGCGCCATAATCGTCGGGAAACAAACAGACTCAAAGAACAGCGTCATAAATAGCATAGCAACACCAACCTGCTTCGTCTGCGTCACCGACGCAGCGAGGAAAGCCACCGTACAAGACAAATACACCAGGAAGACCCAGCGCGCACGCACGAACTTCATAATCCCCGAACCGAGGAATCGACCGACTGCAAACGCACCCTGCGCGCCAGCGAGATACTTCGCCGATGTGGCATCCGGCGTACCGGGCCAGGTATCCTTGACGTAGTTGATGAAGTAGCCGGCGATAGCGACTGAAAGAGTTAGCTTGCCAGAACGAAGGATAAAATGAAGCGGGGATATAAAACACACCCTGCGCCCCTGTATACGTGAACTGCGCCAGCGTGGCATGGAAAAGCTTGTACTGTTTCCAGAACGGCTTATCCTGTTCATCGACGTGCGTCTGCGCGACCTGGAAGGCCATATCCTCGTCTGTGACTTCGGGGATATTGGAGAGGAAGAAGACGCCCGCGAGTAAGAAGACAAATACGCCGATGGCGAGGTAGACCCACTGCACGCGCTGTAGGGCGGCTACGTCGTCTTCTGTCTCGGTGAAGAAAACATACGAGCCTAGCACTGGGCCGACGACTGTGCCGATGGCGTTGAAGGCCTGGGCGAAGTTGATTCTGATTTCGGAGTAGCGGGGCGGACCGCAGACTAGATAGATGCAAGGAGGGTTTAGTATCTACGCGTGATTTGGTGTGGAGTGTGTGGTTGTCTTACCGGTTAGGTAGGGGTTAGCTGCTGTCTCGAGAGAACCCAGTCCGGATCCAATGACGAATGTGGCACCACAGAAGCCGCCGAAGGATTGGTTTAGTCCTGCTGGCCACATGCATAGGGCTCCAATGCCGTACAGGCACAGACCGAAGATAAAGACGGTCTTGTAGCCGAAGTTGCGGAGGATCCAGTTTGCGTAGCCCAGGGAGGCTAGGGGGGTATGCGCTGGGTTTTGTTAGAGCGGGGACTTTTTTTTCTCTCAATATTTGTGCGCTATGGAGAGATTTCATACCCGAAGTAGGCTGCTTGAAGACCAGCTGAACGGCCTCGGTCGATGTGTAGGGTTTTCTGGAAATGGGAGTTGAGGGTGTCCAGTAAACCATACGCAAAACCCTAATTGAAGTCTTAGTAGGAGGATTCTCTCTGGACAAGATACAGCAACTTACCCATAAAAAGAACAATGTCGTTACTAGTGTTAACGGCCACAGACTCTGTCGTAGAGTCAGAGTAGCGGCCGAAGTAGTCGCGCGATTATCAACACGCAAGCCCGAACGGCTTTTGAGGAATTCCTTGACGCCCATTCTTAAGATATAGAAAAGACTATATAGAAAAGGAAATAAAAAGAGCCGAAGGGATAGGACCAAAAGGGGGTATTTAAAGAAAAACAAAAGGTGACACTCTTTAGAGTAATTTCTCTTTTATTTCTCCGCAAAACTCCACACTTTTCCCCAGTCTGGGGAAAGCCCCCCAGACGATCCCTGGGGAACGGAACCCAACCACGTCCAATCACGTCCAATCAAAACTGCCAACTCGGAGTTGCACCGAGGATCGAAGGGTAACTTTGATCGAATTCGCTGTGGTCTGATCGAAATCCCCGCTTTAATCCCTGGGGTGGCGTCAGCGTTGCATGGATTGTTTCAACGCTATTCATCTTTGGGCTACGCGGGATGCCATTCCGGTCGTATTACGGGTTATTCTCTCCCGTGTCTTGGTGGAATGCTACTCCGAAGTATATTGGAGACCATACTACCCTAAACAGTAAGATGGGCATCCTAGGGACTATCCCGCGTCATCGCGCCTATTTTGGTTACGGGAAGGGGGTACACGCTAATGTGTGGCGTTATCTACTTTAATAGCCGTAAACAAGAGCCGTGGCTACTACCAGGGCACCAATTACAACTGAACCATATCATCCGTAGTTTTCCAAGGTTAGGAAGAGCTCACGACCCTCCAAGCTAGAGGATGTAAGGAAACAGGCAAGATCGACTTAGCGAATAAAGCGGGTTTTCTACAAGGACGCAAGTACACATCGTCATACTGTCCCACAAGTGCAACAATCACAGGTTGTAACCTTTCATTCAGGGTGATCTATGGGCATCCATGATAGCATGTCATAACTAGTCCACGCAATCTCGTATTCAAAGCGTGACAAATATCCAGCCAAATCAGGCACGATCTATCTCTATTACACACCGGTTAGTTCCCGCGAGGGCAGATATCTGGGAAGGTTGGGCCATATTTAGGCTTTCGCCAATATAGCCCCATCCTTTATGCCCGCTTGGGCTTACCGGCGGTGCCGTTCTGGGCGACCGGGCTGACGGCTTTCGTGTTGTAGAGACGACGCTCAGCCAACTTCAGGAGCTCGTCGATCAATCTGGGGGTGTGGATTAGTAGGATATTCTATCAGAATTAAGCAGGAACAGGCACTTACACCACAGGCGCACTGATCACCAACACTGCCTGCCATTCATTCCAGTCCATAGGCAGAATCGAGAACAGGCTCTGGAGGAAAGGAATGTAGAGGATGGCAAAGTGAAGGAGCATGGACAGAGTGATGGCATAGATAAGCATGGGGTTGTTGCCCAGGAAGAAAGTCAGGAGGGACTCGCTGGAGGACAGCGCGTTCATGGCGTTGAGCATCTCGATCACCACGAGGATGGAAAGAGACACGGTGGAGGCAGACTTGCTCATGTCGTTGCTGAACATTTCGCAGCCAATCTCGGGGAACTGGGCGCTGCACTTGTGGTAGTGGGACTGAATTGGGTATGTTAGCAACACATAATTAATATGCGGGAATATCATAGACGTACCAATTGCCAGAAAGAAATGCCAGGTCCATCGGGGTTGTACATAAACCACCAGACGTAACCGAAGACGGTAGCAGCACCGACGTAGATGCCGATAACCATGTACCGGAACAACAACCAGCCGCCGACAAGCGCCTCGTCGCGACGGCGGGAGGGCGGTTCATCACATCGTGGTCAGGAGGATTGAAGGACAGAGCAGTGGCAGGCAGACCATCGGTGACAAGGTTAACCCACAACAGCTGAACTGGAATCAGAGCCTCGGGCATGCCAAGGGCAGCAGTCAGGAAGATAGAGACGACTTCTCCAATGTTGGAAGAAATCAGGTAACGGATGAACTGTTGAGTGTTGCTGTAGATGGAACGACCTTCCTCGACGGCGACAGTGATGGTAGCAAAGTTGTCATCAGCCAAGACCATATCAGAGGCCATCTTTGCCACGTCGGTTCCGGTGCCCATTGCCACGCCAATATCAGCCTTCTTGAGAGCGGGAGCGTCATTGACACCATCACCGGTCATAGCGACTACGTGGCCCAAAGACTGGAGGAGATCGACAAGCTTGGACTTGTGGCTAGGCTCAGTGCGCGAGAAAAGGGAAGCGGTCTGAACGGCCTTCAGCTGTTCACTTTCACTGAGACTATCGAATTCACGACCTATGTAGCTCTTGCCGGTGAGATCCTCATCGGCGCCAAACACACCAATTGAGCGACAGATAGACTCGGCAGTATTGCGATTATCACCGGTGATGACAATAACACGGATTCCGGCGGCGTGGCACTTCTTGATAGAATTGGCAACTTCAGGACGAGGGGGGGTCTAACATTGCGACAAGACCAATGAGAGTCATGTTCTGTTCCAGCTTGGTGTAGTCCTCGGTGGTGGCGGCGTTCTTCAGGAGGGGGTTTCCAGAGATATCGTCAACACTTGCCATAGCCATGACACGGAGACCACGGTTACCATACTCAACAACTTCCTCGGAGAGAAGCTTCAAGTGGTCCTTGGTCACAGGGACGCGAGATCCATTGGCGCCTTGAATAACGTGCGAGCAGCGGTCGAGGATGCTTTCGGGAGCACCCTTGACCAGTAGCTTTTGTTCCTTGCCCTCACCAACGAGAACAGACATACTCTTGCGGTCACGGGAGAACTCATAAGTGGCCTTGAGGGGAAGACGGGACTCGTAGTGAGCGCTGGCGGCATGCAATCTTTCGGATGCAGGAAGGCGGTAAAGCTTCTGGTTCAAGGCGATATCGGTGGATCCGATCTTCTCAACCAGAGTACGCAGAGCCCCCTCGGTGGGCTCACCGATGCTGGAGAAGACTCCGCTCTTGGCGTCATGGGAAAGAGAAGCCGCGTTGCAAAGGGCAGTGACCTCGGTCAATTGTGCGACGGTCGATGAAGAAACGGCCAAGTTCTCGACGACCTTGCCATTCTGGGTGAGCTTTCCCTCGGGAGTGAAAGTAGTGCCTTCGACGTCGATCTCCTCGAAGCCAGTGCCAGAGCTGGTCAGGTAAACAATCTTCTCAACACTCATCTGGTTAGTGGTCAAGGTTCCGGTCTTGTCAGAGCAAATCACGCTGCAGCTGCCCAGGGTTTCGACGGAAGGAAGAGACCGGACAACTGCGTTCTTTTGGGCCATTTTGCGGGTACCCAGAGCCAGACAGGTGGTAATGACCACTGCCAGACCCTCCGGGATAGCCGCCACACCAAGAGAGACAGCAATCTTCAGATAGTAGATAGCACCCTTGGTCCAGCCACCGAACGCGGGGTCATTGAAGTTCTCATAGTTGATAACCCAAACCAGGACACAGATGATGGTAATGACCTTGGCTAGCATGTCACCGAAGTCGTTCAGCTTCTTCTTCAAGGGCGTCGGCTCGGAGATCTGGGAAGTGATGCTCTCGTGGATATCTCCGATGGCAGTCGAGCCACCGGTCAACACGACCAGAGCGGTAGCGTGGCCGTTGACCACGGTGGTACCAGAGAAAAGCATGTTGAGCTGGTCCTGCTTGACGGCCTGCTCATCCTTAATAGCGCGGGTCTCCTTTGCAACACTTTCGCTCTCGCCAGTCAGAATAGCCTGGTCGACGCGGAAGCTGTTGCTATGGATTGCGAGAAGTCGGCAGTCGGCGGGGACACGGTCGCCGACAGCAATTTGGATGACGTCTCCGGGAACCAACTCCTCGGCCTTGATCTTTCGCGTCATTCCATCACGGACGACCTTGGCCTCGTTGGCCGAATATTCCTGGAGAGCCGAAATGGCCTTTTCTGCGCTACTTTCTTGGGTCACTCCGACCACGGCATTGAGGATGAGGATAGTAAGGATCTGTGAACAGAACATGGGTTGGTCAGCAAGATAGAACACATAGGTATCCGGATGGAATGTAGAATATCCAGGCACTTACAACAGCGGGGTCCACGAATGCGGTCCAATCGTCGCTCTCTTCAAAGAGAGCTAGCACAAATGACACGGCGGCCGAGCCAAGGAGGATAAGAACCAATTGGTCCTTGAATTGTTCCAGAATCAGCTCCCACATGGGAGTCGGGGGTTCTTCGGCAAGAGCTAAGCAAACGGCAGATGTCAGTTCTGACAATGTCATCATTCTGCAGCGGAGTGGGTACTAACCGTTCGGTCCATATTGTTGTCTGGATTTTAAGACCGCGTTCTGCGACAGACCGGTCTGCTCCGATACCTTGAAGTGCTCCAGCGACTCCGCTGGAGTACGGAGAAAAGCGTTCTCCATGATCGCGACACCCTCAACGGCAATAGGCAGGATCAATTGCGATAGCCGTAGAGGTGAGGAAGAATAGTTGGGGTAAACAAGGAACAGAGGAATGGGGGCGTGTTTTAAGATAGAGACATGCCCGGTGTAACAACAGAGTCGGAAAAAAGGAAGCAGTCCAAAGCGAGGGACCAGGCGATATAAAATAGAAAAAAAAGATCGAAAGCAAGAAATGAAGATCGACCGAACCTCCAGTGGGGGGGAAGTCAACGTGTTCTCATCCATTTGATTCCAGGGGCTGAGTAAGCACCGGCCCTGGCCCGGTGGGGCTTCCAGAGCCCCCGGGGTCTACAGGGCTGAGGGCGGGTCACCGGCAATTCTCCGCTTTGATTTCTCTTTTTCCTCTTCTATTTGGTCTTTTATTGAGTATGAAAGTACTAAATATGCTTGATTCTATCAAGATTCTACCTAATACCTTTGGTATAGTCAGTCTCTTATTATACCATCCTCTCTTCTTTCCAACGTTGAGTGAATTGGGGCATGAGCCTCTCGTAGGGCTCCAACGTCATGCCAATTTCCAACTTGGTTGACTGATGGGGCGTCTCTAGGCTACATCGTTTTTTGCCTATCAGATAGACTTGGTGGGTAACCTCTTCTCTTGGCAGCTTCCAACAAAGTCGGTTTTCAATCTTCTAAACCGACCGAATCGACTCCTCTGTACTAGTGCGATGTCGGTAGGCTTGTGCCATGACACAGCTCTTGACCTGTACTCGCTTATCTCTAGGCCAAGATATTTGATCGGTTAAGAATTGCTTTCTTTCCGGAGCCGAGATCTTCAAGGCCAAAGCACAGTCCCTGCTAGTTGCATAAAGCGTGGCATTTCCATAAGCACGCTAACGTACCCTTGCCTATAGGGCTGACGCTAGAACAAAAAGTCCATGTTGCATAACTTGTATATGTACCTAGGTATATACCTGTTCTGTACTCTAAACAAATGCCAGTATCCAATCTATTGCTATCTCTGTTGCTTGAGCTGCTTAGCTTGTTTCCAAGTTAGCCAAATGTTCAGTTCAAGCCACTTTTGATAGCCAAGATTAGAGGGGAAAAGAATCCAGCAAGCCTCTTAGAGTTTGCAGTGCATTCACCGACCAACTGGACGATATGATCAATCCGATAGTTCTCCTGGGCTAACTTTCCAAGCTTGGAATAATCAACCTGTGGACATAAGACCACATATATAGGTTGATATGAGACTAAACCCAGCCACCTCTGCTTTTTGAATGCCCTTTTAAATGTCCACTAGTTATATGTCTTTTGTTCGAATCGGGTAAAAGTTATATAACAAAATAAAAAGCCGGACTTTACACATCCACCACTTCGTTCCAGTAACTCAAAAGCTTGTCCGCAAGTCTCCACTTGCCCATTGAATTAGATAGGGGAAAGAGCACTGTGCTGTAAATGCTTGTTAAGATGTTTATTGGAGCAAAGAGTAGCAAATGTGTGAAGGAGAGAAACATCTTTTGAATACTTTTAGCCTCAACTACTACAAACTGTGAAGTTACTTGAATAACACTACCTAGAACACCTGTGATACTTGTGATACTTGTGATACTTCGAGACCTAATTTGAGTGGCTGGTCAACTACATCATAACCGGTTTTGTTGTCTGGAAGGTTCTAAAGACATTTGCATCATCATCATCCCCAGACTTCTATACCGTTACTGTGCTTCCACTAAAATAGCTCAAAGACAACAAATGAGGCATATTTACCTCGCAATACCTCTAGGCGTCTCTATATAGAAATTGCATCTGTTTCCTGATTTTGGTGACAGTACCGGTCGGAGTCCCTAGGCCAACATTGAAGGTATTACGACTCCGTAGATACACAGAGGGGAAGTCTAGGTACAGATCAGGTATAGAATCACGCGAGATCTCATATATCGTGCTAGTTATTCGATCCACGTGTCCATGTCTCCCTAAAAGGAGTGCTGGATACCGTCTAATATTAGATGTACTTGGTAACAAATACCGTCATATATACCCCGCGTCGCCCAAATTAATTACTTATTAAGGGAATCGACGGTAAAACAAATACTGAGCTGCGGCCCAAGTACTCCGGTACTTCCACAGAGCGGTGCCACAATAGGGGGCACGAGGTACCGGGTACAAGAGAACAGTGTATTATTGTTATGATTCCAATTCCCCCAACTCACCTCACTCCATCTCCCTTCCCCCCCACTTGGTCGTCTCTACCCATCTTCCTCTCCTGCATCTCGTGTTTCCTATCCCATTATTTTTCAAGTCTCAAGTTCCAACCACCTATCTCGATTCAATTTCACAATGGGTTCTGAGGTATGTTGTTATTTCCTTCTATTCGGCGTTCTCTTGAGTTGTCACCACCATCGCAATCCCCCATTCCCCCATTCCCATCCTCATATGAGCTTATCCCCGTCTGGAATTTTTCTCGATAAGAACTGGGCTAACAAATATCGTGATTATGCAGCGTGAGAAGTATGCCCATCGTCGCCCCTATCCCTGAAACCCCATAACCCGACATGACTGACCCCCCTCACCAGCAAGACGTTCCTCGCGCGGCTCTGCGAGCAGGCCGAGCGCTACGATGGTGAGTGGACTTCGCGGTCACTTGACTGGACGTGTATACTGACGTGTTGCTCTGTGCTTTTCAGAAATGGTCACCTTCATGAAGGTTAGTCGCAACCCCTCGTGTTGTTTACTGGGTAGCCATGCTAATCGCCGAACAGGAAGTCGCCAACGTATGACACCATCTTCCCATCACCTTCGGGACCGCTTTTAGGGTATTTGCGATTGACACGTATTTAGATTGGTGGCGAGCTCACTGTTGATGAGCGTAACCTGCTTTCCGTCGCTTACAAGAACGTGGTCGGCACCCGCCGTGCCTCTTGGCGCATCATTTCCTCCATCGAGCAGAAGGAGGAAAACAAGGGCTCCGAGGAGCACGTCGGCATCATCCGCGATTACCGCCAGAAGATCGAGACCGAGTTGGAGCAAGTGTGCCAGGATGTGCTTGACGTTCTTGATGAGGCTCTCATCCCCAAGGCCGAGACTGGAGAGTCCAAGGTCTTCTACTACAAGATGTGAGTTACACTCCAACCGACTTTGATGTGGACACACCTCATCTCAGGACATTGCGCTGACTTCGTAAACAGGAAGGGTGATTACCACCGCTACCTCGCCGAGTTCGCTTCCGGTCCCAAGCGCAAGGGTGCCGCCACCGCTGCCCACGAGGCCTACAAGGTAAATACCCCTCGTTTCGGCTTATTATCAGACGCCGTCTCTCCATTCGCAATGAACAGCTGTTGATCGTCCCACAGAACGCCACCGACGTTGCGCAGACCGAACTCACCCCCACTCACCCTATCCGTCTGGGTCTTGCCCTGAACTTCTCCGTTTTCTACTACGAGATCCTCAACTCGCCTGATCGTGCTTGCCACCTTGCCAAGCAGGCCTTCGACGATGCCATTGCAGAGCTCGACTCCCTCTCCGAGGAAAGCTACCGCGATAGCACCTTGATCATGCAACTGCTGCGCGACAACCTGACCCTCTGGACCTCATCTGAGGGCAACGAGGGCGAGGGTGCCCCCAAGGAGGAGAAGCCCGAGGAGGAGACCGCTGCTCCTGCTGCCACCGAGGCCGCTGCTCCCGCCGAGGAGAAGCCCGAGGAGACTAAGCCCGCCGAGACTCAAGCCTAAAGGAGCAGTATTAGGGGTCGCGACGAGCCGTATGCCGTTTGGTAGGGTGGGCGTTCGCATTTATTCCTGGACGTGGTTATGCAAGTCGCTTCTTTGTTTTCACTGCAGCGCTGGGTTGGACCGGCAGATATCTTGCACGTCTTCGGGACCGTGTGGGTCGGGCGGCGGAGTTTGATATTCGGTTGACGCGAGCAGAAAAGGGGCTGAGTGGAAATTTCTCTCTCTTTTATTGTCGTTATTCCCACTCCAGCACGTTTCAATGTGTTTATTTTCCATTCCACTCCGAGCTTCTTTACTTGACATGCACCCTGTGTTGGGTTGCTTGCGTAGCCAATGATTCCCCTTTTACAGTATTTTATGACTGAGGTATGAGCCGATACATGTGTAAACCTATTTTATCCCTTTGCACGACTCGCCTGGTTATTAGTCGCAACAGCCCTTGACGCATCTTAGTTGACCAACACTATGTATGAGAGGTATGTTAACGAACATGTGCATTTTAACGTTTTGAAGTTAACCAAATCCCAGCTGCCTTTTCTCGCTACCTGGGTGGGTGGTGCTATTGCCTACATAATCAAAGCTACCGCCAACTCAAACACATAGAAGACTCATCGCTAGGAAAAGACCAGCACGCCACCAGCCTCCAGAGCAAAGACACCAGCACGTCCGACAATTCCAAACTACCAAACAGAACACTACAGAAGACGCCATTCATCAAGCACCGAAGGTGCAGAACTAACACCATCGGGGACCAACATACCTCAAGCGATTCGCCGGAGCCAAGAGCCGGATAACAACATCACCGGAGGCAATGAGGCTATAGCAATCCCCAACCCGCTTTCTCCCATCGAAACCAGCTATCTCCCACCGAACCGAACTCAACCGAAACACGTCTTGCCGCCAACCAAGAGCAACCAATCGAAACCGGGCGTGTGGGCGCCACGGAAGGGGTCCGGGCACTTGTTAGAATATGACAGCTAAGCAGGTGGGCATCGGGTTGCATGCAATGCGTCCTGCAATCTCAGTGTGATGATAGGAGGGCAGGAGAACGCCAAGGCGAAATAGTAGTCCACGCTGGCGAATGGTGCCCGGAGGGGTTGATGAGGTGGAATGCTGTACTCTGATTGGTTTTATTAGCTGATCCCTGTATGTGTGTATATCTCTTGTGGTATATGTCTGGCAAAGTTTGTTGCATTTAAGGATTGTGCTAGGTTTGTGTCTGGGGCGAGTCAGATGGATGGTATAGGGTGTTTTTAGATTTAGTTGATTGTATAGGGAACAATGTGGACCTCGTTCTGATATAGCGAATTCGTTATGGAGTCCTTATTCCATACGATAGTATCAACCAACCCTTGTAGATTCACTTGATAGTATCTTGATAGTATCAGACCCATGCACTGGGATTCATACATCCCTTAAATTCCGACTCGTCCACCAAACTGTCGGGTGTGGATTTTAAGATCAAGACGGTTAGAGGACAAACATATCCATACGAGACGTAGAGGTGGGAAGAAGTAAGCCCGGATGCACAGTGCCTGCATCCGCTGTCGAATCAATTGAGGAGTCTATGTCTAGGATTGCCGCGCGTCAAGCAACTCGACAGGTCAGTTGGACAATGGTTTTGACTTGTACTAGTCCCAGAGCTTCATACCAGGGCTCTTAATGGTCCTGTTTGTTTGATTCGCTCTTGGCAACAGCTTGGACGAGTGCAAGCATCTCTATTACTGAGTTCTTGTTCCAATCGAGGATGAGAAGAATGTCTCAAACCCGCACAATGATGATAAGTTTCGATATATTCTAAGACATGATGAGAAGAACATGTAACTTGAAAAGACCCTAGACAGGGTCTATCTTTGGCACCATGAAAACGAAGCGTAGTATATACGCTGATGTGTATATATACCAGGTTTTCTCGGAGATTTCCTATATACATGGATTTATACATAGATAGACACTGCCACATGACCAAGCCAGCGAATCCTAGTTCATTGCATACATACATGTATGTAGTATGCAGGGCTACATCACTGCTGCTATATGGACCCTATCATGCAAGCGAGGATTGGGTAGACGCGTTAGAATTATAATCTTGTCCGGAAAGCCTTCCTCAGTTGTCCCCTGGTACCCAACTCCATGCTACCGGGTTCTATCTTAAAAGGGGACGTATGAGGTAAAAGTAATGCATATAGCGAATTCCACTTCTTTTTGCAACGGGACATATAAATAGACGTAGACGCCAAAACCCCATGTTGAGCAATCTTTCACCCAAGAAGAAGAATAACAACCAATCCACTCCAAAAGCCGAAAGTCATAAGCGATGTCAACCGCACAAGCCCTCCCCCTCGAACCAAACACCCTCTACATCCTCCTCCTCGACCTAGGCGGCAACTGCCTCTTCGAATGGAAACTATACCTCACCTCAACACCCACAACGGGCCAAACCTTCCATATAACCAACGAGACCGGCCCAACAAGCTGGCAATACAAAAGCGAAGGCGTGTACAACATAGCAAGTAATACGCGAGTGGTGCTAGCGCTGCAAATTGGCGCCGTCGGCCCCGTTCTGCACGCCGCGCTGGGAGCACGTCTTGCGCTCGTCCCGTTGGCGCTGTACTCGGCTCGATTCCGAGAGGGCCTCTGCTGCCGCGTGTGGGTCCAGGAGGCGCTTTTTGCATTGGATGATGAGGGATATCTTGGTCTTGCTAGGAGTGCGGGGGATATCGAGCAGGAGGCTAGACAGCTTGGGATGCTTAATAAAAGTCGGGGTACCAGGTCGGTGGTTAGGAGTAGGGCGTTTGTTGGTTTAAAATTTTCATTGTAATGGACGGTTATTAGCTCTGGAGATTATGGTTAATGTAAGGTCATATAATAATCGGAATGGATTGGGTCTTTCTATGGGTTACTTGTTTCCAAGCATTTGAGATAGATATTGAGATAGATGGGGATGTACAGAGCGATGTTTGGGCAAAAGGAAAAAAGGAAGGGGTAACATTGGACCCAGCAGAAATAACCTGCATATAGGTGAGGCAGACATAAAAGATATAGTCTTTTAAGATGCGTATTTTCAAGGATCAAATCCAGGGCAAAGCAAAGCGAAACAATTCAAATGGAGACTAGTCGTCCGTATTCACATTCACATAAAGTCATCATCCCCAAGATCACCGCCATCATCGTAGTTGGTGTGATCGGCATGGACGTCGCGGCTAGCATTCAGGGAGATCTTGGTCTTTGCTGCCTTGGACTTCTTGTTGCCCTTGTCAGCGGCACGCTCCTCGCGCATCTTCTCGTTGGAGGCAGTAGTGAGAGCACTGGCAATCTTCTTGATCTCAGCACTAGGAAGCTCCTTCACAAGCTTACGGGTGAAGTCCTGCGCCCAGAGAGCGTAGTGAGGCTTCTTGGAGTGCAGGGTGAGGAGTGGCACAAGGGTCTCGCTCAGGCGGGTGAACTGGTCCTTGGTGGTGGGCTTGAACAGCGGCATGGCGGACAGATCGATGGCCTTGGTAGGATCGGTTGAGTCGCTGACGACAATGGCCTTGGGGGCTCCCTTGTTGGGCTTGACATCAACAGAGCCGAAAAGATCCTCGGCGTGGGCAAGATCGGCTTCCTGCTCGGTCTTGCGCAGACGAGCGCGGCGGGTTGTCTCGTCCTCACTCTCGGATTCGTCGTCGCCCTTCTCGCGTTGGCGCTGCTGCCGGAGTTCCTCTATCCGCTGGGCTTTGGTCTTCTTGTTGGCGGCGGCGGCAGCCTTGGCCTTGGCCTCAGCTTCGGCGGCCTTCTTGGCCTTCTCGCGCTCTACCTCGGAGTCTTCGGCGGCATCCCATGAGTCAAGAACCTATCGTCCGAGGTTTGTTAGTTTGTTGGACTTGGGCGCGAAAGTGAGGGCCCTGTTAGACAGGTTGAGGTTGTGTTGCCTTACTTCTTCTTCCTCTTCATCGTCGAAGCGACGGCGGGGTGCGGCAACAATAGGAGGCGCAGGGCTCTCCTCTTCTTCTTCATCTGTGTGAGATCAAAGGATTAGCAACGGAAACATGAACAGAACACGAGCTAAGTAATTGTGGCAATGACTATAGAAGGCGATAATACAAGGAAAATAACATACCCCACTTGGAAGGCGGCATTTTGGCAATCTAAAATCTCGATATGTAAAGAAATGAAAGAACGTAATGCGCTACACGCAAGGCCAAAAGGAACAAGCCAACAATCGGACCCAGCAAGGATGGAGGGGCGAGGGCAAATTTTATGTGGGACACACTTATCGTCCCCAGGTGGCATGCGCACGTGACCTCGGGCATTGGATGCCCGATGAGCATGATCTTTGTTCATATATCTACATGTGTTGTTCATTTATTTAATTTCTAACTTATCAAGTGATTGAAATTTGTTTTCATTGAAAAAGATCCTATTAAATTCATAATCATCATGGGCGATGGCTCCGTAGATCATCAAACCATCGTTTTTGATGGGCCCTCATCAGGCCCGATCTATGCTGCCGAAAGGCTGCATTTACAGGTTGACAGCAGTGCGGAACTTCTCGCCAGCGTAGACAGCGTTGGCACCAAGCTCCTCCTCAATGCGGAGGATCTGGTTAAGCTTGGCAAGACGCTCGGAACGGGCAGGGGCACCGGTCTTGATCTGACCGGCACGGAGACCAACAGCGATGTCAGCAATGGTGACATCCTCGGTCTCACCGGAGCGGTGGGAGACCATGACACCCCAGCCGTCGGCGTAGGAGTCCTTGGCGGCCTGGATAGACTCGGTCAAGGTACCGATCTGGTTGACCTTCAGGAGAAGGGCGTTGCAGGACTTGAGCTCAATGGCCTTCTTAATGCGCAGAGGGTTGGTGACAGTCAAGTCATCACCGACAATCTGGAAGTCGGAGGTCTTGTAGAAGTAGCTCCAGGCCTCCCAGTCGTCCTCAGCGAAGGGGTCCTCGATGGAGACAATGGGGTACTTGGCAGCGAGGGACTTGTAGAGGTCGGCAAGCTGCTCGTAGGTGAGCCACTTGGTGGGGTCGCTCTCGGGGTTCTTGAAGTCAAGATCGTACTTCTTGGCATCCTCCTTGTAGAACTCGCTGGAGGCAACATCCATGGCAATCTTGATCTGGCCAGTGTAGCCAGCCTGCTCAATGGCCTCGGTGATGAGGTCGAGAGCCTCCTCGGCGGTCTGAATATCAGGAGCGACACCACCCTCGTCACCGACGTTACCGGCGGACTGACCGTACTTCTTCTTGGCGAGAGCCTTGAGTTTCTGGTAGACCTCAGCACCCTGGCGGAGACCCTCGGAGAAAGTGGGGGCAGTGCTGTGTTTGGTCAGTTTATAGTTGCAAGATGTTTCGAGGCTGGAAGACCTACTCGGGAACAATCATGAACTCCTGGAAGGCGAGACGGCCACCGGCGTGGGAGCCACCGTTCAGGACGTTCTGGAAGGGAACGGGCAGGACGAAGGGCTTCTTGGTTCCGGCGAGGTCGGAGATGTGAGCGTAGAGGGGAACACCCTTCTCGGCGGCGGCAGCCTTGGCAACGGCGAGAGAAACACCGAGGATGGCGTTGGCACCGAGCTTGCCCTTGTTGGGGGTTCCATCAAGCTTGTTCAGGAAGTCGTCAACCTTGGCCTGGTCCTTAACGTCGATGTTCTCCTTGATGAGGGCGGGGCCAATGACGTCGTTGACGTTCTTGACGGCGTTGAGGACACCTAATTTAAGATGAAGATATTAGTTTCTAATTACTCGGGATGTGTCAACCGGAATTCATTCACTTACCCTTACCACCCCACTTGGTCTTGTCACCGTCGCGGAGCTCAACGGCCTCGTGCTGGCCTAGAAAACAATGTTAGCAATCTAGTCCTCAATTTTTTCAATGTCCAGAAGTCAAGGAGAACAAACCAGTGGAAGCACCGGAGGGGACAATGGCGCGGTGAAGGCCGGTCTCGGTGACAACATCCACCTCAACGGTGGGGTTGCCGCGCGAGTCGTACACGGAGCGAGCGTGGATCTTAGAGATAGGCATGTTGGAATTGGACAGGCTGATTATGGATTCAGTCAGTTGAAAGAAAGGAGAAAAAGAGGATCTGGGCTGATATATGGCAAAAGCTGCAGGTGACTAACGGCGGGGGGAGGTTCACCGATGACCCAAAAAGATTGGGCGGGAGAGGTGAGAGACGGATATGATTTGCTTGGAGAGCTCAACGGGGGGCAAGTTCCTACTACGATCACCGGTATGTCTTTGGTTGGGTTTCTATTCCTTTCCAGAAGACTTAGGTGTATGTGGTAGTTGTAGTAGGGGGGGGATTTGTATTTGGAGGGGTAGAAGATGGTGTTATGGCGGGGTATATGATGTTATGATATGATGTTATAATGCTTATATTCAAAGACTCACCTGTTTAAATAAGGACTTGATAAATAGAAGAAAACCTTACGGAGACTAACGACTACTTAAATACTTTCCCCCAGAGAAACCCCGGGAAAAGCTCATTGCTGCTCCGATTCTTTCCAATGCAACAGTGGGGCTCCACGGCCTGTCTCCAGCACTTGCTGGCTGATCCGACCTTATGCGGCCTCTTTAGCTACGAGATCTCCCGTCCCTCGGAAGATATTACATATGTAGACTATGATGGCATACCATTCTCCCGATTGCACATGTCCTATTACAGGTGCACATCGTACATACGGCACCCCTCTACCCCTCCATTGCGTATCTAGTCTAAGCTGTAGATAACTCCTTACTTGTTCGGGCTAATGTTACCTCCAGGGCTACATTATTCAAATTGAAATGGAATTGATCATCTTACGTAGCATCCATTCTAACCTTGGAACCTTGGAAGGTTCCATTCTGACTTGGACGAAGACAGCAGTTGGCGCCTGATTGCTGAGGCCAAGCTATCTCGGACCGAGCTCCGGGTTAATAATCTTCCCTCCGAGCTGTTTCCATTATCAAATGATCTAGCAATACCCAAGATTTGAAGAAAACCAGGGTCCTCATCATCATCTTGAGAGTTACAAGATGTGCGACTACCACCAAACGGGCATTGCTAGTGATCACTGCTCTTCCCAATGATATAGCACCCATCGCTAAAAGAATGTGGCAAATTGCATGAGATCAACGTCCGTAGCCTGCATCAGATGTACGTATCCTACGTACATGTTCCGTATAGAGTATAGTTATCCAACATGTTGATATGGATCTGTCGCACATATTGGTGGTTTAAGCAATGAGTTAGCGTTCAAAATGGGGTGATCCCTGATAAATCAGGCACCGGGCATCTCGTCAACATAGTTCCTCACCTGAGACATACCCAGTACTTGGATGAAGGGGCATCTTAATGTTGATCAACATGACCGTATTTAGAAAGGAAAGGGAAAGACAAGAAGATATAGGGAATACATAGAGACTAAATGGAGAAGAAAGAGCATAAAAGAACTTAAAGAAAAGAGCTTGAACTTACATATGTATGTAGACTGGAGCGGAAAAGTGAGCCGCTTTCCAAACATATTATTACCATACTATCAACTTATTTCGAAGGATATCATAGATCCATTCAAGTCAAACTCATTGATCTTCTTCCAATGTTCTGCCTTAGGTGTCCGCCTGGGCAGTGATGACCAAGATTATGACATAAGACAGCTCTGAGGTCATGTGATCGTCTCTTGTGGACGCCGCGCTGGAAGCTGGAAGCTCCCCAGGCAAGGTGCTATTGCCCTTTCAATCACGATATCCATCCATCTTGCGTCCACGACCTTACACGAAATTCTGAGTTCATATCTGAATTACAGTTCCCCTTTGGCTACCATCCCAACTCGTCCGCACTCGGTGAATCCATCATTCGTCCTTCATCATGAGCGACCCGGAGCGCAGCCAGGCGCTCGAGGACTATAAAAAGAGCTTGCTCGAGCTACGAGAATGGGAAGCCAAGTTGAAGACCCTTCGTTTGGGTATCAAGGATCTTCAAAGAGAGTTTGATGTTTCCGAGGATAACATCAAGGCACTGCAAAGTGTTGGTCAGATCATCGGCGAGGTGCTGAAGCAGCTCGACGAAGAGCGATGTAAGTATCAAAGCTCAAGCTTTCCATTCCAATGATGGTATCAAGAAGCTAATGCGCTTTACAGTCATCGTCAAGGCGTCATCGGGTCCTCGATATGTGGTCGGTTGTCGTTCAAAGGTGGATAAGTCCAAGATGAAGCAAGGCACACGTGTGGCCTTGGATATGACAACACTCACCATCATGCGGATGCTGCCTCGTGAAGTCGATCCCATGGTGTACAACATGTCTCTGGAAGATCCAGGGTCCGTCAACTTTGCTGGTATCGGTGGTCTTAACGACCAGATCAGAGAGCTCCGTGAGGTCATCGAACTACCCCTGAAGAATCCAGAGCTCTTCCTCAGAGTTGGAATTAAACCTCCGAAGGGTGTTTTGCTCTACGGTCCTCCGGGTACTGGTAAGACGCTGCTTGCACGAGCAGTGGCCAGCTCGATAGAGACCAACTTCTTGAAGGGTATGTTCAACTTCTTATAACATCTACACCGGCAGTATTCTGATTAGTCTACTCTCCTTAGTTGTATCCTCGGCCATCGTGGACAAATATATCGGTGAATCCGCTCGCCTGATCCGAGAGATGTTCGGATACGCCAAGGAACACGAGCCCTGCATTATTTTCATGGACGAAATTGATGCCATTGGTGGACGACGATTCTCAGAGGGTACATCGGCAGATCGAGAAATCCAGCGGACGCTTATGGAGTTGCTGAACCAGCTGGACGGTTTCGACTACCTCGGAAAGACAAAGATCATCATGGCTACCAACCGACCCGATACGCTGGACCCTGCTCTATTGCGTGCTGGTCGTCTGGACCGCAAGATTGAGATTCCTCTTCCCAATGAGGTTGGTCGTTTGGAGATCTTGAAGATCCACACAAGTACAGTCCAAAAGGAAGGCGATATCGACTTTGAGAGTGTGGTCAAGATGAGTGATGGTCTTAACGGTGCTGATCTCCGAAACGTGGTTACTGAAGCGTGAGTAACAATTCCTATGTCATAATATGCCGTAAACTCGTTGGCTAACTCTTTATCAGTGGTCTGTTCGCGATCAAGGATTACCGTGACGCTATCAACCAGGACGACTTCAACAAGGCTGTACGGAAGGTGGCAGAGGCGAAGAAGTTGGAGGGCAAGCTTGAGTATCAGAAGCTGTAATTGTATCTACCTTGCGAGGGCTGTTGGCCCACATCATCTGGTGCACGGTTTAGATCTTTATCTTGAAGCGCTAATGCTATGCATTCGACCTATTTTTCTATTGTTGATTCAACTCGGAGTCTGTAGATCAGGGGACCTTAGCAACAACAACTTGCTTGGTAAACAGTTGAAGAATGTAGCTGCTCTAAGGAATTAATGAGAGGACGTTGGGTCCGATTGGTAAATAAATCGATACCCTGTTCATTTACGTACTTCTACATAGTTATGAGACTAGTTACGCGTACAATGAGAAATGATTTGCGGACCCCTAGTGTTGTCTCTCCACTTCCCCAGCTTCCTTCAACCTGCCCTTGCCACGTTCTCGGTTTTAACGCAATTTCGTCTCGACTTGGACTGAATGCTTGTTGTGGCACTTGGCTTTTATCTGCCTCAGGATTGCCCAGGACACGCGGGATAAACTCCGCGCTCCGCATTTCCAGAGAAATTCTCTACGGACCACCATCCCACCAAACAAATCCGTATCGGTGCAAGTTAGTCTTTTTATTCAGATCCAAGAAACCGAATTGTCTTTGCGATAGAGACCTGTACATCACGAGCGCTTAGGAAAGGGTTATACTTCGGTAAGTGTGCGGGTGTCCTTGTCCGAGCTCCTCGTCCCCCAGGGTTAGAATCAAAGCCGACTGACTGTTGCGTTTGAGTAGCAAATACGCTTGAATGAACCGTTGAATTGCAAACTTGATCAACACCAAGCAAAGGCGAATCCTCTGATAGCACCTCGACCTTCTCACTCCCATGTGGCGCACTCGGTAATCGCAAGACCGGCAGAGATTCCCCCACGGAGCAAGAGACCAGATCGAAGAAAACAATGGCCTACCAGCCATCGCGCAGCCCTTTGCCGTCGCGCAGTCCCCTTTGCACCCGCGCAACAAGACGGCTTCTACGGAAACCCCCGTAGCGGGCTCCGCGGATATGGGCTGTCGAACCAGCCCATCCCCCTATCCAATAAAGTGAACGGCTACTTCGAAAAGGACCGCACGCTACCTTTATACAAAGATAAGCCATTCTTTGCGCCGCGGCGCACAGGTCCTCGAAGGAGATGGAGGCCGTTCCTGAACGTGCTGGGTGTGTGTACAGTGTTATTTCTGTTGTATTATTACTTCTACCTCCGCACGTGGTCAGGGCTACAGTCAAATGATAAGGGGGTAGAATTATGGAAATGGGCGCAGACGTTGGAAGACGGGAAAACTTCAGGGGACTTGTCTGACTGGACTGCGAGACGAGAGAAAGTGCGGGACGCCTTCATCGTCAGTTGGGAAGGATATGAGAAGAACGCATGGGGTAGGTCATACAGCCGCCTTGGGTACTATGACAGCGGCTGACATTCTCATCCAGGATACGATCAGTATCGCCCTGTATCGAACGTTAACCAGGAAGACACGAGCGGCGGACTAGGCTGGATGATAGTTGACTCGCTGGACACATTGATGATCATGAATCTGACCTCCAAGGTCCACCGCGCGCGGCAATGGATCTCAACATCGTTGAATTATAACCAGGACCGAGATGTTAATACATTCGAGACAACTATCCGCATGCTGGGTGGTTTGCTGTCCGCACACTATCTATCAACCCAGTACCCCGATTTAGCACCCCTCAATGACGATGACGTCGGTGCTGCCGGTGAAGACCTGTACATCGAGAAAGCAGCTGACCTCTCTGAGCGGCTACTCGGGGCTTTCGAGTCTCCAAGCGGCATCCCATGGTCGAATGTTAATCTCAACACCTCAGAAGGTGTTGTCGTGCATTTCGACGAGGGAGCTACGTCTATTTCTGAGGCTGGCTCGATACAACTTGAATTCAAATACTTGGCCAAGCTGACTGGAGAGGCGGAATATTGGAAGTTGGTTGAGAGAACGATGCAGCTGGTTGACCTGCAAAAGCCGCAGGATGGCCTTGTCCGAAGCGCCATTCATCCTGACAGTGGTTCATTCAAAGGAGACAGGATTAGTCTGGGTGGTAGGGCAGATTCTTACTATGGTATGTTGATGAACTCGATGCTCTGCGATTCTTTATCAGCTGACTCGCTCCAGAATATCTCATCAAGCAATACCTGCAGACATCAGAACAGGAGCCCGTCTACAAAGAGATGTGGGACGAGGCATTGAGAGGCATCCGCAAGCACCTGGTCTCATTCACGAAGAACTCTCAGCTGATGATTATCGGCGAGCGGCCCCAGGGCCTAGACCAGGACCTTGAACCCAGAATGGACCATCTGGTGTGCTTCATGCCCGGAACAATCGCGCTCGGCGCGACCGGTGGCCAGCCCTTGTCCCAAGCCCGAAAGTCGGCGGATTGGACTCAACAGCGCGAGGAAGAGATCCTCATGTCCAAAGAATTAATGAAGACCTGCTGGGCAATGCACCAGGCAACGGCAACTGGCCTTGCAACGGAGATCTCCCACTTCGTCTTTAGACTCGCCGCCAGTGATGATGGCGGACAAGTACCCGGATCCAGTGACGAACCCCAACCGCGCATCCAAACCCGAGGCACTGCGCGGCATTTCCCAGCCCGTCGAGGCGCAAAGCGCTGCGTCCGCGCCCTGGCGCGCGGACATCGATATCCGCCGCAACGACCGCCACAATCTACAACGCCCGGAAACAGTCGAGTCCCTCTTCTATCTCTACCGTATCACCGGTGACGACATCTATCGCCAGTGGGGCTGGGAGATCTTCAAGTCTTTCATCAAACACACAGCCGTGGTGGAGAAGAAGAGCACATCCCGCATTCCTACATCAACCAACACAGCGCCCGTTTTCCGTATCAAGGGCTTTACATCGCTCGGAAACGCGGATGCGGTCCCTTCATACAAGCGTGATAATATGGAAAGCTATTGGATGGCTGAGACGCTCAAGTATTTCTACTTGCTGTTCTCGGATCGTGATTTCATCTCGCTGGAAGATCACGTTTTCAATACCGAGGCCCATCCATTCCCGCGGTTTAAGCCTAGCGGAGATCTTAAGACGGGGTGGGATAGGGTGCCTAGGCAGTAGATTTGCCGGGTGTTCTGCTTTAATGGAGCCTTCGTTGGCTATGGCTTTGATGTCTCATATGTTCTGTACAGCGCTTTTTTCCGTGCTTTTCGTTTGCCCTCTGGCGAAACTTAGAAATGTATACCAACCTTCTGTACATGGCCGTTTACCTTTCAGTAGATAATACTCCTTGTTCAATGGAATATAAAGATAGCCTTTCCTATGTAAGGTCAAGCCACCTCCATTCTCTGCTGGGACTTGAGATAACCAGGCGAGACAGATCCAGTAGCCGAAATTATATACACACAGCACCAGATATCACACCCTTACCACGATGATATGCAACAAGACACCGATCATACGGCCACCTCACCCTTGTCCTCTCTGTCCAGCGCAGCCTCAATCAACTTCTTATAACCAACCACGGCCTCCTTAATCTCGCGGATACTCAAGGCCTCATTATCACCATGAGCAACAAAGATACTGCCAGGCCCGTACAAGTAACGCTTGACGCCATGACCGACAGCCAGATTCGGCACATCAGTACCATAGTTAACAGTAGTAACATCAAACCCATCAACATCAACATCCAAATCCTGCGGCGGGTAAGACTCGCCATGCGAAATAAAGTCCAGAACAACCTCCGCCTTAGCATCCCGAACCGCCTCATCAACAGCCCGCTGAATAATCTCACGCGCCTCAGCAGGCGTACCAGCCGCAAGTCTCACAGCAACATCCGCCAACGCCTCAGAAGGAACAACATTCGTCGCGACACCAGCACGGATAAAGCCAATATTCAGCGTCGTAGGCCCGTACTTCGGGGAGGCAGGCAAACCGCCCTCTTCGACGGGGATATCACCTAGCACATCGATGCGCGAGATCGCAGGCAGAATAGCCGATACGGCGCTCTTGCCCAGCCACGGGTATCCTGAGTGGGCGGCGCTGCCGTGGGCGAGGACCTTGAACCCGAGCATGCCCTTGTGGCCGGCCACGAGGGCTGCCTCGGTTGGCTCACCGAAGATTACGGTGTTGATGGCGTCCTTGGCGTTGAGGGTTGAGTTCGAGAAGACTTTCATGCCGTCGCCGCCGATTTCTTCGCCGACGACGAAGAGAAGGCCGAGCTTGGCGTCTGGTTGTGTGTCTAGTGTTTCGAGGGTTGCGAAGACTTGGGCTGCGACGCTGCCCTTTGCGTCGACGGAGGCGCGGCCTGCTATTATGAGGTCCTCTGGGTCGAAGGTGGTGGAGTCGTCGGGTTTGGGCTGATGTATGGAGTATGGGATGAAGGGGGGAACGGTGTCGATGTGACTTGTGAGAAGGATTGAGGGGGGTTCTGTGTAGGATTTTGGAACGGCATAGATGTTGTAGCGGGTCTTTGTATTCTCCTGGCCCTTCACTGGGGGCACCTCTTGCTTCACCACGGTGAAGTTCCGGGCCTCCAGGAATTGCGCAACGAAGAGGCCGACATCGTGCTCATTGCCGGAGATTGACTCGATCTCGACCAGGTCTCGGTGGAATGATAGTAGAGGTGAATTGTTTATTATATCATCTAGGTCTGCTTGGCTGTAGCTAGACTCGGAGGGCGAGGATGGCACGCCCAGAAGCTGTTGCTGAGGTGCGGGGTGCGGAGAAGCCTGAACACCAGACATGACGGCCGCGGCCGCAAGATACGAAGAGAACTTCATTGAAATATTGGAGTATAAATATGTTCCAATGACTATAATCTTCTGTGTGCGAAACAATTGAGTAACCCCGACAACCCAGAAAGTTGAGTATTATGCGACAGTAGCAGTAGGGCGGAGGTCCGAGGTCGGAAACGCCCGATTATATACGGTCACGTGGATGTATATACTATAGCACAAAAGGATCCATGGATACACATGTAGCTAGGATTAGATATAGAATGGCTTAGATAGTTCCTATTGGATCTTTATCAGGTAGTACTTGTTTGATTGTATGATCGAAGTTGAATTGGCCCGATACGTATCAGGATGGGTCATTTCAGGTCGATATTTATCTGCAACTTCAAAATGTATGCGGAGTATGTTCATATCTAGATGTGAAGAGGTACATGTCGTAATTTGACCCAGGGTTACCACACAGGGTATTACAGTTGCATAAGTATCTGGATGTCGGCACACCAAGGCAATGCAACCTTACATCCGCGATATATCTCCGGCAGGAGGTCAGAGCAGTGAGGCTTTGAGAGAGACCAAGAATAACAGAAGTCCGGCATTTCATTTGAGGAAGCAAGGTGCAGATACCTCGATAAAAGTCTAGTGAGACTGTACATCTAAATCAATGTGCAAAAAAAAAAAACTAAGGGGCTTATATATAGCTAAGCTTTGCAATAAATAGCAAAAGACATGTGAGACCATTGTATACTCAGAGACATCTACATCGCATAGCCATTGGTATCTGTAGATCAATGCCATACCAAGATCTCTTGTTACATGTTTTTATATGAGGGATATTACATATGTAATTGGAAACCTGATGTGATGCGTGATTAGTTGGTCGACTGGTCATAGATACAAACAGACAGTCATCCCAGTTTTGCATGATAATCTTTGGTAAAAACCATTAGTTCAACTCATTGCCCTATGTCGGGCCCACCTGCTTTGAGACAATAACGTTCCCTGCTCGCATTCCCAACGTAGGCCGGCACCAGTATTCCGGGAACATGGAGGGATTCGATCGTTATGAAGCCAAAACAAAGCATAATAATGCTTGGGCACGGGAATACGCCCCAAGTGGGGTGGAACTAGTGTCATATAAGCAATGATCTACACGTTCATGCCAAGGTGATTCTCATAATGTATAAACTATATACGTTATACACGATATAGACTACATAATGACAATAATGAACAGTGATCTGCCACTTCGGTGATATCCCGAATCCAGGTTATTTGGTCTTGATATTAGGTCGTCTCTTAGGACTAGATTGCATATAAATATGGGACTTTATACGCTCCTACAATGGACAATTCTTAAGACATCGCATTGTTCTATTCAATACTTCACCAGCATCCCTATTGCATCAGTTTGACTTGTTTACTGGCATCCAATTCATTTGATCCAAACAAAAACATGGAGTCTCACCGGAAAAGACTGCTTGCGACAACGGTTGATGATCGTGCTGAAACCAATCCCAACCAACGATTTGCAGTTATTCCACGGGGATCGGAAATAAAGCATGGGTTCCAGGACCTTTCAATCAAAGATCTGGCACGGGCCGTGAACTCCATGTGTTGGTGGATTGAAGGCACCATTGGACAGGCACAATCCCCAGAGACGTTGGCCTACATGGGGAGCAATGATGTGCGCTACTTCATATTCATGCTTGCATGCCAAAAGACTGGATACCAGGTAAGGGAATAAAGTCATTAATCTGGAGCTAGAACAGTCCACCTAATTCTCGTAGGCCCTCTTACCTTCCACCAGGAACTCGGACGAAGCCCATGTTCATATACTGAAAGCGACAAACTGCACCAAGTTCTTTTTCAGCGAGGAGCGCCAGACACGAGCTCGCGAGATCCAGAGACTTGTTTCGGCATTGGATATCTTCGAGGTCCCGACTATGGAAATTCTCAGTGATGAGAGTGGTCTGCACCACTATTCGTACACCAAGTCTTATGCAGACGCAGAGAATGACACAATTTGCATCATCCATAGCTCTGGAACGACAGGTAAATTCCATGAACATGTCACCGTGAACCCACGCTAATTCCCGTTACAGGCATGCCAAAGCCGGTGTATCTCACCAACGGCTTCTTCATGACTTTCGATTCTATTTCTCATCTCGCAAAGCCGGCAGGTCGTCAGCCATCTATGTTCCATAATCTGGATCAAACTGAGCTGGTGCTGGCTACGACACCTTTCTTCCATCTAATGGGACTGGCAGCACTTGTGTTCTCAGTATGGTTCGAAGCTCCCACGCTTGTTGGCCCAGATAAGCCACTCTCCGTCGACCATATGATAGAGCTGCTGCGCACTGCCCGCCCGGCCGTCGCACTCTGCGCGCCCTCAATCCTGGAAGACTTGAGCTACTCCGACAAAGCACTAGCTTGTTTGAAAGAGCTCAAATCAGTCTACTTCGGTGGCGCACCTCTGTCCCTAGAGACCGGAGAGCGACTTCGCAAATCCACACAGATCATATCAGTAATTGGAAGCAGCGAGGCCGGCATAATCCCAGCGCTGGTGCCGGAGGATCCAGCTAACTGGGGCTACTTCGAATGGAATGAAGCCTACGGGGTGGATATGCAAGATATCGGTGAGGGTGTATTCGAGATGGTGATTCCTCGACAGGAGAATGCTCGCGACTTCAAGGGCATTTTCCACACATACCCAGATCTCAATTTGTATCCAACCAACGATCTATACACTCCACACCCGACGAACCCACGTCTGTGGAAGTTCTATGGGCGTAAGGATGATGTGATTGTCCTAAGCAACGGTGAAAAGTTCAACCCTGTCGGGATGGAGACTATTATCGAAGGACACCCGCTGGTTGGAAAGGCGGTGGTAGTCGGCCAGTCCCGGTTCCAAGCCGGGCTTCTCATCGAGCCGAGTCATGGAGGACCGGATATGGATGCAAAGGTCTTTGTTGAGGAGATCTGGCCAACAGTGCAAGTGGCTAACCAGAGCATTGCGGCTCATGGCCGGGTGATGAAGAACAAGATCTGTTTCGCAATGAAGACTAAGCCATTCAAGACAACTCCTAAAGGTAGCGTGCAGCGCCGGGCTGTGCTTCGAGACTATGAGAAAGAGATCGATGCAATGTATGCCGAAGACCTCGAGAATGGCTTGGGCCAGTGTCTGCCAGAGACGTTGGACCACGAGAGTGTTACAGAATATATCCGCCAGATTACTGCCCGCGTCCTGGAGAAACCCGAGGTCGCAGATGCTCAGGACTTCTACTCTGTCGGTCTTGATTCCCTGATGACAATTCACCTCTCTCGGGTGCTGCAAAAGGGCATCCAGCTACGTCGGCCGGATGTGAAAGCAGGAGCCATCAGCGCCCAAACGATCTATGGCAACCCAACAGTCGATCGATTGTCTCGAGCCGTAATTGCCATCTTAGATGGGAAATCTCAAGCTGGTATCCCGCGAGCTGAGAAGATCCAGAGTCTGGTGGAAAAGTATACGTCCGATCTTCCAGCACGGGAAGTCTACCCTCAGAATGGATTAAATCTGCCATCGACCGTGATACTGACTGGTTCAACCGGCTCACTGGGAACTTATCTACTGCATTCTCTGCTGAGCAGCGGTTCCATCACTAAGGTCTACTGCCTCAATCGTTCGGATGCCGAATCACGGCAGAAGAAAAGCTTCGAGGAGAAAGGATTGTATCTTGACGCAAACGACTGGAAAGACAAGGTCGAATTCCTACAAGCCTCATTTGGAGAACCACGATTCGGCCTAAACGAGACCAAGTACCAAGAACTTCTCAAATCAGTTGACACCATCATCCACAACGCCTGGAAAGTCGACTTCAACCATTCCGTTGATTCCTTCGAGGACACTCACATCCAGGGTGTGCGGCGCTTTATAGACTTTAGCTTGAGCAGCCGCAGCAACGCTCATCTTCATTTCATCTCCTCAATCGGCACGGTAGGCGCTTGGACCGCAGAAATGGGAGCCCCGATCCCAGAAGAACCGATGGAGGACATTGCGGTCGTTCTCCCACAAGGCTATGGTGAATCTAAGCACATTGCCGAGCGCATCTGTGTCAAGGCCTCGCGGCGATCTCGTATCCCCACGTCGGTGTATCGCGTCGGGCAGATCGCCGGGCCGACCAGCGCACTAGGACAATGGAATCCGCAGGAATGGCTGCCGACTATCATCGCGACGGCAAAAGCGATGGGGAAAATCCCCAACCGACTCGGCTCGACTGCGGTCGATTGGGTGCCAGTGGTAAGCTCCCCGAAGACGAGCACTATATATTGACCAGCTCAGAGCCGGACACGAAAAAAAGAAAAGGAAAGGACCTGCCGCTGATCACACTTTCTGACATGCTTTATTTAGGACACTTTATCCAATATTATAGTGGAGATTGTCAACACACGTCATAGCTGCTCACCCGAAGGACGGCCTGCCGTGTTTCATCTCACGAATCCCGAACGAACACCATGGTCGTCGTTGATCCCGGCAATCCAGAGCCAGTATGCGGTCGAGCCAGTTGCGTTTTCTGCGTGGATTGCCGAGCTGGAGAGTATCACAAATCCCAGCAGTGCAGATATTGTCTCAAAGCCCGCACTCAAGCTGCTGGGTTTCTACCGTAGGCTGCAAGACGAGGCAGTGCCTTGTCTGTGGCGTTGGATGTCCGACGGGCGAAAGAGGCAAGCGCCACCATGAGAACACTGGGTCCGGTCTCTACCTCGTTGATGCAGAATTGGCTGCAGCAATGGCAGTTTTGATTAGATTGAATTATATATTATCTTCAAGAATAGATCTATGTATATGTCCAAGACTTTGTATTTGATGAGCTGCTATCCTGACTTGTGGTCTGACCTGCCAGGCAACCGCACGCACTCCTCTCACATTCAAACCATGTAACCAGAGGCAAAACATACCCTCACCTCAATTCTGCACATTCTTCAGCCTCCAAATAGCTATATCAGCCGAGGCAATCTCAGAATCATCCCCACCTATCAGCAGCTCAGCACCCTCGATTACAGGAATACTCACAGGTTCTAAAGCATAGTTGAGCCCCCAGAGCAAGCTCCCCCTTTTCGCAAATCTCAGCGTAGGTCCAAGGTCATTGCTACTATCCGCTTTTCGTCCCGCAAAATCGGTTATCCTTGCCGCATTAGCGACATCACCCAGATATGACACGAGCACGTCGACGGACGGATTAAAGCCAACGTAATGCAACCCATCCATTGAGCAGGCAGCTGGCTGACCCGGACGATGTGACGAGGTGTATGTCATTGCTACATTGCTCGTACGACCTTCTCGTTCACAGACCACCCACTCCTCCCAGCCTGAGATATTGAACTTCTTTTCCCCATAGGCGACGCCACTACCGGCATAGCTCGGCGGCGTTTCCACGCGGGTGACTCGCATCGGTAGGCGGTCCCGGAGCGGACCTTTCGAGGGGTTGAGACCAGGAGCATAACTGAACGTAGCTGTTTTAGAGCCAGTGTGCGGCCCAAAAACGACGGGGCCGTTGTAATCAGCCAGTGCTTGGTTGAACTTTTCGGGAATAATGGGCAAACTCGGCACAACAACGAGCTTATAGCCGTCAATTGGTTGGTCGGGGCCAATAACATCAACGGAAAGCCCGAGACGGCGGAGAGCGGAATAGAAGTTATAGACAATGTCCATATACTTGACAGCTGGGTTCAAATAGCTGGAGGATTTAGGATCCCACTCCCCACTGTACGGCTCGATAGCCCAAACCTCGGAAGAAACATAGTCGAATATGAGGGCCACATCTGCTTGGTGGTCCTGTTCTTCATCGATACTGAGTGCATCCTTTAACTTCGGTAGATCTTCGTTTACCATGGTCTGAAGCTCGAGGAATCCTTCGTCTGCAGCACCGTCCGGGATGAATAGACCGGACAGCGTCTGCTCTTGTGCGTAGGGGACCTGACGCCACCGGAAATATGACACTATATCACCAAAATCTGCGTACGTTTCGTGCGTCCAAAGCCGCACCATGCCACTCAACGGAGATACCCGGTAAGGACTCCAATTCAGAACGCCGGTTTGCATCTCCATGACGCCGAATGGCCCGGATGTTTCATTGTATGCGGCACCCGCAACACCGCGATACAGAGCGTGGTGTAGCGCCTGCCAATCCGGTAAACCAGTGCGCAGATATTGTACTTGATCTTCTAGAGATAGCCACGAGAAAGAATCCGGACCAGAGAGCGGATACTCGTCGAACGTTGCGAGGTCGAGTCCCACCTCACGCGAGAACTTGAAGTGATCGAAATCTGTGAAGCCCATCATGAAATTGTGTGTGATGAAATGTGTAGGCGCATATTGCCTCAAAATTTCCGACTGTTCTCGCGCAAATTCGATCACCATGTCCGAGCTGAATAAGTACCAATCGAGAGCATGATCAGGCTGTGTGGTGTAGACTTCCAAAAATGGCGGCTGAACTACATCAAAGCTGGTATATTGGTTCGACCAAAATACACGGCCCTGGGCAGCGTTGAAATTATCGATAGTGCCGTACTTAGTCTGTAGCCATGTCCGGAATCGCCTGATGGCGTTATGATCGTAGCTTTGCACGGTACCATGACACCCGAACTCGTTGTCCAGTTGCCAGCCCGCTACGGCGGGGTGGTTGCCGTACCGCTCAGCCAATTTCCGCGTGATCTTTTGGCTCAGTAGACGATAATCAGTCGAGGATGTGCTATAGCCACGGCGTGACCCGAAGAGCAATGTGGTATTGGTGTTGTCTACAAAGCTGACGTCGTACTTCTCCGTGAGCCAATTAGGCGGAGCTGCCGTGGGCGTCCCAATGATTGCTTTAAGTTGATATCGACCGAGCAGTTCAAGAGTCTTATCGAGAAGGGTGAAATTGTATTGCCCCTCAGTCGGTTCTAGGATGGACCAGTCGAACTCGTTTACTCGCACAAACGATAGGTTGGCATCTCGCATCTGAGCAATATCGGACTCCCACATTTGTTCTGGCCATTGCGACGGGTAGTAATCAACAGCCAAATGAGTCCCGCGTGGCCAGCGTTCGAGGGAGGGCGCGAGCGGTAGCTCATCTTCTGATAATCCGGATGTTCGACGCCGAGTTGTAGCGCCGACAGCACAAGCAGCAAGTGCGGCAGGTGCCACTAATAGGCGAAGTAGCATAGTCGCAGAGAAAAAGAGGGAAGCCAAAGGACTGGTTTGGTTTCCGGGACTTGCAGGCCCTCCATAATTGCTGTACTAACTCATCTATATACGTATATTGTCCACCGGTTAACGTAGAGAGCCGGAGATATCGCTATTGTTATGCGGGGGTGGCGTGCTGATCGCGGGGAAGGTGAATGTATAAGTTAACTAGTGGCATGTTAGCTTTCTTTGCGACATTAACACTGGAGGGTCCCAGATATGTTCCACTTGACGATCAGCAGAGACTATACCTCAAGTGCCATCCATCTCCGTGTCTGGCTAAATAATCCATCAGTATGCCAAATCCCACCAATCGAAGCTGATATCCCCCAGGTCAAGGTCCAATTCAAGGGTGTTCTCCGCTTTCTTCCTCCATTAAGAACGAAGCCCCAATCCAAACAGGCTGGCTTGGTTTAGACTTTAGAGTATAACGGTTGATATAGGCCCGTCGGTTAATATAATTCTGTCGGTTATGGGTCTATTGGTTGATATACTCAACTGCAGGGAAAGTCAAGACCACTGCAGACAGCTGTACAAAATCTCTTCCTGCATATTGATGAATTTGGATTTGGGCAAAGAACGCCGTGTCCCTCACAAAGAGCCACTGACATCTATTTAAAACCAGCTGGTAGCTCTTACTCAAGTCTTTCCCTCAAGCTCCACCTACTAATGCAGCATAGGTGCGGTCCAGATGCGCTACTTGGGATCATCGACAGCTAGAGAATGCCTGAACGAGACTTGTTGCTTGATCCATGTTCTCTTTTAACACATTGACCAAGACATACTGTCCCGCTTCGAAGAAGCAAGTCTCGTGACGCTGCTGCAATGCTGAACGTAATGTTCTGTTCTCTTTTTCTCATACGAGTGAGCAGTCGCCAGTGGATATTCTGGCATGCTGTGCCAGTTCCACTGGACTTGAAGTCGGCCGTTTCGAAACATCCCATTGTGACATATGCGAAAACCGTGAGAATCCGCCATAAACCCGGTTCGTGAGCTAATATACTCAAGAGGAACTTCAAAGCACTACGTGATGTTACCCTCGAACGGTCAGGCAATCCAAAAGGATGTATATATGCTATCCAATCCGATTTATCGAAGAGTATCCAGGATACTGAATATAACATTTAGGGTTTCTGCGCGGATGTCTGGGCTTGGACCACCGAACCAGGTCGGAATCTTGATTGTACTCTGATCCTTTGTCTCCGCTTCTAGGATCAGAGTGAAATTACGGTCTAGCAGAAAAATGTGGTATCAAGTCTGCGCCTTAACTGGACTTTCTTAGCTAATCCAGTGCAGTACCCATGGACAGCCGTAATAGCGCCAAGCTAAGAGTCTGAATTGCACCGTTTGAACACAAGAGGAATAATCTATACAAAGGTCGATTAGCATCAACCTTGACTTGGAGATCCCTATTTATTGTGTTTTTTGTAAGTCTGAAGGTCCCTAAGGACCACCTTCGTGGTAAGATGGCACGAACCTCGGACCTGAAAATCTATATTTCTATCATACTTTCACATGCGATCAAGCCAACTTCTGAAAAAGGTGGGCCCTACAAATTATTCACAACTCCGATGCGTATCATAGGATCCTGGGCCTGGAGAGGTAAGTTGCACCGTAGTCTGACGCCTAGCTGTAGTACCTCTCGAAGGCTCGAACCATCTGAGCGAAGCGAGAAAGGCTCGAGAACTTTGAACGCACAAGCCGAGGTTGTCGACCTCGGGACGAGGCCTTGATCGGAGGGGCACCTATCACCTCGGGGCTATGGTCCCTAGCTGAGACTAGGGCCTGGCATATACCGCTGCAGCGACAATCGGACCTTCCGATTGTTATGATATTTGCCCTCGCGCCCACTTGGGTGGGCACCTGCCCAGGTGGGCAGTTAATTGTTATTATGTAATCAATTTATGAGATCACGTGAGTGACGACCCCTCAATTACATCGCTACCTACAACATGTATGTAGGTACCTACATATGTAGATTCCAGCTGGACAAAATACATCAGAATGCTTCATACCAGCCATAGCTATACCACCAGCCATAAATCTTGTTTTATTGAACATAACCTACCCCGTGATCGGAAACGCCTTCCAATCCTCCAGGGCTCCAGGGCTTAAATGGGTGATTACCTCAGAAACCCACAGCGATTAGGTTTTTTTTTGCCTTTGTCATTTTGTTTTTGCCTTTTGCCGGGTGGCGGTGATTGGCCACCCAAGCTAGCCGACCCAACCTATACCATTTTGGGCTACAGTGTGGTCTTTTCTGTCCTAGTGACATGCAGGGATGCCTAGCGAGAGACGGGATCGCAGAGATCTCCAGGGCATAAAGAAGAAAGAAAAGGACCTGGTATATCACAATAATCGACAAGTGAAGAATAAAAGTTGACTTGTCAAGCCAGTCCCAGCGGAAACCCGTCGGGCTTGTACAAACCCGAGAATCCATCTCGGTTGCTGCGCCAAGGCTCGCCTCACGCCCCCAAAGGCACACCCGGCGGGCAAAGGCAGTGGCGCCAAACACCATACCATGGCTTACCTTTTCCCTCTTCGCGCCTCTCCAATCATTATGGAAGAATGGAATGTTCCCCGAATTCCCCGAGAACGTTGGGTGGTTTGGGCCATGTGGACCTGACGTCTGGTGCCAAAGGTGAAGGGATTTGCGTTTTCTATTCTATTTCCCTCCCACGGTACGTAGGTACCTGATGGTCACTCCTGGGCTATGATTGGATGGCAAATTGGATGGCAGTTTGCAGTTTTCTCTTCTAGTATCACTGCTGTTGTAAGTAGTGTTCTGATGTCTGTCGCAGTCCAGGTCTAGTTCGGAGTTCGCACAAGTTATCGTAGGACGGAGCACCAATATTATACCTAGCCGTGCCCTACAGAATTTCGAACCGATAACCCTCCATTGTGCTACCCTACTCGTCATACTCGGACAAAGTTCTGACCTCTACGGGACGGGACCTTGTCCGCAGTTGCTCAACGTTGTCGGAGCTCTAATACAAACGGGGTGGATGCACCAGCCCGTGTATACAACAACAAGTTGTAGAATGGGGATGGGTATACCCAGTGGTTATTCTGGGCCAAATGATAATCGAGTGCTCCATACGGCATACGTACTACAGGGTAAACAGACAACTGGATAAATAAGGATAATAAGCGGGTGTGTCCAACACCTTTTTCCCCCGAATCAGCAGGAGCGAATCAGCACCGATAGACTGGGTTAAAATAGCATCATAATGGTTCCCCCTCTTGAACCCACTTCAGTCTAGATTGCCGATCGCACACACAACTGGATTTTGTACCCGATTGAGGAAAGGGTCCTGGGAGGGTATCAATGTCGAACATTGGGCTACACAGCATATCTGTGTAGCCGTTGGGGGTGGTTTGAAAAACAATCGAATTAGATGGGATCATACATAAATAAATACTGCACATACAAACCTTAGGTAGTATGGGATTAAAAATCAATATACTAAAATCAATAATAATAATAAAAGAATAAAGAACCCTTCCAGACTCTTGAATACCATGGTTCAAGCAATGTCTGTCACCGGAACTCGGCGAGCAAACCTTGGGAATGTGTTTGGATCGGCGAGTTTAGTCAGTTCCAAGGTTCAAAGTTGAGGTTAGTCAACTTTTTTCTCTTTAGGAATTCGATGGAATTCTCCACTAACGGTTGTTTGGAAAGTCTAGACAGTCAGTTCTCTGTCTGATCTCTGATTTCTCACATATTCTCTCTCTCATCTTCATCTACCTACATAGGTACTCTCATCTATCCAAAAAGGGCCAAGGTAGCGAATCTGTACTACCCAGGATCTCCCTGTTCGCTTGGTCCGTTTGCCGATTGTAAGCAAAAAGCACCGAAACCTCTCTTTCTGCCCAGCCAGTTGGTCTCAACTTGTTTGGTCCACGTCGCTCGGTGGAATTCGTTTTCTTTTTCCTTTTTTTTTTTTGTATTTCTGAATTTACTGTGTATTTTTGGACTGTTTCCTGCCTGGACGATAATCATTTGCATTTCCCATCTTCATCGGATGCTAACTGGCCCTTGACATCAGTTCCCGTGTTTCCCGGACTATTACTATACACTCTTTCTCTCATCACACCGCCACGTCCTTTCCCGCCCAAAGGCCATTAGGGAATGACTTGTTGAAATTGGAGCGTTGTCTCTTTATCTTGTGGTCACCCCTCACATCCAATGCTGAACTGCAACCATCTACTGTATACCAGCCACCCCGTCCACCAGCGACGCTCACCTTGTGAGAATGTACAAACTGTCTCAAATAATCGACGCGACACGGGAGAGTCTCGACGCGGACTCATCCTTACGCCAGCCGCATTCCCCATTGACTATTAATACCTCCGCGCCGGCCTCGCCTGCCGTCTCTTTGTTCTCCGCGGGCCACAACCGGGTCTCCAGCTCTGTCTCTTCCCTCGTGTCTTCATCGGGTCTGGGGAATTCAATGGAAAGTCCCAGTCGGAGTCATTTGACCGGAGTCAAGGAAGAGGAATGCACGCGCGACTCGTTGGAAGATCATTATTTCCGTATGTGCCAATCGCCGCCGCGAAAACTCCCCGGTCATACTGCAGTTGCTAACCTAGGCTTTCCTATAGAGCATTTCGACTCCGGCATGTCGGCGGAAGAGTCATACTTTGCTCCTATTGATAACTCGGATAGTTACGATCTGAGCGATACTGGCATGGAGACTGCCCCATCACCGAAAAAGAGACGCTCAGGCTCAGAAAGCGCGTCATTCAAGGGCGTCTCGCGCATTAATTCGCACATCTCGACCATGTCGGCACGGTGGAAGAACAAGCGATCCTCCAGTGGCGCAGAAGGCGATATTTTCCCGGATGATCTACGATCGCGCGCGAACTCGGCGGCCTCCTCCGCCTTGGCAAGCCCCATCACTGGCTCCATGCCAATGAGCCGGGTCGACTCTATCCCCCCTTCTCCCGCGCGAACGATCTTCGAGGAACGCCTGAGCGAGTCCGGCACGCGCCCAATTGATATCACCCGAGCGAACAGTCTCAGCCAGGATGACAACGATGGGCAGAAAGCGACGACCCCTCTCCTACCACCGTTCATGGGAGACGACCCAACCAGCGTTGTGGCATCCCGTGTCCAATCACCCCTGCAGTCTCCGTCCGTCGCAGACGCAAGCGAACCACACTTTAACTATAATGTGACCTCGGACCCGCGGTTTATGGGAATTCTTCCCTCGCCACCACTCTCGTCTAAGCCTTCCGTGGCCTCCTTCAACAGGCCCCGAGCCAGCACCGTGCGCACAGTCTCAGGCGACGCAACTCCCCTCGTACTCTCTGATCCCAACGATGAGTGGGCCAACAAACTCGGGCACGCCAACTTCACCATCACGCCTGAGCCTTACGACCCTGTGGTTTGCGATATCGGCAATTTCCGACAGATGCGTGCAGACTGGGACATTGCGCGTTGCAACTTTGCCAAGCACCTTGTCCGCACTGGCGAACACTACGGCGTCACCTCGAACATCTACAAGCTCACCATCGAGAAATGGGAATCAATCAACCGCGAGTGGGCAACGCAGCACGAGGCCATGCGCGACCAGCTTAGCGCTGTAGATGGTGTTGCTCTTACGCTCACCCAGTCTAATATGCACCCCTGCCAGCAAGTCCGCATCCCCCGTCTGCATGACAACGACAAGTTCCCCGACATGGGGGATGAGGATATTGTCGGCCCAATGACTGTGGCACCGGCTACGGAGATTGCAGGTCCCTGCCGTTCTGAGAAAAAGAGGAATTTCTTCCGCTTTTTCCAGGACTTGGTCTCCCGAACTTGAGACCTGAGTCATTTCGTTAGGCTCTTTTCTTTTTCTCATCTTTTCAAGCGATCTGCAACGATAATGACGATAGATTATTCCCCGTGCGCCTTGCCTTGACTCGTTCAATCTCGCCCGCACTGTTACGACTAATGTCTCTCTTTTCATCATTTTTTTGGAACTTTTGTTTTATAATGACTCTCATGACTCACGATCCGGTCAGCGACTACTGTTCTCGCCCCGAATCATGCCATTCCTTTGTCTATATCCCGAGTCTTGTCTTTTCAGGGGGGGTTATCTTTTCTTCCATTTCTTGGTCCTGGATGTCTTGATTTCCATTCAACGGCCGACACGCAAGAAAAAGAACGAAGAGTTAACCCCCCAAACTGACTGGGTGTACACCCTTCCTTTCCTTTTATTCTGTTTCCATTATATACTATACCCCCCATACACCATGTCTACCTGCCGTTGTACCCCATAGACTTCAACCCTATCCACCCACATATCTGCTCCACAGCAGACAAAAAGCAAAAAACACATCTGAAAAAAGTACCATGTTTCAATATGTATATATCCGGCTTCTTTTCCGCTATGGCGGCTTACAATACGCATATGATTTATCATATGCACATGTCTTATAATTTACATCTACCTTCACATCTACATTTACTCCCAAAATGAACATAATCCTATGAAATACCGTACATGTCACTGGAAGGGATGACACGGTGCATAATAGAATCCTCGTGGAGACACTATGATGTACTATCCATGTTAAAGCGGGTATATGAGTCACATGTACAATAACACGGTGGAGAGAGGATGTGAGCTGTTAGTGGGTCGGCCACGTTGTGAAGCTACCGCTATTCCCAAGGGACTTTTTACTTTACGTATTATACAGTGGGCTTTTGATACATAGACTTGTACAAGTCTATGATCCACTGGAGACATGTCTAGATTGGGACATTGAGCTTAGTGCGCTGGTTCCTGTACCTGCGCCTTGGCTTGGCAAAGAGTGTGTACCTTTCACTTCAACATGCCACTCCAAATCCGAGATACTGGTGCTCTCAAACTGTACGACGCTGTGCGCAATGACTCCATCGACGTTGAGTCACTGCTATCTTCAGGCATCAATCCCAATACCTGAGTAATAGACTGGGACCCTACCTTCTCAGACATGCAAACCATCCTACCTCTGGAATTCTTCTCAGGCGAGTATCAATTTCCCAGTCTCCTTAGAGCTGCCAAAGGTGAAGTGCCGGGATCAGGCAGCCTCGAAAAACGAAGGACAAAACGACTCATGGCAGCATTGCTAGAGCAGGCGCTGACCCATATGCACTATTCCCTCAATTTATGTGCACGCATCCAAACGTACCTTATTTCCTAGGACAGATTCTGGAAGAAGAATGGCTTGATGAGGACATAGATATTCAATCGGACGAGCACACAGAGCAACAATCCAGAAAGCACTCTCGTGTGAACGTCGACGACAACTTCTTGAAGGAGTTCCTAGCAACAAGGTAGAAGAACTAGTTGATCCAAATCGCCTTGAAAGGGATGATGATTCTGCAATCGAGTATGAACCTCGCTTCCTCGAAAAGAAGGTGCTGCAGCGTGATCCATGCAATGCTCAAAGGCCTCTTCATCCAGCCCATGATCGAATATCTCGACGATAAACTAGATATCGAACGAGACCCACAAGGCCAGACCCTATTCCTCGCAGCCTGTCGAAGCAAAACAGGCATAGATGGCGCAGTCGACGGCTTCTATACTGGCCTCTGTGGCTCAAGATAGGAATGGGCGGACTCCTGTTGATATCGCGAGAAGAAATGAGTATGTCTCTCTCTACAAGTGAGTTAGGTGGAACTTTAGTTATCAAATTTACAAAGTAGAATACCGACATGAACAGCTGGAGTGAGCTTCTGATACATGAGTCTTGTATCATCCGCCTGAGACATGTCCATATTTGGATATTGAGCTTATTGCGGGTACTGATGCCTGTGTCTGTCTTTGCTTTGTTAATGAAGGGTTTGTTTCAAGATTTAGTCTTGATATGTGAGTCAGAGTCTTTTTTTTTTTTCGGATTCAGATTGCGTCAGCTGGATCCAGTCGATTGGAGGTGTCACTAGGCAACAATGGAGTGTAGATTGTATTAAGGTTTGTGTGTCTGGGTCCGATATATTGATTACTATCAAGACTACATGACGTATACCTACCTATAATATCTACATGTAGTCATGTAGATTTAATTATGCGCCAACTTCGGGAGGATGTAGGTCACGTCTGGAACGGGCATGAGCCGGGGAGCACGATAATGAGCTTTGCTATGGCATATACAATAATCCCATACCCCTCTTTCAGGGTCCACTGCAGAGCTGAGAATGCTTGGATCTAAGATTATCGCAGAACCGAGACATGCATTGAACCCAGTCGAGATCAACATCCGCATTTTTGAGGTCAGGGAAACCCCGCCAACAGGCAATAGGTCTGTGGATACGAGCCGTGTTTCAGCTTCAAAGGATGCAGATAAGAGATCAACATGGAGATCAACGCAAGGCAGTCAGATCTAATAAGCCACGGGCGTGAGTAGTAGACAACAGTAGGCGTATATACCAGTCCTGGTCACTAGTACTTTCAAACCCAGTACTGGCCCCAAAGGCCCTTCGCCTCTTCGCTGCCGTGGAATTGAAACTCGACGGGGATGATATCATCAAAGCCCTCGTCCAGCGTTGGTGCGCGGAAGCGGCGGGCGAAATCGCCGAAGGCGATGCCGGGAAGGGAAGTTCGGGATTCGGGGTTCTGGTTGGGATAAGAACGAGTTTGAGATTGAGATGGAGATGGAGATATTGTGAATACATACCAGCTCTTTGTTGGACGCTCGAACGGCGTTGTTATGCCGGCATAGTTCTGGCGTCGAGATAAATTGTACGCAACGGATGGGGATGCTAAGCTCTTTTGCGAGAGCTGTCCAGTGAGCTCGCGTTTCTGGGTCGGCATTGGTGTTATCTAGACGGTAATCGAGTTAGATCGTTTGGAAACTGAAGCTAAGGTAGAAATAAAAGCCAGGACGTACCGACTGCCACGGACTTCTTGGCCTCCAAGTACTCGCGGGCGACCTTGAGGCATTTCGGACGCTGTTGCTCATTAGCATTCGATTCCAGTTTCATCCCGAGTCATTTATGACTCGTACCGTCTTGAGAATATCTTGGTTGACTCGTTCATAGCCTAGAGGCTCCAAGTGGTTCCAGTAGAAAGTGGACTTCCCAGCACCTGGGCTGCCGCAGAAAATAACAAGTTCAAGTGGGTGCTTGCGAGTAAAGGGTTTGGCTGCGATGAAGACCCGTTAACAATCCGCCAGAGTTGGGTTTCTTGCGGGGAATGTCAAGTTTATTGGAAGTAACAAGACAGCACATACCCGGCTCTTCGAGATCCGACTTTACGAAGGACATAGGGTCAAAGCCCATCGACGCGGGCTCCGTGATCTGCCCGAGGAAGAACTCCTCCGGGGTCTTAAATGGCATACCGATGTTGGTAGCAAATCCCCTAGAGCCGAGATCAGACTTCGTTACGACATACAACAGTTATGATGCTCTTACCGATCCACAGCTGAATGATCACCAGGCCTTCCAGCTGCATCACCGACGAAGACCGACGCGGGCAAGTCAACACCTGCAACATCGAGGTCATAGTCGTCCAGGAACTCGTGCCACATCCCGAGACGGGGTTTCCTATATTCAGGGTCTGTGGTGGCCGCGTAGACGCTGATGGGGAAATCCAGTTCCGTCATGACAGCGGTCATCTTTTCCTTAAAGTTCGACAGACTTTTTGAGTCACTCCGTCCACCCTTGATATCCTTCTGGACACTGATCTTCTTTTGGTTGGAGAAAATCACCACTTGGAAGCTGTCAAAGTATAAGCTCGAGTGAACCCAACTAATCCTATACCCAGAGTCTGGACATACCCTTCAGCATTGAGCTCCTTCAGTCGACCCGGGACTTTGGCATTCCACCATTGCCAATCAGTGGCAGACTTGGGGAAGACATTGCCCGATTTGGTTCTGATCAAGGTTGAATCCTGTATATTGACGTTAGTAGGGCCCTGCTATCTCTCGGTACCACCTTTCTAGCGTTCGGTTCTAGCCACTGACCAAATCAAAACCAGCGATTCGGCGCTGTTTCCCCGTGGGAGGGACAGCCTTGCCCGTTATTTGCTTTCCGATGATAACACTTGTGCCGATGACGCGCCATGTGATCGGTTCGGGCTTCTTTTGCGAGGCCGGGGTGAAGAAGTTTGCCGCCGACCTCTCTGTGGGTTGATTTCTATTAGCGGGTGCGACATGTTGTTTGATGGGAAAGACTCACTGGTCACCGTCGAGTCAACCTTCCGGCGCAATGGCGGTGGAGATATGGCTCGGGTGGGGGAGGCGCTTCTCTTGGCTGCCCCCTCGGCCATTCTGACAGCTCTAGCGAGTGAAAACGTGGTGAGGGTTTTATGGGTGGATTTAGATGTGTGTTGGTTGATTCGATCGGTTTTCGCTGAGAGTTGCAGTTGCATCCGAGATATGGTTGGACGCGCCGAGACGCGGGAGGAATCACGAAGTCACATGTTCGTGAACATTTTAAAGTGAACATTCTACAGCAAGCAACCTTCCAAGGTTGGAAATGATTTAACTTGCGTAATCCCGCTATTAAAGGTTAGCCAATACCTGTCCCTGGGGCCGCTTCTTGTTGTCTGACCTGCCCCAACCTCCTTGGTGGAAATATGACTTCCCATAGGACAACAATGCACCTAAGAAGCGCTTCCTTAACGAACATGGACCCCTCCGAAATTCATATCCATGGATTATTAGGCAGATTACGTGCTCTGATGCGTCGGCAATATTCGAGGTAGATCTGGATGGACAAAAGTATGCATTGAAGCTTTTCCACGATAACGGCGACCCTGGATATACCCAAAAAGGTCGTGATCTGAACCGATTTCGCTGCGAATTAAATGCTTATAAGAAGCTTTCTCTTCTGGTGTCTGTGCGTGCGGTTTCGTGCCAAAATTCTACAGCTATATCAATCGAATGGATCCTATAGCATTTTGTCCTACTTTTCAACATTTTGCCCGAGATAAGCTAAAACGAGAGCAATATTGCTAGAATATCTCCCAAATATAGAGAGTTCGAACTGCGTGAACTACTCGGACACGCTCTATACCCAGGCAATTAAGGGCATATAGGAGATATATAGGGCGGGTATTCACCACCAAGACATCTACCCTAGAAACCTTCTCCTTGTCCGTAGAAACCCCGATAGGCTGGTCTGGATTGACTTGTAACGACCTTCACCGACTTTGGACCTGAACAGCTGGCCCGCTGTGACTACGAAATTGCGCTTGTGAAGGGATTTGCGGAAGCACTAGTATAGGTTCCGTTGCTATCTACGTTGGAAGCATTTAGTGTGCTAACTAACGAATATAGAGAGATGACCAGGCTAAGGGACTCCCGCCGAATACAAAATTTTACTAAAGGGTTCCATAGGGGTGTAAATATTCTGATAATGTTTGATCACGTTTACGCGTTCTTTCTTGTAGCAGATATCAGTCGGGACGGAGTTTCGAGCAAGGGCCGTTTTGATTTAGTTTAATCCTTTCTAATAATCATGAATTAACACTTATATCCCCAAGTCGCTCTCGAAGCCAATTGGATCCTATCTTACACTGTTTTCGCTGCGATCCTCGTCTAAAATGATTCTCTACCAAATGAAAATGTACCTAGTAGCAAGCTAAAATCCCTCTCCGCCTAATAGCTACTTAAGCCAGACATCAGGGAATGTCTCCAATATCTGGGGGCCGAACGTAGTACGCTTCCCAGTCATCCCGATCCCGCATCTTATGAAACCCTGGCAGCTCTACCCAACGCCAGCACATTTTCATCCAACCCACATCGTTCTGGGTACACCCCTCAATAGGCTCCTCTGGCTCAGACACATCGCCATTCGCAATGTCTTCTTCAGCAGGCATCTCTGGTTTCCATTCGGCATAAACCACACGAACAAATGCTGCCTCATCTTCATCTTCGGGGGCGCTCAAAACCGAATCCATAGCTTCCTGATCCACCATAATGAAAAACCGGTAGCGGCCGGTACATGCTTGGTAGTCTTGAGCAACACCCTGTTCCTCCTTTAACGAAGTCTTAGCCCACTCATTGAAGTGCTCGCGTAGAGTAGCGACTGTCGCGCCCTCAAAGGAGGGGTTTTCCAGGACCGTTGGAGTGAATGTGTCGAGGAGATCAAGGCCATTATAAAATTCAAGGTATTCTGGGACGGCGCTCACGAAGCGAGCCATAAAATTCTCCCAGGCAGTATTGTTTTGGAATGTGCATCGATAGATCACAAAGCCCCATTTTTTGAATCCGTCCTCGTCAAGCAGCTTCTCGAGCCGGTCCGCCGCATTCCGGCCGGCATCCATTGTGGGATCACGTTTCGAGCGGACCATTGTTGAAAATGTGGTAATGGTATTCCCGAAATGTGGTGATATAAACGCAGGCTTCGCGAGACGCGAAAAGCGGCTAATGGGAGCAGGAGAGCGAACAATACTCGGGCTGCTGGAAAGGGCAGATTGGCTGTAGAGGCGGGGGAACACAGAGCGTGGAAAACTTGTAGTTCGAAGGAATTTTCTTGTAATCATAGGTGTGAAGGTCCCTGTTTGTCACGAGGCGACGAGAGGTAAGAGTGGGAAAGAAAGGAGCATGATCCTAGGAGCAATAATTGAATTTAGCTCTCTGACTCAGCATGTCGTAGGTTCATTAAAAAAAAAAAGCAGCTAGCTGGGTTTGATCCAGAACAAGACAGGCAAACGTAGTTAAGTGCGGCGGCGTTGAAGAAGTGAGAGGCCGCTCATTTTCGACGGCCTTAAGTGGCCGATTCAACGCGTTTAAGCTCTCGTCATAGTAGAGTGAGGAAACGAATGCTCTTCAAAAAATGATATTAGAAAATGGGTGGATTGGTTGATCCTGGACCATTGCACACGACGAACTCGATAAACGTTGAGTAAATAGGAAGTCAACAGTTGTTGATGGCAGTGTTAGTGTTTATGGTCCTTATCTTCAGCGCATGTCACACGTTAAGTACGTTCTTGGTGAATGTTTTATTCGTTCGAGGAAGTCATAAGAAGTGAACTCGGAATAACTCATTTTGATATCCCCGGATGTGAGAAAGGATGTCACAGCGCTGGAACGCACGCCCTTGGATGAATCGATTTTGGCGTCAAATCCGGCAAGATCTGGTTTTGATCTTCCTTGGGGGTTTGGATTCTTTTTTCCCGTTGGCTGGTGTGCATATAGGCTGCGAGGGTTTACCACCTGGACAGGAATATGGGCGTTGGGTATTTACTTGGGACAATAGAAATCATTGGTCATATGTTGTATAAGCTTCTGTATTCGCTCTTACCTTGCAAAGGGAAGGAAAATATCCAGTGGACTTGATTGCTATGAGGGGTATATTTCTTCTTTTCCTCCAAGAGATGTCTATCAACGCCATACCGTCGCTGGAGACCGGGTATCTCGTAGTCTCCAGCATGCTCAAATAAACTGAAGTAGGAGTGGTCATCTACTTCGCCCGCGTGTCAAGAGACAATCGATCTGCCTGCTCCAGGAGAACCGCTGACTTCAACTGCTCGCGCAGGCCAAAGAGATGCTGCGAGGCAGTCTTCATTGTTTCTTGATTGCTACCATCCTGAACAATGATGAAGGCCTGCAGCACATAGCTTCCGCTCTTCTCAAACAGAGTCATATCCTTTAAAGCAGGCAGCTGCCGCCGGGGCAGGCTCGACTCATCCCCACCGGGATAGTGCAGCACGCGGTGCAAGAAGATAGCAATGTCATTGAGGACGAACATGTCACCCTCGACCACGTACTCAGTAATGAAACTAGAACAGACAGGGTTAGTGCGCGATCATAAGATCGACCTCGGTGGCGCCACTCACTGATAGCCCCACGCATTCATAGCTTCCACGATATCTCCCCGCGGCAGCGTCGCGCTCGACATCAGACGCGACGTCACCGCTGATCGGGTGCCAGCTTCAGGGATATCACGAAACTCCAACTTCCATGGTTGACGTTCATAGTCGTAAGATGAAGATGAAGGATCATAAGGTTTGGAGTCGTCCATACCGGCCATCTGAGTGTCTCGATCGACGGGGGCAGTGGATCCGAAATCTGATTCGGAAACCGGACCAACCACCTGGGTGTAGTACATGTTTCCATTGAGCATCTTGTTCAGCCGTTGCAGGTCCCCCTGTTGGAGGTCCTGACTGGCTCCGATGCGCCCCGCCATACCTGGTTTGCGGTAGGCCTTGAAGATCAGCCGCCGTTCTAGGCAATGGCGGGGCTGCATGGCGGTCAGTCCGGCAAGCTGCTGAAGAAGCTCATGATGTTGGTGGACTGGAACCGAGGCGAAAAGCGACTGCTCGTGCATATTGTCTGATGTGTCCCCGGGTGTGGGAAGGTAACGGGTGAAGTCGGGATGTGTTTAGTCAGGGTCCAAGCTTCAGAGTGGCGCCTGTCCAAGGAACGTTATCAGCAAGCTCCTAATTTTATGTGTCGCAGCTATTGCTAATAGCGTCTCAGGGCCCTGTTTGTCCTGTTTGATTTAAATTTTATCTTCTTGGCAGTTCAATCTTGCGACTTTCCCGAAATATTGGACACTTTCCCGATGCTTGTGAACCCCCTCAGGAATATCAATTCCGGTGCAAGGATGACTCGTCGAGGATCTTATCCAGTCACAAGGATGGTCTTTTTGTCTCCGATGCGGGGGAGGTCTAAGCTGTGTGGGACAAATAAGCTTGAATGAGTTATGGGGAAGAATTGCCAGGGAATGCAAAAGAGGGATGATGATTGGCGGACTGGAGGTTTCAAAGAAAGGGAAAAGGTAGTTCGGCACTGAAAAGGCACCAAGAATGAGGAGGAGCTCGTGAGGGGAGCTCACCGGAGTCTCAGACTGGGAAAGGATCGGAGAGGAAGATGGCTTCACAATGGGGAAACACGGAGTGTGCTATTGCCAAGATGGAGGCTGCATCGGAATCTCATCCGGATGCGAAGTACTTTGAGTAGGTCCTACAATTTTTAGGTGCATTGAATATTTTCATTTTCGATATGGCGTGACATACATATGGTATATTGTACTGGGTACTCCGTTCCAATACAATGTTGTACTCTGTATATTGTAGTCTGTATGTAGATGTACTCGATTCTACCGTGTAGATATGTACAATATTGGAGGTGAACATGCATTTCGCAGTTTACCCGACTCCGAATCGGCTTGTCCCAAAGCAGTAACCCTTCCCTTCTTATCTTCTCGCCTTTTCCCTCTTCCCCTCCTCTCTTCAACATTAATTCTTTAATTCTCTTTACCTTCTCTATACTCAGGTCTCTCTTACTACATCCAAAGAACCATAACTCACTCTCTTGTTGTGTGACCCGTCCCTCATCGGTCGGATTCGGATACTACCGGACCCGTTCATTTTCGCACATTCTCGCGTCAAATTGATCTTACCTCCCACCTCAACACACCTAATAACTACATAACTACATAACCACAATGCGTGCCACTTCCATCCTCAGCGGCACTGCCCGCACTCCTCTCATTCGCTTCGTTGGCAAGCGCTCTGTCCCTAGTACGTGATTTTTCCCATTCCCGAGCTCCAAATCCCGCGGACCTGAGACTAACCTCATATTCCAGAGTCCATCGACCACTCTCCTCGTGTCCACCCCGCCTCTCCCACCGGCTCTCTCCCCGACTCTTTCGCTACCTACCGTGCTAAGGCTCAGCAGCACGGCCCGCTCGGTCGCTCCTCCTTCAACAGCACCGTCGGTGGCACCCCCGGCGCCTCCCTGGGCCCCGTCAAGCCCCAGGCCGGCGAGTTCTTCGATCGCGCTGAGCTCCCCTCGCGCTTCGGCCGTCTCCCCTGGACTCAGGCCGAGATTGACGCCATTGAGACTGGCGGCGCGAGCATGTTCGCATAAGCGTCCCCTCGGGCGAAATATAAGATTTTCTCAAAATGTATGAATGGGGCATGATACTTCCTATGGAAGTTGCGTGATGAGCGAGCTGGAGTCTTGAGTCTCGATTTTGGGGCAGTTGAAGCGCGGTCACGATCTTGACTTGGGCCGACCGTGGCATTGCCAATGCCTTCGCGGTCGCTGGGACACAGATCTGACGCTTGCTCACTCGTTCTGAGAGTTTCCGAGACCAAAAGCTCTCACTTTATACCTTGTTGCTTGTGATGGTCGGAGACCTTTTACAAGAACGTCTTTCTCTAGCGGTGACGCTTTGCCGCTCTTTTTTCTCTTTCGGTGTTCTTTTCACTCGTTGTACCCGGCGCTGGTGGTTGATTTTTTTCTCGGTGTTCTATTCATGTGCAACATGCAGCTGTATCGTCTTGATGTCGAAAAGGCGGAGTCGTGTTCGTTTTATACATAGATTGTGGTCAGGACTTTTGGGATTCTTGTTACATATATAGGCTCTGTGAGCGCTATTCGAAGAAATGAATTTCTGGACTAAGCTTTTCTACTAGACATATAATACTCTAGAATATAGACTAACTATAGACTATAGAGCTATCGAACTATAGGCTTAGCATTAAGTATTGGGGATACCAAGGTACGTGGTCTCAAGCACGTGCCTCCCCGACTCTACCTCAATCCGACCCTTGTCTACTTCACATCCAGAGGATTGAACATGACCTCCCATATCAGCGAGACGAATAGACTGACATTTCGGGAGACAGACGAGGCTGGAAACCTTACTGCAAGCTACATCTACTCGGGAGATGTCGCTTCCTCAACCACTTCCAAGACATCGGGTCGAGTAGATGTAATAGTAAGTGGTCATTTCTTGATCTCCCATTGTATTTTCCTCGCACTGGATGTTTGAAACGTCACACAAGCCAAGTCAGTTCTAGATGTGTTATTTCATCTTGCCTACTAGCCGGCCAGCATGCAGATTCCTGTCCTGGGTACCTGCCTATCCCTTCATAATAAGTCTGTTTCCTGGAACAGATACACTCTCATGCATTAGTATATGAATTGTGCTCAAAATCTCGATTTATGATGTGGTTCAATATATGGATGTTATTGCATGAATCGGAAAGACTTACAAAAGCTATATCAATATCAAGTTTTCGATCTTAGCTGACTTAGTACAACAGAGCTCCTCTCCATCTACTTCATCATGGTCACCCAAGCCTATAATCAGCTCGCTGAGTGATGTTTTTCTTCCTTCCGGTTACCCCCAAAGTGTCAGCGATGACTATCTCCCGTGAGTACAGACAGGAGCCTGTTGAAATGCATGAAACATCCCTGGTCCACAAAAATACTAATATCAACCGCAGATATCAAATCTTTGTGAGCATATAATCCCCGGCTGCCAGAGGCAGAAACCTCATGGCTCGAATTACCTTGCTCTACCATACCAGCAATATCAAAGATACACCTAGTACACCGAACTGACAACCAATCCACCACAAACAGGACTCCCTTCAAGCCTTCTGCAGCTCAATAGCAGGCCTCCTCTCCTCCCGAGCAGTCCTCCAAGGTCCATATCCCCTAACCCAACTCCATAGACCAAACCAAGAGGCAAGCAACTAACACCCAACCAACGTACAGGAGTCGGTGTCGGCAACGCCAACGCCTCTCCAACCTCCGCACTACTCCTACACATCCTGCAAGATATATCGGGCCGCATTGCAACAATCTGCTTCGCCCACCGCATCGGCACAGCCCTCGAGCCAGAATGCAAAACCTACCGACTAGCAGCAGACGTCTTCAACGACATCGCCATGGTCCTCGACTGTCTCTCGCCAGGTGTTCCCGCCGGACCGGCGCGGGTGGCTGTTCTCAGCACGGCCGGTGTCCTCAGGGCCCTCTGCGGCGTAGCTGGAGGTAGCTCGAAGGCGAGCTTGAGTGCTCATTTTGCGAAATGGGGGGAATCTGGCGGAGCTGAATGCCGTATGTGTCTTCAAATTCCTTATGCATTGTCTCGTTGGAAATTGATAGGCAGAGCTAACTTCATCTATTTGTTGTGTAGAAAGACTCATCTCAGGAGACTGTCATTTCTCTTTTCGGCATGCTGGTAAGCATCCTTATCTCCATTCCCATCCCTACCCTCTCGATCAGGAACCAACCAAACCAAAACCCACCAAGCAAGGATCCCACTAACAACAAACCCAGGTCGGATCCGTAGTCATATCCCACATAACCAACTTCAGCACAACCTGGCTCATCCTCCTAACCCTCCTAGCCCTGCATCTAAGCATGAACTACGCCGCCGTGCGCGCCGTACAAATGACAAGTCTAAACCGCCAGCGCGCGAACATCGTCTTCTCAACACTCTTCGACTCAGACAGGAGTCTAGCACTAGCTCTAGATCCTGAACTCGATCCTACGCCAAGCCTATCTAAAACCAAAAACGAGTGGACAGTCCTCACACCAGCACAGGTATCCAAGCACGAGCGCATCTTCCACCGAGACGGGGCATTACAGTGGACGCAGCACTCAACGCATACAACCCAACATCTCGGATCCGCACAGATAGGCGTGTCCATGTCTACTTTCCTCGGTTCCGTGTCTGGTACATCATTCCCGCGCACCCTCCCGCTACAGCGACTTGCGGCTGTTTTTGCCAATGAGTCCTATATATTATTTCTCGTGCCGTTGACAAGTGGAGGGAATGTGAAATGGCATGCTTCGATTCTCCTGAAACGGGGCTGTACTGTTGAGCATCAGTTGAAGGCGTGGGCTCATGCTTTGCTAGCTGCAAGGGTTCTGGTCCGGATTTCAACGGGCTCTTCTGTTGATGCTGTTCTCGCTGTCGTGGAGCGGACTCTTGGGTTGTTGAATGCTAATGCGCGCTTTGAGAGATATCTCACGGAGCTGGGTGGTGTTGGGTGGGATGTTGATATTGCGGCTTTGGAGACGAGGGCTGGACGGAGGATTGAGCATTGATATTGTTTATATTGGTTTATTTTACTTCGTTTATCCTTGTTTGGATTTACCTTTCACCTCCTTCCCTTTACCTTAGAGATTCCACTCGCTCGGGATATCCTATAACCACATGTAGTAAATGTAAACAAAGTCAAATAAGAACCATCCTCCGACGCAGTGCCGAAGACACCACATTAACACTAATCTTCGAAGAGTTTGGGAGGGGTTACGTGTGCATCTGTACAACATTTGGAAGTCTATATGTACGTCTCCCCGGGCTCTCGGGCGACATGTCTGAGTGTAGGTGTCCGACGTGTGTGACAAGGAGGATCGAGGAAGGTCTAGACAAGATTGGTTTCGGGTTTGGGAGAGGATACTCGGATGCCTGCTCGGAGGACGGCACTTTTTAAGTTGAATTGAGACATGGGAATGTACGAGTCGAGGTCTTAGTTTTGTTGGGTTTGAAATTGCCCTAACGGTCGAATGCATGGTCTATGTAGGTCAGCGTTGGGATTCAAGGCTACCGAAAGTACAGTTTATACTTTGTTTACGGTTTTTACTGTTCAAAGGAAGTGATTGGAAGAGGGGTATCAAGTCTATTGATTCCGATAATATGAAATCCCAGTGGGAGATGAGAGACCAAGACAATGTCTCGACAAAAACGCCGTGTCCAGAAGACCTGAAAAGCCAACAGGTCCTCTATCCAATCTATAGATGAGAACATGATATGATATATATGGGTTTCTTTTCCCGTGATGCCATTCGCCGCCAAAAAAAAAAAGGAAAAAAAAATTGACAGGTGAAGTTGGAAAAATAGGATGCTCGACCGGAGACATCCCATAAATGAAAAAATAACAAAAACGCCGGTTCCATATGCTTTCAATGCGTCATGCTCTCATACACCGCCAATATAAACGCTCGACAAAGGCTAGAATGAAGTCGTGGGATGATGCATTTCGGTATTTCATGCAAGTGTGTGTTGAGATGAGAAGTGTCGTTGCGGGATTCGTAGTTGTCGTGAGTCAAGAGACCAAAAGAAAGTGTGTTTTGTAGGTCTCGTAAATGTCGACCAGAGTCGGGATCAAAAAGGAAAGAGAAGACAATTAGTCGTCAAGACCAAGAATCTTAGGATCGCGAGTGCCACCACTGCTGCCTCCAGTGGAACGCTTCTTAAAGCCAAGCTTCATACCCATCTTCTTCCAAGGGTTCTCGGTGCGAAGCCTGGGACTTTGCATGGGCAGATGCGGCTCGCTGGCAGGCGGGGTGGTGGGCGGCGTCATGGGCTCTTCGGCGGTGGGACTGGACTGCGGAGATCCAGAGTCATCGGTCAGAGACAGGTAAGCCGACTCGCCGCTGGTGCTGACAAGGGCGCCGGAAGTGCGTTTGCCGATAGCATGCACGGCGCCGAGGGACATGGTTGAGCGGTTGTGACCCGTTGCGGGAAGATCCTTGGTAGACGACTGCGGGGAGGTGCGCTTCGACACGCGCGACCGGACTCTTTTCATTGGGTGCTCGTCAAGACTCGTCGATGATAGACTCATGAAGTCGTCGGGCCCCATGAAGGGTTCGGAGGGCCCCATTGAGGGGGAGGTGGTGTGACTGTTGACAAAGGGAAGAAATATGGATTCCTCCATCAAGTCATGGATGCGTTTCACGGCGGAATCTAACGTCTCTGGCACGGGCGGTGCAGACACATTCTTGTACTGCAGGAGCGCATCTCGGACCTCGCTCGACAGGTTGATCTCTCGCGGCGACCCCGGGAAGATGTATGCAGTCAATAGGCGTTTCCAGAGCATTCGCAGGTGCTGAGATTCGGGGCAATCCGATTCCAAAGCGGGGACACCAAGTCGTTCGGCCAGAGCGTAGTAGGAATCCCGGTATCGGTTGGCTTCCATGGTGAATTCCAAGGTCTCGAGACAATGATTCTGGGAGAGGTAGGCCATGAAGGCGCTCAAAGTGTATGGGGAGGAGCAATGTTGGCCAGCACCTCGTCGAGCGTCGGGCGCATAGAGAAGGCCCCCGACGAGATAGCTAGGCTGGCTGGCCGGGAGCCAGACGATTCCATATCCTCTTCGGAGTCGCTGTCTGAGGAGGTGGGGGACAATTCGGGGGTTGCGGTAGGAGTGTGAGGAGTGTGGTTCCGGAAGAAGAGGGACGGAGCCAACGTCTTCTTTTTAAGCATAGCGTATAGTGTGCGTTGGGGACCCTTGAACGGCTTTTTTCTCACCGGCCGTCCCCTGCCTGTGGGACGAGGCTCCAGCTTGTTAAAAGAGCGGCAGATTATTGGGATACAGGCATATAGGATTGGCAACACAGGTAAGTAGAATGCCAGGGGATGGGAGGGTTTTCGAAGGTTGTTTATTATAAAAATGAGATAATGAGGGAAAAAAGAGACCAAGCGGAAATGCAAGCACTAAAGAAGAAGAATAAAAAGGGCAAAGGGCGGATTCTGGAATCATTCATGACGATACCCTGGGTAATGGGGTTACGGGGGGGGGGCACCTCAGTAGACTCAAGTGGACCGAGATGGGGACGCTAAACTAGTTTCTGCGCCCAAGTGGAGTCTTCTTTCGATAAGATGTCATAATTGTTTTTTTCTTTTTCTTTTCTTTTTTTTCCTTTTTGGTTTTTTTCTCGTCTCTTTTTCCCTTTTCTATTTCTTAATTTGGATTATTTCAGTCTTTTTTCCTCATAGAATTTTCTGATTGGTTTTGACTTTTGTCTTATTGTGGCGACACGCTGAACTCTCACGTTTGAACAAGCGCCTAAGATCTGCAAGGGATACTTTGAAAAATGTAGAAATACGACAGTCTTCTGTCGAGATTAAAATGCAAGTATGAGAGCACCTTAAAATCAACTGAGTATTATGTAACCTACATATGTCTGTCCTTGTTTTGATCATAATCACTCCATAACCCTTCCAGAAGTCATACGTGTAAGCTTCCACGGGTTCTGGAAAAAAAAAAAGACCAATGCGCCCAACGTGGCGAGTTTGAATTTTCGTTCCCCTGAACTCCACCATGGAACACGAGGAACTGTTCCGTGATTCGAGACTCATTTTTCTACTATCCTACGGAGTACTCCGTTACAACGCATTGTCCATTTACGATTTGCTCTTGAGATATACCTCTTATATCTACTTTCTAATTCACGATAACCTCTTATCTCCCGGCCGCTAGCACGCCATCCGAGACCGGAATGTCAATCCTCGACCCACGGTTCCGTGGTATTTTAACAGAATGACCAGACCAATACCAATAAAATACACGATAAGGTCGTGTCACGGCATTCTCTCCCTTGCATCGAAGGTACTCACACTTCCAAGGTTCCAAGTTGCTTTGTCTTGCACGTCATCCAAAACCTCCCCTGTCACCTTATAGAAACTCAAACATATCAAATAATATAATATCGGCACACTAGTTAGGGCTTGTGTTCGATGCCAATATGGCCCTGCCGATCATTCCAAACCCGGGTCTGAGGATCATTCGTACCACACTGGAATGTCACACAAGCTTGTCTTTATGTCTCTCCATAATTAATAGGACATACATACTCGGGACTCGTGGACGCATATGTGGAATCCACAGGGATTTAGCAAGGCACAACGTGCAACGTATGAGAGAAATTATACATCGTAGCCTTGATTTGGTGGAGGCGAAAGATGCTAGAAACCGATTTTGGAATAAACTATGAAGATGAATAGAGTCTAGCGAAATCGAGAGACAGAATTTTCAATTGAATGCTACTCTATATATAAATATCAACTGTGCAAGGGCTCAGAATTCACCAGTGTGACCGCAGCCGGAACTGCCCAGACCTTCTAGAATTCTAGAAAACCCCGTCGAAGCACTTTAGTTCTGCCAATCCACCCGATCGCCACATCCGTAAATCCTGAAAATTTCAATTAGGACATTCATATCGTGGAAAATGATCTGACCCCCCCTGAACGGACTCGAGTTCCACAGTCACCCGTGGAATCAGAGTTTTCTTGTAGATCCGGATATTGCCACTAATGATTCATGTTCTGTTTGTCTCCCGAGTCTACCCACTTAGCAATATTATAGGACGCATACGCATTTCTATGCATGCCAAGTCATCCCTCACGATTGAAATGGCGATCGCTGCGTTCTATTTTTTTGTACCCGAGACTATAGAACACAGTGGCTGAAATAATGGCTCATACCTTGCGATATATGTTGTAGCCACATAAAAGTGGGTGTACTGCCGATTGAAACCGAGAGCCAAGAATTGGGAGCTGGAGAGGTCTGTCCGGAGGCTTCAAGGATCTCCGGTGTTGTAGATCCACTTCTTCTCGTCTTCTCACCATAGATAAGAAGATTCTACAAAGTAGTATTATGACATTATCACATACGTAGTCTGTCGAGTTGACATGATTCAGACATACAATATAGATTGTGTCATAGACCTTTCTGCAACGCTCTGGGCCAGGATAAGGTTGCTGTTGACATGGCTCTTTGAAGCTTGGTTCTCCTATCACCACACATTTTGACTTTGACAGCCGAAGATATAAGAGTCAATGCTATCTGGATGGCATAGGTAGAGGCTAGAACATAGATTATTCTTTTAATAGATCACGAGATCATACCGATTAGGTTATGAGGCAAATGAAAGATCGGATCATCCTTAGTACTTGCAAGTCCAGATTAATAGTATATTGTAGAACCAACTATCACTGCAACACCAACGGTCAGACAGCAAAACCGTCAATCTCTTTTTCGCGTTATGCAACTAACAAATTCAATTAGGGCACAGACCGTTAAAGGAACTGTCATATGTTATACAATAGAACAAGAGAACAACATCCAACATACAACAGCATGCAGATAAATAGCTAAACGGACCATCGGCGGCATTCACATACGTTGCAATGCAAAGCAACAAAAAGCAAAAAGTGCCCAGCAACACGCCAACCCCAATAGCACCTGTGCGATAGCGACGAAATTACCGCAGCTCTTATCCCCGGGAAACCCACGCGCCTAGCAAAGACCAGGTTAGCCCCAATCACAGAGCCCACCCACCATGCCCACGCAGCGATACCGCAGATCCCGTATTTAACCAGGGACAAGGATACATACAATGCATGGATATCCACCCCCAAGGCCACCTGAAAGCCTCTTAAGCCACTAAGCCACCCCAAACCCCCAAATCTTCTACTCCGTAGGCTAAATCAAAAGAAAAAGTAAAAAAACAGATCCACATCCAAGGCATCACACCCCCACATCGGTGCGCACGGGATCACGATGCGCCCTTACCTTGGCTGCTGGCGACGTTCTCCCCTTTTAGTTCTTACTAGCGTGATGGGGTTGAATGCGTCTAGAACAATGTCCCGTTTAGCGAGGGGTTTATGACTCTTTCCTTTTTTTGTTCTGTCTTCCTTTTTATTTTTATTCTTATTAATGGATCGTGTCCTGCTGTTTATGTATGGGGTACATTTCTATTAGGGCGCTACTGTAGGTCCTCATCCTCATACGGGGAATTATTTTGCTAGTGGGAAGGGGGGGATGAGGCTTTTATTTTGCTTCTTTCGTGTTCTTTCCCTTGCTTTTTCTTTCTTTCCCTTATTTTATTCTTAATTTATATTTTCCCTCGCGTGGATGGGGTTTTCGACGCACTTCGGTTCCTTTTTGTGGAGGACAGATTGTGGCACTCCTTTAATGTAAAACCTGCAGAGAGCTTCAAGGATTGTCACCGGGATGTTTGCTGTAGTACCTGAGACATGTCCGTTTTTCGTCACTGGCTAGAATGAGGGGGGTGGGCAGGGGTGGCATGGTCGTTATTGACTGCATTACCACATTAATACCTGCACGATCCTTGACGATAATGCCATCCATATGAACCTTGGTGTCTTAGCGAGTTTGCTATACGGAGGACACAAGGTTCTGACTATTTCTCGTTCCAATGGCATATGTATTTACAATTATATAATGTATTCGATGTAATATAGTTACGTTATACTTTTGCAAAAGCAAAATTATAGATGCTATAGTTAAACAGTCAAGCAAGGGGAGAGCACCCCGGATCTCCCCCTGAAACCTTCAATTTTAACCTGTAATATCGCTTAATGGTGTGATGATGTGCAGCAGACTAGAATGGAGTTATGACAGGGATAAAAATTGCCGAGAAGTGGCATGAGAAGTCGAGCCAGTCTCGAAGAAACAGCTAAGAAGATTGCCGATCCGCATGGGATGATCTTTGAAGGGGAATAATATATATCCCTGTCACTCGACTAGTGGGACATCTCCACAGCCCCTTCTAGGTTGTCTGAGCAAGGCAGAGGAAGATAAACCGAACAGAACTAAGACAACGGAGTACAGAGGAGAATACAAGGAAGAGTCACCCAAACCCCAAAACAGCACAGCGTAGTCGATCAGGCGGCAGATGCCGCGGATGACCTCATGTTTCTCCACTGTTTCAACTGCAATCTTCCAAGGTTGCTCAGACATTGCCGAAGAAAAAATAATAACAAGAACGTACGATCATGAAAGAACGATCGAGATCGAATCTAGGCTTGTTTCAAGTCTGAGCTCGAGTCCTTTGGGGGCCGTTGTGATGATTCTGGACTCTGGATATATTCTCCCGGCGCTATGTGAAACGCTCAGCCCTGGATATTGTATGGAGTAAGTGTAATTTATCTGTTAGATATGGGAAAGGATATGTTTTCTCATTTGGCGACTTTAGTCTCAGACTGGGCTTATCACCTTGGGCGCTTAGAATCCTTTCTCTCTGATGGTTTTTTTTGGGCCCCCACAGATAGCTCTGACTATAATCTATGTTGTAAGCGACCTAGGATCCTGGAATTTACGGTGTTCGGGTGCTATTCCGCTTGATATGCACTCCGGTCTCCGGAGTGTACGGAGTCCGGACCTCGGTAAGCGGTGCTTACTGTAGGAATCCAGTCTCGGAAACTGTTTCATGTTAGCGCCTGAACTGACAAGATCCCATTGCATTCGTAGTCAATTTAAGTGTCTGTGATTAGATTTAGTGGCTTACGTCAATGTACTCAGCACGGAGTACGAGTATACAATATAGAGATGGTGTGTTGCGTGCTAGAGGCAAGTCGATCCCATCGGCATTTCTCCGAACTTAATTCCAAGATATTCAGTATCACACGCAAGACTCCAATAGCTCAAACCATATATGTATTAGCAGCATAATAACGTGCAATTAAACCCTAATTACTCTGTACTCTGTACTCCGTACACTAAAGTACGTATGTACCCTGTCCCCTTATCACAAATATAGGCGGGATGACGGGAATGACGGGAGCAAAGTCCAATATCGAACCCCAAAGACGAACCCTGTCAATAAACCAGGGAAGCCCAAGCTCAAACTCAAGCTCAGCTCCAAACCAATAACACTCGTGCAGCAATAGTCCAGCAAATCTCAAACCAATCACGAAGCGGTTAACCAGCCCATCCCCGCAGAAGTCAGCCATGCACAAAAAGCAAACAGGTAAAAAGAGAAAAAAGCAAAAAAAAAAGAAGAAAAAGGAAGAAACTCCTCTGCCTAGCTCCAGCCACGCCAAGACCAAATCGCCAAGCGGGGAAGGAGATAAATGCGGGGAAATACCTATATTGTATGTACCTAGGTATCCATGCATTGGCAATGCTAAAGGCATATTACAACATACACTACGCATTATACAGTACACATTACAAGAAGCCTATAAACCCACCGACGATCCGCTCTAACTGGCTGCCCTATCCGGGATCTGAATTGCTCTGCAAGGTGGACCGAAAGTAGATCCCACTGAGCGGGGTTGATGTTTCTCTTACTGGATACATGTAGGCAGCATTGGGTATGGATTGGGATTCTGTGGATGCTCTTGGGTCTTGGCTGGGTCGTTGGGTGGCTGGTGCATATGCGTATTCACTGCTATTTCACTACTCTCCATGCGCATGCAGGTGCACTCCGTGGATATCATTGGTGGGCTAGGACTGCGCCATAATAAACGACTTTCTCGGTGGCGATCTTCGACTGTTATTGGTTTTGGTAAAGTACGGGGGTGGGATATGTATATCTGTGGAGAGAGTGTGTGTGGGAAAGGGCTTGCTTATTGGGTCATGGGGTTGATATTCAGTTTATGCTTTAGGGCAAGGGATACAAGTTGTGAATTTGGACATTAGAGTTTATGTTTGTTTCTGCAGAGTCTGGGGATGATGATCGATGATCGACATTCACAATGTTGTACTCGGTAGTTTCGGTCGATATCATATGATGGTTATCGACACATTCTTGCTAGTCTTAAGATGGACATGCCGGGGATTGAGGTTGCTTTGCTTTACATTTCCTATGCACATATTCTGCACTGGATTCGGTAAGGCTTGTCGTTGAGACATACTACTTTGAGCATACAACATAGACAACATTGTATTGGAGAAATGTTAGATCCCCACTGGATAACTCCACCCTGTTTAAGAAGGGTACTCTGTCGGGTGACCTACGTCATGCTATAACATGCCACGGACTGGTGATCCTTGCATTAGCGTGTCATGGAGAGCTGCAGAACGGTTATGAAGTATGTGTCGGTGGTGGCGACGGAAAGACTATGATTGTGCGTGGTCTTTCCGTGGTCTGTCCGTGCTGCGCGTCGGTCCCTTGGATTCTAGGCTGACTATACCTATTTTTTGTCCTAGGGTAACTATCCTAAGTCCATTCTATGAGTTACACTTACGGGGGGTTTTCATCTACTCGGCACGTACACCAGATGGATAGATAAAATATATCAGACTAAGGCTGTAGTCTCGTAGATCTTTGATTTAATGTCTCTTTGTTTATCAAAAGACATAAAATAGTGAAAGTTCTCCTGCATTCTATCTCCTGTAACGTGTTCAAGTGTACTATTCCATCAAAATGCCTCGAACCAAGATAAACATATCCGAGGACATGGATTGAAACAGCTTTGTTCAGCAGCCCGATATTCAGCAGCCCGATAGTGAAACCAAAGATGATTTCAATGAATCAACAACCCATCACATACTCGCATTCTTCTCATCTCCCTATCCCTTCCATTGCTGGTTTCATCCATCGCCAATTCCCGTGAACTGAAGATCCTGACGACCGCCACCAGCCAGGTCCGATTAAGCGGGCTCATCAAGTGAAGATGTAGCTTGTGGATGCTGGCGATTGGGAAATAAGTGACGTGGTCTGTCATATACAACGCGCTCATTGAAATTCGCAAGAAATGGCGTTGTGGCATTGAAACCATTAACGTTATGAAGCTCAGCTATTTTCGCAGCAAGAGGCTCATCTTCCTGAGGCCATCTTACGATAAACCATCCCTTTCGCTTATGTTGCCAAACAACATGGACCGGGAGAACAATTTTGTTTTCATGTGCAGTATCGAAGTCATAATCAGAATTGTTGATATCGATAGCCATGAACACACGATTCAGTCGTATTTCAATAGCGAGGAAATGAATGCGACTATCGTTCTCCCAGTTTGGAAAGATTTTGTCGATAAATTTGCTTGCTGAGACACGATAATCATGAGAGTCCAGTTGATCTGTACGTGCTTTGACCACAAGTCGTTGTGCCGCGGTCTTTTCGAATATCTTCTCACGAATCTCGGTGATATCAGACATGGTGTATGAGTGAATAACGTGTGCTCAGGATGAAATAGATCAACCGTTGAATGCAAGGAGGGTATCCTTTTTATAAGGGCTAGTGATTTGTCTGGTTTGCATTCCATTGTTTCCGGTCCTACGTGACACCCGTTAGGCTGCAAGATGCCTCTAATTCAGATTACTGTCAGGCTAGTTGATGATGGGAAATTGACTGTTACCTAGGTATTTGGGCGACTACTCATGCTCAACCTGGATAGACTATCGAATAAGGAGAATCAACGCAAGTATATATCTACATGCCTAGAGTAGATCAAGGAGAGAGGATATAAAATTTGAATGCAATGATTCTTATTACAGGAGTTATTTATATACGCCGTACGAATGAACTGCAAGACTTGTAACAGACCAAATGAAAAAAAAAAGGAAGAATGCTATCTTATGCCTACCAGTAACAAAAACTCGCTTCTGAAACAGAGCAAGAAAGGAAAAAACAACAAAAGACGATTATAGACATGGACAATAGATCTTTGGAACAATCAAAGGGGCAGAGCAGGCGGTTGATGCGAAGGGGGAACGGGGAAAGGGGGATATATGCAACATGCTCTTCCTCTAGGTTTTGCATGCAATAATGAAGACCACGCAGTGGAAAGGATCTTTTCTCCCGGATGCACACAGGATAGGAAATAACAAGAATGACAGGACCATGGTAGACGGACCGGAGGAAATAAAGCACCCAAATAGAAACGAGAGTTGTCCGGCGTGCTTGTCCAGTTGATGAAGAGGATGAAATGAGACCGAGAGAAGTATACAGACACGGACAAGCATGGCCAAGGTCAATCAATTCAGATTGCCATCTCTCGCAGGTCGGTCCATCCTCAGGGCGTATTTGTGTCGAGCCTTGCCAATTCTCGTGCGGGGGTTGAAGCCATTGATCCAAGTTATTTGTCTCCCGAGCCAGCGCAAGAAACAAGGTCCCAGGGCGGCGCGCCGCAAATCAATGGCATTGGAGGATCAACCGATGAGTACCTGCCCGTTTGAAAGACCAAGGGTTGATATTAAACGGTGCACGCCGGATATAGTGACGAGACGAGGAAGCGAAATCGAAAACAAAAGACAAACTCTCACAAGTTCGCCATTCCGAGTCGTAGCACCATGAAAGAGTGATGAGACGTAACATCAATGAGAGAAAAGTTGTACCTACCCACAGTCATATGTATAGGCTGAAGGATCGAATGGGACAAAAAGAGAATGGCCAGAAGGTGATATAGGCCGAGAAGCGCGATTCTTGCTCGGCCAAGCGGCGCTAACCACCTGAACACAAGGCAAGAACGGAGCGAGAGGCGAAAGTAAACAAGAATAAAAAAAAAAGAAATCCCATGCAGACCTTCTTAGGCCGTTTTCTGACATGAAGGGCAGGAAGCAGAGGTGAAAGCGTGGCGCGGTAGGTCTAAATGCGCCATCGCTTCATTTAACTGGAATTCAACCTGGATCCTGAGATGAGCTGGGCGCTCAGGTGATGCAGCACAGCCGAATCACCTACCGCAGCACAGAACCTTCATCAACTTCTGCGCGAAAGTGGGCGGCGCTTCAGGGGTACCTTGGGCACCAAGGGGCTGTTGGTTACTCAATGCCGGGTTCCCTGGACTTCCGTTGCGACCGGAGAGGTGGGCATTGGAGTTTTGAAACTGTGCCTGGGTTGACGCGGCCGGAGTCGATGCTTCCACCCCGCGCTCTGGCGTTTGGGAGGCATGCCGCCGGCGCTTGGGCGCTCGCGCGTCTTTCCAGCTCCAACTTTGGCTGGAGAAGGAGGCGGGGGCTGCGCGGCGTTTAAACGGTCGGCTGTCACTCCGGGACGTTGGCTGTTACGGAGCTCCCTTGCATGCTGGTCGCGACCGGACGAGCCCTGGTGCTGATTGTGGAGATGTGCCTGAGATGAGTAGGACTTATAGTCCCAGCCCCGGCCGTTGTTGAGCTTCATCCAGTCGTACTCGCCATCCTCCACCTCGCCGGCGTTCTTGAGAGCTTGTGTCAAGATATCACGGAGATAATCGTAGTCAGGAGTGTCCTCGAAACCGAGGTTGCGCACGTAGCTCAGGTACTTGTTGAATTCTTCTGGCGGAGTGATTAGCAGATGAATATGGATATAGGTAAGGGTGAGATAACATACCTGGATAACTATCGCAGAGGTCCTTGATCGCTGTCGTTTGCTTCTTCTCGCCGATCTTCTCGTACTTTTGCTTGTTGGTAGCAGCCTTCAGGCCCTGCCAGGGAAGGCCACCCCTCAAGAAGTACATGAAGACATGACCGAGAGCTTCCAGGTCATCACGCCGAGATTGCTCACGACCCAGATGTGTGTTGATACTCATGTAACGAGCAGTACCAGACAAAGATTTACGCTCGCGGTAAGGGATATGTTGCTTGGTCTTGGGGTCGCGGTATTGCTTGGCCATACCGAAGTCAACCACGTGGATGACGTTGGCAGCCTTGGTTGATGGCCGGCCAATAAGGAAGTTGTCTGGCTTGATATCGCGGTAGATGAGGTTCTTCTCGTGAATCGTTTGAACGCGCGAAAGCTAGTCGCAGTTAGCCATGCTTCATATTGTAATTTCAAGCAGGGAAAAGGACGCACCATCTGCTTGGCTACCATCACAACAGTCTTTGTGGAGAAGCGGCGGTTGCAGTGATCGAAAAGATCCTCCAAAGAAGGACCGAGAAGATCAATAACGAGGATGTTGTGCAGGCCCTCCTGTCCGAAATAATAGACATTGGGAATGCCAGCTGAATCAAGTTAGAAGAGCGCACAATACCACATCTCCCTACATTTGGAATACTTACGGCATCCAACCAGAATCTTATACGTCCGGTACTCATCGCGGAGCTGGGGTGCATCACTTTTCCGGGGTTCCTAATTTCAGGTCAGCCAGGAGGCTCGCGCGACAAAGGAGAAGGGGACCATACGAATTTGATGGCGACCTGTTGGTTGTTCAGGAGGTTGGTGCCTTCAAAGATGACACCAAAGGAGCCTTCGCCGATTTTCTTGCCCACACGGTAGTGGACACCCACCACATTTGACGACGAGGACGCCATGGATTCGGGAGCAAGGATTGTAACCCGCGGAAGAGAAACCCTGGATCACGGGGAATGGCTTCAGGGACGTAAACACGTGATTGATACTATCACTGGGCGCAGTCAGCACATACGAAGTCGGACAACGATGAAAGCGATATCACAGTCTGATCACATACATCACAATGACCTCTATTTTTTTTTACCGACTGAAGCAGATCTTACAGACTCAATGGGATCTATTTGCCCAATAGCCGATGTACCGGTGACAGCGATGAAAGGAGACAGGGCGGCAGACGGAAATGCACAATCGGGACGAGATCAAAGGGACCGTAGGGACGTATAAAGCCGGGATGACCAAATACAGGCGGAATTGGCAGTACTGAACAATAATTGAGGCGTTCGTGGGTCCTTTTTTGACGGTCGGAAGTGAGGAGCTGGGGTTGGAGTTCGGGGGAGGTTGTAGACAAGCCAAAGGAGAAAGGATAAAAAAGGGAAAAACAACACAGGGTACTTCCGACCTACTGCGAGTACGAGCCGCACTGAGCAGTGGTTCAAAGATAGACCAGAGGACCTGAGAAGGGGGGAGATGGAGGAGGAGAGAAAGGGAAGGTGCAACACTCTAGGAGAGACAGGGAGCGGAGTGTATTGGGTGCGTATTGGTAAAAGACATGGGGGGTGAGCGCAGGGGGAACTGGCGGTCACGGGTGTACACTGTATGGTAATTTTGGGGTTGGAGGGAAATCTTCTCTGAGACCTATCAGAGGCCACCGTCTTCATTGTTCTCTACATATGTACGGAGTACCCATGGAAGGCTTACCCTTCAAATGAAATTTTGAGCCACCAAATTGGCCACTCTTGAATATTACCTATCTTGTATCTAGCTACTCCGTACTCCGTACGGAGTACTCTGCACTTAGCTCAGACCTCCTCGGCGCTTCCGCAGCGGCTCAACCTCCAGGGCTGCATTAATCAGGCACCGAAAATATCAGGGAGAGTATGTATCGGCTATATCCACGGGTAGAGGCACATATCCTTTTTTAAAGGAAGGAATTAAAATCGGGTTCTGAACCCGAATAGCAAAGACAGGTCGATTCTTTTTTTTTCTTTTCCTTTCAGGGGAGTTCCCGTCTGGAATCGGTCTGGAATGCGGTTAATCAGGCGGTAATATTACCGTCTTGGCAGGAACCCGGTCAAGTCGTCGATCACTGCGAATTGACTCTATAAAGTACATATTGTACGAAGGTACAACTTTAGGTTGTGATATATGTCTAGGTCCCCAGCCTTCGATATGACATATCCACCAGAAAGCCCGACTGAACGAATCGCAAGTGTCAATGGAATCTAAATCTTAGCTATCGTTACATTATAGCAGATATCGTGACAAACGGCTCCGTATTGATTGCGTCCTAATGGTCTTTGGAAATGTCCTCAGCTTCGCTTCCAAGTTCATTCTCAACCATGTCTTCATCACTGTCCTGACCAGCATCCTCATCGTTCTCGTCGTCTTCTTCACTGCTGGACCCGCTGCCTTCACTATCATCACTGCCGGGATCGTAGTCTTCCTCTTCTTCATCCTCTTGATCTTCAAGCTCCCGCTGGGCTTTCTGGAGCTCGCTTTCATCTTCACCGGCTGCCTCGCCGGTGGAAGCTGATGCGTCCTCTCCGCCCGCTTTATTGACATTGTAGACCTTGGCGCGCCGCGCCTCTGCGAGACTAGCATCTTGGAGCCCATGCCGTTTGATGTAGGTATCGATCCCGGAGAAATTTTCCTGGTCAATCATCGAGAATTCGAATTCTTGGTTGTCTTCTTCAGAGCCATTCTCCGGGCGAGCCATGACGTTGAGATTGAATGTCCGCTGCAGGACGGATGTATACGAGACGGAGTCAATAGTAGCAAATGAAAAGAACAGAAGTGGTTTCTTGAATGCAAAGAAGATACCGGTTGGAAGGAGGAAGAGATAGCCTGGCGCAAGCCAAAGTATGTTAGAATGATCCAGATTAAAACCAAAATCCCAATAGCCTCCAGGTAAACGGAGATAGGAATATTAACATACCTTCTTTGCTACCGCGGAATGCCTTGACATGGTATGCTTTCTCGCCCTTTCGGTGCGCCTCGGGCATGGCACTGACGAACTGCTTATCATCAGGGCGCACAACATTGGTGTGAGACATATTCTCATTCAGAATTTTGCGAATAAATGCCTCAGCCGATTCTCCAGGGCCGTGACCAAGTTGTTTTCCATTTCCTGAGAATGCTGCCTTGGCTGGTCCATCGGCTACCGTAAACACCATAGCTTCGGAGGCTGCTGTTCCCTCGGGTGGGGGTGTGATGCCATCGGCGTACTCGGGAATGATACAAAAGTTGAACTGTTTCTGTGTCTTCTCAGGCACAGGAAGACAGAGCGCATGTCCTAATTTAGCAACGGGTCATGTTAGCAATTCCTAAACTAATATTTTCGGAGGAAAATATTTTCTGGTCCAAACTCACGAATCTTATCCATAGAAACGCCGAATTCAATCTCTTTCGTAGCTTGATTCCTTGCCCGAAGATACGGATGCCCAGCAGTGATCTCGAGCGTAAGCTTCTTCCTCTGCGGCGTAGAAAATGAAACGTCTTGAACATAATACTGAACTGGCGCGTTGCCATCTTTCAGGTCGACTGACGCCTGCGCAGTCTCAGAGTCTCCATTCTGAAGCTTGCGCTTTTTAGCGGCAGGCCCATCAACAGCTGGGGGCCGCGAAGGGAGGGTAGTGTTGGCAGCCCTGGCCAGCAGGCTGGAGGTATATTTCGCAAGATCTTCGAGCAGAGGTTTATGCTGAGGTGTGGAACCTAGAACGGTGAAGCGCATTGGCGACGGTCAGCAGGAGGTCGACGGGTTCATCGATTGGGGACGTGGGTGCGCTTTTAGTTACGCACCGATCGCATCGTAGACTCGCTTCTTCAGCAAGGGTTCCGTCGCAAATGCCTCCTCGATGACGGCGATGGGCGCGCCCGTAGAATTAATTGAGGCAAATGCCATTTTTTTTTGCGACTGCTTCGGTTCAAGAGAACAGCAGTGCAGAGAGATGCAGGTTAGTCGGAGAATTGGGGGATGAACGTAAGGGTGGACCCGAAGTATCCGCATTGACTAGAACCCTAACTTGGGGTCATGTACAGATAGATATCTGAATACTTTATGAATTGAAAAAGATACAAATATGAAATAACTTTATCAAGAAATAGATATATGAGTGAATGCAAAGCTCCATACTAGAATACAGTGGTGTGTGTACACAATGCTACAGAAAAAAAAAACCCCTCCTCCGACTTCCATGTTCCTCGCCTAATCAAGCAGCCTGCTTGGATTTTGACTTCTTGGTCTTTGTGGCGTTTTGGAGGTGGTTGTTAATGAAGTTGATGGCATCCGCTGACAATATCCCATTCCCTTCGGCATCAAAGTTCGCCTTCCTCGCTTCCGCAAGTCGAGCAATCCGCATGTTTTTGGCATCTGTCTGCGGTGTCATCATGGAGACAGTGTTTCTGTATTCCTTGCGGTAGTCCTCCCTCATCTTCTCTCTCAGGTATTCCGGATCGTGTCGAGTGCGGAATCTGGAGTATTTGTTGCGCAGCTCATCAATGACGGTTGTTGGCATAGGTGGCTGTTCTAGTGTGGGTGAGAATGTGCTGACCTCAACCGCCATTCGTGTTGTGTCCATGTCGCCGTCGGTGATGACAGGCTCGTCCTCCAATGGCCAAGGGATTTCGATGTCCAAGCCGGAGACATAGCGAGTGTATTTTGGGAGCTTGCTGTGTTCGCCTCGGTCGTGGTACGGCCCAGCGGCATAAGCGTGCTGGACAATGACATTCTGCAGTTTTCCAGTCTTTGTGTCTTCAAGCGGAATGACGTGTCGGATGTCGTCGAAGGAGACGGGGAAAGGCTGCGGTTGGGTATCACCTGCGTGTCCCATTCTGTCTTTGGCCCATTCAGGAATGATGACGTCGGCCTAATTGAGAAATGCCAGTGAGTGATATGTTTCAATAACCAATAGGTTAATGACTTGGATAAATGGTCCGCCGGAGACATACCATGTTGATATCCTTGATAAGGACAGTCTCACTGTCCCGGTTGACCTGCTGAATCACATTGATCTTTCCCTGGTCCCGTCCTCGCACAACGCAGACCCGGTCACCTTCGGCGAAGAGGACATGCCTCCGCTGTTCTTGCTTAGGGAGGCGCGGCGGGTGCAAGATGGAAGCCTCCTGACCACCATATGTAGTGCGTTGGAGACCAGAGTCTCGCATGGGGGCAAGGGCCCCTTTTCCCAATCTTCCCAGCGGTTCTTTCGTGCTGCTTGGAATTGACTAGACAGCGCGCTGCCGAAGTCCTTCCGCGCCCGCCGAATGCTAACACGTTCCAACAATTCCTGTCGTTCATGAGCTTTTTGGCTCTTTTTAAGAGCCTGCCTCCGTGCTGTAGCTGTCCGCTGGATAACTCTCTGCATATTGGGCGTTGTGGTCCAGCAATGGCCGAACGTTGTCTCTGCCTTAGAATCCCCGATTCGCGGATCGAAAATTGAGGGTGCCAGATTGAGCACGTGACCATGGTCAATATGTATTATGTCAGCAACTGCCGCCTCCGGGGCTCCAGGGCTGCCCATCAACATTCAAGTATACTGGGACCAGCCCTCTTTCTGCATTGTAACTACATGCTACTTGGTGGTTCAGATGATACCTTTTACTATTTTCTTTGGAATTTAGCTATAGTTAATTATCTCTATTTGCAGCAGGAAGATACTCCCTATGGAAACTGACAATGAAGCCAGGGAACTATCGACAGGTCTCATTAAGGCCAATAAAACTCAAGTGTTTTGCGGATATGTTATACAAGCAGTTCTCCGTCACATATACTGGCTGCATTAGAAATTCCAGGGCCATAACTCAAAAAGAGATGATATCAAGGTGAAAGAACGCTTTAGTAATATCATAAAGATATTCGGGCAACACCATGATTAAAGGTCTATATCTGAGGATTTGAAGATCACTGATGGTGATTGAATAGTGCCGCTCGACGATGTGTAAAGTCATCTGTGTTTGGGGTCTTCTGATTCCCCGTACAGCCATTCAGTTTCCGAATGCAGATCACAGGAACACACTTGTGTGCAACTATATTCGCAGAATCAAGAAGCACAAGTGTGGACTGTGAGCTGCAAGTCAATGTTAATTTCATATAGTTTGAGATTATTGCTAGACTCCAGGAGACCATAGAATTGAGGTACCGACGCCAGGCAAAGCTCAAATGACGACTGTAGGAGGCCGATGAAATGCCGAAGGTGAGCGTGGGGAATAAACACATTGATTCCCAATTCTTTTAGACACAAGAGAAGTCGGATGACACAGTAGACACTGGATACTCTTCGTAGAAACCGGTAGGTTGTGTGGCCCGCGGGTACAAGATGTCGAGCTAAACGAGCAAGAGGTGTAGGTGGATTAAAAAGTTCTCTTTATCAGCAGCATTTGCTCGTGCATATTTCGCTCTTGATCAGTGTGTTGCCGAGGTCTGGGTGTGCTTCAATGTGGTCTTTGGTCAAAACCTGGGGTTTGAGATGAATGAAATCTGCCACGGGGTTGTATCCCAAGTTTTGCATATTAGATCGGTCGTAAAGTCCACCACCATACTACGCCCATTGAAATTGTGACATTAATCCATTTTTAGCGGCGAATGGACCAACATGAATAAATGTTCTAAGTGTGTAGATTCTATTGGCGCTAATCCAATTAAGTGTCAAAGCGTTCACATTGGTAAACCTCGAAAGGATTACTCTGTACTCCGTATACTCTCCTATTTTTGGTTTCCAAGAAAACAACTTAACGGCGTGTGGCTTGTGGGCGCAGGATTTGACCCCTGTTTACTATTTTTAGCCAGCACAACGCGATCATTGGAGCTGGCAATATATCAACTCCACTTTCAAAACAGCAGCTTCAAGAATGTGGTGAAGTCATGGAAGCTCGGAAGCAAGCGAAGGGGTAAAGTTCTGATGATTTTGCTGAATAGATTGGTAATTCCATGGTCAATTTCCCCAGTGGTTTGCCGACGCTTTCATGTTAGTCGGGACCACCCCTGGATGTGGAATGAGACGGGTTTGAGAGCAGAGAGCATGGGATCGTTGGAGACCTCCACCTACAACATAGTCAGTACATGCCGATAGCTCCCGGCAAGCAGATCAACGCAGAAGCAACTGAGATGCAGGGAACTATCGGAACGATCTTCACTGGCCGAGCTGAGGATTTTGGGTAAGGGTTATCAGTATACTCCCGTAGCCCTGGGGACAGCCGTGTAGGGACATTGCTTGTAGAAGCTTACACATCCCGGTAGGGTGGTACATTGTACGCGAAATTTGAGGACGTGTAGCTGAAAATTATCATAGTAGTAGCCCTTGAATGTTTTCATGCGGTGAGGGTGGATATGTACATATGTAGGTACCTTGGGACCTCTCCATAAATGTAGGTTTTGGATGATTGAATGACTCTCAAAGAGAACACAGCCACTGAACCACTCCATAGTATGTTGTAAAAGTCAGTATTACTTCGTATGTTCTAATCCGTGAAAGAGTACTCGTAGGTAGAACCCTAAGGGCGCTGATATCACATTTTGCTCATATCAGATACCTCGGGTGGCTGTGCTGGCTCTGGCGGTGCAACAAAAGACAAAGTGGACCGATGGAGGATGGAGCGGGTTATTTTGGAGCCCTCAGCCACACATATTTAGGGCTGTGTCCCCATTAAGTTCTCGTTTTCTCTCCTCTTAACCTTGGAAAAGGGGATGGTGTAATAAGCCACATGTAAAAAAAAAAAAGGAAGCCTAAAAACTTAGGGGGGTACATTGTACACGGGTATGTGCTCATTGTACCTAGTTAGAGTGCTCGCATAGTAACGTACGGAGTACTCCGTAAAGGTAACGTAGTTATATACGTAAGTACACATGTATACCGATACCGAAAAGCCATACAACGTACTCAGGTAGTACCTTTAAGACACATGTGCAGGTCAATACTTCCCCTCAACCTTTTGCACGAACTTCTCCAGGGGGAAAAAGCCACAATACCGATACACCCAACTGGCAACAACAAATACCGTATACTGCCACCGCCCTCCGTTGTCTGGCCTGGTCTTCTATCTTTCTCTCCTCCACCTCCAAATCATCATTCCATCGTCTTTTTTTTCATCGCTTCCCATCGGAAATACCTACTCCATCTCCTTCATTTCTCTAGAGCTATTGCTGCTGGCACTAGCTGATCTATTGCATTAAATCTACTACACCGTTGCGCCTTTGAACATTGTATGGGATCACCCTTTTCCTTTTCCCCCCCTCCTCGGGAGCCTGACTTCGCCCTTTCTTTTGGATGGTCTTGTCCATGTTACCCCCCTCATGCCTTTAGAAATTATTCATTCTTGAAACTGTGGGACTTGCGGGGCTCCCTGGTCCTTTCCTGCGTATTTGCCCCTATACTGACTCGTTCCTTATCAAGATGGCCGAGATCCGTCGCAAGCTCGTCATCGTCGGCGATGGTGCCTGCGGTAAGACCTGTCTGCTCATGTGAGTATTGAAAGTGGCTCTCTTATTGAGGGCGCTTCCCTCAACCTCCGCGTTCACTCTTTTGGTTCGGCCGCCTGACTGAAGTTCACAGTGTTTTCTCCAAGGGCACCTTCCCCGAGGTAAGCTCCTATCCATACTCGAAGCTCCGATTCCCGAAACCCCGTTTCTATCCCTAGGGCTGAACGCCAGAAGCATAATTCATGATGGATAATCTGACTTGCTTTCCGTCAGGTCTACGTCCCCACAGTCTTTGAGAACTACGTCGCCGATGTCGAGGTTGATAACAAGCACGTCGAGCTCGCTCTTTGGGATACTGCTGGCCAGGAAGATTACGACCGTCTCCGTCCTCTCTCATACCCCGACTCACATGTGATTCTGATCTGTTTCGCTGTGGACTCCCCCGATTCGCTCGACAACGTCCAGGAGAAGGTGGGTGCCTTTATCCCCCAAAGCGAAGAAAATGTTTGGGTGTGAAGCGGACCGAATATACTGACGTACTACGATAGTGGATTTCTGAGGTTCTGCACTTCTGCCAGGGTCTCCCTATTATCCTCGTCGGCTGTAAGAAGGATCTTCGCGATGACCGCAAGACTATTGATGAGCTTGCCAAGACCTCCCAGCGCCCCGTTTCGCAAGAACAGGTACGCTTTTCCGTCTCCATGGTGAATCTATTATAAACTAAAGTAAAACTACAGGGTGAGGAAGTCCGCAAGAAGATTGGCGCCTACAAGTACCTCGAGTGCTCGGCCCGCACCAACGAGGGTGTGCGCGAAGTCTTCGAGGCTGCCACTCGTGCTGCTCTCCTGAAGGCCACCAAGGGCAAGGGAGGCCGCAAGTCTGGCAAGGGTTGCCTGATTCTCTAAGCGAACCAATTGTTGTGGTCTGGCTCGAGCAAAGATCATATGTATGAGAGCCTCCACGAAAAACAATTGGTAACATTGTTCTCGGAAAGGAGGAGGGCTTCATGGCCTGCATGCGAAATTGTGGATAATATCGAATCCGGGCACTCGAGTCGTGGAGGTTTCCCCCACAATTCAGCTGGTCGACCTTGTGTTTTTCTTTTGCCTTTATTTGCAGAATTTGTCTAGGGAGGCGTTGTCTTCATCATAACCCTGTGGGCTTTTCTTTTTCTTTTCCTCTCCTCGTTCCGACGCCGTGAATTTTCAAATGCCAAATTTGAGGTGGCAACTATAAACCAACCGAAAAGCATCGAAAAAAAAAGAACCCAGAATTGGAACAACCAGGAAATGAAGAGGGGAAGCCATTCAGTGTAGCACCGTTGTGCAATTTGGTCAACGCCGTGACTCGCCTTCCCTGATCGAGTTCCCCCTGTGTCATAGATTCTTGTCCCTGCGGTTATCTCCCCATACGCGAAGAGCTTGATTCGGCTTTTACTGTTTTCTCTCTCTCCTTTACTACATTTTGTTTTTTATGTTACAGCTTATGCATGGTACTGTCTATTTCCGTCTGATATATGTACCTCCCCATGCGTAATCCTGCAGTCTGAGTAGTCTAGTGTCCGTAAACCTGTAAATATTCAGTGCTTCCAGCCACTAGAGTATGTGTTTCAACAAGTTTTATATCCATGTGTGAAGATTGTTGTTTAGAGCGACATACTTATATACATATTCCTGCAAACACACATAGAAGAGACTCCACAACTCCACACTTCACTCCAGCAAGCCCCATCCTAACTACCGATTCAGACTCAGCAGACCCTCAATATAACGCCTAGCGTCCATTCCAAGCCCCTCAACCAGCTTTGACGGCGCCATATCTGCAGCACGGGAAGGCCCCAAGCCAGTTGAAGAAGAGGCACCGCCTAGATCACGGAAGAAGCGAGCGCCACTACTGACACGGCCCTGGCTTGCCGGGGAGATGTAGTCGCTCGCTTTGCGGACGAGGAAGGCCTCCTGTGGCGGAGGGGTAGAGTGTGTTTGGGACTGGTTTGCGGGGAAGGAGTCATCGTTGTTGGCTATGGATGAGAGGGCGGCGGATGAAGAAGTGGCAGACAGCGCGGTTGGAGTTTGGGTTGTGCTGTGTGGAATGCGGACCCAGAGGACCCACCATCCGCGGTGGGTTTTGCTTGTGCGTTCGAGCTCTTGCGGGCGGGACCGCGTGTCTGCGTGTGTTGATAGGAGGCGGTGGTGAATTGCTAGGCTTTCGGTGCGGGACCAGGGTGGTGGTGTTGAAGCTTGGGAGGGGGGAGGGGGATGGGGAACGGGCTGGGGAGTTGGTTGGTTGTGTGGAGGGTGACGTGATGCCCATGCTTGGGATGTTGGGAATGGAGGAGCGTATGGTTAGGTTAGATGGGTCGTAGACTAAGTCGTAAACTGGCTGGGTTCGAGTAGAGAACCGCTTATTGGGGTCCGGGGAGGTTTCGGACATGGCGATTCGAGAGGCTGCCATTGTTGGGGATGTTGATGATAGAAGGGGTTTCTGAAGAGGACCGAGTTGATGGTGTATGCTTGAGTATAGTGATGGTGATGATAATGCTGGTGTTTCAGGATCAAAGAGGAATGTGAACATGAATGGTTGATGCTGGGATGATGTATTAGCGAGCTGATTTGATAGAATGATAAACAGCACATACCACATATATCACAACTTGGAGCCTTGTCGGAGTAGTATCTGACCCCTCTGCCAGGTGGACATGGAGTGTTCTATGCACTATCCGAGACTTGGGCTTGCCGTTCTCCGATTCGGGCTCTGGGCTTCCCTCTTCTAAATCATCCAACGTTTCTAGATCATCGCGAGGCCCAAGAACGAAATGACCCGAAGGACTGTTTCTCTTGCTGTTTCGATGGTTTATGCCAGCCTGAAGCGATTGTGCGGCACTAATCGGCCGATTCCTCGGGGTTGAGATGTACGAATTAGATTCATCTCGCATTGGGGTAGAATTTTCGGGCGGCGTAGATGTCGACTTTGGAGAGAAACTCCAAGAGGAGCCATATCCAAGTGTGAGGTATTTCATGACTGTCTCCGTTGGAAACCCTAGGTTCTCGCTGTTTTGCTCGGTACGAAGTGGAGATGCCTCGTTTCTTGGTCCTGCTTGATTCTGCTCGACAACTGCCGGGGATGGCTGCGGTGCAGCTGTTACAAGCGGACGAGGTATACCTGGCGTAAAATTGCGGTCCGGCGTGGAGGGCTGAGGGGCATCTTCCGAGCTTTGCCTTCCACGCTGCTTTCGTGGTTTACGGCGACGTAGCGAGGTTGGGTCCCGCCCAACTCCATAAGCAGCATCCCCAAACCGATAAATGCATTGCATCCAATGTGACACTTGTGCCAATGAGTGCCGAGAAAGAGCACCGACACCAGTAAATACCACACCATCGGATGGTCGAGGATCATTATCTGCCCCAAGCCATCGACTTTCGTCATTTGACCCTTCCAAAGCCGGAGAACCCTCATCACCAAACCTGGAGACGACCAAATCCACCAACCCGTCGGTCCTTGTCACAAAGTCTTCAAGTACTTCTCTTTCCCCGCTGCCCCACTCTTCCTCTCCAACGCCGATCCCCAGCTCTCCTCCCGCAGAGAGTTTGATGCCATTATAGATATCGACAATTGGGTTTCCGGTCAACAGAAGTTCCCAATTCCACGCAAACTTCTCCCAGAAACGCTCAAGGAATAGACAAAATGTGGACCTGCCTACTTGATGGAGGAGGCTGTCCAATTTGAAGTTATGGTGTAGGAGGAATTCCGAATGGGCGCGACGTAGTTGCTGAATCAGTAGAGGGGGCGGTCCCATCTCTCGCGAGGAGTAATGAAATGCCGGAGAGTCGGATGCTCCAGAGGTTCTCTGGGCTGGATCGGCGGGAATTCGGGTCAGGTCGATAGACTGGCTTAACGTGAGCTTTGTGATCTGCGCCGTTATCTGAACTACCTACCGCAACAATCCACCAGTCCTTCTCCAACTCAAGTAGAACGACCCGCGCTTTATCTGTTTCAACATATTCCAATGTCTTCCCAGCCGAGAAATTACTGCAGATTCAAGCGCGATTAGATTGTGTCATTTGCGGGGTTTGCGGGGATGCTCACCTAGCAAAGTTGACTATGCCCTGCGCCAGACCTACCTGGCGCAATCTCTCATTCCCTTCATCTTCAAGGCATTTTTTGTTCTCGCCTTCTGTAGTGGACCCATCGATGCGCCGTGCATAGCTCGATTTCGAAGTATAAAACACGATCTGGTCCGCTACCGTCTCGTCGGTACGTCCGAGGGTCGGGTTATAGATGGCGAGGTAAGAAAGTTGGGCTGGAATCACCGAATCATGATCGCTTCCAGGCATCGCATCGTTGGCCTCCGCAGGTCGCACCAGACAGGCAGCAACTGTAATGGTTGAAAGACAGATGCATCCGAAGTGCGGTGGTGGATGTTGACATCACGTGGCTTATCGATAAGCTACTATGGAAGGGAAGCTTCAACTGTCTCCTTTGATGGCTTTTCAACTTCTGGCAATTATCTACCAGAATTATGTGGATTATTCCAGGCCCAGCGAGCCTACGTCTCTGCAAGAGACCGTTGGTCCTTCGAGGGCTTGTCTTCAGGTCATATACTACCAAGACTTCGGATCCACTCCGCATTCTCTTTTGCGGCTCTGATGAATTCAGTATCGCCCACTTAAAAGCTCTCCATGCTTATCATTTAAAACAGCCGGAGCGTATTTCCTCCATTGATGTCGTCTGTAGACCTGGAAAGAGGGTTGGAAGAGGACTGAAGCAATTTCGGGAAGGTTAGCTTCAATTTACACTTCCTTGAATGGCCGTGATTCCTGATTCAATTTCCCTCAGTACCGCTCAAAGCGGCCGCATCTGCTCTTTCCCTTCCGATCCATGAGATCGATACCTTCACTGGATGGACGGTACATAACACCAAATCTCAACCCAATTGGTATATTCGCTGACTGTGCTAGCCCCCAACCTCTCCGAACGGTCACATAAACTTGGTGATTGCTGTGTCATTTGGACTTTTTGTTCCGCCGCGCATATTGAATGGTGCCAAGTATGGAGGCTTGAATGTACACCCGTCGTTACTACCAAAGTATGTGATCATTGCATGTTTAGAATCGAAGCATAAGACGATTGACTTGCTTGATTAGCTTCCGTGGTCCTGCACCGCTTCATCATACTCTTCTCGCCGGTGAGACTACCACTGGTGTGACTGTTCAGACCTTGCATTTGAAACACTTTGATCACGGAGTGATTTTAGCACAAACGCCACCTCCGGGGCTCGACATCCCCAATGCAGGGTCCTGCACAGTTCCCGAGTTGGTGGATTTCGTTGCACCTAAAGGCGCACAGATGCTCGTGGAAACCATTCAAAAGGGACTATTTGTCCCTCCCATTGAGAATGTTGGCACTGAACAGGTCGGACAGTTGAAACACGCTCCCAAAATCGTACCAGACGACCGGCACATCAACTGGGCAAACTGGACCTTGGCAGATATCAACAGACGTAACCGAGTGATTGGACCTCTCTGGAGCAAGGCTCTCTGTACAAGCAATCCTGCAGATGGACCTCTGTCATTCCAATATAAACGAGTCATTTTCACAGATACCGAGGAGGTTGACCCGCCTAAGGGATGCGATTCGTTCTCAATCCTCCCAGGTCTACCATTTACAAATGCCGCCCACCCTGTCGAGCCAAAGAAGTCACGCCAGCTATACGTTTTTACTGCCGACGGCAAGGTTCTGCGTATCAACCGGATGAAAGTGGAAGGCGAACAAGATGCAGAGGGCCTGCGAGCTGCTATCAAAGCTCGGATGTTCGGTGATCGAGCATTCCAATATGAAGGCCGGGAGTTGACTCCCTTCCGCAACTCCCTTGTATAAATACTATGATAAAGTTCTGTGTACTATAACCTCTGTCCAATAATACGCTTCCATATCCTCATTTTATCAGATCACGAAGCCAGAATCTAAAAGGAATTGTCAGTTTCGGCTCGACCGCTCGACCTGAGACTCTTACCAATTTGGACCGCTTGACCGGTTATAGAAGCATTCTTGGCCAATGTAATAAACATGTCCGCGCAGTCTTCAACCTCGGGCTATAGCGGGATTGATTAGCACATGAGGTCTTTTTAGAGATTGAGGGGGACCAGAATTGCTTACTACTTTCTTGAGGGCTGTCGCATTTGTCCAGCCCTCAATTTTATCGGACGGGAAGCGTTGACCCTGGGATATTCTCAGTATTCATCAATGCTAGCGTCGAACATGTGTTACTTACCCATTCAGTAAGCAACAGACCGGGAAGGATGGCATTGACGCGAACTTTCGCGCCCTGGGTCTTAGCAAGACACTTCATGAGATGGATAGCTGGGCGATACAGAGTCAGTAATCAAACAGCGTGATTTCTAAGAACGATGGCATACATGCTGCTTTCGAGACAGCATAAGGCAAGCTGCTGCCACTTGGCATGATGCCCTGGAAAAGACCCTAGAATCAGCATTTCAAGGTTTCCATAGTAGTGGACAGTTCAAGGCCATTTGACATGTTTATAGCTTACCGCAATCGAGGCTGTGATGAGGAAAACACCACCTTCCGGGTTCGCATTGAACGTGGGCAAAGCTGCCTTGAACAGGTGAAGGCTGCTCTTGACATTAACAGACCAGCACTAGTTCGATAGTCAGCCAGACAAAATCCCCACCACTGAGGGCGCATTCGGGTACCTTATCCCAGTCATCGTCGTCCATGGCATCAAGATCGCCGAAGTTGGTCATTTTGGTCCATCCCTTCTTATATATCAGCCTTTCGTACCCCTCTTGGGATTGATCGCATAACTCACGGCATTTGAGATAATGATATCCAAGCCACCCAGCTTCTCAATTGTGGTTTTGACGGCGTTGATACAGTCATCTTTGACTCCGGCATCCTGTTTACAGAGACAATATCACGTTAGAAGCTTAATTTTAACGAAATAGCCCTTGTACATTGGATTTGAGTGCCTTACGCCTTGAATAACCGCTGTCTTTACACCATATTTGGTTGCAATGTCCGAGGCAAGCTTATCGGCAATCTCCTTGCTAGACATATAGTTGATAGCAACGTTGCTCCCCTCAGAGGCGAATTTCTCAGCTGCAAGAGCACCTAGCCCTCTGTTAAACGAGATTAGCTTATTGACCAGCGGCATAGTTTCATGCTTCAATTGGAGATCCCCACCGAGAGCCACCGGTGATCAAGACATTGCGACCCGACAAGGAGTAAGGCATGGTGAGCAGAATTGTATTTCGAGATCAAGCTCAATTGCTTTGTTTCAAAGAGAAGAGACAGAGAGACGCGAGATTGAAATACAGAAGAGGGGAATTACCGAGGAATTTCTGCTGCGGGGTAGTACATTTGACACTTGACATTTGGCATTTGACATTTGACAGGTTGGGCTTTGGAGAATCATAAGATGACTGGAAGAGAAGAAGACATATTGAGTTGACTCTCCCAGCACAGACAGTTACATAGTGACCATCTTCCCGGGACATTTCTCGGTGGTTAACGAACGACTTGGGGGATTGCTGTTATAGTTATAGATGCCATAACCTATGATCATGAATTATAGACTTACACTACGGATTCGATCTAAATTCCTACATTGAGGGAGAGTGTGTGGAGAGTCAATCGATTCATTTCTTACCTAGGTACCTACCTGGTGAAAACCTCGTTTCTTGTGATATCTGCATCAGATCAAAGATACCAAATAGATCAAGCCGTGTAGATGCACGGCACTTAGATCACAAGCCATCCTGCGTATTGCGTTCTCTTCATTCCCCACCAGGCCCGTCGTCCGGCCTGAGCAGGCCATTGAACAAGAAATCGGTCGGCCAGAGGCAACAGTAAGACACCAGAGGTACTGAGCGAGCTCACCCGGGCCCACGATTCGATGTAAATAGTGCGCAGCTTTGGTGCTGATGTCAAAGAGGAGAATGTTCTTAGACCCAGGCACAACGCAGCGCATTTGGCCAAACATAGAAAGAAACGGATGAGTTTTGCGCCTGCGATAACGCAGACTGCTGTAGCGGGACCGTTTGTAAGGATCAAATCAGGGTAAAACGAGCTGTATTCCTTTGGGAGCTTTTGGTCTGGGTGACGTCCGCGAAGAACATTGAGGCAAGCCCAGAAGCATTGAAGCGTAGAGAATGGCGCAGTAAGATAGGATTGATGGACCCGTCGGGCACGTGGAACTGTAACAATGGTGTAATTGTCGCTATGGGCATGGCCCTGAGAACTTTGTCCAAGTTGAGCCTCGAAAGCCTTGGCTTTCTCTGCGCTAAAGTTATCTCCGGAGCTCACGAGGTATGTCCGATACGTGTAGATTTGGGGGTCGAAATTCATGCGCTCCAGCATGTAGAGCATTTCAGCTGTGTGACCACCACTTCCAAGAGCTACCAATAGGTGGGTAGGAGATCCCCGTCGGCGACGTTTCGGGGGAATGATATTCTGGGAGATCGTGAGGGAGAGGAATAGAACCTAGGAGGGATAGACAAGTTAGATTGATCCAATGGTATGGGTAAAGGGTACTCACAATGAAAATCCCGGCCCCAAGTGTAATTGCCAGGATGGCACACCATAGGAGCAGCTCCCAGAAGGATAAAGAAGCAAAAGAAAAAGGCATCTTGGACCGCTGTTGTATGGTCTCAAGGGTTTGGAGAGACCGAGGATTTTTCAGTGTACCATTGTCATAAGAATAGAGTCGAAGAATAATCGAATGAAAAATGGATGAAAAGAAAACAATGGCAATAAGTCAATCAAGTGCAAGTTCTATTGACTATTGACTCGATAGATGAATAAAATTGGAGTCGCGGTACTCCATACACGTCCCCCGCACGTGCAAGCTCCGACTTGTTTTATTTTCTTCTTTGGCATCCGCAACCCTCTCCCTTGTTTACACCAACGCTTTCACTTGTGGTTTTTTTCCCCACGTTACTATGTCATGGCTTCTCTATTTTCTAAGCGTTTGACCTGCTTTTATTGTGGGCAGCGGTCTGCTCGCTCTCATCGCGGGCCTGTTCGCAATTTCCGCTGTGAACATTGTGAGGCTGATAACTTTTTTGACGAAGTAGGTATTGATCCTTTCCTCGAATCTATTTGATTTATACTAATGTATGTTCTCTAAAAAGAAAGGAGAAATCACAGATCCACCAGCTGTGGTCACCAACGCTGAAGTCTACGCGCCTGGCGCATCAGACTCGCCCTTCGAATCCACTGATTTCAGTGGATCCCAGTCATTTTGCGCCAAATGTACTCGGAATCAGCATTTATTTACGAGCTCGCTGGCTTCCTACTTCCCTCCCTCGGACGATCCCACCGATAGCGAATATGAACGCGGGTATGAACAGTTCCGCAGAAACCTGGAGGACCGATACCCCCAAGTCTGCGAGTCTTGCGAACCCATTGTGAAATCTCGTATCAGAAGAGCCGGGTACGAAGCGAAATCGGATCACCTCAGACGCATGATGGATCAAAGCCGAGCAAACCGAGAATCACGACAGGCGAGGAACCGGAGCTGGAGAAGCTTGCTTCTTTTTGTCGGTGCATTTGCGTATTGGGCTAGCATTGCTGGTCAGCTAGCCTGGAACTTGATTAGTGTAGCCACCATCTCTCAGAGCTCGCCACATTTCGATTATTCACCCGACACCGAACGACCTCCAATGGCACCCAACTCTGTGGTCTCCTGCGTCAGCCAGTCTATCCGTTTACAGCGCATTCCCAGCGAATGTTCGCCTGATCTAGCACCAACTGCTGGTCTGGCATTGATCGCAGGTGCACTTTCGCTCTGGTGGAATCCAAAGCTGCGCATGAAGATAGACGGAATGCCCGGTAAATTCGGCGGTCTTGCCGAGTATTACCAAGCTCAACTCATCGTCATTGTTGCACGATGTGTTTTCTGGGCGGTAGTCAAGGATCCCTCTGCTAGTGGGTTAGAACCCAAGTTGATTTCGGCCTTCCATGCTTTGATGATGGGTTTCACTATCCTGGTAAGCATGGCTTTCTCCTTGGACATTCCAGGCGCTACGCTAACTATGGTAGTCGGTTTTTTTCTCTCGATATGTTGTCAGCTACTCCAGTCGTCCACTCGTCAATTGGTCCGACAACAGCTGGGAAACTCAATTCGAAAGCCCCAAGGCGTCTTCTTCTGCACTGTCCGAGTCACCTGTGTCGACTCGCATCACAAGATCTGGCGGAACACCAAAGGCGAACATTGGTGGATTACAGCAGCGCTTTCCGATTGACAAATTGGCTCAGCCTCAACCTCGGTCGCCTGTTGAGCAGTCGCTTACGGTTGCCCCCGATCTTATGGATAATGACGGCATGGACTGGTCCCCATCTATTACTCATAACCTCCGACCGACTGTGACACGGCGAGATCAGCCGTCTGTGCTTGACGGTCCTCATCCATTCCAGGGCCAGATCCCAGCAGCCCCGATGCCTCCTGCGTGGAAGCTACGCACCCAGACTTCAACAAAGCCCATTGAGCAAGTGATTCAGCCTAATCCTTTCCACCGCAGTCCTACCCAACCGCAAGGCCAATGGCAGCAAAGGCGTGCTGATGCCGAGCCAGTGTTCAAGGAACCGAAGTTCTTTCCTCCCCATGATCATGACACGTCTACTGGGCTGGAAACACTGTTTGACCGTGCCTTTAATTTCCAGTCCGATGCTGCCCAAGGAACTGGCTGGTCTCAGCAACCGAACCAGGGCTCGCATGTCGATGACACGCAAAGTTATCTCTTTTATGGTTGTCTCCGACTGGGTTTGCTAGTCAGCTTCATCAGCGCATGGACCATCTCTCAGAATCACCAGGTCTTGATCCCAGGAAATTACGTGGAGATCGCTGCCCTAGGCGCGGCAAGCCTTGTTGCGGGGTTCGCTTTGATTACCATGGTAAAAAGGCCTCTTGTCCAATGGAATGGCATGGAGATTCTGATTTCTATCACCGAACTTGCCGCCGCTGTGCATATGGGGGCACATTTACCCACTGTTTCGCTTAATCGGGACTACTTCGACCGCTACGGCAAGCTTCTCCTGATTTTCATGGCCGCACAGGAAACTATGAATGTAGTATCCTTCTACAATAAGGCCAGGTTAGAAAACCAGCAGCACCCAGGATCCGTATCACCGCAGTCCCAGCCGCAATCACCGCATCAAAGCCAATCGGGTGCCCTTGACTGGCCTGCAGGTCAAACATCCTCCAAGTCTACGCCTGAGCCTCGAGTCAGCAGTCCGCCTGTCCACCGATCATTCGAGTCACAACCATCCGCTCCTCCACTTTCATTTGGCGATACCGAGGCGGCCTCTAGTTTCTCTTCAGCATTGCCTTCTGGGCCACAATATGGGCTTACCTCGTCTCGATCTGTCCACTCATTCCCCGCTGCCAACCAGAACACCTTCGACCAAAACAGAAACCCACATAGTTTCACTATGGAATCTCTAAAGCAAATCGACCCCGTGTCTGATTATGAGCGAGACTCGGACACCGAGACTGTAGCCACAACTACAACCGCCGCCACAAATTTCACTAACCGCAACATTCGGTATGGGAATAACTCCGGTCTGGGTTCCAACGTTTTTTACTCACCCCGGCGGAATGGTCTCGGATCAGGCATGGGCGGTTTAAGCTTGGATGATGACCCTACTCCCCGCCGCATGACTCGCAGCCAGACCCAGCATGGGCTACTTGGTCGGCGTCCGACCAACTATGTCCGATGATTTTGTCTGTTTCCTTTCTATTCGTCTTTTCGTTCATTTTAAAATTCCTCGTTCTGTTTGTTCGGTACGCCACTGGCCATTTTATGCCTCTAATCTGTTATTGATCTGGTGCCTCTATGTCACTTCAGTGCCAAATTGGGCCCCTGTCATTACTTGCAGACTGGTTGGGCCCTCGCCACGGCGTGGATCCATTGAGCCAGCCGGTTTCTTTATTCTCTTTGTTAACTTTCGGTTTCCCTGTTTTGATTTCAAGCGAAGGTCGTGGGTTCATAGCGCAGGCGAATGTTTCTTCTTGTTCTATATTGACGGGTTTAGCGGTCCTCCGAAGTGTTAGGACCGCTGTACATATCTTTCGAGGGGGTTGGACTACCCGAATACTCTGATGATGTCTATGAAATTATGATGACAGATGTGAATACTCTTTGAAACTCAAATATTGCTTTCTTGAATTTGATCACTTTCGACATTCCACATTCGACATAGACCTAAACTAGTGAACCCCTACTCCTTCACTCTCTCAACATGCGCCTGGGATGCCTTGTCCCCTTCGCCAATAGAACCCCGCTCCGCATCAGCATTCTTATTCTCAACCAGCTGCGTAACACCAAAGAGCTCATCCATCTTCTCGAGGGACAAACCTATAGGCACACCATAGTTAGCAACAGAACCATTATATGCTATCAGAGGGATCGACTCACCCTTAGTCTCCGGGATAAAGAACCACACAAAGACACACATCGAGAAACAGAAGCACGAGAAGATAATATACGTTCTGCACAACCGAAAGTCAGCAAACCACAATGCAAAGCACAAGCCCACAAGGCAAACTCACCCATAACCATGGGCACCAACAGTAGCCAACATATTCGGCACAGCCCTCGCAACAACAAAGTTAAACAGCCACTGCGTAGCAGCTCCAAAAGAAACGTTGAGTGAGCGCAGCCTGGCAGTCGGGATCTCGGAGACGTAAATCCAGCAGACGGGTCCCCATCCGAATTGGAAGAATGACGCGAACAGGAAAATGCACACCAGCGCAAAATACCCAGCCGGGATGACGGGTGCGTCCTTAACTGGCGGCGCAATGCGAACGTACAGTCCGATGTACAACATTGCCAAACCCTGCGCGATCGAGGTCCATAGGAGGGAGCGACGTCGGCCTAGCGAGTCCGCTACGAAGATCAGGAACACGCCACAGCTGACCACCTTCACGATGCCGTAGACGCCAGTTGCGAAGAGGTTGGTTGCGTTACCGGTTAGGCCGAGCTGTAGAAGGGGTGTAGTTAGTATCTGAGTGTGTTTTCGCTGGGGGGTTATAGATAGCAGTGCGTGCTCACGTTTTGGACTGCGACTTGTTAGCTGGATGATGTCTTGTTAAATTGGAAGTAGGAGCAACATACAAAGTTGGGGCGCATAGTAGTTAATGGCATTAGTTCCAGTCATCTGCTGGCAGATCATCAAGAAGATAGAGATAATCGCGCGCTTGCGATTACCCGGAACGAGCCACATCTCTTTCATCAAGTCCCAGAAGCCGGAGCCAGCGATAAGTGCGCGTTCCTGTTCCAACTGGGTGGAAATGGCCGCGAACTCTTCCTCCACGTATGGGTGGTCAGAGGGGAGATTGCGCACTCGGCAGAGAGTTGCGCGGGCTTCTTCCCACCGGTCTTGTTTGGCCAACCAGCGGGGGGGATTCATTACAGAACAGCATTCCGAAGAACAGGAGCACTGCGGGAAGACCTTGCATCGCCAGTGGAACAAGATACATTGCGGGGCCTTCGATGTTGAGCAGCGAGCCGTAGTTGATCCAGAATGCAAGCATGATACCCATTGTAATGAAGAGCTGGTATAGACCTGTTAGACCTCCACGAATTGCGCGAGGCGCGTTCTCGGAGACGTAGAGTGGGTTGATCATGGATGCGGCACCGACTCCGAAGCCACAGATTAGTCTAGAGGTGTGGGTATTAGCCTGAAATGAGGGACGAAGGACTGCAGGCAGGAATATATGGCTTACCGCCCGATGTACATGACTTCGATGTGACCGCTGGCAGCAGTTTGCATGGCAATTCCAATTATAGACACGATCGCTGCGCCCATTAGGGCCATTCGTCTCCCCCATTTCTCGGCTATCGGGGAGGCAGCCAGGGCTCCAAAGAAGCATCCTGCTTGAAGGGTGGAGACGATATTGGCCGATAGATTTGCTGCATCGACTTTGGAGATGTTCTCCAGACGGTATGTCCTACATCGATGACATTAGTCGGAATAGTTTGACGCCAGGGAGCAGAGAGAGAGAACTCACCGTTTGAATCCTGGCATGACCAGAACTCCGCCAATGATACCGGTGTCCATTCCAAAAAGCATTCCACCGAAACATGCCTGGGAGGCATTAGCTCTGTAATTCTTGCATTATTATCATTGCCATCGCGAAGTAGGGACTGACCGAGCAGGCAAGCATAAAGACTCTCCACCCATAGATCTCCTTAGGATCCGACTTCATCGCCTCATTGTGAACAATTTTCTTTAAAAGCCACGACATCTTGGATAGTAGCAAAAGGAGTTAAGTCAAGATGATCGCAGATACTCCAGTTGAGGAGGGGAATGGCTATCTTAAAAGTAATTCTCTGATACCAGCTCAGGAAGAAGCTAAACTCGATATGCCATCGGCTATTGATAGACGTATAAACGAAGGAAAGAGACTACGACCATAAACCTATGGGAGGTATAGTTCTAAGCCCAGTTGTCTTGGCTGGCCACCGAGCGGCCTATGGGACAAAAGCAGGGACACGAAACAAGGCGAGCGGACATGGAGAAAAACATCCACGAATCCCAAGAAAGACCGACACGGGTTGCAGGGAGCTACTACTGCTCACATGGTTAGGGTGTTTGGGTCGGTGCAATATTCTTACGGCTGATCCACGTGCAGCTCTCAGGTAGGAGAAGTGTGGGGGTAAAGTTCCAGGGTAGTACTTCGTACAGCTCATGAGCTGATTTCCCGATTATTTGAGCCTGGAAAATTATAGGAAAATGGGTAGATTTAGCCGAAGAGAGAGGAGAAATTAGGAGAAATTAGGCTTGAAGGTTGGTTTCAAGGTTGTTGATCTTACCCCAGACTGCGGGGAAACTCAAAATGAAAGGCTAATCCCAATACAGCAAAACTTTCCAGAATAGGATTAGCATTCCATGGTACATTCTCTCATAAACTACCTAGGTAGAGTACATATCAATGTGTACGAGTAATCAACTCTGATCTGTACTCTGCATCCTCTTCTGTAGCCACTCTGGAATAACTGGTTTCTTCTCCCAACCTGCCTTCCAATCCCGTTGACAGTCTGGCACAGCATAAACGGCCGTGACAAACCAGCAATCCTGGCCAGCTACCAAGTCCACCGAAAGTGACGGCAAAAGTGTGCGTCCATGAATGATATTGGAGTTTGGATCAGCCAAGACGATCCGGCCAGCCCGCACAATGGGCGAATGGAGCTCCGCGATGCCAACAGCCCCAGCCGATGAAACCACCAATCCACTCCGGCTGTCGTGCATTGTCCCCTCAGAATCATCCCCAGTCATAGGCCCCAAGGTACGACCATTATCGCTACGACATCCGTAAATAGCAAAGGCACCTTCAGAGGTCTGTAAAGCACGACCAGTGCGCACATGGTGAGCGCGCAGATGCCAGTTCTCAGTTTCCTGCGTCGGCGGGATGAGAATGGTCTCTATATCAACATCTGGCCACGGTTTCCAACCAGAAACAAGAATAGGTTGGCCATTGAGCTCTGGTTCCTCAAAGCGCGCATCGAGCGCCAGCCGTCTAGTCTGCCAGATGTCGCCGCCGTCGTCTGACAACGCAAGCATGCTGTCTGGGGCATGCTGCTCCAGCTGGTAGCCACCCGTCGGAACCGAGTATCCAAAGGCAGAACTGTATGCAAACTTGCCATACTTGGCCTGTGTTGCTTTGAGGGGGTAGTGGCATGCTTGGCCAGAAGACAGCAGGAAGGAGTGTCCACCACGACGAATGGCAATATGTTTGGGGTACTTTAGGGCCACCACTTCGGGTAAAGAGGAACTTGGGTAAGGCTCCTCTTGCGCGGACCAGAAGGGATGCGTCTCCGGTAGTGCCAATGGCGTGAACGAGAGACAGCACCAGTACGGTGACCCCGGGAATTGTAATTCTCCGTTAGGTACATGTTAGCGTACGAGTAGCCGAGACTCAAGGTGCCATCGTTGTTGAACATGTCTTCCTGAGTAGACCACCATCGGAAGTGGCGAAGGAGAATTCCCCTAACCACGCCCCATGTCAGTGGTTCCGGTAGTTCGACGTCTGCGAAGCCTAATGCACCCCAGAATCCAACCATGGCAAACCGATAGGTCATAGAGCGTCCGAATGGAATGGCACTGCCTATTTGATAGTAGTTCTAGTCAGGACCAATTCATCTCAAAAGAAGAGGGAATCATATCAGAAAGACCCGCCCCAGACATACCGTTAGGATCGAAGTAGTGCACAAAATCTATAGCAAACTCCCTTGCCCGCTGGCGATAGCGCTCAGCACGCTCAGGATCAAAGTCACCCGCCAGCTTTGAATAAAGAAGCTGCAAGAACTGGATGGCGAATGAGCCGGAATAGTAATCCATCTGATGATGACTCTTAGGTCCATCATTGCTCCATCCTCCGCCAACATGGAAGGTATCCAGATGATCCATATCAGCCTCGATACGAGACAAAGAGTATTCAGCGCCATTCTTTCTGAGGCCCAAGTTTGCAAAGACGCGGAACCACAGCCTGTAATCGTCCCCACCATAATTAGTCGACTCATTCACTTCACACCAAAAGCAGACCATCCTGGATAGATCAAGTCATAACATACCAATTCGTATTCGGCATTTCGCGCGCATTAATACTCGCCAGCCAACTACCAACATTCCCCCTCTGCTTCTCTGTCAATGGATCCCAAAAGACATGAGGCGCAACAGCAAGCGCAAACCCAATCGGACACATCTCCACCATGCGCTGGTCCATATCTTCAATATGACCCCAGAACTCCGGGTGTTCGGGATCAGTGCCGTTGATGATTCCCTGGCGCCAGCGCTCAGCCTCGGCGTATTCATATCCGCCGCCTAGCAGCGAGGCCAGACCCCATAGCGGGCGAGCGTATCCCTCGATCTGGGCTCCGCCTTCGTCGAATCGTGTCGTCGATGTGCCTACTTTGACACGTGTTCCGCCTGCTGTAAAGAGGGGTACTAGCGGATCGAGAAGGGCGCGGCATGCTTCTTGTAGGTCGGATCTGGTGCGGAAAGGGGATTTGCTGAAGGCCTGTGAAGGGGTTCGGCCGTTAGCGTGGATAGACATCGTAAGTCTATAGGCTGGAGGCTATGAGGAGTTTGTGCTGTTATGGTAGCTATTGTCTGTTTAATAGGTGGTTGTACGTTTTATAAAGATTGACATCGGGTGAATCCCCGATTGTTAGTTGCTTGGTTGGCATTTGATATCGGAGTTCGCGTGACTATGCCGACCTATAGTAATACCAGGGGCCATTTTGGTGCGAATCGGAATTCGCTGAGAATGCCGATTCAGCCAGTTGGATCTGTGCGCTGGCCTGAGGGAATCCTGGGGCTGGCGTGGGGTTTCCATTTAGCCGGTCGACGTAACGTGGGGAGATCGTCAGTGACAAAGGCTAGTCTGTTCGAAATAGGCTGTGCCCAGGTGATGATCTGATAAGTGGGGAAATTATCGTCCACCAATGAAGGAGACGGGCAAAGCAACCAGTAATGTGGTTCTTGTCGTATAGGATATCATGGTATTATTGTTTGTACATAGGGCCCAAGAGTATTCAATATCTATACACGTCACGAATTGCATGGCACCGATGCAATTGGACAATTAACCACCCAAGAGGCCACCCAAGAAGCGGGCTAGCTCTTTCACAACAGTATCATCGACTCCCTCTGTTCCGCCAAGACCCTGCTTGAGGAGCTCTGTCCACCGGGCCAAGGTAATCTCGTGCAGCTTTTGTCCGTTCAGTGCTGAGTGGACACGGCTGGCTTGGCCAGATGCAGTGGACTCGTTAGGTGAGACAGAGATGTGGCTTTCGACGATAGCGCCATGTTGCAGGCGGAGGAAAGCACGGGTACTTGAGGGGAGCGAGGAGGGCAGTGGAGGCCGTTCACGGGGGTCTTCCTCGATGGGGTACGTTGAGAAAGTGAAACGCGGTGTTTGGGTGTACTTCCACTCCAACGAGCGCAACTCGGCAATTCCTTTCCCGATGGCAGGCACCTGCTCGCCTTGCACTTCTCCCACTGTACCAGCTACCCAAGAACCTCCAGCAAAGACTTCAGGCTCATTGGCATGAGCACGCTGAGCCCTGAGAACAGCATCGGGATGTACCTGGTAGAGTTGAGCAAACTGCTCGATCACACTCTCAACCACGCTCTGCATGGAAAAGAACGAGTCGGCCAACGCAGTCGAGACATTCCCGACCGGAGAACGAACGCTTTCAACACCCTTGGCCTGGATATACTCGCGAGCGGATGATCGCAGGTACCGGCCAAGATCATGAATGTTCGGGGAATCGAGCAAGCAAGTGCCGTGATGGAGGGCTCGGAACCGAGTGAGCTTAAACGCAGAGCCAGAGACCTTGCGTGTTAAAGGCTCGTTGAGATCATTTTCCATCCCTTCTGCTCGGGCCATGACAATATCGTGCCGCTCATTGACACTAGTGTTGGTAGCTCCGACCTGATGAAGTGCGCGCACCACCATCTCGGCGTGCTTGTCACGCGTAAACGAGGTACGCGGACATATAACGCTGTAATTCAAGTTGCCCTCATCGTGGAAGACAGCCCCGCCACCTGATCGCCGACGAACGAATACTGCAGCTTCGTCTTCTCCAGTCGTGCCGTTCCTGCGGTCATTGTGAAGTGCGCGGAGATCTGTTTCAAGCCATGGATTCTGGTTGCGCCCAATGACTACACACGGTCGATTGGCATAAAGAAACAAAATGCTGGAGTCTGCCGGGGCATTTTCTAGTAGGAAGTGCTCGATCGAAAGGTTCACGTAGGGATCTGTTGATAGCGATTGGTAGATCTGATGTAAAGAGGAGGGACGGCTGGCGAGCTCGGCGAATTGGTGAGCGGGATATGATGAATTATGGCGGATCCATCGATGCTTCAGTGGACTAGTCCAACGTACCGAAGACGAGGAGCATCCTCGAAGGGTGAGCATTGGAGCAAAAGGTGAACGAAGTTATTGATCGCATCCCGAAGGTTATGCGCCGATAGTCGGTTGCGCTAGTCCCAGATAGGAATCTCAGCGATGAGTCGATTTCCAATTTCCTTTTTTTCTACTTGCGGTCAGCGAACAACCTTGTTCTCTTCCTATTCTACTGTTTTATTGATCTTGGGGTTTTTGAACTTATAACCGTCCTTTAATACCTTGCGATTATCTTTCAACGCCCATAATGTCGACGTGGGGTCAGTATTTCCGTGTCACCACGTAAGTTGCCCACCCCTCATCACACATATCGCTGCTGACACCCACGATTCAGTTATGGCGAGTCCCACTGTCGCTCCGTCGGCTGCATCGTCGATGGATGTCCTCCGGGCCTAGAAATCACTGAGGCCGATATTCAGCCCCAAATGACCCGGCGCCGTCCCGGCCAAAGCGCCCTCACTACCCCGCGGGACGAGAAGGACCGAGTCGAGATCCAGTCAGGCACAGAGTTCGGCGTCACTCTGGGCACACCAATTGCCATGGTCGTCCGCAATGAGGACCAGCGTCCCAAGGACTACGGTGGCAGCACAATGGACCTGTACCCGCGCCCTAGCCATGCCGATTTCACCTACCTGGAGAAGTACGGCGTCAAGGCCAGCAGCGGCGGTGGTCGCAGCAGCGCCCGTGAGACTATCGGTACGTTATGTGTAACCAAAAACACCAAACAATTACTCTCGCTGACCCAATTCGTACAGGCCGTGTAGCTGCCGGCGCCATCGCCGAGAAGTTCCTCAGCCTGGCGCATAACATCGAAATCGTCGCCTTCGTCTCCTCCGTCGGCAACGAGCACCTCTTCCCCCAACCCCCGAACACCCCTCCCCCTCCACGAACCCCGAGTTCCTCAAGCTAATCGAAACAATCGACCGCAAAACCGTCGACTCCTTCGCTCCCATCCGATGCCCAGAAACCGAAGCAGCCCAGCGCATGACCAAAGTCATCGAGAAGTTCCGCGACAACCACGACAGCATCGGTGGAACCGTAACATGCGTGATCCGCAACGTGCCAGTCGGGCTGGGCGAGCCGTGCTTCGATAAGCTTGAAGCCAAGCTCGGCCACGCGATGCTCAGCATCCCCGCAACCAAGGGCTTCGAGATCGGCTCCGGCTTCGGCGGCTGCGAGGTCCCCGGCTCAATCCACAACGACCCCTTCATCGCCAACTCGTCGACAACTGAGGCCGGCGGTCCCCGTCTCACTACCAAGACTAACAACTCTGGCGGTATCCAGGGTGGTATCTCCAACGGCGCGTCCATCTACTTCCGCGTCGCCTTCAAGCCCGCTGCTACCATCGGCCAGGCGCAGACCACTACTTCCTACGACGGCGAGGAGGGTGTCCTGGAGGCTAAGGGTCGCCACGATCCTTGTGTTCCCCCCCGTGCTGTCCCTATCGTTGAGGCTATGTCGTCGCTGGTTGTCATGGATGCACTCATGGCTCAGTATGCCCGTGAGGGCGCCAAGAACTTGCTTCCACGGAAGCCTCAGACTATCCCTACTCATCCTACCACCGCGCCCAATGGTGCTCCTTCATCGTAGACTGGGGGAAACCTGACGAGTTATATTAAAATGTTATACGCAAGCGTCATTAAGGAAGGTCATGTCTGAGTCTATGTCTGATGTATCATGGAGCTACAAAAGCGTTATATAGATGCCATATTCATGCATTTAACAATTCTGGGAGAAAATACATCCTTGTCTCCTATGAAATATCCAGTATACGAGATTGTCTAAGAATTGCAGTTACTTAAGAGGCTCAACAAATTTTAAAAGCAATCATCCATTTTGAACTCGCTACCTAATCGAACAAGCGCTCACTCTGCAGGAGGAACCACGTAAAAAGAGAAACGTCGATTCATCAGGACAATCATCTCATCTCGGAACGGCATCAAAACATCGCTGTGGATATCAAAACGAGAGAAAACAGCAACCACCCCCAAAACACAGTGTGACAAAAAAAGTAAAGACTCCAAGCGAGAAAATAACCAACGACAAACTGCAAATAAAAACTCGCACGCCGAAGTTGTGTACAAACGACGCAATGCAATGCAACACAACACATCTCTAGGTGTCTCATAGATGCAGACACCAAACCAGGCTCACCTAACCCAAAAAAGAAAAGGCAATACAAAAGTACAAGTGAGAAGATAAAACGGAGAAGGGAGAACAAGACGATCAGTAGAAGAGAAAAAAGCAACCCCAGATCTCAGATCTAGGTACTGACCCTCCGGTTCCCAGTACCCCAACTAACAGAGCGCTCAGACGTACTATCAATATCGCCAGCGGCAGCATTAACGACACGGAGTTTCTCCCGAGGAACGGTAAAAGTCGTCTGGACACGTCGGGTCTCAGCAGCACCCTCCAGATCCCAATCATGGACATCTTCCTCGTCATCGCCGAAGCCAGCTTCGTCACCCAGGTATCCCGGCGCGCCGATGAAAAGATCATCGCGTGTAGACCGGGCCATGTTAAACACATCGTCTGAGACACGCTTCCGCGCGTTCCAGTCTTTGGCACCCTGCTTGCGGCGGAATAGCTCTGCTGAAGCGCTGACTGCTCGGCGCGGGGTGCTGGGACCTGAGCTTGTGGATTGTTGACCTGATCCGAGCGTGCTGCGGCGGTCAATGCCGGAGGCGCGGTGCGCGGCGCTAGAGGTACTAGAACCGGAGTCGGGTTGGCTGTCGGGGCTGCGGCGGGTCATTGTTAGGGCTCGGCGCATGGTGTTCATTACCCAGTCAGAGGCTTTTGGTTTGGATTCCCGGGGCAGTTTTGAGGGGGATGAGGGTGTGATGGGGTCGAGGGCGTCAACGAGGAGGGACTCGTTCTCTGACTTGCGGTGGGATAGGTTTGTCTGGGCTGTAGAGTAGGAATCCGCTGATACTGATTTCTCCGAACGGGCTACGCCGTCTGGGTCGCTGTGTGCTGAGGTTTCGGCGAGGTATTCCAGTGACTGGCGCCCACTGCCCCAGCTCATAGGTCGATCGACGAGAATGCCTCGTGCTTGGTTGACCATGCCGACAGGCTGGGAGGACGCAAAAGAGAATGCTGAGTTATCTGACAGGTTGGTGGCTGTTCGTTCGGTTTTCGGGGACTCGACATCCACGGATCCAATATCCTTTCGCCGGCTGTAGAAAGGACCTAGGCCAACGCCGAAGATGGTACTCCGAGGAGTTGCGTAGGGGGTATCTGAGAAGGGGTCTTCGGGCTCCGTCATCTTGACCGTGGGTCTTGTTCCAGCTGGGATGGTTGCCATGAGATTTTCTCGGAACGCTTCATCTTCTTCGCGTTCATCAATAGGGTGGATATCACCAGTAGTGTCACTGCGACGGTATTCACTGTTTCGATATGAGAATGGCCGATTGCTCACTGGAGGTACCACAGGGGGCTGGGTATTCTTGACTGGACTAGGAGGGTCCATCAACAGCCCAGTCCTCTCCGCTGTGCCTTCGCCCTGGTCTCTCCAGTTGGGCCGTGCCGTCTGGCTGCGATTTGCCGACCAAGGATACAGGGGGGGCATCCCTTTTTTTCGCTCATTCCAGAACTCCGAATACTGCTTGCTTGTGTTGGACAATTTCGATCCCAAAAGTGAGCTCGTTCTGCCCCCAAAGCAAGTTCCCGTAACTGCGAGTCTCGCTTGCTCTTTACGCGGCGCTTTCGGTGGTAGTTCCATCCACACAAAACGATGGCCAAGGCAGCAGGGCATCCAATGCCCAGCCCAACCCCTAAGCCGGCCTTTTGGGATGATGAAAGCTTACTGGAACGGGGGGAAGCATTCGAGGAACTGGCCGCCGGATTGCTGTAAGAAGTGACCCAACTGCTCGAAGTCACATTGTAGAGATAGACCTGCTGGTTGGGTTGCGCAGTCGCTGAGGCCCGTTTGGAAGATGGTTTCGGGATATTGTAGCCCCCGGAAATCATCATGACGCCCCCAGGGAGCATTGCCGCTCCATGTCCGAAGATGCCAGCACCCTGGGTGATCCCTAATCCTTCGGCGGAGGGCGCTGTCCAAATCCATTCGGTGGTTCCGCCAAACCCTTCTGCAAGATCCAGAACTGCAAACTGCGGCTCAGCAGGGACAGTCATATCCCCAACCCAACCTCCAAATACAAACACTTTATTGCCATCTTCCGAGAGAACCGCAGTGTGACCGGAGCGAGGCTCAATAGAGACCGCATCTCGAACAGTCAGTTCACGTTCAGTCTCTGGCGTCGAATTAGAGATGGCAGAAACAAAGCTCCAGCTTTGCTGCGGCAGCGAGAAAATGGCAAGTTGCGACATGTTAAGGAAGGCCTGCCTGGTATGGCCACCAATAAACAAAAAGTCTTGTTGTTTCCCCGTAGAACCGGCAGCATAGGTAGGCTGAAGTGGCACCACGGCCATTCCAGCTTCAGCGACGGGCGGTGCGCGCTTGCCAGTCGTGGCAGCGGTGAACTTGGTGTTGTAATAGGGACTCGGCCCTAACACCACCGTCGAGCGGGAGTAGTTGGCCGCCGTGACCCATGTTTCGTCCGTGCTGTTCGCGAATGGGCACATTCCACCAAAAGCGTACATGGAGCTCTCGCTCTCATCTTCGTGGCGGGATGCTGAATACGTGAACCCCGCCGCTAGATAGTTCGGTGCAGTTTTGTCTCGCTGGTGATGATTGGCAGTCTGTCCCAAGTCCCGTTGGCAATTGGGCTTTTGATGTTTGGGTGGAACTGCCATAGTGCCGGGCTATCGGATGCGCTGTGGCAGTTGCCCGAGTAGACTGTGATGAACCCTTGGTCATTGATGGCAGAGATGAAAGTCGAGTTTTGATCGGAACTGTAGAATGGCGTGCTCTTCAACAGGGTTTGATATGATAGATTCTTGGCATCGATGCTGCTGGACAGGTTGAGAGAGACGAACTCGGTTTCCCCGGTGGAGCTGGGTCGGAGGATGTATGCGATGGAGTCATCGTGTTGTGGGGAAAGGAAGATAGACGATGGGGTGTATGGGATTGCAGTAGAGGGGCCAACTAGCGCAAGCGCAAGGAGTGCCTTTGCCTTGCGATGCTTCATGCTGTTTGCGATCTGAGACAATCAGAAGCAAGGGTACATTCCAGGATCGGCGAGCATGACGTGCCACGCGAAGGTCTATTTTCGGACAGTGCAATGTAGGTATTCAATTTGACAGGTGTTAATGTTAACGTCAATGTCTGTGACAGGGTAGAAAGGCAGAGAGATATTGAAGGGGATAGCATTGTAGAACTTCAGTAAACAAGTTTATGGTTTAAGACCTGGGGGGTTCTCGCCGCCCTTCTATATTACCAGACCAATCATCAAGAGTACCATACAGTCACTTTTATTAAACCGACTTTATTTGCTCGCAAACAAAGAAAGAGGGAACTTAATGTATTGCCGAGACTCTGATCGACCGCCGAACCAACCTCGTTGCCCGGCAACGGTGGGTGATTGCGTGTTTTTATGTTTTCATGCATATCATGTCATATAACATATACAGGCAGCATTATTAAAATCTGTTTTCATGATTTCCCTGTTTTCTTGACTTATTAGGTTATAGATTGCCTCAAAATATCTTTGGAATCTTTTTAGCGTTAAGATTCCCCAAGTGGGCCTTTAGTAGAACGGGTATCAGATGTGTTTCAAGAGCATAAAATGTTGACTGCCTTTGAACAAGTTTATGATTACAATACAATATATAGACCTATCCAAACACGGGTGCTTGCGTATTCCAAATTCTACTATACTGGAGAAAAGTTTGGGTAACAGACCGAGAGCTAATTCATTTGATTTATACCACACAAAGGGTAGCTAGACCTAGCTTGCCAGCTGCGAACCCCGTGCCTCGCGATAAAGTGATCACCTTATTCCTCAGGCTCCTCCTGCTGCTGGTGGATGGCTTTACCTCCCCTCCGTCCTGCTTCCTTGGCTCTCGGACTTCCTGGCTCAAATTTTCCACGTGAAGCGTGGCCGCCTTTCGACGCAATGTTTCTCTGAAGAATTGTTAGTTGTTGTGTTTGCTATATCAAGACAATGTTTGTACTAACCTGCTTCTCACGATCCATAGAAGCAAAACCGCTGTGGTGGCTAGACTGCCCGCCCTTTCGAGCAATATTCTCAACCTCTTCGTGAGGTCGGTTGTGGAAATTACCGGGGTTGGGGTTATCGACCATTGTGGTATGGTTGTAATATGTACAAAAGTAGTATTATGTGCTTGATAGTTTCGAGAATTGGTATGTATGATCCTAGGCCAAGTTCACTACTTATTTATATGCAGTATGCAACGCCACGACGTGCCCCTTGACAGATGCGATGGAGTCACCTTGACGTCTAATCCCTGTTTGCTATATTTGCCTCCACTGGAAGCTTTGCCATGGCCTCGCGGCGATCCGTCTGGGGTAGTTTCGAGGAATATTCCAACGCCACGAGGTGTCCCTTTCACAGATGCGATAGAGTCACCTTGACGTCTATCCAGCCTATATTTGCCTCCACTGAAAGCTTTCCCATGGCCTCACAACTATTCATTTGTCGCAGTTTCCAAGAGTATGACTAAAGCCATAAGAAGGGGAATGTCGGTGCCAAGGTCTACTGATCCCGAGTGTTTATGCGGGTTTGAGCATATATTCTTCAATGGTCATTGAATAACGAAGTAATGTAGAATATAGGAATCCATCCTCTCTCTCCCTATATTTCACAAACCAAGCATATATCATCTCACATTAGATAAATTGGACCGAACACGAGTTCAGCAAGTCCAAAAGCAGCATGGCAGTGGCAAGGAGAACCTGAGAGAAAGGCCGATGAGGCTGGGCTGGTGCCACATATTGGTGTCTACGTCGATTTTCCGTCACGCCGCAGTAATTTTGGATTGTATAGCTTGAACCAAAATTCGTGGATCACCGCCTCAATCCAAACTGGTAAATCCGTCTCAACATATAGAGTACATACGCGATAGTACTATGGACCAATGAACAGCACTTTAAGTACACAATGCCAGGAAAGAGTTCCAACAGAATACAGCCTGAAAGGCTCACACCAGCGAATTTTATTTGGTAGTGGGATTAGGCATCCCCGAAGTATCAGGCCACTTACGGAAGAGGTCGGCGAGATGATCGATGGGTGCCGTCAGAAGCCCGATAGCGGTCTCGTACGGAGGCTTGTCTGGTGCACTGGGGTGAGAACGTGAAGGGACGAACATCTTCGTTCGGCCAAAGGTCTTAGAACAGTCCTCACTATCCTCTTGAGTCAAGGCTGCCTCCAGTCGAGGCAAGTCGTCACTCTCCTCCTCTTTGATGTGCTCGGAAAGGTGCTCCATGAGCTCCCTGATGGTAGGAACAAATTGCGTATCTGAAGGTGTCATATTTTGGAACGCCTTCAGTTGCTTTTTAACCTAAGCCCATCATATCATGTCAACACTGTGATAGGTACCTAGGTAAAATGAAGAGCACAACTTACTTGCATATGCTGATCACGGTCCTTATTGGCCATTTGTACGCCATCGGAGAGTGTTTTCTCAAAGAGAGGATATAGAACAAGCTCTTCTCCGATGGAGTGTCGAGCTAGTGCCCAGATAAACATATTCTGGAAGCGGGTCTGTTCGTCCGGGTCCTTGGAGGTAATAATCTTGCCATAATATGACTCAATCTCCCGGTGGTCCTTTTTGATCGTGTCGATGATGCGGGGTGTCATGGCGATAGGTGAAGTTGCAATTCCACGTCTCTGAGCAAGACGTGACACGAGTTGACTGAAAGGAGGGGCTCTTGATGAATGAAGGGCAAAGATCATTATGGCCTTGGAAGGGGACATTCATAACAGCAACCTCAGCAGCCTGGAGCGTGGCCTCCTTATACTAGGCGTAATTGTAAGATTAATAATGTAGTGCAAGTTATTGGCATATCTGCGCGCTTGATCACTCTGACGTGAATTAAATGCACGTATAGTAATGGAAGGTATGATGTTTGCTGGAATCATGGTAGCATTATTGATGGTAGATAGATCTTACGTCTAACGGGTGTAATGCGTGTGTCACATTTCTGGAATGCTAGGGTTTTCGCGGCTTGTGTCTTGAAGCCACAACACGTAAGGTCAGTTTCTGCGGGTAGCTGATCTACCCGTCATATTTGAATCATTAATGAGCTCTCATAGCGCCTGTGTGCAGAATGCTAATAAGCGCCTTGTAACTGGTGTTTCAGATATAGAGGCAAGTTTTCCGTCATCCGCGCCGTGGTTATACATCAATCAGGACTGTGTTTTGCGGTCGTGCACGACTGTTGACGATGCCGTGATGCTTTTCGTACTCACTCACATCTATTGGTATGACAGCCCATGTCTACTTGAGCTGGATTTCGCCGGGCTGAACAAGTTAGCATTCTGCTACCAATGCCTGGTCATAGGTAGCAGCTTGTAAGTCTGGAATATGCCATTGATAGGTGCTTCGTTTGGCAACTATGTCATGTCGTGGTCCTGCAACCACTATACATAATAAGAGCAAGCACATGTGCATGCATTCCGACTTTTCTGTCATTGGGTTATTTTTGCACAAAAGCTCTAGTCTTTCCTATTGCGAACCCATTAGCAGTAATAATCCCCTTTGGGAGTAATAGTCTGTAAGAGCTGAAAGACGAAGGTGAATGTAGGTGCTCCTATGCTATACTCTCTCATAAATTTCCCAGCCTTCATGACAGTGTCCAAATAGAATGTATACATCCGGCAATGCCATACAAGTGAATTTTACTTCGTATAGTAAGTTTATCACTCTCGGTGATGGATTCTTTCAGCCTATCAGGCAGGCGGCTAGGTAACATTGGAAGCAGTTTTGACTGGTCTGAGTACTCACTTAGCATGCCCTGAGCGTTCACTGAGTACATATGTACATATAGGTAGGTCACAGGCATCATCTGACTGTTTATTAAGCAAAGCATGTCCACTGTGGACGAATAGTAAAAGGAGCAAAGTATCGGACCTCGACACTTCAACACGGCACCATAGCCCTACGGGTTCCCCGGTTTACACCCAAATTTGGCAGGGTAACCGATCATCATTTAGATTCTTTGTGATGCCAGTTCGTAGATATAAAAAAAGCTGTCTCGCTAGTTTTGTTAGGAGAACTAGGATTCTATGGGACACGTGAGCAAAGAGTAGATATATATCTGACTTCAACAGGAAATCTATTCTAAGCATAGACTATGTTCAGCGATACAGATAGAGCTGGTAGCGTAAGCACAGCATATAGCTATACCGCTTATTGAAGGCACGCAAAAGGGAATGTTCGGACAGACTACCCAGACTCAGCGGCTACCATCGTCAGTCACCGGCTTGCGGGGGTGCCGAGTCTCAGGAGTACGAGGAGCGAAGGGAAAAGCAAACATAAGTGGGGAAGTTAGTCGACTTCAGCCAGTCGATCTTTGCGAGTAAATGAGATCGTTAGATAGGTCGTTTAGCCTTGTTTGGCAAGGATAGGCAATATCCGATATTTTGTGAGCGTGCACTTTGCCTTTATATGGAGTGTAAACGGGAGTTCAAGACAAGAGAGTCGCGACTTGTGGATTACTATACTATCACATGTGGGAATGTGGAATTGAGTGCCATCAACAGGGCTATTCCAGTTTATGATTATTAAAGGCCAAACGCCTCTAACGATGATTACCTAGGTACTTCATAATCAAAACAATTACGAGGTAGATATTAATTAGAACAATAATCTAAGTCAAACCATAATACACCGTGCCTGTGCATAACCATACACAATAGCGCCTAGTCCACGGGTGTCTAATTTCCCGTGTTCAGCACAGCCAAATTGTAAATCCGCCTCGACGTTAACACAGAGTAATAAGGAACTAGGACGTGCTTACGCCCGGCCAACCGGGAATCAATCAAAGACAGAGAGAGAAAGCAACCCCTTACCCATTTCGTTACACAGCAGGATCAGCACCAGTAATTTCCCTCAATAAGTATCAGCGCGGAACCCGAAGTGGATGAGGGATATAGAATTGGGAATAGTAATGAGATTGCGCCTCGCGGTGAGCAGCGGCCATGCTTGTCTTCGTGTGCTTTGATCGCTTTTGCGGTACAGGTGGCGCTCGGGGACTGTAGGTACTGAAGGTACATGCGTCTTGGAGAAAATTAAATAATGGTTTGAACCTGGATATGGAATCGAATGAGATAATGACAGTATATGCAGAATAAGATTATTATTTTATTGGAAAGGTCAAGGAGTAGCCAACCCGAACAATTGCCTATGATGATCCTGTCTCTGGGTCTTTTATAGGATTAGCTTTGTTTGGAGTCGCATGCATCAGCGCCGGAAATGGCTGCAGAGCGTGTTGTCTCGGATGTTCAGGCCGAACTTCCACTGTGCGGGGCAAATCGTACAACACTTGTAGGAGTGATTGGTATTCTGGCACGCTCTCCTGTACTATAAGATGACTATTAATGCTTAGGATGCGGCATATAACCATTGACCCGCTATCTCCCCACTGGACATGCGACAGCGAGGGCATCCCCTCCAATGCAGTCGCCTACTTCCTGAAGTGAGGATGGGTTTCATCAATGTACCTCCTAAAGAACAGGCTAGTGCATTAGTTCGAGTAGGGAGTAGGGCCTGCGGTAGACTACGAAGTATGCTCATTAAACCCCCCGCGACCATCCTTGTCTAGTCTGCTTGGCCCCTTTTCCCGCAAGTCGATCGAGTAACCCCCGCACCGTAGGTTGTGGGGATTGCCTGAGAGAAATAGCGTCTTGTCTCTGGATATCTCTGGTTCTCTACTCGGTAAGCTGAGAGTTGTAATTGAATATTATAATCTTCTAAGGTTGAATTGCAGCCAATGTAAGCCGGCAAATTATCGATCATACTTAAGATTTACACGCCACAAGGAATCATGGCATCTATGCCAATCACGGTATTAGCCAAGAGGATATCCCTATAAAATTTACTACCTATATGCCTGTACCGTAGTATAGAAACGAGAAGGCTAATTAGAGGCCAGACCCCTATATGACGTCGAGTATACGGAGCGCACGGACACTTTTACGCACAGACGGGTTTTAGGATTTCCTCCCCTAAAGAGCTTCATGCAGGACGCCTCCCGACTGGTATTCCGTATTATATTGTGATAGAATATTACAGTATATCATTCATATACATCTATAAGCATACCTATATATATAATATATGGACAACATTGGATATAAGCTAGAGTGCAGTATCCCAAGCTGAAAAGAGTGGAAGGTCCATCCATGGACACATTTTTGCCTTTTCTTTGCTGGGACGAACTACAGGAAAAACAGGAAATGGCATCCTTGAAAATGACACCCATACTACGGAGTATAGTAATACAGTTTCCGGTATTAGGGCCCAGCAGTTCGGGCAGAAGTGATGAGCGGACTTGATACGATTGGAGGTAAAATGATATATAGCCAGGGCCGGAGTAACCTATATTTTGTACATATAATATAAGTATTAGCTATACAGAGAAGGTCTTGGGAAATTTTTAAATAAGAATCATCATACGTTGGGCAACCATGGTCGGCCGTTTGCTTACTTGGCATTTTTCACGATGGGCTTTCTAGTCTAGTCTATTGCAATCTGCAATCTGTTAGGATCCATGGGAATTGCCAATTCACCCTATTAAGGCTGTCCACGGATAAGTCCTCGACGTAAAGACCCAAGGTGGCAAATCCGCCACTAGGAGAGAACATCACATTAGGACTACATACATATGTAGATGCACATGTGTATAATCTTTTAAAATGATCAGTACTGTGTATAGGAATATAAAGATCTTAGATTAATCTGCAAACAGTTTGGAATTTCAGAGCTGACAGCCCCACTAGGTATGCGTAAAACCTGGAATTTGATATACAATATTGTATTCAATTTCCCTAATCAATTAACAGTTATGAACCATATTTTATTTTATATTTTTTTATTAACATAATTTCTATACCATTCTTGACCATCGTGGTAAATTTATTTTGGCTCTTGGCGTCCCGATCATCGCTCTACCCTATTACCCACCCAACCTCCCCCTTCGACTCTTCAACTCTCCCCTCTTGTCTCGGTCTCTCTACACATCTTTTTTCTCTTTCTTTTTTTTTTCTTTAATTCTTACAGCTGCTTAGCTGTTTTGCCTTTCCTTTTCACATTACTTTCGGGTCTCTTATTCTTGATTGATTCCGATCTCGCTCCCCACTTCAATCCCCGAGAACTGGCCATCCGAATGAGCCTAAAACTGAATTATTTATAGCATCTGCTACAACGGCACTCCTTTTTTTTTTGACTCGAGTCCCCACGTGTGGATGTGGGATCATTCAAATCCTCGTGCAGTAGCAGGTCTACCTCGTGTCCTTCCCCCTAAGGCGACAACCCGCTGTCCGGTACACGGTTTCCGTTGCATAGTTGTCGCCATCCCTTTTGACCTCACGAAAGTAATGCCGACCTGTTCGTGCGTGCCAACAGAGCTTCTTGCCAGCTCACCTTGAACCAATTATTACGAGGGGAACCCCCCAAAAAAGTGTTGAATTGGAGGATGTTCAACTAGGATGCTCAACTGCACTCTCGGCACAGCTGCCTCGGCCTTCTCCCTTTGAAATAATATCACGAAAGAAGGAAGAGGGGAATATGACGGAAATTCGGTCCTCGCAAGCTGGTCTGGAGGATCCGGATCAGTTAGCTCGGAATCGTCATGTCTCAAAAAATCACAAGCGGAACCTCAGCCGGTCCGACGAGTCATCGGAACTACCATCTGCGTCGAACGACCATCCCGAGTCCCGCCCCCGTCCAAATCATCCGCGGAACAACCGTCCATTATTACCGATGTGTCAGAAGCCACAGCGACCTTCCGCCAGGCCTTCCCAAGCCTTTACGGTGCCCGAACCCCCTCGAATCGCTCCTCATCGAGTTCCCTACAAGCCCTCAACGAAGGTATCGTGGTCGATGTCCGATCGGAAAATGGAAGCATTGGAAGGACCACTCGACGAGCCTCGAGACACTCGGATCATCAATTACCGGTTTACCCCGATCAATCCTATGCCTCCCTCCAGTCTCAGGTGCATCCCACCTGGCATCCACCCTACCTCGCAGAACCAGACCCGCTACCCAGACACTCTTATGCCCGTGGTATCCGTACCGCGGGTAACACTCCGGTGTCGAGCCCAGGGCTCTTCTCTATGAGACACTCTCGTGTGGGAACGCCCTCCGGGTCGGACGATGACGTCTCGACGGGAAGCTCACTCCTCCATCCATCACATCTTCAACCGCCGAAGGAGACACACACCGCTGAAGTGGATCGGGACATGGTTACGGGAAACAAAACCATCAATCAATATGAGATCCTCGAAGAGCTTGGACGTGGTGAACATGGCAAAGTGAAACTAGGTCAGCATGTTGTAACTAAGCAGAAGGTCGCCATCAAGATTGTCCAGCGGTACTCCACTCGCCGTCGGTTAGGCAAGTTAGGCAACCCAGAAGACAAAGTGAAGAAGGAGGTGGCTATTCTGAAGAAGGCACGGCATCCAAACGTGGTCAGCCTGCTCGAAGTCATCGACGATCCGAATCGACAAAAGGTGTACATTGTGCTGGAGTATGTTGAAAATGGCGAGATTGTCTGGCGCAAGAAGGGCCTACGAGAAATTGTTCACGTCGACAAGCTACGCCTTGAGCGGGAAAAGAATGGAATCCCAGACACTCCTGCGTTTCTGGAAGAGAGCCACCAATTCATTCGAACTGCTCAGCATCTGCGACGGCAACGGGAAAGGGCTCGTGAGCGGATTGAAGCACAAGCTGCTGATGCCCAGCAAGGGCCAATCCCCGCCTGGAGTTTGGAGCACGGTGCGGAATCTTCAGACGAGGAGGATGACGAGTCTGGTCTTCCTATCAGGAGATCATCTAGCCGGTCTATTGCAGTAACAGATGACTCAAGTCCATCCTTCACCCAGGACCCGTCTCTAAGTGCCGTCGAGGGCAGCATGTATGGCGCCTATTCAGATTACCCCTTCGAACGTCGCTCCAGCACAGCCTCTAGTAGCTTTGGTTACGCCCCCTCTGAACCCGAGTGGTCTGCGGAGGGCGACGACATGGCATTCGTTCCTTGTTTGACTATTGCTGAAGCCCGCAGCGCATTCCGGGACTCGGTACTTGGCCTGAGAATACCTCCACTACCAGGGTATCATCCACCGGGACATCAAGCCAGCCAATTTGCTCGTCACCAGCACTCATCGGGTGAAGATCTCCGATTTCGGTGTTTCCTACCTAGGACGCCCAATGCGCGACGAGGAAGAAGAGCAGGTGGGCGAGACCGATGCGACGGAATTGGACGATGCCCGTGAATTGTCCAAGACTGTCGGTACCCCGGCTTTCTATGCTCCCGAATTATGTTATACAGGCGATGACTTTGTGGAGACCATTGGGTCGATCCCTAAGATCACTGGCGCGGTCGACGTTTGGTCGCTCGGTGTCACATTGTACGGAATGATTTTTGGTCGCCTACCGTTTGTTTCGGATGATGGGTACAGCATGTTCCAGACCATCGTTAAGAAGGAAGTCTTTATTCCACGGAAGCGCCTTGTGCCCGTGATGGATGAGGCGTCTGACTCAAATCAGTGGAACCTGAGAAATGACGATGAGCTCGTCTATGAGGACATCGACGATGAGCTATACGACCTGCTCAGGCGCCTGTTGACCAAAGACCCGATCAAAAGAATCACCCTGAAAGAGATCAAACACCACCCTTGGACACTCCATGGTCTTCCCAACCCTCGAATCTGGATTGAGGAGACTGACCCTGGCTACCAAAGTAAGGGTAAGCGAATCGAGGTCTCGAATGAAGAAGTTACAAGCGCTGTCAGCAAAGTTCCCTTCATTCAACGCGTTCGGTCCAATGTCGCCAAATGGTTCGGCAGTCGATCGAAGGACAAGGAACCCCGCAAGCGCACATCGAGCACAACACCGTCTACCGAGACCCTATCGTCTGCCTCAAGCAACAACACATTCGGGAAAACCTCCCGCGACAGCCGTCGGTCCAGTTTGCGAGGGGACGAGGAATTTCTCCGGCCGCTCAAAATTGGCAGTCAAGGACACCCACTAGCCCAGAGCGTTACTGCAAGCCCGGTGGATGAAGGCGATTGGGCATCTTATTTCGATGCCGTGCAGCCAGCTGCAGCAAAGCTTGCTGCTGCGAACAAGGTCGCCACTCCACCTCCTGCCGTGACACCCCGACCTGGTCCTCCTCGTCGCGCAAAGTCCTCAATGTCTACAGCAGAATCCTCAAAGACGGTCAAGCCATCTGGTTCCGATGCCCCATCGACTGGTCGGCCGTTTTCCATCATTGAAGCGCTAGGACCGACCAACTTCGGTAGTCTTTTCAGTGGAGCTAGTCGACGGGCATCACGAGGCAGTCGAAGTCGGCGCACTTCTCCGTCTGGCGAGTCAGGATCTATACATGCGGATGGAGAACGTTGTTCTGCTGAGCCTAGCATCGCTGTCAGCAATGCATCTGCCCATGGTCAAGTGCGCACCCCGGCCTGTGGCATGAAGAGGAACATCCTTCTGCCGAGCAATTGGTCCCTAGTCATGTCGGCCGGCGCAAGCGATCTTCGCAACTCGAAGATGCATCACCTGCAGAATCTCTCAACCTCACAAGGGATGCACTCCTGCGCCGCAGACGGAGCGACATCGATGCGAATGAAGGCGGTACTCTAAGAGTTGACTATGCGATGTACTCTACTGAATCGCTCCTTCTGCCGCCCATCACCCCACCTGCCAACCAGGGATGTCCCGACAACACCAACAATGGGTTAGCCACTTCCACCTCGGCCACTATCTCTTCCTCTTCTGCCGACGACTTCACCAGCGGCATGTCCCAGAGTGCCTCGCACCCCAGCATTCCGTCCGTCGTCTCAAACGCATCGTCTCTTTCCGGTGATGGTTACTCGGCCAAGGGCAATAACTTGGACGAAGTACCCTCAATGCTCCGGACCGGAGAGACACTCAAACCCCTTCGTCCTACCTCGCTTCGGTCGTCCGAAGAGGACGAGTCGAGGTACTACTGCGATGACGAGGACGAGGATGAGTCGGAAGATGAAGGCCTTGTGATCGGGAAACGCAAGCCGCCTCCCAAGGCTGCTGCATCGGATATTCCGTCGTAGCTATCGTACTGAAATGTGGCCGGTCCCGATCAGTCCAGTCCAATCCACCTCTTCACATTTGATCCGCCCCGCCTACCACCTTTACAACACCCACATTATCTACCGCCCCTTCCTCCTTCCCTCGACACTTCCTAACTGTTTCCTAGTGAAGTTGTTGTATATCACCAAACTTCGTTGTGATTCTCTTTCTGTCCCGGTTCCCGGCAGGCTGATATCTGGAAATTGTTCCTAGAAATTGTTCCATACATTCTACATGGTCTGTACATATACTCGAACTCGCATGGACGTCCATTGGTGCCTCGTTGCGAAGAATTCCTTGTTGCCCTCCGAGCGGCTCCGTCTGCATATCTGTTCTGTTCTCGTTGAGTCCAGTGTCTGTGACTGAATATGTAGGGCAGAGAATCCCTCAGTGCATTTCAGGGGTTTCTTTTTCTTTTTCTTTTTTTCGTTTGTTCTTCTTTTCTTGGTCTTATGCATGGATGAGGGGCCAGATTGCTTTTATTTCTTTTTAACTGTATGTAATGTTGACTTTGTCAAAACCGGGTTGGGTTTTCGGGGCCATATTTTGGATCCCTTGATCCTCGAGGGACAGAGTGTCTCTTGGGGAATTTGAGCAATTGCGACATGACTGATATGTGATGCTGGGAGGCGAGATGTCTAGCGTGTGATGAAGAAATGAAATTATTTGGAGGTTTGGGACTTTGGATTATCCCTCCCCCTGAGATGAACCTGTTTCACGTATACTGTATATTGTAGAAGATTCCGTGCCTAAAATGGATGCCATACTTCGTCATCGACGGGATGGTTTAAATCCATCGGAGTTCCACATCGGATTATATTGTCTCACTTTGCAATCTCAGCAATGTACTTCCACCAATGATATTGTCACAGGATTGAAGATTGTCCCTTGGCGTCTGGGTCTTCAGGGTTCAACTATGCATAGAGATCACCACTTCCCCTGTCTCAGCTCCTGTTTCACAACGGGAGCTAACCCAATAAAAGCTGTAAGGGTTCAGTCCGGACAATTTTCTCCTTCTAGCCTTGTATAAGACATAATGGGGGAATTTTCGGGGAAATTTGGAATCCGCTACGATATATACATTAGAAAGATGCCAGGTGCGTAGGAGAGTAGATTGAATAAAGCCCAATCTCTACAATTCTTCCCCTCTGCTTTGTAGAGCTATCGATCTGAATTATTTCATTCGACTCTAACAAGTGGTTGCCCACCATGCTTCCCCACCTCCTTCTAGCTGCCGCCCAGCTCTTCGCCTCAACATCCGCCGCATTAACCTACAATGGCGCCGATATCTCTTCCATCCTAGTCGAGGAAGGTAAAGGCGTTTCTTACAAAAATCTCGCTGGCACACCGGAAAAGCTGGAAACAATCCTCTCGGCCAGCGGTGTCAACTCTGTTCGCCAGCGTATCTGGGTGAATCCCAGTGATGGATCGTACGACCTGAACTATAATGTTAAGCTCGCGAAGAGGGTACAGGCCCAAGGCATGAGCACCTATCTTGACTTGCATTACAGTGATACGTGGGCGGACCCGAAATCACAGGTAAGAAAATAACATTTCCAAACAAGATCGACTGTTTGATCTAATGACTGACCTACTTCTTCAGACCACTCCCTCGGGCTGGTCCACAACCGACATTGGGATCCTAGCCGGGCAAGTGTATGACTACACACTCGACGTATGCAACACGTTCGCGGCCAACAATATCAATGTAGACATCGTCTCCATCGGCAACGAAATTCGCAACGGCCTGCTATGGCCCCTGGGCGGAACAAGCAGCTACAACAACATTGCACGGCTTCTGCACTCCGCCGCGTGGGGTGTGAAAGACTCCAAGCTGGCAACCACTCCCAAGATCATGATCCACCTCGACAACGGCTGGGACTCGGGCGCACAGTCGTACTTCTACGATCAAGTTCTGGCACCTGGGTCTGGGCTCGTTTCTACGGACTTCGACTACATTGGTGTCTCTTATTACCCCTTCTATAGCGCGGATGCCACGCTCGCTGCGCTGAAGACGAGTCTTACGAATCTGCACTCTAAGTACAAGAAGGAGACGCTGGTTGTCGAGACGAACTGGCCGTTTAGTTGTCCCAAACCCGAGTTTGCATTCCCGTCCGATCTCAAGGATATTCCATTTTCGGTTGAAGGGCAGCAGACTTTCCTTCAGAGGCTTGCTAAGACTGTGGACGAAGTTGGTGGGTTGGGCATTTACTACTGGGAGCCTGCTTGGGTTGATAACGCAGGACTTGGAAGCAGTTGCGATGATAACTTGTTCTTTGCTTGGTCGAATGATCAGGCTAGGGCTAGTCTAGATACATTGGGCGGTCTGTGAGAGTTTCGTATCGCAATATCTCACCTAAGTGATGAAGTATACAGGGTTTGGCCCTGTCACCTGATCTGACACTTGGCTCGTATCAGATATGGGCTATGCATGGTCTGTAAGGAGGTGAAGTTAGGCAACAATCAGGAAACATCGAATTCGAACAAGGTCCATAGACAAGGCAGATTGTTGAAATGTGCCTTGCCCAATATCTTATATCCCTTATACCCAAATAGGACTAGTGCCCATGGGCCTCAGCTGGGTGGCTGTGCAAAAGCTAAGGCCAAGTCCTCTTTAGCGTTCACCCCTCCACTTTGGGACCACTTTGGGAGAGGAAAGTGCTTCACGGCCCAACATGTATAACGTTTAACAGGCAGCGCTTTTTTTCCTCAATTGAACCTCTGAGAAATGCATACATATATAAAAATAGTCTGAGTTCGCCTATCGGTTATCAGGGTGGACACTGATAATGCCAATGTGGGGAGAGACCCATTTGGGGTTCTTTTGGAGGAACTTGTAGTACTAATAGAAGAAGGTGGGAACTTTGTCTCCTTTACGCTTAGGGCACCCACAGGGGAATATTATGAGGAATATCATATATTACAATAATAATCCCCAGAAGTCCAGAGTCCACTCCGCATGTACAACACACGAACTTGCTATACAACAGACGTGTTTATCCTAGACCGCCTTGCGCACGTGAAAACGCCTTAACCTTCTAACTTCTCCCTCATTTACCCTGTCATTGCGGACCTCTTGTCAAACCCAAGGTATCATTGCTCTCGGAGATGATGAGGCAGTCTGGCGACCGCTGACAACTAGCTCAGAGGCTAATTCGCGTGCCGGACCCGATCCTGGACCCTTGCGAATGACATCCCACCACATCGTCAGACATCATTCTCCCTACATCACCAGGCCTTCACGACCCTGACAGATCTGCTCGTCTAATCTACCCCCGTCGCCGAACCTTTGCGCTATATACAATCCCTACTCCGTCCCTCGTCTCTGATTACAACTCCAGCTCGGTGCTCGTGAAAGAGCCCCCACCCGCGCGCATTTCGCAAACATGGCCTCGCATGATCAGAACCAGGGCACGGCCTATTGCTCCGAGGATATGAAGCATCGGAGCGTGAGCCCTTCGCCGCACGGCCAACAATATCACGACCCCAACTCCGGTGGATTAGGAGTTGACCCCTCCATGGCCTCTTATTCGACAAACCCCTCCTTTCAGAACCACGACAGCAGCATTGGTGGTGCCGAAGCATATGCGTACCCAAGCTACCTTGCTGGGGCGCCCCCGACACAGACATTATCACCGCCGGCGGACCATAGCTATGCTCCAACCATCAATACCAATAATCTTCCGATATCGCAGTCGTTCGAGACAAGCTTGGTCAATCAGCTCGAGCACTCTTCGACAAGTCTCAGGCCGATGCAGGGCGATGAAAACTTCTCCAATATGCTCAACTCGAATCACCCAGAATTGGACTTTTCTCTTTACCAGAATCACAGCCCCAATAGCGCTTCCACCCCCGAGTACGATTCTTCGTTGTTGCTAGACCCGCAAATGCACCAGCGCCAGTCAATCAACCAAGCGATAAATCCCGCTGATCTCGTCAGCCCCATCTCGAATCCTTCAGTATCTTCGCACCCATCATCGCGAGATCAGCAGAATTCCTCACCTGGCCCCATGTCTCCTCCAGGATCCACACCAGGTGCATACTACACCCCTCGACATTCACGACACACTTCCCTTGACCCAGCTACTGCGGCATATTTGACCGCCCAGCCAGGTCCAGACTGGCAGTCGGTTATGAATAATGTCTCCTTCCAGGGCCATCGACGTGCACCATCTGAGGTGTCCGAGGTCTCGTCGGCCAACCACTCCCCCTACTTGTCTCAACACGAGTTCGATGGTATTGAGAACAATGCGTCGCCTTCTTTGGCCCCCCAAAGTGATCCAAATCTATACGACAATGGCCTAGGCATGGAATCCTTCACGTTGTCAGAGCAGCATCAACAGGGGATCAGTCCCCTCCACAGCCCGTATATCTCTCCGCGGTTGATGCCACAGCAGGGGGGGTGAGATGGTGCCGAATAATTCCTATCTCACTCAGTTCCCCTCGGCGCCGACAGATATGTACGGAATGCCCCAAGAGGACATGATGAACATGAACCAATTGAACAATCCTCCGGGCGACATTGGTCAAGCTTCACAGATGGCCCCTCCATCGATCAATGTTGAATTTGCCCCGCCATTGCGGAATCCAACCGTTGATACATCTAAATCCACCGCGGATTTTGACTCATTGAGCCCTCCCGCTATGCGTAAGTGCTCATCCACAACCGGTTTGATTGATACGATACTTACCCGAACTTAGGATCCCGTGTTCGTAGCAAATCCGATCCTTATCACCCTGCTTCCCGCTCACGCTCTCCTGCAACTTCCTCGACGTCTCTGGAGCCCCGAGTTCCGGCCAGCCCACGGTCTTTGTCCCCCGTTGGATCGGTTGGCTCTCACTCGCGCAGTAGCCCCAGTTCGCGGGATCCCTCGCCCTCACGATCAAACCGCCGCCTCTCTACCTCGTCAATCGAGAACCGGAACTACATCCTAGATCTCGCCGATCCGCAAAGACCCGGAGCAGCACCCGGGGAGCCAAAACGAATCCAGAAACACCCGGCTACCTTCCAGTGCACCTTATGTCCGAAACGCTTTACCCGCGCATACAATCTGCGATCCCATCTCCGCACCCACACTGATGAACGACCATTCGTGTGCACAGTGTGCGGTAAAGCATTTGCACGGCAGCACGACCGCAAACGCCACGAAGGCCTCCATTCCGGCGAAAAGAAATTCGTCTGCCGCGGCGAGCTCTCGCGAAGCGGACAGTGGGGTTGTGGCCGCCGCTTCGCCCGTGCAGATGCTCTGGGCCGCCACTTCCGCTCCGAGGCGGGCCGGGTATGCATCAAGCCTCTCCTCGACGAGGAGTCGCAAGAGCGTGACCGTGTCTTGCTAGAGCGACAGCAGCAGCAACAACAATCGCCGTCCGGCCATCTCCAGCCTATCCCCCAGCCGCTCGTTATGCCCAACATGCCTGGTATGGATGGGCAATCGACGGGCAACTTCGTTCTCCCTGCGGCTCTTCTGGCGCAATACCCGGCTCTGCAGACGTTGCAGTGGGACCAGATCTCGGCTGTGGGTGATGATCCCAGTGATATTGGTGGGCGGAGTAGCTTTGATGCTAGCTCCGGTGGTGAGTTTGGTTTTGATGAGGATGATTCGGGAATGGGTGGTGGTTATGGTAGTAACCAGGGGAGTATGTACGGTGTCAATAACTCTGGTCAGATGTTGGGGGTTAATCCTGGGGACCCTGGGTATTCTGATCAGAAGTGGACTGGATGACACTGGTATGTTCTGCTTCCTTTCTTCTTCTTCTTCTTCTTCTTCTTCTTCTCCTTCTTCTTCCTTCTTCCTTCTTTCCCTGTTTCAGGTTTCAAAAAGGATATTGCATGATGCATTCCATCTGCATAAAGCCGGATCTTTTGTTTCAATTCCGCCTGTATAGAAAGGCTTGTTGGCGTTCAGATATAGGATGCTCTCGGGGATGTCTGGGGATTTCCGAAGCTCGGCAATCAGGACATGATTGTCTTGGTGTTTTTGTTTTTCTTTTTTTCCTGGTCTTGCTAGACATCGGTGTTTCTTATGCCGTGGTTTTGGTCATTTGTGTTTCATTCTCATTCTCTTGGTCATTCAACCTCCCTTTCCAGGTGGCTACTGTTCTGGCTATCCCATTACTTATGAAAGAACCAGACATCATGATGCTTTTTTATGATATTCCCATCCTCATTTCATGCCCAGCTACTTTTTCCCTTTCTTTTCTTCCATCATGAATTCTGTCTCGTTTTGATGTCACAGCTCCAAAACTATATACCATGACATGCAATGAATGAATTGTGCTCAATCCAATGAGTTGGCCATCCCAGCCGAGTACTTATTTACTATACCAACTTCATCTTACACCACTTACACTTCAGGGAATCAAGAAACAATAGAATACAGATCACATTGGATATCATCTAGTCGGCAAAACAAATCTAAAACCAAAATTCACCATATACAAGGCGAGGGACTACTTACTACAATGCAATCGAACCAAATCATCAACTCCAGCTCGCACGCAACAACCCACTTTTATGGTGTTAAAACAGTCTGAAATCCACCTTCACCTGCTCCCTCTCTTCAAGAGTGCGCCTTCTTAGCCAACAAGTTCAGAGCACTACCAGCAAGGATGAAAGCACACTGATCCTGACTGAAAGTGTGCTGAACAGGAACATCAAACACCTCCCCGGTCTTCTGCTTAGTAACACGCAGCTTGATCTCACCTTGTCCACCAGCTTGCAGCACATCATAAAGACCAACAGTATCAACCTTATCACAAGCATCGATACGGTCATAGTCCTCGCGGTTCGCAAATGTAAGAGGCACAACACCCTGCTTCTTAAGGTTCGTCTCGTGGATGCGGGCAAAGCTCTTAGAAACAATAACCCGGCCGCCGAGGTAGCGCGGCTGCAGCGCGGCGTGCTCGCGCGCAGATCCCTCGCCGTAGTTATCCTCCGCAACGACGAGCCACGAGATTCCGCGCTCCTTCCATGCCTCCGCGAGCTCGGGGATACCGTACTTGTTGCCCGCTTCGTCGTAGGCGACGTTCGTCTCGCCCGTTGCGGCATTGACGGCGCCGATCAGTGTGTTCGCGGAGATGTTGGGCAGGTGGCCCTTGTACTTTAGCCATGGGCCTGCGGCGGAGATAGTGTCGGTCGTGCACTGGCCCTTCACTTTGTAGAGGACTTGCAGACCGGAGAGATCGCCCTTAGGGAAAGGCTCGAAGGGCTCGAGGATGGCGAGGCGGTCGGAGGTCGGGGAGACAACGACTTCGGCGCTTGCGTCTGGGACGGCGGCTGTGGGGAGGAAGTTGGGGTTACCTTCTTCGAAGCCGGCGCTGGGGAGATCGAAGCCGCTGGGGGGCTGGAACTTGAAGGTTGAGCCGTCTGGTGCGGTCAGGGAGTCGGTCATAGGGTTGAAGGTTGTGCTGCCGGAGTAGGCGAGCGCGGTGACGAGTTCCGGTGAGGCGAGGAAGTTCATTGTTCGCCGGTTGCCGTCGTTGCGGCCGGGGAAGTTGCGGTTGTAGGAGGTGAAGATGGCGTTGTCTTCGCCCTTAGGGACGCCGTCGGTGCGCTTCCATTGGCCGATGCAGGGACCGCAGGCGTTGGCGAGGACGACGCCGCCGGCTTCGGAGAAGGTGTTTAGGGTTTGATCGCGGTCGAGAGTGGCGCGGATCTGTTCACTGCCGGGGGTGATGAAGAAATCCGCCTTGGGCTTGAGGCCTGCTGCGGTGGCCTGCTTGACGAGATCCTCGGCGCGGGTCATGTCTTCGTACGAGGAGTTGGTGCAGCTACCGATGAGGCCGGCGCCGAAGGTCTCGGGCCACTTCTTCTCACGGACGGTGTCGGCGAACTTAGACAGCGGTACCGAGAAGTCGGGGGTGAAGGGTCCGTTGATATGCGGCTCAAGCTCGGACAGGTTGATGGTGACCAGCTGGTCATACTCAGCCTTAGTGTCGGCGCGTAGCAAGCTCGAGGGGCCGGCGGCGGCAACCTCAGAAGCGGCATCGGCGACGTGACCGCGGTGGGTCGACTGCAGGTAGGGAACCATACTAGGCGAGAAGGGGAAGACCGAGGTGGTAGCACCCACCTCAGCACCCATGTTACAGCAGGTAGCCATACCAGTGCAGCTCAAAGTCTCGACACCAGGACCGTGATACTCGATGATAGAGCCAGTGCCACCGCGGACAGTCAGCTTGCCAGCCAGGGACAGAATGATATCCTTAGGCGAAGCCCATCCGTTGAGCTTGCCCTCGAGGCGAACACCGAGAATCTTAGGGGCCTTCAGCTCCCAAGGAGCATCGACAAGCGCATCCACGGCGTCGGCACCACCGACACCGATAGCAATAGCACCAAGACCACCTCCGTTAGGAGTGTGGCTGTCCGTACCGAGCATCATCAATCCAGGGGCGGCGTAGTTCTCCAGCACGCTCTGGTGGATGATACCAGCACCTGGAGGCCAGAACTCAATACCGTAACGCTTGGCAGCACTCTCTAGGAAGTCGAACACCTCACTGTTACCCTTGATTGAAGCCGGCAGATCGGTATCCGCACCGCGCTCACCGACGATCATGTGGTCGCAGTGGATACTAGCCGGGACGGCGGTGGAGGGAAGACCACAGGACATGAATTGGAGCAGAGCCATCTGGGCCGAAGCATCCTGCATGGCGACGCGGTCGGGCTTCAGTTTCAGGTTGGCCTTGCCTCGAACATCGCGGCCGTTGTTGGTCCCGGTGAGCAATGACTCCTCGGCATTGTCCAGATGGGCGTAAAGGATCTTCTCAGCGAGGGTGAGGGCGCGGTCGGAGCCAAGGACTCGGCGGACTTGTTCGAGGTTGCGGACGAGCTTGGGATATGGGGGCATGCGGGAGGAGGAGGCCTCGGTGGCTAGGCCACGGGCGAAGAGCCGTTGTGAGGAGAGCCGTGTGGCCATCTATGAGGTGTTAGTTTTGCCCAATTGAATTGTCTTCTATTCACTTACGCCGCGAGAGGCAGAAACCCGCTGCCAAACTAGCTGGCTCACCATCTTCACTGTCAATTTTGGAGAGAAGGGAAGGAGAAGATGTTCCCTTTTTTTTTTCGTCCGGTTGAAGGTTATTTGCATTCGCTCTGATTGGCCGGTATTTGCGCCGACTTCGGAATCCAGGCTTCTATTATGTGGGGAAATATCTATACAACATAAACCACATACATAGAAGTCAGACCTGTACCTTTTTTTTTGTTTATATCCTGATCTTCTTTTGTATCCTAGAAAGATGATGATATATAGGGTGACGTAAGTTCCTCGTCTGGGCAAAATACTCGCTGCCAAGGTATATGAAGGGTGAGGGTCAGGTCCAGGGATTTTGGCCGCATGACTTCGCATTATCAGGATCCATTAATCACTAGGTATGGTTTAAGGTAGCCACAGACCTTTGAGAGGTGCCATGGTGGAGTTAGGCACAGGGAAAAGGTGAAACGAAATATACAATTGCGCCTAGCTATCTACATAGCCGTGGCTATAACATACGTAACAGGTATGTCCGGGGACACGTTCCTGAACTGATAGTGGCGAAGCTGTGGGGAATGGACGAGTCCTCTTTCAGTCTGTAGAAAAGGAGAAAATGCGGTCTAGAGACACATCGAGGAACTCAGCCCACTGCGTGGACTTGTTGCGGAAGGTGTCAGGGGCTTTTTTTTTTTTTGTCTCATTATTTCAATGTTGATTTTCATCTCGTTCTGGTATTTAAAGATCTCTGAGGAAATACATGTATTCTTCACATCGGGACGAACGCGGCCCGTCCGTCCCGTAACACCATCGGACTATGGAGTGGAGTACATATGTAAATGCAAAGATCCGAAGAAAATTTACATATGTAACCTTGCCCAGGTGGAATATAAGGATGGGTTCTCGGTATGTTATGTAATACACTGTAATCAAGGTTCCAAGGCTGGACCTCGGGAGTCCCGGAATACATATGGAGACCTTGAAAAGGATCTAGAATCGACGGAAGATTCTCTTAAGATCCGAAACGTAAAAAGGATCGTCATGATTGGTCGTTATAGCGGTCATCCTAGGTAAAATATGCACATACAGTGACACCTCCTAAGTTTCAACACCCTTTATTCTGCCGAACTTAATCTACCAATCAAAATGTCGAAGAAATGGGCGGTATAACTATTTAAGTAGGCGGTAGGTTACTTTCGGAAGGCGGTAGCTGGCAGGGTGCTGAAATTTAAGAGGTGTCACTGTATGTAGTGTGTCGCAATACGATACGAATTCGTGTATGATGAACTGTACTATTTGATGTGGCGAGGGATTTCTTACAAGCCCCCTACAATGACGGAAGCCGTCTGGAAGCACATCGCGGTGATCAACAACCTTGGAAGCCCCTGATCGAACACAGCAATAGGCGACCCGCTATACTGCCTATCATGCGGGAGTGTCGATGCTTTAGAAAAACCATGGTAAAACGGGTTTGAGATACATAGATGTATTGTGGAATTAAACCGTTTTACGGGATTTCTACATGTTTAACCGTGAGGAAAGAGCATACATGTAGTTTTTAATTTTTGTCCTTGGTACCGTTATGTATTTCGGAGCCTACATCTAACCTTGACCCTACGGAGTAGAGAGGAAAGAAAAATAAAATCAAAATAACGATATAAGTCACAAACTGTGGCTTGGGTCCATTTTGCCTGGGGAATTTAAATGTAAACCTTTAAAAGGTAAAAAGACAAAAAAGACCCACACTAGGTATAGAGACCATGCCTCACGTTAATGCACTGCCGATCTGAGAAACATCCACTTAAACTCCGTAACAAGTGCATTGATGTCCACAACTTTCTCGCTCGCTTGGCGTTACTCCAAATTTGGCAAGGTCAGCAAATTCAACACACCATGAAAACGCGATCTATAAAGAGGATTGGGCCCTAGGACTGAGCATCCTATCCATTACCAGTCTGCTTTTCTTTTACTCTGTGAATGCCCTGATTTACAATGTCACAGCCATACAACCATCACTCAATCAATACAAACCTCTATGACGAAAATGGTCTCTGTGGTCTTCATGGCTACCAACCATGCAGTTGTGCAATGCTCTACATGACGCCCACGGTCTGTTCTCAACACAGCAACCATATAAATCAGTCCTCGACGTACCACGATCCAATCCCCGCTCCATGCTTTGACCTGAACTGTTATCAATCGGATCCTTCGACTCAAGCACCAATCTTTATCGGCTCCCGAAACTCGCCAGACGAGGGGTACAATGCCAAACACACTTCGGTGAACAACACGTCCAATGCATTTACTGGTGTTTCTTCTCCACAAATGCAAGTGAGCACACCTCCAAGCAACATAGACCCTACTCTTCTAGAGGAACGGACAATCTATTACCAGAAGCCGGCTCAGTCACACACCCAGGAGTAAGCCGTCTATCATCATGCCGCTGCGGTCAGGAAATCCTGATGTCTCATTAACCATTACTATAGGGATCCTCAAGTGCCTTTACGGTGCTACTGGAAGGGGCTCACATGTGAACATGGATTGGTGTTTCCCAACATCGAATCGCTGATGAATCATGTGGAAATGAGCCATATCAATCCTCAACTCCAGGCAAATGAGCAGTCGTAGGTTATCCAATCTCATGTTTTACTATCTTATTAATCTGCTAACCCCAAATCTACTATGTTAGTGGCGATGCCGGTGGGCTCAAATGCAGCTGGAAGGAGTGCACTTTTGCCTTTAGTACAAAGGGATCTTTGTCACGTCACGTTAGATGGCTACATGCCAACCCGTCCTCATTTCTTTGCCCCTTTTGTGGCAAGTGTTGCAACCGTGAAGACAACTTGGAGGACCATTTGAGCAAGTACCATCGGATTTCAACTTGGTGGAGACGCTGCAAAGGGGGAGTGTTATTGAGGTTGATCGGGGTTCTGTCTCTGATTTGAGGGAAAATATACATGGATTATGAATAGTGGAATATATAGAGTGAACGACATATATGATACACAAGGTACATTTGGCGAGAAGAGACATAGGGAAAATAGAATTGCGGTGATTTTGCACATTTTGCATTTTCCGGGGTAGGTTATGCAAGAAAACACTTACTAAGTTATAATTACATCCATGGATGTGACAAAATATAGTATTTGAATATAATTTACTGTTGATGACGTCCTTACAAGTGGAGATATTACACTAGTCGTATCATTGACATACCTAGGTACGATATGGTTTACAGCAATGTTCTCCCAGGTCCTCCGGACTTCCAAGGCGTTAATCAAACGAAAAAAGGCAAAAAATAACAACCTTGGAAGTGGACCAAACTTGAAGGCCGGCAGAAATGGAGCAAGTGGCCTGTAATTTTTGTAAAGAATGCAAGGGTTACCTTAAATCTTACTAAATCCCACGAAATACCTAGGTAGCAGTCCCATAACCTTATTCCTGGTACCTTATTCCTGGTACCTTATTCCTGTTACCTTATTCCTGGTATCTTGCCCCCTTGGCCCTGGTTCAGGGGGATACACGGGACGTATGCATGAATCGGGTTGGGCAAAATAAAAATAAAAAGATCTTACGGAACCGTTCTTAGCCTGTCACCTTTATCTAGTTACGGCAACAGTTGGACCTTCGGAGCCCTCCGTGCGGAGGAAAGATCCCCAAAGTGTCCACTTCAATCCGTTCGGACAAGATTGGACTAACTAGGCGTAGTGTCCGATGCCGTCGATCTCCACCTGTCTCTAGTGGCAAACTCAATTTGACACTGAAATACCTAGGTAACCTGTTATGTGGGGAATAAAGGCTAGCGGGTCGTCATCTCAAAGCTCCTCTCTACAGAAAAGAAAATTCCGTCGCATAATCTAGAACTAGCTCCGATTTGCACTCGGGTGACCAGGGCCAAAATTAGGAGAATGGCGGTGGAGATGCCGAGATATCCCTAGGGCTGTGCCACACCTTTTAGTGTTTTTTTTTTTGTCCCCATTTCGCATACTAAATTTTAGTCCGTTGGGAATTTGATTCGGCCTGACCTACTCCGTATCCGCTTTAACTACCTACATGTAGGTAGGTACCCAGGTACAGACGGTTTGGGCCGCTGAGATGTGTATCCAATCACCAGCTCAGAATGTCAGATTGGTAATGTTCCAATGTTCTAAGTCCTTCGTGCATTCTTCTGGATTATTCTTTTTATTGTTGGCATTTGATGAACTGCTTATATCTAGAATGTACCCTTAAAAAGGATGACCGATTAAGTGGATCCAGATCATTTTCACTCGAGGTCAACCTGAATGGTCTGCCTCATTGTTGCTTCTTCTCTTTCTCTAAAAGGGAAAGAACGGTATCAACCTTGGAAATATCTTTTGGCAGCTACCTAGGTATTTAGGGCTAAAAGCTTATTTCCAACTATGACGGACAAAACCCTGCCTAATTCAAACCTTCGCCTCCGACACCTTTCCTAGTTCTAGCATTGTTCGGTTCTCTACTACTCGTTATGGGCAAGACATTCCCCGATTTCTGCGACCTTTGGAGTCTACAAAGAACACAGTCGAGTGCAAAATTGTCAAGAGAACAGTGAATAAAGACACAGCCAAAGTCAGGCAAGCAAAATGCAAGCCTCAGAGAAACTTCCGACTTATGAAGAGAGCGCAAAGTCTCCCAAGGAAATATTGATGGACAGGCTGAAGAAGAAAATAGAAAAAGCCCAGAAACCCGAGGATCTTCTTACCCACCTGCTTTCAACCGAGTTGAATGTCGAAGACAAAGCAACTCTCCTGAGACAAGCCCCGAAGCATATATATGACTGCAATCACCGACAAAGTGCCGAGTATGTTGAAGCTCAGCTGAGAGAGGCAGGCTACGGTGAGCTTGCCATATACCTATACTGGTGTTTCTTCTGGTATAGGGCACAGCCGACGGGGCCAGAAAGCTGGATCAAAGAACTGATTGAACTTGATATCGAGGAACGCTGGGTTGCTCAACGAAAGGCCTGCATTCAAGAAAAGCTCCAAACCTTGAAATCCTCATCGGAGCTACCTCTGTCTTCCGAAGATGGAGCGAAACATGCGTCGCAACTCGAGAGTTATGAAGAGCAGCTCAAAGGCCTTAATAAAAGGCATTGGGCTCTTTCTAGGAAGAAGTGGAACAACAGGACATCTATAACGAGCTGGTCGTTTAGGCGAGCATATGATATACAAAGATCATATCCAGAATGGTATCTCTCTGTCGATCTAGTCAGCGATTGCGTTGGACGAGGCGGCTGTTGCGGGAGGAGCTGCGGCTGCTGTAAGAATCTGCGGACGGTCGGTGGATTAGATGATGGTATCAACACACGAGGTCATTGTACCACGGCCTGCGGTTGCTGTCTGAAGGCTCATGGGATTGAAGATTTGGATGTCGGAATTGACGGAGAGATACCAGACTTGCAAGAGCTTTGTTTTGAGTACAAAAGGCCCTCTTTGATGGGTTTTCATAGCCGACAGCTGCTGAGGGGTTATGCCTTCAATATCTAAACCTTAATCATGGGAGTACGAGCTATGTTAACCGCAGAATTACCGACTAAGCCTTCTGGATGGCATTGCTATTTTGCTAGAGACGAGTTAGTAATTTCAATCCCGGTGGTATATCACCATCGAAAGCTGCCTGGCTGTTGCTATTTATTACTAGTATGTTAGCTGTGTTTAATATTCAAATATTAGTTGTCTAATTGTCGCTGCCTATCAAGTCCAAAGACAACTCAAGCGAGCAATTGCATCAAGTAAACCTAGCCTAGTTTGAATGTTTTCTTCCGCTAAATGATTTGCGATGCCCTTCGAAATGCCCATGAATGGGCTTACTTCAACGTTTGGGGCATGTTGTAGCACAAGTCTTCTATAAGTGCGAGTGTCATACTCCTGACCTGCTTAAAACAAGAAATCAAGAGGTGATACAAGTCTTTCCTTTCAACGCTCCGGTTAAGGACTTTAATATTGGAATAGGAATATTCTAAAGAGCATACATAGGTAGGTCCCCTTGACTTAATACTGAGTTAGCCTGATAGTCCCGAGGTCGGAACCTTCGTAGGAGCCGCAACCCAAAACGGTAGTCTTTCCGTCAACCACCGACAACCCGTGCACCATTTCAGGTACGGGGCTATTATAAGATGATCTCATAGTTGTGCCGACATTTGACTCTTTGCCTCGGCTTCAGCGTCTTTTGATTCTCAAATCTATAAGGGAATATGAATACCAACCCTCGGCTGAGCAAAATGCAGTCCTCGGAAAGGCTCCCAAGTTATGAAGAAACCACGAAAGTGTCGAAGGCCTTGATGAACGAGTTCATTAGTGAACTCGAACGTGAACAAAGAAGTCGCGACAGCTTCTTAATCGTCTTGTTAAACAGAAGACTAGGTATCGACGACAAATGCAAAGCTGTAGAAGGTGCACATCGAATATCAGCTATTGAACAAGACACGGATGCTGAATCGGTTGAAGACTGGCTTCGGCTTCGGGGGATGCATAAACTTGCTCAATCGGTGTGCTATTATGTTCACACTAGACACAGTTCTTCTGACAGACATTGGTGCAAAGCACTGATTGAGGCTGATATTGAGATACGCTGGATTTTCCAAAGAATGATCTGGGTTCATCAACAGAAACGAAACACTGTTCCTGGGACCTTTGACGAAAACCTCAAATCACTGAAGCGAAAGTACTGGAGAGTCCATAGGAGATTATGGATCGCAGACGACAGTATTTCCAGTAGATTCGCAGCACGAGGATTCGCATTTCAAAGACAGAATATCGACTGGTATCTCTCTTCTGAATTACGCGAAGATTGCGCGAGGGGAGGAGGTTGCTGTGGGCGGACGTGCGGATGTTGCGCAATACCACGAACGATCGATGGGCTTCGAACAGAAGGGATGCGTAACCGAGGTCACTGCACTTCAGCATGCTCTTGTTGTCTGGATGCCCACGAGCTTGATGGCATAGATATTGATGAGATCACGGATCTACAAGATCTTCGCTTTGATACTAGCAACACTGAATCGCTCCCAGACCCTCACACCTTGCGTTTACTCAAAGGTTGTCTTTTCTATCTAATGAATGTAAAGGCGTAAATTGCTTTATACATGTGAATAATTTGGATTTACTACCTAGGTAGCCTTGCTAGCCCTTAAGGACACAAATTATTGCTTCTAAAGTTCCCTAAATATGTTCAATTTATTCACTATGCTCACTATGTTCACTTTGTCCATGTCCATAGAGAGGGCAAAATCCCTAGTTGAACTAAACCTAAAACTACGTCACTGGCCGACAATGATTTAAGCCTAGCGTGTCCTATTTAATGATATGGCGCCCTGGCTTCTTTGCTACAGTTTGACCATTCAATTCTCTCTACTATGGGCAGCCACAACACCAGTATGAAGCTTCCCAGCTCTGCGAAGCCTGATAATAGCAGAGTCACCCAGTTTCAACTAACACCACCAACATACGAAGAGAGTACCCAGAATGTGATGGGAAAATACAAAAAGCAAGTGCAACATGCCAAGACCCCTGAGGACCTGTTGGAACCACTCTTATCAGGTATGGGTATCTATGAAAAACGAGAGCTCATAGAGGATGCTCCAGATGTAGTCTTTGAGAATGATAGGGACTCGACACAAAGAACCTTGAACCTGGAGACTCAGCTTGAAGATGCAAACTACGACGAGCTTGCTCAATGGGTAGTCTACCGTTACTATTTACTTAATGCAGAATACGACCGGGACTGGTTCAATGAATTTATTAAGCTCGACGTCACCCTAAGATGGATTGTTCAACGCAGAACATGGTGCGAGCAAAAGGCTAAAGCCCTGCAGATGCATCAAAGGGATATGTCGTCCCCAGATTTGTCTCGACTCGAGGCCTATGAAGAACAAATCAGATCCCTCAACTCAAGATACTGGGATACGCATAGGAAGCAATGGATCGAGTCAGAAAAGTTATGGAGCACTTCGGGGAGACGAGCTTTAATAAGGCAGAGAAAGCACACGGATTGGTATCTCTCCGGTGTGCTTCGTGAAGACTGTGTAAAACGAGGGGGCTGTTGCGGACGTAGTTGTGGATGTTGCGAGAGGACGCGAATGACCAAGGTCAATACAGATGGAGTCCATGATCGAGGTCACTGTACTACAGCATGCAGTTGCTGTCTCGAGGCTCATGGGATTGACGGTGAACATCTGGATATGAAAGACGTGGATGAAGTTCACTTCGGCCCCCTTCTTGATCACCACACTCTGCGACTGCTGAAGGGATATATCTTCTATTTGAACGGGATGGAATGAATGTCAAAGTAGACCACGGATTTTGCTTCTGGAAATATTGCTTGGTCAACTTGAGCCATGTGAACGGGCTTTGAATGGAGTAACCTTGCTATTTTTTTTTTTTTAAAAACCAGTTTGATGGCTGGATGAGTGATATGTGGAGGTTCGCTGGACATCCATTGCTTTATCTTCGCTTCGCAAAGGTTAGTGTAGCTAAAACAACACAACTGCCCAAGATTAGGTCTATCATGTGTTTTCTTGATAAAACCGCATTTGAAGCAAGACACAGTAAACAAGGATTTCCTAAATGATTCGTTGACAGGGAAATTCCATTAAACTCAAGTAAAACCACCCAAGGGCACCAAGTGCCCTCGTCCCAAGACAAATGCCAATGCCATAACGCCTATCGTCACATAAAAAGAAGGAAGAGACAAAGGAAAGACTCTGATCATACAATCAAAGACCACTGTATGCCAAAGACATTCCATGGCCAATGCTTCATCGACATCGGCGTAAATTCGCAAACATCGGTGGAAATAAAACACATCGGTAGAGAAGGGGAAAAAAGGCATTGTTCTAAAAAGCCTGTTGTATTAAGATTCTCCATCCTCGTCCACCACTGCGGCGCGGAGTTCCCAAACCAAATCGTAGCATTCGGCTAGCAGGTTATTGACACTGCCCTGGCCCTCTGGGATATCTGGACCTACGTAGAATTTGCCATCAACTCGCATGTTGTCAATCGAGTTGAGCTGTTTTGGTCAGCTTTTGTATATAAGCAGTGTGGACGATTACACACCTTCATGCTGTATGGGTAAAGTTCGCGCGAATTTGCAACACCTCCGGACTCCTTGACTTCAATCAAGCACCGGCGAAGAGTTTGGAGTTGGTTATAGACTGGGAGTAGAGCTTCAGATACAGGTTCTGATGAAATCAAAAGAGCATAGATGTATGCGTAACTGCGACGAATAAGGTATAGGAGCGTCTGATCGTATGTTAGCCAGATCCACCAAAGAATGCCCGAAAAGAAATCCTTACTCGCTGCGCATGCAGGTCTGCCGGCTGACCTTCAGCGTCGACAAAGTTTCCATTAACCCGTGCCTCATCAATTCGGTCGAGCTTTCGCTGGTATACGAAAAGATCGGTCTCGCGCAGCGACCAAGCTTGTGTTACAGACAAACGATCCAGTTGGTTGCGGATTTCCAACAATCGATCGTATTGATCTTGGAACCGCTCATCAATTTTACCCTCTCTATATTTGAATTAGTCAGTGTCCGAACCACCCGTTGGCAGCCTAGAACATACCGCTCAAGCACAATTTCAGTCCACCGCCAACACCTATGCATCAAAGACTTGAGGTCGTCCTGCCCTGCAAGAATATTTCCCTCCTCATCCACAAAGTTGCCGTCCTTTGTCGTCTTTTCAATTTTCTTGAGTTGTTCGCGAAGGGCGTTTACTTCCGAAGCCGAGAACTAACAAATCAACCATAAGTTAGTACTAATCAGATATATTATACAATTATTCGATGTCATACCTTTGACCGAGTGTTCACAGCTGATGTCGACCGCAAAATCGAAACCAGCGTCTCGTGCGTCTGCGCCAAGGGAGGAGCCAACACAGCAAGGCCCTTTTGCAACTTTGCCAGTGACTGTTCACATTGTTGCAGACGGCTTTCCAGGAGGGTAAGAAGAGCCGGTGAGTATGTGTTTCGACCACGCTCAAGTGTTTCCCGTGTAGACTCTAGCGTCTTGGTGATTGAGTTCAAATCCTTCGAGCTATAGAATCCAGCCTCCTCGAGGTGGTCGAGTAATCGCTGCAAAACCGTTAGTGTCCAGAGCGCAAAGCTAACAAGAAGAGCTCCGAGAAATCCTAGGAGTAAATACCTGGATAGTAGTCGCCAAGGAGTATCTGCCAAAATGTTAGCCACGGTCATGATATGGCGGGGTAAAGACATTGCCGCTCACACTGCAGGAGCTTCGTTGTTCTTCCCAACTGTCAAGAACAGCAGGGAAATCAACTGGAAACAATCATCCAAGACATAATCCACTATCATTCCATGTCAGTCACCTCCAACTTGAGCGCGCGATCTACCGGACTCACGGCGATTGTGTACCAAGCGGCGATCTTGGTCTTTGCGGACCGAATTGAGCTTCTCAACTTCTGCGATCACTTCCTCATAAAGTGGTAGGACATCGCGGGACTTTACGTATGAGGACTTGTCCCGTTTGATTAGGAGCAGCGCGTCACGGGTTCGGAGCAAGTTCTCAAGGATGGGCTGCTCCCGCGGATCCAGCGGGACCGGGATAGCGGGGGACTCCATGGTTAGAGAATGCGATAAGTAGGCACGTTGGAAAAAGCAAGTTTAAGACCGGTTGAATAAAAGGAATACGTCCCTTTCAAGGTGAAGACAAGTACAACGGCTCGTACGTTTGAACCCCACCGGAATGTGATGTCAATTAATGAATGGATCGATTGATAGCCTGCAGATACGACCAGATCGCACGGGCCCCGCGGCAGTTTACTGGGGGGGATTATGTCATCTCAATCATTATGTCATCTGGTCCCAGCTCCGTTTCTGGTTTAGCGCCAAGTCACGAGGAGGGGAAGGTGCTAAGCCCGATTAGTCCAAGCCCTAAGCGAGGGCTTTTTCCCACACACGGCGCGTTTGCCCTGTTCGGGTTGTCTATCATTGGCGTTCTCCTCTCTTCTTCTTTCCCATCCCCAACTCTCTTCAAGACACCCAGTCCGGTCAACACCACCCGTCGACATGTCTACCGCCGAGCTCGCCTGCTCTTACGCTGCCCTCATCCTGGCCGATGACGGTATTGAGGTCTCCGTACGTATCCAAAATTCCTTGATTTTGGTGGGATAGTGGAGGCTTGAAGATCGCACTTGAAGCTTTATTTACTGTGTGAAATTGAGCTTCGGGGGACACACAACAAGCCGCTGCAAAGCCACTGGGATCCAACAACGATCATGCGAAAACTGTGACTGACCTTTAATCTTCATTTTAGGCCGACAAGATCCAGACCCTCATCTCTGCCGCCAAGGTCCAGGATGTTGAGCCCATCTGGTCTTCCATCTTCGCCCGGGTAAATACCTGATCCCATTCCACAACCCGCGCCAATATCGAAACCACCCGAACATGGTGTCGCGACAATTTGAGATTCGATAACTAATTCGATTTTCAACACAGGCCCTCGAGGGTAAGGACATCAAGGAGCTCCTGACCAACGTCGGCTCCGCTGGCCCCGCTGCCGCTGCCCCTGCTGGTGGCGCCGCTGCTGACGCCCCCGCCGAGGCCAAGGCTGAGGAGAAGGTTGAGGGTAAGTTTTGAGATGCACATCTGGTTTGTGAGACCTCGGTACTAATCCCCACTACAGAGAAGGAGGAGTCCGATGAGGACATGGGCTTCGGTCTCTTCGACTAAGCGTCTTATCTCCGTATCGAATTTGAAAACTCGTTTCCTTTTTTCTCTGTTCCTCAACCTCTTTTCCCACTGCCGCATAGCGGCTCCCTCGACGATTCTCTATTGTACTCGATACTCCACGACCCCAGCTACGACCTAGAACCCGGGAAAAAAAAAGAAAATTAGCAAAAGAATTCAAACGGACACGGACATTCAATGGAGACTGGGTGCTCGGTGTGCCTCCGCGTCATAACGTGGCCGAGGTAGACTCGATCGGATACCGCTGCGATTCCGAAACTATTGTTGCTTCCAGGATTTTAGGGGAATTGAAGACGTTTGGCACACTTCTTGGTCTGTCCATGATCAAAGTTCTGCTTTGGTCTGGCGAGTAGATTTATGATTCGTTTTCTCCTCTACGAGCATCGGCTAGCTTGGCTTGCTCGGTCCTCGTGTTACGTCTGTCATGCGACCATGAACCAACAACGAATGCCGTCTGATTCTTCATATGGGGTATTCGTTCGTAGGCTATGTGACGTAGTGCTGTAGGGCTGATCCTGGGTGGATCTCTGACTGATGTTTCCGATCTCAAGGTGATTTTTCATTGAGCGCACCAGGCCCTTACGGTTATCGCTCAGTAGACTGGAGTTCTCGAGGCCTCATCAACGGTGCGAAGTACAACATGCATGGACTTACTCAGAATTGCACCGATAATAGTGTACTGCTGTTCTGTCGCAACACCCTTATCGACACTAAAAACCATACATGTACATGTCGGATTCAGTCGCTAGTTCACTATCAACACAAACGCTATGCTATTCCAAACTTTTCCGATGTCCAGCACCAATAAACGCATGTAAATCATCTCTCGTCCAAAGATTCTTGAGCTTGAAATCAAAGTTCAGATTCGACGGCACATAGACAGAGGTCATTACTCTAGATAAAAGAGCGGGTTCCAATACTTAGGAGATCGCCGAGAGACGAGGGTCCTGGATAGCATAGATCCGGAATTGGAAGAAGATGACCGCGTCCTCAACCATAGTTCCCAGCGATCCAATTAGCCATGGAAGATTGGTGAGGAAGTATTCTTTCTCTGTAGAATGGCAAAGAATCTATATCCATGCCGTTAGCTTGCGTCCAATTCATAGTACAACCTGCAGTATCACTCACCCCTGCGCCATAGGTCAAGTTTCCTAGAAGAGAGAGAATAAAGAACAAGAGCGACAATCCTAAACAAAGGTCAGCACCGGGCTCACATGCGCATTGGTAGTAAAAGATACCTTCGCAAGACTTCTCGCTGTAGTTTTTGTAGATTTGAGGCAATCTTGCACTGAGATCAAAGTCAATACCAACTCATCAGCCCTAAAAAAGGAAGCACTCACCCCAGATAGCACGCAGCACTGAAATACCCCAGCACTAAACCCCCGATAGCCTCCTCGGAACCACCATTATTCTCCAATGGCGCCGGCACCCACATCCCCGTCTGCCAAGCAATGGTCCAACCCGCCATACCAATGAGGAAAATGCCGACCACACAAGCAAAATTCTTAACCCACGCCTTGCGGCCATAATCATTCTCCTCGACGATCTTGGCCAGGGTACCCTCGACCTCGCTCTCGCGCCGGCCGGCATGGTAACGGCGCAAAGAGCCCGACGACCGGCGCCGCGACTGGGAAGATGCGAGGGAGTCACTGAATCGCCGCCCCAGCAACGGGGTAGTCGGGTCCGGGGTCTCGGTGGACGAGCGTCGGCGGTGGAAAGGCTCGGGACGCGAGTTGCGCACTTTATAGTACACGCACTGCGCGATCAGCACGCCGTCTGCGATGCAGAAGTATACCGCGATCGCAATGATCACGGGCACGAGCCGGGATAGTAGGCCGCCGGCGAGGTTTGCGACATCGCCGATGAACCAGACAAAGACGAAGAGAAGAGATATAGCTTCTGCATTGCCATTGCGGTAGTTCTCAATTAGTTGAGGTACCTAACAGTACTGTTAGATATGGATCCCACTTTCGAGGTTCTTCTCAAACCTACCAAAAGGAAAAACCAGCAGGTCATAGATACTGAGCCCAAGAGACCAGATGCAGCCTCGCGGGCTGTCAAAGGTATAGGGCCTTCCATACTGTCCTCGACAAGAGTGTGTTGGAGTGAAAGAAAATTGCGCGGGAGATAAGACTATGACACAATCTACTCGGGGGCGGAGTCCCGCTCTAGGCTTTAAAGGGTCCGTGCTTATAGAGAAAATCTCTCGAAGCTAATAATATACTACATAGTAACTACATATGTACTAATGTAGGTATACATATTCAAGAACTTATAGATAATTTCGCTAAAGAAACATGTCAAGTTGAACCTGTCAGTGCGGAATGATGCGCATCAGCCAAGCATTGGAGGATTTCCACAGCCAATGATACACTTCATTATGGTCATGCAAGTCTAAACTGCAATATGTGCTACATATGTATTCTGTACTACCAAGTATGATCCATGCGAAGATCCAATCTGCATCAGTTATTACCCCTGTAGGATATAATTCCCCATTAAAACGTGGTAAATGTGGAAAATATGTATGTTCTTTGATGATTGTATAAATATGTCCCGAGACAACGATCTACATATATTAACCACCTAAAAAAAGTCAAAAATATATAGAAGAACAATACAATAATTATCCCTTTGACCGGAGATATCTTGGCTCTGCCAGAAAGATACCGATCTCTTATACAGGTGGAAATTCTAGTCAACTGGAATTCTCAAGATAAACCAGGGTCATGCCATGGGGATTGCTTTGTTATACATTATAATCATTCGATGATTTTTCATTGTACGAAGACTAATCCATGCTGACCATGAAGTCGAGTTATTCTCCTCGCATAATCGCGAGTTCATCCTCGAGCATGCTGACCGCAAAATCCCCAAGGGAGTCCCTGATACTACCGTCTAACAATCGTTGACGGGCTGTTTCTGAGATTGCCGCCATGGCCTCCAGATAATTGGTCAAGGGTGCATAGTCCACAACCACTTCGCTCCAGTTGCCTCTATCGACTCCGTATTGAGTAAGGAAAATACGGAGAGTCTGCAACCCCTCGCGCGTGAGCCACCCTTCAAGGGCTGCCGGATCTCTGAGCGGTGGGCGTGAGTGTGGGATATCAAAATGTTCTGTATCCTCATCCTCATCTTCATCCTCAAATCCAATTGGCTCTTCGTCGTCCGATGGGACATTGCGAGGGCGGACGTTGTGGTTGATCTGGCCAAGGAGATCCTGTAGCCAATTATCCCCGCCTCCAGCAGGAGCTGCATAGATGGGCGTAGGTTCAGATTGTTGTTGGTACGCTTCGGATTCATAGGGCGGGAGAGGGTCGGAGGAGGACAGTCGACCAGCCACAAAGTGATTGGGAAGATGGGTTGTCACTTTAGCTATATCGGACAAGACCACATGACGAGCGATGTCCAAAGTGATCTCTGGTGGATCATTAGGCTTCTCGCCAGAGATAGAATCTGCGACTTCCATAATGAGAGAAATAGCCTCGGGGGTATTCCAAAGATCCTTTGCGCGGGCGATATAGAGTTCGGTAAGCAGCTCATGAGCGCCCGTAGGAGGCATCTTGCCCCAGATTTGCTTAGGAACGTGCTGGACATCAAGTTCCTGTGCTAGTCTGCTGAAAATCCACGGGTAGTGGGACATGGCAAGCTGCAGCTGTCGGCGACATTCCTGGGGCTTGTTTAACCGGAGGTATGCCATTACCAGCGAGCATTGAATATTAGGAAGGTTATCCCAGTCGCGACTAAAGCGTGTCTGGGTACAGAGCTGCACGAATTGTGCATATTCTCTACCTCGAAGCGCGAGGTGGTCGATGAGCAGTCTCATACAGTAAGGATCACTGTCATCCAGACTGAGCAAGAGCTTAGCCCATTCATAAGCGGTTCTCCAAGTGCCTTTCATTGCTAGGTTGGTGATGTACCTCCACCCAACAAGCCAGAACTCTCGGTTCTCCGCATGTATGAAATCAAGTCTGGCCTCGCCTTCCCTGAGGCGATTGGCAAACGAAGAGTGCACTGAGCGTCCAATATTGAATAGGGCTCTTTCCATCAGATCGGCAGACACAGCATGATCGCCTTGGTGTTTGGCAATCTCCGACACTTGGAGAAGCGTAGAAATATGATACGGGTTGTATTGGAGGTGCCCGATGAGTCTCTGTGGGTCCATTGATTCAACACAGAGGTCGAACTGCCGCTGTACATCTTGGTAGGCAGTATTGTGTACTAGTCGGTAGAGAGTCTCCCCGGAAGGAAGCTTCTTCACAGTCTCCATGCCTAGCCCTCCGCTCGGAGCACGAGGCCACTCATCTTTGCCCTGCATAAGAATATTGCGTCGCAATGTAACTCCAGCCAGACTTTGACCTCGGCTGGCTGGACTGTACCTTCCCGTCAAGGCTTGAGCAAGGTCGATCATTTGTCGATTACGATCCCGACGGCGGCCCGTTCCAGTATCCGCTGGTTGATCAAAGTTTTCCAGAACAACATTTCCAAACAGTCTGCGCATCTCATTCGTTGCATTGAGGAATTTGGGTTCGATCCCGAGCAATTCGCTCGTAGTCTTTGGAAAAGAGGCCTCGGGAGGGTGTCTGGTAGATAAACCTGTGCCAACTGACGTGGGCCCACCTGTCGATAGATCTTTCAACGCCCGATCAATTTCATCCAGGTCTGCTTCATTTGATTTTGAAGGCGGGATATTGGCCAGATCGGAGGTTTTGACTGCCTTCTTCTTCTTTTTCTTGTTGCTCTTTTTGGGCTTTACCGGGGTTGGTTCAGGCTCTGGCTCTGGTATGCGTGCGTAAGGTTCCTCCTGGGCTTCCTCTTCCTCTTCCTCCTCATCCTCATTTTCAGCGTTCAGCAAATCAAAGGCATTGAACTTCGGTTTCGCGGGGCGCGCGGCTTCGTCTTCGCTTGACTCATCTTGCTGGTCGGATTCTCGCTGCTGTTCTTGTTCACGCAGCTTCTGCAGTTTTCGAATTGCTCGTGATGACATCCTACGTACTGAGGTAAAAACCTTTGAACGTACGGAACAACAGCTGCCTGTGAAAGCGGAATCGAAAGAAGAACGTACCGCAACAAAACCGCGGGGAATGACGACAGAGCCTAATACAGGCTAGCGCCCTTTCCTAATCAACATCAACACGTGACTTTCATCTTGAGGTGACCCAGCTCCTTGACAAGCTTGAAACCTCAGCTACATACAATCTCAGAGCTGCTATCTGCCTTGAAAAAGGCACAGAAGTTAGTCGGCTATTATATTTATTGCTTGACTAATGCGTCAGGCGACTGTTCAGGCCTGCCGTACTGCTCGGCGTGCACCAGTATGGAACATTGCCGCTAAACGGCCGTGCCCTTTGACCTTCAACCAGCTGCGAGGTATTCGGCCTTACTCTGGTGGCAGACGCTCATCCCATACTCCAGTAGCCCCTCGGTCATCCATGCATCGCCGCAACCTCTCCCTCGCCGTTATCTCGACCGTCGTTGCCTCCGGAGCATGGTATACTTATCAGGGTGACACCGTTAAATCGGCAGCAACCCAGATCCGGAGCTTTGCATCGAGTGCCCTCAACTCCGCCTACGCAGAAGGGCCCGCTGAGTCCACGCGACGTGCCTTGTTGGTCAGCGGCGATCAATTCTACACAGCGACGCTCTCCGCAGACCTGCCTCTTACCAAGCATACAGACGATTCAGACCGCCGAGTCCTAGAGATGTTGACTCCCGAGCAAGCGACCCAGAAGCTTCGCAAGAACGAGGAGTCATATTTGGTCAATCGGGGAAAGGGCGTTGTTCGTTACGATGTTGTTCAGGTTCCCAGCAACTCTCCCATTGAGGACGACCATGCGGAAAAGATAGTGGAGATCCCAGCATCCGTGTCTGCTGCCAGCGATGGCGAGCCGAGCAGCGACTGGATGTTCTGGGGAGTCTTTGACGGTCACTCGTATGTTATGTCAAAGTTGAATGCTTATAATGCAAATACTGACCGTAAATCAGGGGCTGGACCACATCTGCGAAATTGCGCAATGTGTTGATCTCATATGTGGCTCGTGAATTGAACACAACTTACAAGGCTGCTTCTGCTGATCCATCTCTCCTCATGCCAACATCCGAGGCCATCGATGCCGCCATCAAGAAGGGCTTCGTCCGCCTCGACAATGACATCGTACATGAGAGTTTCAAAGAAGTCATGAAGTCTAAATCGCGACGGGTGGCCGCCGAGCTTCTTGCTCCTGCTCTCTCTGGATCATGTGCTCTTCTCAGCTTCTATGACTCCCAGACCAAGGACCTCAAGGTTGCTGTTACCGGAGACTCTCGCGCAGTTCTGGGTCGCCGCAGCCCGAGCGGGAAATGGACCGCTACTGCGCTTTCCGAAGATCAGACTGGTGGCACCCCATCTGAAATGAAACGTTTGCGTGAGGAGCACCCTGGCGAGCCATATGTCACCAAGAATGGCCGAATCCTCGGCCAGCTTGAACCCAGCCGTGCGTTCGGTGACGCCTTCTACAAGTGGAGCCGGGACGTCCAAGATACAATAAAAGCGAAGTTCTTTGGGCGCACTCCTCATCCTATGCTGAAGACGCCCCCTTACGTTACCGCCGAGCCTATCATTACTACTACCAAGATCGATCCCTCCAAGGGCGATTTTGTCGTCATGGCTACCGACGGCCTATGGGAGATGCTGAGCAATGAGGAAGTTGTCGGCCTGGTTGGTCATTGGGTTGAGCAACAGCAATCTGCTGCTGCAAGCACAGGTAGCAAGGCTTGGTTACAGAGCTGGTTCGGGTTCGATGGCCAGAAGAAACTGCCTGTGGAAACTGCAGCCGACGGATCAGCCGAAGGCCAACGGCGTCCCATCCGCCAGCAGCAATATGATATCTCTGGCGCGGCTAGTCGATTTGTTGTCGAGGACAAGAACGCAGCAACGCATCTTGTGCGGAACGCAATGGGTGGAAAGGACAAGGACATGGTGTGTGCGTTGTTGACGCTACCCAGTCCCTACTCTCGCCGATACCGGTAAGGATATCCTTTTCATGACATTTACTTTTTAGTGATTTGGCTAATCTTTCTTAGTGACGATGTTACTGTCGAGGTCATCTTCTTTGGTCAGGGCCCTGATTCCCGCACAGTCGAAGTCAACCAGGAAGCGAGTGCATCAGAGCAGCCTCTCAAATCGAAGCTTTAGGCGTTCGTTTTGTCTTATGTTTCCTTCGTGACATTCCCAAAGCAATTTGAAGGGTGGCGGGCTTTTTTGATACGTTTTGCAATCTACTTTCTCTGGTGGGTTGCCGCTACTGGATCTATGGCAAGGCCAAGACAAGATACTACGAAATAGTTTCTCTAATTTTACGAATTATTGCAGTGTCCCTCATGTGGTTATAAGTAGAAAAGTATTGTACATTGTAGAGTGACCTTGTCATCTTATATAATGTCCATAATTTCATCTTGAGCCACCTACATGTAGGCACATAAATCAGATTATGAAGTCCTACGTCGTCAAGGACAAAGGCCGCATACGCGGCCGACTATTTTATACAAGTAAAAGATATTGTACATGAGTGCGGATGGGCAGGGAAAATGATGCTACACAATGAACCTCCAAACCAGTCGATGAACTATGTGCATCCCGGATTGTGGGGGATTGGAAAATTATGAACGACGACGCGCAAGCCCAGAGGGTATCCTTTGACGACTGAACCCATCCGAGCCAGTTCATAAGGTCTGCACCAGTCGCCCGGAAAGCCATAGGTTGAATCAGGTCTGATATGAGCTTCTTGTCAACTTTCGGTGTGAATGTGGCCTCCATCTTGATGATTAAAGTCAGCATGCGGATAGTTCTCAACTTTATAATGGAGTATGGCTGAACAACCACCGATTCATGCATGCCATTCTGAATAATACGATTCCCGCGGATGGAATCAGCGTAAATTTTTCAGCTGGAACGGGTCCTCATCGCCCGGCTTCTCGAAAGCGATGGATTTCTCCATAAAGAGTTTGAAACCCGGTGCTGCAAACACCTTTTTGTCCAGTACCCAGGTCTGCAGCGTAGCAACGTTGGTACTGGTGATCCAGTAGAGCATAAGCGCAGTTGGCATCCCTTGAACAAAGCTTGCAAAGCCAATATAGCATGTCAATACTATGACAAAGGACCGTAAACCGGTGAAAAGGATATGCTTGTACATCTCGTTTTTTGGAAGAAGTGCGATCTCCTTCCAAGGTATGACTTTCCATCCCATCAGAACGTTCCCCAAGATCGACGCAGTCAGACAAAGTGGCAGCACGCCTGTTGGGTCACCTGCCAGTAAATCTGGGAACCAGAGGGCACCCTCGTTCGCAAGAGTAGGCTCGATAGTTAAATGCAGAGGCTGGGCTGTGGAGGCAGGGTCTTGCGACGACTCGATGAACGACGACAGCCAGGCAATGATGCCGCTATTGTTACCGCTCATCCCGCGCAGACTCTCCATGAGCGCAATAAAAACAGGTATCTGCAGGAAGCCGACTGCTTTATACTTGTTGGATACTCCCCAGCGCTTATGAAGCAGAGCTGTTCGTTTTCTTATATCAAGGAGGGCTTTGCGATGAGATTCAGCACGATTAAAATTCCTGAGGCTCGCAGTAGGAATCTGTTCCGTCTGCTTCTGTGCATATCTCTTCACCCAAGCGCTTAGAATTGGCACTAATTTCTTTTCGCGATGGCGATGGAGTCGAGTGTATAACAGGATCGGCAACCCGACAAACGTACGAATAAGTACGGCCGTTAGAGGAATTGATGCAACCCATGGTAGACATGAAACAGTGTGGACGCCGTGAATAAATGCGGTGGAGCTGTCCAGTGCAAGGCCCACGACGGAGAATGAGGCTGGTCTTGTTGGGTGGAAGTATCGAACTTGCGAGCGAGGCAATTGTATGGCCCACCGCGTTAAGTGTATGGCCTGTGACGAGCGGAGGGCATACATCACTGCTAGCGGGGTGAAAGACAAGATAGAAAATAAAAGATAGCTGGAAAAATTGAGGCTATAGGAACCGCGGAGACGGAAATCGGATATTTGGAGATCATCATGTGACACGTATGAACTTACTTCATTGGCCCAACTGATCAACTTGTTGACAGCAAGAGAAGGGGAACATTTTCTGACTTGTCACAGTTTGACTTCATATTCTCTTACTATGTGTGATTTCTGATGAGGTCTCTTTAAATATTGCCTTTTTACCATGGCCCTCTTATCAAACGCCATTCTGGCCACTCTGGTCCTCACCGCCACGGCTGTCCTGCTTCCGAAGCTGACAGGCGTTCTCCTCGGTCTAGTGTTTCGGGGAGTGGGCTGGCTGATCTGGCGACGAACGCGGTCTCGTCGTGAATTTGTGATCGCGCGGGCGCGATCTGAGGAGGAGGAGTTACGCGCCTCACGGCCGAAGGGTTCAACACTATCGCGGAACGGTGCCGAAGACGAGGACTGGGAGAAGGTGGATAGTTCAGGCACAGGCGGGGTACAGACTACGGCTGGTAGTGGAAGCAGTAGCGGTGCTGGCAATGAAAGTAACCAGAGTCCAGAGGACTGGGATGGCATCATTGGATTCTTCCACCCATTCTGGTATGGCATTCTCTATACATGTTGAAAGATACAACGCTGACTAGGTACTATAGTAATGCCGGCGGAGGTGGCGAACGAGTCTTATGGGAAGCGATACGCGCAACACAGAAGCGCTGGCCGAAGGCAATCTGCGCTATCTACACGGGTGACCATGAAGTCAATAAAGCCACGATGTTGGAGAAGGTGGAGAACCGGTTCAACATTCACCTACATGCGCCTACCGTGGTGCTCCTATACCTGACAACCCGCAAGTATGTTGTTAGTAGCTCATACCCTTACATGACACTGCTGGGACAGTCGCTGGGGTCACTGATTGTTGCCTACGATGCTTTTACGTTGCTTGTACCGGACGTTTTTGTTGACACCATGGGCTATGCTTTCACACTTGCTCTGTGCAAATGGTTTTTCCCGAGAATTCCTGTTGGTGCCTATGTTCATTACCCGACTATATCAACCGACATGCTCGCTTCTCTCGACGACAAGAGCGGGGTGCAAGGGATCAATTCCGGCGCAGGGAAAGGGTGGAAAGGGAAAATCAAGCGTCGGTACTGGGAGATATTTGCCAAGCTATATGGCTGGGTCGGTCGACAGGTCGATGTAGTTATGTGCAACTCGTCCTGGACGGCAGCACATATTCGCACGCTTTGGGGCACCGGTAAGAAAATCAACAACGGCAGCGGCGACGGGAGTCCATCATCGCCGGCGGTGGTGTTTCCCCCAACAGCAGTCACCGAACTGCAATCAAATATTGTCGTTGACACGGGCAGCGAGAAGACTCGCCAGCCTGTTCTACTTTACATCGCACAATTCCGGCCAGAGAAGAATCACCCGCTAGTATTGCGCTCCTTTGCGCGATTCTTACAAGAACGAACAAACAACCCAGCCTACGAAGGGCAGCCCCCTCCGCGTCTTGTACTCATTGGATCCGTCCGCCATTCCAGCCCTGATGAAACCCACATCTACAATCTGCGCCTCCTAGCACATGAACTCCGCATCCGCGATCACACTACATTCTTGTGCGACGCTAGCTGGCCTGTCATGTTGTCACATCTCCGGACCGCCTCGGTTGGCGTCAATGCCATGTGGAACGAGCACTTCGGTATTTGCGTCGTGGAGTACCAAGCCGCTGGTCTTATCTGCGTCACACATGACTCCGGTGGTCCACGTGAAGACATTGTCGTTGATCTAGGGGATGGTGCAACTGGATTCCGAGCTGAAACAGAAGAGCAGTTTGCTGCTTCTTTCGAGGCTGCCCTTGCTCTTCCGGAGGCAGAGAAACTCGCCATGCGGCAGCGGGCTCGTCGCTCAGCCCAACGGTTTACCGAAGAGGAGTTCTCCCGTAAGTGGCTGGATCAAGTACAAAAGCTTGTTATGGCGTCGACGGTTTAGCTTTGTGATATCCCCCATGAAATAGACGAATGGAGTTTCTATTTAGTTTATTATTCGCCTAAACAAGAAGTCAACTCCATGATAACAATCCTTAAAGACAGTACTTAATTCGTAATAATCGTAAAATAGAAATAGACGATGTGACCAAGTCTACGACTTGTGCATAACAAACATCTCAACTAAAGCACCTTAAGGTCTAACCAGAAACAGAAAATGCCTGCAATGCAATGACAATGCGAACACCCTGAACTTCCCCCCTTTAGTCGCTATCACTGGCCTCACCGCCGTCCGAGTCAACTCCATCACCAGTATTTTGAATACCTTCAGCCATGATATACTCGGTTTGCTGAAGAGTCTTCTTAATCTCATTATTGTTGAAGACCAGCTCAGCAGGCTTCTGACCATGCTTATTCCGCACTCGAGGATCGCAGCCAGCCTCACACATCATCTTGATCATGGCTTCGCCCAGTTCTGCATCTTTATCATTGGCGTACCGCACTGCGATGTGCAACGGCGTGTCCTTGTCCAGCCGGGTCAACGGGTCGCATTCGAAGAATTGGATGTCAAACAGCGCATCCATAGTATCATCTAACCAAAAACAAGACAAAAGAGTTAGCTTGCAGGAGAGATAGGCATTAACAAAGTGGCAAAGTAAACACGTACAGCTTCCATACTGGGCACAGACGTGCAATGCGTGGTTTCCCATAGAGTCTGTCACCTCGTTGAAAAATTGAGCCACTTGCTCATTTGTCTTCTCTTCCATTTCGTTCAGCACTTGCTCAATTAGGTGGGGTTGGTCCCGGCGGCAGGCCTCCACGACCAGCTCGCGGGGTGATGCGCCCTAAACCATAGCGGCATTAGCGTTGATAGTTAAGAAAGACCCAGTAGGCAATATTCACCTCGTCAGCCATTTCTGTATATGGGTTCACAGAGTCCGGAATACCCGAGAGTGAAGTCGGGAGTACTGAAATTGTTGCTCAGCCAGCTGTGATGGTACTCGTGGAGCTAGTCGTAACAAGAGTCAGGCGCTTTGTATGGGTATTTTGCTGATCAGAATAGGTCTTCCACAGGGAAATGAAGTAGGATATGTATGTACAAGCTGGGCTGGCGGTTAAACAGGCATTCAAGTTCCTGGCAAATACTACTGGTCATCGGAGTTGTTCCCCAGGCACATCCCACACGCGGGCCGCCCGGATATACAATCTTCCGAATACCGTCTTGATTTAGCCGCGCGCCTAGATCTCTTATCATCGACGGTGATGTTCTGCACCTGACGGGACTACATTGTACAGCTGCTGAGAACCTAACATTCGACCTGGTCTAGCTGCCTGGTGCTTTATTAGTGTTATCCACTGCATCCTCCTGTCAAATCACCAAGATGCTAGTCTGTATGTGTTATCTCCGAGTTGATGCTGTCCAGCGACAGTCCAGAACAGAAACTGACTTCCTCTCTCTAGTCTGCCCGAATTGTAGCAATGCGCTCACCATTTCCAAAGCGGAGTCGAGCACAAGATTCCCAGCGGGTGTGAACCGCTTTGAATGCCGCGTCTGCCCCTACGAAGCCCCGTTGGAGAAGAACTATTTCGAGAAGAAAGATATGAAGCAGAAGGAAGTCGACGATGTATTTGGTGGCAAGGAGGAATTTGCCAATGCTGACAGTGTTGCCAGTAAGCTTTTATGCTATCTTCTCTCAGAAGTGACACGCCCGTCAAGATATACAGGACTGACATACTCTCTTTTTTTTCCCTTACAGCTCAATGCCCCGCCGAAAGCTGCAATGGGGAACGTGCGTACTTCTTCCAGCTGCAGATTCGCAGTGCAGATGAACCGATGACTACATTCTTGAAGGTATGACCCCCTCCTTACGTCTAATGTGAGGTACCCGTGTCTGACAGCTCCCAGTGTACCTCGTGCGGTGCTCGGTGGAGAGAAAATTAGAGTTGGGCGACGAGGCCGGGGACAAGTCACTTGCATTGCTTTTTGCTTTCATTTTGCTTTTACTTTTTGGACTTTACTATAGCGAGGTGCAAATGGCGCATTTATTGAGTGTCTACAATATAGGGGAGGCGTATGGAACTTAAACCTGATACCCAAATTGATCGACGTCACAGTCCAGCGCACAGATTATTTTGCGATCAGCGGACATCCATGGATGGATCTAGCTTTTTATGCATTTTTAATTTTATATCACATGTTATTGTGTAGCTTTGGCTTTGTACTTTTTTTTTCAACTATGACTACAATTGCCCTAGTACAAACGTAGAGCCCGACATTGGCTTCTGCCTGGGAAATACTAAAGAAGAATCTGATCATCGGAGGCCAAAAAAGAAAGAAATTTTCTATGCATGACATTGTTGGTGGGATAAGTTGGCGGTGAGAGTGTTGCCCCTCATCCGCGGGGTTCTCAAAAGACAAAAGTGAGAAAAAAAAGTAAAAAAATGGATCGAGACATCCAATATCGCCACAGTAACACAGTAATTCGTATAGGGCCAAAAGCAGACGGGAAAATGGGCAAGGTAAACAATGCAAACTTGAAGATTCTCACCCAACCGCTCTGCGTTGCTGCCCAGTTCAAGCGTTTAGAGCCACAAAGTGGACTGGGACGGAGCCGATGAAAAAAAAAAAATTCGCACCGAGTGGAGTGCCATGGCAGGACATAACCAGGGAAACGGATGGGTGTTTCAAGCGCGGAAGTAGATAGTACATTGCAAAGTATGAGTAAAGACATATTGTAGCAAGTACATCTACTTCATCCCACCAACCCACTTTGCAAAATCTGCGTACAAGGGTGAGGGTTAGAGCCAATCAGAAGCCCTAACCAAAAGAGGGCTTGACCCCACCTGCTGACTCGCCTCGCTCGCTTGCCCCTCCATATAAGGATTTCCCCTCCTCCCTTCTCCCACAGACTTTTCTTTCTTCCTCTTGTCTGCTACAGTGAGTTTTTCCTGCCCCCCTACTGCTTTTCAGCTCTTCCTCTTTCGACAACTCTTACTGATTACTTTTGCTCAGTACCTCTACGCGTTCTGCCGTAGTCTCTGAGCAAATTTTCCTACAGATTTTTTCTAGTATCTTACAAAGAACTACAAAAAGTTCCAACCGTCATCATGGGGTATGTGACAGTGACTGGGAGTCTCTCACTTTTTCAGGAGATCTGAGACTGACTTTGACCCAACAGTAAAGAAGAGCGTAGCCACATCAACATCGTCGTTATCGGCCACGTCGATTCCGGCAAGTCCACCACCACTGGTCACATGATCTACAAGTGTGGTGGTATTGACCAGCGTACCATCGAGAAGTTCGAGAAGGAGGCTGCTGAGCTCGGAAAGGGTTCCTTCAAGTACGCCTGGGTTCTTGACAAGCTCAAGGCCGAGCGTGAGCGTGGTATCACCATCGATATCGCTCTCTGGAAGTTCCAGACCTCCAAGTATGAGGTCACCGTCATCGGTAAGAGACTTGTCCATTCATCTCTCAGTTGCATAGATGTTAATATATTCCATTACAGATGCCCCCGGTCACCGTGATTTCATCAAGAACATGATCACTGGTACCTCCCAGGCCGATTGCGCTATTCTCATCATCGCCTCCGGCACTGGTGAGTTCGAGGCTGGTATCTCCAAGGATGGCCAGACCCGTGAGCACGCTCTGCTTGCCTTCACCCTCGGTGTCAAGCAGCTCATTGTTGCCCTCAACAAGATGGACACCTGCAAGTGGTCCGAGGAGCGTTACAACGAGATTGTCAAGGAGACCTCCAACTTCATCAAGAAGGTCGGCTACAACCCCAAGTCCGTTCCCTTCGTCCCCATCTCCGGCTTCAACGGCGACAACATGCTTGAGGCCTCCACCAACTGCCCCTGGTACAAGGGTTGGGAGAAGGAGACCAAGGCTGGCAAGTCCACCGGAAAGACCCTCCTCGAGGCCATCGACGCCATCGAGCCCCCCGTCCGTCCCTCCAACAAGCCCCTGCGTCTTCCCCTCCAGGATGTGTACAAGATCTCCGGTATTGGCACAGTTCCCGTCGGTCGTGTCGAGACTGGTATCATTACCCCCGGCATGATCGTCACCTTCGCTCCCGCCAACGTCACCACTGAAGTCAAGTCCGTCGAGATGCACCACCAGCAGCTCAAGGCCGGTAACCCCGGTGACAACGTCGGCTTCAACGTCAAGAACGTCTCCGTCAAGGAGGTTCGCCGTGGTAACGTCGCTTCCGACTCCAAGAACGACCCCGCCGCTGGCTGTGACTCCTTCAACGCCCAGGTCATTGTCCTGAACCACCCCGGTCAGGTCGGCGCTGGATACGCTCCCGTCCTCGATTGCCACACTGCCCACATTGCTTGCAAGTTCGCTGAGCTCCTCGAGAAGATCGATCGCCGTACCGGTAAGGCCACCGAGGCCTCCCCCAAGTTCATCAAGTCCGGTGATGCCGCTATCGTCAAGATGGTTCCCTCCAAGCCCATGTGTGTTGAGGCCTTCACCGACTACCCCCCTCTCGGTCGTTTCGCCGTCCGTGACATGCGCCAGACCGTTGCCGTCGGTGTCATCAAGACCGTTGCTAAGAACGCTGGTGGCGCTGGCAAGGTCACCAAGGCCGCTGCCAAGGCTGGTAAGAAATAAATGATTCTCGGATGATGTTCATTATGCCGTGATGATTTTTTTCTTTTCAAAAACAATTACTGGATCCAGGTAGATTTGCTGCGTAGCTCAAAAATGACTACCCACATTTTTATGACAAGTCTTCTTCTTTCGTAAACTTGTAGACAGAAGTAACAGCGTAGACAATACTCTGTAGAATAGTTGATCAACCCTTTGACAGTGTAATTTCCCACTCATGCTGACTTGTAATTTTTCTGTTGGTTCTTGAGGCTAGCGACGCCCAAGTCCTGTGATACATACATATATGTAGACATGTACATAGTACATGTACCTCGGGTCGTCTCGAAGACGGAACAACATCTCAAAATGTTGTTTCAGGTTCTCTTTTCCTTTCTACTATACATATGTACTCAGCCAGTTTGTTATCCAACTTTAACTTCCTATTCCCATCCGTGTGCATATGTAACCTTAGTAAATGAGATGTTGAGATGGTGTCTGTATTATCCTCGAATCGATTCCAAGCACCACGTTCAAGCTGGAACCCAACTACAGATAATTCCATCCTACATAATACATATGTATAGTGAGTTAACTATCCTAGACTTTCTCTGCCGAATGGACCCCGATTAATCACGAGGCGTCTGATTAGCCGTGAACATATATATGTACTCAGGCCAAGTCTCAATTTCCATTTCAACCTCAACCTTAAACCCATCCCAAAAACCAATCCGATCCAAATATACGAACCTGCGCCCGAGCTATCGTTAAGCTTCTGTGTTTACAATGACAGGGGAAATAGTCGTGGTCCTTGTAGTGTCTCTACAATTTATTCTAGTCCATATTTTCAAGCTATAGACCAAAGGTTAAAATGGCAAATATTGACCAAACACAAGTAAATGACCTATCGTATCTTGGGTATCAAGTTGCAGATACATACATGTAGTATGTATCCCTATGTAACGGCATGCCAACCAAAGATGTATGAATCACTCTTCCTCATACTCTTCAGAATCTTCTTCTTCTTCTTCTTCTTCTTCCTCCTGGGTAGGGGCACGCCTCGAGGACCGTCTAGGCCCTGAGCTCTGCGGCGCCTCGCCATCCTCTGCGCTCCCGTTAACTCGAGCATCACCCACATCGCTAGCACCATCCACCCCATTAGCTCGTACGGGCGCCGGTTCGATCCCAAGACTCCTCCCAAGCTTCCCTTCGAAATCCTCGAGCTCTTCCCTCTGGAACTGGGTCAAGCCCGCATGGTCACCCTGCTCCTTCCCATAAACAGTTCGCACAAGACCCGCCACACCACTAGTCCCAACCTCGATTTTACCCCGCGGGCCAAGGACGTACTCAATCACCTCTTCACCGCCGTCCATCTCTCGCGTCTTGATAATGTATCCCTCCTTGCATAGCCGCTGAAGCAGTTTATCCGTGCGGTCGACCGGCGTAGCAATCTCAGCGTTTGTACGCGACAGGTACCGGTCAAGTTTCTGTTCAGCCAGCGAACCACCATTCAGCACAATCACCGCTATAATGAAACTGTACAGACCCGTGTATGTGCTTTCAGTGTAGAGGGAGGGTGCTTTAGTTGGAATAAGGATATCGGGAGAACGGTATGGAAGCGGCAAAGTGCTAGTAACGATCCAGGACTTATTAGCCGAGGAAGGCTTTTCAGTTTTCTGCGCAGCTGTTGTACGGAATGTCAGTAGTGAATACTTGAAAATAGCGTGTGTCTGCAACAAAGAAACGCAAGACGGAATCCCACTCACCTCGTCGCTGGGTAATGGTGACTTTCTCTCGTGCCGGTAACTCGGTCATCTCCATACCAAAGCGCTGTCTCATTTCCCACTGCGCCTGGTCGAAAACTAGCTTGAATTGCCGTGAGCCCTGCTCACCCAGCACCTTGGCGCTGATGTCGTTGCGACGGATCGGGAGCCGCGAATACTCGCTTGCTATGGCGAGCCGCACCAATTTCTTGACCATTCCATCGGTGCTGGTTGGTGCGCTTGGACCGTCATCGTCGCTGTCTGGTGCGGGTGATGAGTCGGTTTCTTCGCTTTGTCTTCTGCGCTGACGTGCGCTTGGGGTTGTCTCGGTCTCGGATGCTGCGTTGGCCTAGGGATTGAGGTTAGTTGGTGGGTAAACTGAGTGGATTCGAGTTTGCGTACACGTCTTTTGCGACTTGATAGCATTTTGATTATGTATGTAGGTATGATGGTGAATTGCAGGTTTGGGGAGACGCGACGCGATAGAACGATTTTACCCCATCGGGGCTGGTCTGTGCGTGGCCCTTATCAATGGTTCTTTGTTTCCGCAAATGGATTTGAAGTCTTCTTATTTTTGGGGTTTCTTTCTTTGCATCTACTACATAGAGAATGTGTTTATTAAATCCAATAAATTAGCGTCGAGGTACAACATACATCGATAGACCTAGAAAAAGCGAACTAAATACAACGGGGACAAAGCAGTACACACAGAGCAGTGATGAGGTATTATTTTCTCTAAAAGAAAAAGAACAAAAAGGAAAAAGGAACGCTCCAAAAGGCCAAAGAGATCTAAAATCAGTGGCTGTTCTTCTCATTGACAACCTCCTTCGCTTCCTCCTTCTTACTTTGGAGGAAAGCGTTCACCCAAGCTAGCGATTCCTGCGACAGAACCAAGCTGGTAGTGATGACAGCCTTGCCTGAAGCAAAGGCACCATCGCCACCGCACTTTTTGTACTCGGAGCCATAGATATCGGTGACATGGTGCTTGACATCGCCGACGACGCGGACGGGCAGAGAGGCACTGTTGTAGATGGAGCCGCGCAGCTTCTGGGTGTCCTCCCTGAAGATGGGGAAGCGGGCGTCAATTTGGCTCAGACCCTTATCACCGAGGGAGTCGGCACGGGCTATGTAAGGAGCGACATAGCTGTAGGGAGTGGAGAAGTAGGGTAGAACAGGTTTGGCAAGACGGTTGTAGCCCTGGTCGGCGTATTCGAGGGACTTGGCTCCGTAGGGGTTGCCCTTGTAGTAGGAGATGGAATCAGAGATGATGGGATAGGAAGTCAGATGCTAGATTTAGGAATGTCTAGTTAGTATGGGCTGATTCTGACTTCTAGTTCTGCGTTTTGGTGTTGGGCTGTAGTGGGGTTATACTTACGTCAAGGAACTGAGAGTAGTGCTTCTCGCCGTTGACAACTGGTTCACCCATTTCGGCTTCTGCGTGAGGCATAAAGATAGTAAACTGAGCAGAATGTAGTATAATAAGAATTAAGAAAGGAAAAAAAGAGAAGGAGGGAGGAATGAATTGGGTTGTATAGAAAAAAAAGGGTTTTCACATGTGATTGCGCTGTCATTATGCAATGGGTCCTACCGCAATCGCATCATTTGTGCAATACATCGTATTCTTGGCTGGTTATTTTGGCTATTTTACATAGTTCTCTTCTTTTTTTGCTATCTTTTCTTTTGGGAAAAAAGGTTCAATGGCCTCAGATTCCAAGTGATCCCCCCCACGCCAATGCACCATTGACTTTGGGCATTCTGCCAAACTGTCAGAGCAATGAATCCCTATTGCTAATTATAGCTAGTATACTAGTATCGAATATACTTGTTTCAATTGCAAAAATCTTGAAAAATACCATAAATGAACTTTGAATTTTTTGATAAGCTGCTTTCGCATGTGATTGCGGGTCTGATGCAAAAACGCCGTGTGGTTCCACTTGGATGATCTCTATCAATGACCTATTCTATCTCTCATCTCATACAGCTTCCAAGGTTGCCATTCCCTATTATATTCCATTCTTCCAAAGGTTCGATATTCCCCAGAATATATTCCAGATGAGGGGGTTGAGTTTGCAAGATAAACCTTGTTTCTCACCCGTTTCACCGTTATTCGTTGGACAAGCCTGCTTATCTGCACCCTATTATAAAACCGCCCAGACGGCCGCAAATGGCTGATCGGGGCTTGCCAGAATATGAGTTATGCTTCGGCTTCTACTCCGTTATGTGAGTCTAGCCCATCTGCACGTACATTAGCGATGCTAGTCATGTACCCACTCATTGGCCTGAGCGTCGGCCCCTCGAACCGCCCCTTGTACTCTCGGGAATACGTAACAGCTTCCGGTCCAAATGTAGTAGGAAAACCAAAGGTCCTAGCCGGATTGGAGATCATTCTCCCCCGGGCATGCGACGGGCGAAGTGATTCGTCGCAGATACATCCGAATCTCGGCGTTTGATGTGACTTTACGAAACGGTTGCGTTCGATAGCAATAGAGTACTATCCATGGATGGTCATACTATATTCATCAGTGCAGGTGGTTTATGTGAGGGATTGAAGGCACCTTGGTACTTCATACATATCCAGATATTGGGTTCAAATGTTCCTTCCTATTGCGGCGAAAGGAATGCGGAAATGATAATGTATTCGGCACGACTATCAGGGTAAGCCGAAAAAAGAGCCCTGGAGGTGGCCAGGTTTTCCAACCTTGTAGCCGGCACATGAAAAACTGAATATGGCGACTGGACTAGATCTGTCATGAGCATTGAGATTCGGAACTGGAGGGCTAGATTTTTTTTTCCCGACCCCAACCTTCCGTCTTTTTTTCCTTTTAACTTAGGTGAATGTGATTGCGGCGATCGACTGGAAGCCCACTCAATTAAGCTACTATGCAGATCACTGTATACCGTGGGTCTTGACCAGCAACGGTTGTCTCAATAATATCTACAATGTACAATCTCCGCCCCTTCTACTCCTGTAAAATTTCCCCAGAATACCTGCCCAAAATCTATACCGTATTTGACCTCTCGTTGCATTTGAAGCCATTGGGATATTCTATAGTGGAAAATACCGTCCTCATTTCAGACTGCGGCAAGCCACTAGCTTTGTACTTTTTCACGTACAATCGGGTCCTTGCGAGATGCTAAATCTTCAGGTGGCGGCTGGAAGGTGGAATCTTGGTTTATAGCCTCATGAAAATCTAGCGTCGCGGAGGCCCGTGATCCGCTATTGAGCGCGAAGGTATCCATTTCACATGCGAAACTGAGGTGTCATTTACAACATAGCGTTGGCGCCCTCTCGACATATCAAGGATTAAATTGTGTTGCCTTGATAGATCAATTGGCCCAGGTGATGGTCACATGAAATCAGGTTATTTTTTTCCTGTTTATCTGTGATAAACTGTGCTAGAAACCAATATTCTCGAAGCGCTTTGCCCTTAGCTTGGCAGTTACCCACATCGGTCTTAAAAGAGTACCACGTCAATATATGTGCCAAGGGAATCAGCTGTCGGAGATGATATCACGCATTAGTGGGTGTATTTCGTGGTTGCGTTGTTTAGATCGCACAATCGCACCACCTGTAGCTCCGAGTTTCACATATTCTTGATACTATCATATGATTTATGTTAAAGCCAATCAAAACCAGAATTGCACAGCTATGCACTCCGTGCATAATGTTAGTACTTTCTCACGGCTTATTGTTTGGTCAACCTCTACTTCTTACATGGATACATCATACTATTTTTCGAGAAAGATTAGAGCAGACTGACTGTATTTAGAATGGATCTCTGCTGGGAACAAAAAGAAAGAAAATCATATGCATAACTAGGACAGAAAAACAGGAGAGCAGATCAGACCTACCCAGATGCTCACAAGATAACATCTCCCATCTACGGCAGTTATTATCTGCCTCTTCAAAGAACCGAAGGGATCTCGCAAGTAGCAAGGCATTGCAGTGGACTTGTCAAGTTGATCATCCCACCGCTATGTCAAGGAAACAAAGAATCTCGCATGCGTTGCGACAGTTCCCTAATAGCTGAGGTAGAGCGTGATCGGCCGCGGCGGGCTGGAGGGCTGCTATCTCGCCGCGCTCCTTCAGCAAGGCACGTGAAATCCAATGGAGCGGAATCATTGCATGCATGGTCCCAGCGAAGATAGGAAAAATCATCACTGGCAGCACCAGGGCGATCGTTTGATAGAGACATATTCCAAGGATCGACAGGATCCTCCCGGGCAGTCGTGTGCGATGGCATTTTGAGAATAACGTCAAAGGGCCCAACAATGAAAGAATCTTGCTGGAGAATAGACTTCCAAAGATGCCAGAAGCTCGTGTCAACCATGTGTCGGCCTGCATTCGCACGGAGCCGCCAAGAACACGGGAATTTGTTAGTCTTGATTCTCACCTCTGCAACCTGGAAGGGCGGGACCGGAACCTTGTGGAGGAATCTCTCGGGCAGATCGGCTATGCTCTCGAACTCGCTCTGGATCTGCATCCATTTTTCCTGGTATTGTTCTTCGAAGAACTCCGTCCACTGTGGGTTTACGCCGCTGTCAGCTAGCCCCGCGGACATCTCCCAGATAAAATATTCAGCGTTAACCCACTTGTCGATACTGACCGATGTCCTTTGAAGTGAAGCAGTGTCGCGGCACACGTTGCAGTGCATCATAACACGAGGCTCGGCTCGCACGGCGACCATGGGCATGTTGTAGTGTCGATGGACCTCGTTGTCCATCCATTCCTCCTGGAGTCTTCGCGGACGGTTTTCAGAGGAATGGCCATGGTTGCAGAAAAAAGATGGCTGGTGATGGATTGCCTTGCAAGATTTGGATGTGCTACGCTGGGTGCTTGGACAGTTGATTGAAATAATAGCTCAGTCGCGACCAAATGATGTGGGCTGAAAATGATGGGGCTTACGGTTTATATGGATGCTGTATATGGATTGCATCCACCGTAAATGAAAGGTCATTGAGGCCGTGGAGACTATGAAGACAATGAAGATAAAGAATGCGTTTCTCTTACCTCGAAGAGTACATCGAAAATATCGTTCAAAGGCCATTGTCCCCTTGTTTACTAGCGGAGCAAGACCATAATGTGTCAGTTGTCTAGTGGAACCTTGGAATCGAACGAGGCTCTTTGTTTGGATTGTATACCCTGTGGATGAGAATACTCAACCCTGTCAAAGCTGCAATGTCAGTGAGATATCAGCACGAGCACCAATGCTACATATGCTAGACAAAAGTTCAAGGTTTGATTCTGCCAGTGCTAAGTACTTTACAAGCGTTGATGTCCATTTTGCTGGGGTATGTTATATCTTGGCGGGGGTGGGGTTCACCTGTGGAATGTTTATGGACTGTGGAGGAAGACAATCTATAATTAATTGCGTCTTTGAGCATAGATGTGATGACCTAGACCTTTGGGTCTTCCTCGAGATTCGAGGACCCAGTCTACTTTTGCAGTGATAATGTGGTTGGGACTACGCTAGTTAGGAGAGGACCCCTATGGATGTTAGCTAGCATCCATGGATGGAAGCAACTGCTTTTTTTCAGAACTACGATTGCGCATTACATATGGGCATGGTTACATCGATTGTAGCAATGACACCGTGGAATTGAATGACCTGGGACAAACCACATAGCTACAGGGTCATCCACGGCGTGGGAATGATCTGGGTTGATATGAGCGGACCAAAATTGCTTCCGGCGTATTGGAAAGACGGAGATGTCGACCAGTTCTCGGGTAATAGACAACATTGATTTTGAAATAATTGTTCATTTTCCATTTCATTCAGACGGACACCAGGTATGGAAGTGGCGCCCCCGTTAAAACTGGAGTTCATCGATACATTCACGAATCTGTTTCCAGCCATGGTGTATGTTTTCCCATCCCATGCTCGCAGGGACCGAATGTGCTCGATGGTTTTTCGACCTCGCCTTCACCTAGACCCGTGCGCTCAAAACGACAAAACGCCCAAGTAAACCGTTTAGAAACCTGTTTCGGAGTATTAGTGTCGAGTCTCGAAGTGCATATATATGTATATCCTGGGCCAAACGTACGCAGGGCAGTGAAGAACCAACGGTTCTTTCCGCTGGTGTAACGGTCCTCAAGGGCCTTCTTGATGGTCTTCTTGGCGTCCTCGCGCTGGGAGACCTCCTTGAAGGTGTCGTTGGTGACGGTACCCTTAAGACCCTCAAGCTCGAGAGTGTAACGGGTGGGCATCAAGTGGTTGTAGTTGACGACCTTAATGAAAGGCTTGATGCGGCTGCGGCGGTCGACGAGCTTCTTGCCCATACCACGGGTCACCTTGAGGGGGTAACGCTCGATACCGGCGACAATGGCGTGGGAGAAGGGGTGCGACTTGGAGCCAGCATCAACGGGCTGGATAATGACGACCTGTAAATTCGAACAAAAATGCCTGATTAGCACTCCGAATTTTTTTTCTTTGTCGCGCAGTTCCTCCACATTGCATTGTGCTCTTTTCAAATCTCGAGTCTTTCGTTTGCAGGTCGTTCGTCTCTTGCCATTCTCGTGCTCAATTTCCGGGGGGGATCAGGATCTCGTCGTACCTTCTTACCGGCGTAGCGGCCACGGGTGATGATGGCCACACGGCCCACTTTCATGACTGTAACATATCCATCAGCATATAAATCGCAAGGGGGGTCAAATGGTGAAGACGTACACTTCATTTTGAAGGTCCCGGGGCGGCGAGGATGGGTGGTTGTCGAGATACGGAACGGTCAAGATCGAAGTCTTCGTTTTTGCGGATGTGAGGTAGAGGGTTTCAGGGCACAGTAGCGATTTGTGTGCTGTGGCTTGATTGGTCGACTTACCGACAGATGGCGACTAGCCTGTTTGGGGATAGTTTCCCCATTGGGTCCGGTTCAAATGATGACATAATCGATGTGTCGCCGGGCAGGCGCCCAGCCCCAGCTTGGGCAGGAGCCCACCTGTGCCCAGCGCTGCTCACCGCCTTGTTCCTGCTGACTCAGGTTTTGTTTACATGACGATCGTAGTTGCCCCGGTTGCTATGGCCGTGAGTGATGTGTACAAGGTTGCGTAGCTGTTGCCTCTCTCCAGACAACTCATCTCCACTTGCTTTTCTCTTATCAAGCTGATCTCCCGGTGATTTTCTCTCCTCCACCGAGTTCTGAGATTGTTAGCTTTTGCTTTGTTCTTCCAGCGTTTCCTCCCTTGTGTTGATATGCCTTGATGACCTTGCTTCTGTTTTTACTTTGAACGCATTCTACACATCCCCTACATACATTCCATCCATATTGTCAATACCTTTCTGAAACATCTCGACAATCCCTTCACGAAGACATCATGCCGTCCCCAGAAAAGGACGCCTCCCGTGACCGGGAATTGGTCCGGCATTCAATGACATACTCGGAGCCTAAAGTTCCAATGTAGGTTTCGCAACTAATGCCTCCTAATTCTTGTCTTGACGGATCTCATGGGTGATATCAAACAAATGCTAAAACGCGGTCTACGCAGGTGGGACAGTTCGGATCCCGAGCGTGCGCCTCCGCCGCTACCAATGAATCCTCGTTCGATGAGCCCAATGAGCCCTGCTACGAGATCCAATGTTTCTCCCAATATTCAAGCAGTGGCCGCAAAATTTACAGAGAAACCCAGCGAACATGCACCCAGCTCTTACACAACAAATCCCATGCCACTCAAGTCTTCCCCAGAGAGGTCGTTGGTCAAAGGACAGCACCACAAGCGCATGCAGTCACTACAGCCTGAAGATACCCGACAAGATGCGCGCACCGACTTTATGAATTACCTTGAGAACAAATCTCCAGAGCGCCCTCTTCGTGCGACGATTATTGAGGCGGCCAAGCCGCGCGATCCTACCAAGTCTATCAGTTCGCCAGCCCTCCGTCAAGACGCGGACCGGGACATGAATTACTCCCTATCGAGTCGGTATTTATCGAAGCCGATATTGGGAGAGAGTACTCCACCGTCGGCTACAATGTTAGCCCTGCAAAACATGCAGCTACCTTTAGAACCCGACCCTCCATCACCTTCCAAACCGCCAAAGTTGATCGCTGGGCCGTTGGAGCCGCAGCCTCATCCAGCGAAGAATACGAGCATGGATTCCCTGTCGAATCAACTCCACAGCCTTACGGATATTGCAAGCAGCTTGCAGCGTGAGATGATGAATCTGAGCCGACGCAGCAAAGACAATGCCACCGACCTGGTTAGCCTCAAGGCGGCAACCAACGCACGCGATGAAGATATCCGCAAGAGTCTTAAGGACCTGTCTTCTCATCTTACGAACAAGTACCTGGACGCTGATGCTACAAGGTTTGATTTCAGCAATCTTTTCAAGGGTGGTGATGGGCCTAACCCCAAGGATCCCGATAGTCCCGTGTCGAAGAGGAGCTACTCCGTGCCTCGGATGCCCAGCCCGAATCCATTCGCATTTGATCGGGACTCTTGCGTCTCACCTTCCCCGATTTCCGACGGCTCCGCAGCCCTGGCTTTGCTCGAAAAGGTATTGCGTGAGATGGCAACTAAGGAAGGTGAGGAAAGGCTCTTGGAGCTCGTTGAAGAAATCAAGTCTCGACCCGCAGGTACCGCTTCAGACAAGGATGCCGATAATAAGGTCACTGCCATGCTCGAGGAGATTCTCAACCTGGTCAAAGAGGATCCTTCGAGCAAAGCCCTCGTCCGATCTTACGGCGTGGCCGCCAATCTCGATAATATTCAATCCGAAAATGTCTCCCCCGAGCCGACACGATCTAGGTCAATGGGACCCGTGGATCCTGAAACTGAACGTGCACTAGACCTTTCCAACTCCGACAAGGGAGATGTTTCTTCGCCCAATTCCGATGAAGTTTTGGCAATTCTTAGAAGTGTCAAAAATAGCGTTGTCGAGGGAGGTGGAATGACCAACGGTGTGAAGTCGCTGGTACGCGAACTACGAGGTGAGGTGCTGGGCATGGGTCGAGAACTCGGGCGGCGATTAGACGAGATCGAGACTTCCCGTGCCAATGACCAGCCTGAGGATCAGCCCAGAGCTGCCGGCCCAGAAGAAATTTCTGCCATCGTCAATCGCAGTCTGGACGACCTCAAAGAGCAGCTGGCTGCAACTATCAACGAGAGTCGGCAGCAATCGTCCGACTTGTCCGAGTTCCGATCAACTATGAACAGTGCCGCCATCTACTCTGTTGTTAAAAAGGCTCTCGATGAGTTTGAACTTCCTCAACCTCAAGCCGTCTCGCGAGGTGCTGAAATGGACAGAGAAGATATTCTCGAAACTGTCCGTGAAGCCTGGGAGACTTACAAGCCCGAAATCGAGTTCAACAACTTTGGCTTGGAACGAGACGAAATCCTCACATGTCTTGAGGAAGGTCTCAAGTCTTACCAGCCTCAGCATGAACAGGCAGTCACCTATGACCAGGTCCTCGCAGCCGTCGAGGACGGCATGCAGAAGTTTATTCCTCCACAGATAGAGCACCCGCCAAGCATATCTCGAGATGAGATAATCTTGACCATCCGCGAATGCTTGGAGAAGCAGCCCGAGCCTGCCTCCAGATCCCTTGATGAGGAACACGTCGGCCATCTTCACTCAATGCGCGATGAGATTCTCGATGCTGTTTCTAAAGCCATGGCCAGTCATACCGAAGGTTCGAGGTCCCTGGACGAGGAACATGTCAATCACCTCTATTCGATCCGCGATGAAATTCTCGATGCAGTCACTGGGACGATGGCAGCCAACAATACGCAGCCCAAGGCTTTGGACGAGGATCACGTCAATCGGCTCTACTCTATTCGCGATGAGATCATTGAAGCCGTCACCGGGGCAGTGGCAAGTCATGCAGCAGGCTCCAAATCTGTGGACGAAGACCATGCCAGTCATCTGACTTCCCTCCGCGACGAAATCCTCCAAGCTGTTGCTGGAGCGATGGCAGTGAACAATACGCAGCCCAAGACTTTGGATGAGGACCACGTCAATCACCTCTATTCTGTCCGTGATGAGATCATTGAAGCTGTCACTGGAGCAATGGCAAACCACAGCACCTCCAGGTCTATGGATGAAGATAACGTCGGCCAACTTAATTCTATCCGGGACGAGATCCTCGGTGCATTGGCCGGGTCCATGGCACAAAGCACACTGAGCAAGGATTCATACGACTCTGGTCTTGGCCGTGATGAAATTGTCAGTGCTGTCTCCGATGGCCTTGAAGCCCATTTCACTGCAGCCAAAGAGATGGATGAGCCGCGCATTTCTCGCCATGATGTTATGAATGCTGTCAACGAAGCCTTTAACGCTCAACAATCAGCTGTTACTGTTGCCCACACGAACATTTCTCGCGATGAAATTTTGAATGCCATTGCCGAGGGCATTGAAAATTCAATGAATGCCCAGCAATCGGCTCTGAGTACCAACGTCCAGCAGACCGTCTCTCGCGATGAGATTTTCAGTGCTATCGTGGATGCCATCGAGCACTCGCGGTCCTCCCTCGGCAATAATGGGGAGCCTAGTATTTCTCGAGATGAGATCCTTGGTGCTATTTTGGAGGGCATGCAACACCCATCAAACCACCAAGAACCGAATATCTCTAGAGACGAGATATTGAACGCTATTGCTGACGGCATTGAGAACTCTAACAACTCTTCTTCACGTGCTCTCACGTCGCCTGAGCAAGAGGTTGAGAATCAGCAGTCCACACTATCCCGGGAAGAAATATTCAATGCAATTGTCGAGGGTATTGAGCACTCCCATGCTTCGCTTGGCATAAATGGCCAGCCTAGTGTTTCTAAGGAGGAGATCATGACTGCTATCGTCGATGGTATTGAAGCATCGACAAGCAGCCAACAGTCAGCCCTCAGTACCAACGTCCAAGAGCCGTCCATCTCACGGGAGGAGATTTTGTCTGCCATTGCAGAAGGCATTCAAAACGGCAACTCGATCACCCGGGAGATTGAGCTGAACCAGGACGACCTCATGGAGGCAATCACCTCTGGTCTCAACGTGGCACTCAGTACAGCGAATACCAATGTTGGTGGGGAGATGACCGACCGCCTCCAGACTTTATTCGAAGGTATGAAGGAGGAATTTAAGCAGTACTCGGCCGCCGGCGGAAGAGACACTGAGCAGGTCCTCGATGCAATCAAGGATGGCCTTGATGTAGTTCGCAAGGAGATCGAAACTTACGTGGTTACCGCTGCCGATCTTTCCGGCAAGGACGAAGTAATTGACACGGTCAAAGAAGGCTTCCGACTCCTTCAAGCTGATATGGAGAAGACCATTACGGATACGTCTCTTCTGAATGCATCGCGAGGCATTCCTGATACACCCGAGCTTCTGGATGCCATGGAAAAAGAGTTCGAGCACTTACGGGGGACAATCACCACCCTTCTTCTCCGCAATAATGCAACCGAAGACAAAGATGAGATCTTGGATGCCATTCGAGAGGTTGCCGATCGCAACAAAAATGACTCCGGCGATGATGTTGTCAAGACCATTAAGCAGGAACTCGAGACTCTCCGTGAGCGCATGGAGATGAGTATGGTTCGTGCTGAGCCTGGCGCTGAGAAAGACGAAATCATATCCGCACTCCGTGAGCATTTCGACAACCTACGTGAGCAGACCTCTCTCAAAGATGACAACGAAAATGATATTGTCAATACCATCAAGCAGGAATTCGAGAGCCTTCGAGAGCGCATGGAGATGAGTGTGGTTCGTGCTGAGCCTGGGGCTGAGAAAGACGAAATCATATCCGCACTCCGTGAGCATTTCGACATCCTGCGTGATGAGACCTCGCGTAGAGATGGCAACGAGACCACGTTATCCGCGACAAGTGAGCTTCTCGATGCATTTACAGACGGTGTTGGCTCGATTCGTGACGACCTGAAGAAACTACTGGAGAGGCCAACTGAGTTTGACAACTCCGATATTGTTAATACCATAAAAGATGGGCTTGCGGACCTGAAGCTCGAAATGGATTCTCTCCGTGGATCTAACAAAGAGCTGGATGATTCCAGCACCGTCCGCGGCGGTGAACTCATGCTGGCAAACGAGCCCAGCATCACGCCTGACATCGACGGTCTGAAAGCGCTTATTACTCAGCTTCATGACAAGGTTGAGGCCATTGAAACTACCCCTCGTGCCGCAGAGCCTGCTGAGGATGCCCTCAAGCGCTCGCACCTTGATGAGGTCCTTCTTGCGCTTCACGAAGTTCAGCTCGCCATGGGTGAGATGAGTACTCAACAAAGTACCGAGAATGGCGACCCCGCTGGAAAGCAAGACATTGAGATTCTCGAGCAGTTACTCTTGAGTACTAAGACGCAGATCGATGAGCTTGTCTTCCCTTCACCCGATCAGGTCGCTACCCCCGAGCATATTGGAACTCTCGAGGCCATGATCCGAGAGGCCAAGGACTCGATTGCCGAGTTTTCTAGTCGCGTCGAAGCCGAGGCTCCCACGAAGTCTGAGATCGGCACTTTGGAGGGTCTCATCAAAGATGTTTGGGTTGTCCTAGATGAGATGAAGAGCAAAACCAAGGACGGCGAGGAAGACGAATCGGAGAAATTGCTCAAATCTGATCTCCAAACGGTGGAAGCCATGATCTTCGAAGTCAAGACTCAAGTCGATGAGCTTAAGCTTCCTGATGTGGATACTCTCCCCACCAAGACAGACATTCAGGAGCTGTCAACACTTGTCTGCGATTTCCGAGAGAAGATGGAGGCTAGTAACGAATTGACCGCCCAAGGGTTTGATGCCCGCAAGGTTGAGCACGGTGGTCTTGCCGAGAAAATCGACGAAGCCAAGTTTGTCGTTGGCGAGCTCGGGGACGAACTCAAGAGCAAGCTTGACGGCAGCACCGAAGGTCTGACTGAGCTTAAACAGCTTCTCGAAGGACTCGCAATCACCGCGGAGAGCTTCACCACCGTCGAAAATATAAAGGAGCTCACCGACCTTATCAACCGCGAGTTCGAACGTTCTCGGGGCGAGGAAGATGCAGTCAAGGCCGAAAAGGAGGAGCGGGATGCGGCTACAATGGTCAAGCACGATGAGACACGGGCCGCCATAATCGTGGAGCTTGGCACAAAGATCGACGAGAAGATTTCCGAAGTCCTGGCTAAGTATGAAGATGCGAACGCATCTCTCCACTCGAAGTTCTCAGAAACCGAAGAAAGAGATCTGGCACACACTGAATCTTTGACAAGTACAAGAAGTCTTGCTGAGGACATCAAGCTTGTCATTGGTGCTATGGGCGATAGTGTTAACGAGACCTGTGAGCGGTTAAGCGTGGACACGAAAGCTCTCATGGAACAAGTCGATCAGTCCCGCCAGCAAATGGAGACCATGCACAACGATGTGAGATCGCACCAAGAGCAATCTCAAGCCGAAAATGAAAGGGCCGCAGCTGCCACTGATCGAGTGGAGAGCAAGCTCCTTGAATTCCATCCTCGTATTCTGGAATCTGTGCAGGAGATATTGACCATTGTCAGCCAGCACTACGATCACTCCCAAAAGTCAGCAGAGGACTTCAAGTCGGAACTGTCAGCACTACCTTCAAATATCCCAGCAATGCTACCTGCGCTGCCTCCACCAGAATCAGACCGTACACTCGCGATAGAGGACACTCCGCTGCACAGCAAAATCGACGACATTTTGGAGCATACCAAGAACAACAAGGTCCATGAGGTTTTGACCACTCTGCTTGATCACTCAAAGAATGACCAACTCCACGAGAAACTTGATCGTGCTCTGAATCAAGCGTCAGGTTCGAATGACCAAATATATGAGAAGCTCAATGAGCTGCTGGATCACGCCACCAATGGGACTGGTCCCGTTCATGAGAAATTGGACGCATTGCTCAGCCGTCTTAATCCGCCGGAACCCGATCATTCTGTTACCCAGATGACGAAGTTGGATGAGATGCACAGGGACATCATGGAAAACTCCCGCAGAATGAATGAAATGTTCGCTGCCCAGTCAGCTCTGATCGCTGAAGACACCGAGCGAAAGCGACGCGAAGCTGAGGAAGCTGCGATCGCCCTTGAACGAAGAGTCTCACAGCGTGAACAAGTCGAAGCGGAGCTTGTTGGCTTGCATGAAGAAAAGGATTCTATGCTGAACATGATCCATCGCCTAAAAGCAGAGAAGGAAGACATGATCAAACAAAACAACAAGCTCAGCAAGGATCTGTCCGGTCTTGAAACAGCTCTGGAGATACGCCACGAAGAGATGCGGCAGATGGAGGACCGCGCGGATGGCCTTGAGAAACGTATTCTGGAGGGTGTGCTTGACCATGCTCGTACCGTGCTCCTAGGCCGATCCAACAGCGTGCAGGCCATGAACCTGAAGAGGAACCGCAGCACTCGGAGTACCCGTTCCTCACGCACAGGCGCCCGCAGTCCCAGTGTGGCGAGCACTGCCAGCACCGCCAAAGAGCCCAAGGATAGTCGCAGTCTGCTTGGGAATGGGGTTGGGATGGCTCTGAAAAGAATGCCGACCTCGCTTCATGCTGGCACAGGTGCTGTGCAGCCCAACATCGGAAAAGAACGCCGAATTCTTAGCTTAAGTCACGTCACAGGCAACCGCGGTGTTGACCGGCAGGCGAGTGTTAAATCCGGCATCACGAACTTGAAGCGCAGCCACTCTGTGAAATCAAACTCTCCTCGAAAGTCTTCTTGGGCTGGCCCAACTTCTGTTGCCGATAAAGAGAATGTGCCATTCCACGAAGAGGACGAGATTGCCAGCGAAGCGGAAGATGCTGTTCCGCAGCGCAAGGCCAGTTACGCGGAAAGTAACGCACCTACCGACCGTAAGACGAGCTACGCAGAATCCGACCTGGCAACTGAAACCGAACACAACTATGCCCCGAGCAACCCTGGCACTGACCGGAGGACAAGCTACGCGGCAAGCGATGCAGGCACGGAGCGCAAGACAAGTTACTCTGGCAGCATCGTTGACAGCGTGGTTACAGATGCCGCGGGTCAACGCCGTGTAAGCGGAGTGAGCTCCACAAATTCATACAGCGTGGCGGAGAGCTCAATCGCTGAGCACGACCACGAGGACCGCCATGATGATATTTCTATCGACGGTTCCGAGTCAGAAGACGATGCACAGACAACACGAGAGGATGCAGAGCATTCTGGACATGAGGACCAGAATGAGGATCACGAAATGTCCCGCCAGATTCGAGAGGCCAATGAGGCTGCGGAAGCTGAAGTTATGAAGCTGTTGGCTCCCTCTAGCGACAGCGGACTTGGCACTGATGTTGCGGTTTGATTGAAATGTTTTGTTTTGGATGGAGTTGCTTGCACCACTGATGTTTTCTTTCTTTTTCATATACCACTCTTGTTTTGCTTCTGTATTTGGATGACTTGGATGACTTTCGTTTTGTGACTATAAGTGTGTATTGCTTAATGATGATTCTCTTTTTAGTCCCTAAGGACACTCCCATGTGATGTAGTTAGATTGTATAGATCCATGTGGTCAAGATCACCAGGTCGTTCACAGGTATGTTTTGCATCACGAGACATATTTTTAGCTGTTATCTTCCTTGTAATGAGTATTCCTTGTAGACCTCATGTTCCTTTTTCCACCACCTGTTAGCTACCCTATTGTACAAGTCAACAAGCCTGACTCGACGAACTAGGCAGGTGATCATGTGATCCCAACAAATCATTGCTGCCTGAGGCTACGCCGAGGCCAGCTTTCCCAAGGTTGCCTGGTCATCTTCTTACTCGATCTCCGCATAGAGCTACACTATTTCTCCCCTATTTCTAGTTATCAGGGTTTCCTTTGTTTCCATATTCCTTTTCCTTTTTCCTTTCTTCATGGTAGACAGGATAGGGTGCCCTTTCAACTACATATAGATCTACATTCCGACTTCCGAACCTCAAACAGCTTTCCCCCACATCGGGTGATCACAGCTGGTTGAGGGGAAATCCCACGATGTTGGACCCGTTTCCACCCCCTCCGGAATGGCTGCGGAGCTTCGCAGAGCCCTATGCCATCCGACTGAACAGCCCGACGCTTGCCGACCATATCCACGAGGTTATCGCAGCGTTCGCCTTCTACCTGTTCATCCATGCAGTTCTCTCGCCTCGACTCTCGGCAATCCTCTTTGCTCGGTCTTACAACAAGCTCACTCCCCGGACGAAGCTGAACTGGGATATTCATGTTGTCTCTCTGGTTCAGAGCGTTGTCATCAATGCTGCTGCCCTGTGGGTTATGTACTACGACGAGGAGCGCAGCTCCATGACCTCCGGTGAGCGCGTCTTCGGATATACAGGTGCTTGTGGTTTCATTCAAGCTTTGGCCGTGGGATACTTTGTATATGACTTGATCGTCAGCATTGTGCATGTGCGCATGTTTGGCATTGGCATGCTTTTCCATGCTGTCAGCGCCTTGTGGGTGTTCAGTCTAGGCTTTGTAAGTTGGCTTTCCAATCTGCCTGATATAGATACATTCCCATGCATTCTCAAATTTGAGACACATCTAACATAGTTCCCGCAGAGACCATTCCTTAACTACTTCGCCCCGACCTTCATCCTCTATGAGCTCTCCAGCCCATTCCTCAATATCCACTGGTTCCTCGACAAAGTCAACATGACTGGCAGCCGTGCCCAATGGTATAATGGCATGGCCTTGCTTTTCAGCTTCTTCTGCTGTCGCCTCGTCTGGGGCACTTGGCAAACAGTCGTGGTGTACGGGGACATGTGGAATGCACTTCAGCAAACCTGGTCCGCAGCCGCAGCCCCGCTCTCCGAACCCGCGAGCGTCAACGCGAATGTCTTCTACCCAGCCCGCGACGGTAGCTTGTGTGTTAACGAAGCCTGCGCGCGTGCCAACGCCGAGATCACCAAGTTCAAGGAGTACACCGCGGGAGGTGTACCGACATGGCTGGTCATGACCTACGTCGGATCGAACTTGATCTTGAACTTCTTGAACTTTTTCTGGTTCTCCAAGATGGTTGAGACTGTTCTCAAGCGCTTCCGCGCTCCGGCTGCTGCTGCTGCTGCTGAGAAGAAGCCTGTTAGTGCAGAGAAGGCTGCGCAGCTCAAGGAGGATATTGTGCACGATGTTGTCCTTGAGGCAGCTTCCAAGCTGGAACAGGAGGAGACCGCCATTTTGCAAGGTGATCTTTCCTCGTTGCAGGAACAGGTCTCCTCAGGCGTGGACTCGGGTCTCGGGGAGGAGTTGCGGAAACGGAAGACAGAGCTTGCCGCAAAGATCTCTTTGCCTGGTGTTTGAGATTTGGATGGGAGTTGAGATTATCATTATAATCTACGTATCTTTGAGGGCTGTTAAGTTTCCTCCTCTCTTTTGTCCATTCTGCTTTACAATTCATTGGGGGCTGTGAATCCTCTCGTTAGCTTACATGCACATTATTTTTTGGGTTGTTATCATCCAATCTCTTATATTGGTGGAGAGATACAATGACTGGCGTTATGGCTCTGTTCACACAACTATTAAATCAAATCCGGAATCATATTGTATCATATCAGATTCTTAAAATACGGATTTCAAAACAATTCAATCCTGCCTGTCATACCCTACACCAGTCCGAACACCACAAAAGCGCCCTATATCAGATAGATCAAAGAGAAAAGAATACATCAACCGATCTCCATTGCATAACTGGCAGTGTAGAGATGCGAGTCAAAAGGAAAAGACAAGCTGGAATACCTACCGGGCAGCCGCAGCTTCGGGTTTAGCCAGCATGTACCGCACAGCTTCCTTGGCCACCTCAGAGTCCCACGGGCCATCAACGCCGCCATAGCGGAATTCAGGTCCGCTACCATCCTCGCCGCCTCCACGGGTAGCTTCGCCCATGATAGTCTCCAGGTCGCGGCGCTGAGAGCTGATCCAGCGACGAACGAAATTGGCCGGGTCCTTGCTCAGAGCAGTGTAGAATGAGTGGCGAGCGCGGGAGTGTGTAAGAGCCTGGACAATTAAAGCAACTTGGTCATCAAGGGAGGAGATCTGGCGCAGGCCGCTTGTGTATGCCGGGTTCTGAGTGAGAGCCATCATCTTGGTGCGCAGCGGGTCTTCAACTGCGACCTGGATATCGTAGATGGTCGGGGTTGGGTCGGCGTGGAACTCTTCGTCGACACGAATGGTGTAGGGGAGCTTGATTGGCTCCATTGGGCTGGTGTGAGGACCGACGCTTTCAGGGATCTGGGGGAAGAACATTTGCTCCCGGCCAAAGATCTACAGAATTTGTTAGCGGAGTCTAGAAAGACCAAATATTCGAAGTACATACCGAGCGTAGACGATGATCACAGCGCACTTGTCGCTTCTCCTCATCTTCCTGCAATTCCATGGCTCGGATATAATCCCAGATTCCGAGCACAATTCCACTTCGGGTCTCCTCTTCGACATCCAGAACCTCGGCCAGCTCCTTGCTCAACTTGTATCGCTCTGGGACTTCGTCCCGGACAAGGCTGATGGTGACATTCAGGTTGTCTTGCGAGGCCCGAGAGAATTGTAGACTATCAAATTCGGCATTCGGGGGCGCTGGTGTGTTGGGGTGCGCGTTTGGTTTAGACCAGTTAACTGGCTTGACCTCGTCGGGGATAGCAGAGACGGGCTTGTCAAAATCGATGTTGATAGCCTTGAAGAAATGCGAGAATCGCTGGGATTGGCTCTTAGACTCGGATTTCTTTGCCTTATCGTCTTGAGCTCCATCGTGGTCCATCGCATCTTCATCTTTCTCGTCTTTATCGGGAACCGTAGGGTCGGTTTCATCGTCTAGCAGACGTCCTTCGATGCGCACTTTGTAGCGGCCGGAACCTGGGTTGTTGCCCGGGCCTTGCCATGGCTGGTTTTCGACGGTATTAGAGATCCAGATGCGCATAGTCCGATACTTCTTGACGGTCTTGTTGATAGAGTCTTGAATATCCAGTCTCTTCCGCACAACAGCAGCATCCAATCGTTTTTCTAAGTCGCGAAGGTTTTTATATTGCTGAACACCCTCGCCGATGATCACTTCTTCAATGCCGTCGGGGAGGTTCTTGTCCGTCGGCTTGCGGCTGCGCCGAAGGGCAGCATCATTCGGGTGGGGCATGGGTCGTGAGGCCATGTACTGTTGGGCAACAGCGTGCTGTGGCATCGGAACAGGCATCGCGCCACCTATAGAGATGTAAGATTAAAGCCGAGACGAATAGGTGGAGACCGATGAAAGGAGACATACCTGGCCCTGGGGGACGACGGGGCGCGGCTGGAGATCGCTGCGCATTTGGGGGCATAGCCCGAGCATAATGTTGCTGCATTGGAGCTTGCATTGTGGAGAAATTAAGCACCAAAATGTTGGTGGGAGGATGACGGATGGGGGAAAGATGCGAGATGTTGGAGATGCGAGGTCGCGATTCTTTTGCCGTCGCGCTTTACCCTTTTCGGACGATCGCGATCAACACCGTTGAGAGGACCAAACTTTTTGTTCTACTTGGATTTCGCAGTTGACATTCCATAAACAGCTTGAAGTTAAATATTGAGAGGTGATTTACATGGTTAATACTAATCCCGTGCAGAACTAATGCGTATTGAGTGTGATCGTGAATTGTCTCGATTATTTCCTATCAAGTCATCGTCTCAATTGCATTGGACATATCCCATCTTTTCTATTCGAGAAGAGACGCCTGGTTAGTATACAGACCTTCCACCACATTGCCGAGCTTTTCGATTGTCTCCAGTGCGGCATCGTAAGCCTGGTCCCGTTCCGTCTCATCGTACACAATCAGACATCCTGAGCCCTGGTCCAATACACCAATGATCACCTTGTCCAAGATCATTTGAGACAACTTCCTTTCCACCTGCTGTGTATCCAAACCCACCATCTTCGCGATGTGGTCCAGCTCGACCCGGCTGAAGGGCTCAATGACCTTGATCAAGTTCTGCTCCAGCATGGCATCATAAAGACGACGGAGGTGGTTTCGGATGAATACATCGCTGCCCAATTCATATCTGTAGGTCGAAAGGGCCTTCTCATACTCCTCTAGAGACCGGTTGGCGTGGGCCCGTGCCACGGCCTTCATTGCCTCCAGGCGTGGACTGGCATACTTTTGCGCTTGTTTCGAGCCTTGCAGCTGTGTGACATCATCCACTAGGTTCAGCATGATCTTGCACAGAAGCATGTACTGCAATGTCGCCGTGGCCAGATCACTCTCATCGAGCGAACTGTACCCCTCAAGTGCCTCAATGAAATAGGAGTATGAAGTGGTGAAGTCCTTGTCTTCGGCGTGTAGCATGCCACTCTGCATGTCCAGACCGGCCTGCAGGTTCGGCGGCGTGTAGACGGAGGCGGCCGACGTCCGTGCTGCCGTCAGAGCAGCACGTGCCTTGGCCTGGTTGCCCAGAGCGTGATACACACGCGACTCAAGCAGTTGTACTTCCACCAGCATAAGCTTATCATCCAGGCGCTTCAGCTCACTAAGAAGAGAGTTGATAAGAGTGAGCGCATCGTAATAGGATTGCTTCTGCATATAGATGGCAACGAGTCTGGCTTGAAGGGCCTGGCGAAGGAACGATCGTCGTTCAGCAATAGCCCATTCTATGCATGATTGGATGACGTTGCCTTGGAGTTCGAGTGTGTTGGGGATTTCGCTAATCAGGTCCAGAAGTTGGCGGACTAAACAATCATAGTTAGACGGTTTCTATAAACTTGATTTAACGCACAACTTACCTAGCTTGGCCGTCTTGGCTTTGGCAAATGACGAGAAGGTGTCACGGCTGGTCTTGATGAGGTCCGCGATTTCCTGTGGCTTCTTCGCATCCCGATACACCTCGCCCAACCCAATCAAGGCATGTTCGTAGTCTCGTGAAGAGGCCTCTGTAGATCCGGGCCCCTCTGAGAGGATCTTCTGGTAACTGGTCGCTGCTTTGGAGGGATCCTCCTTCGCCAGATCTCGGACTTCTTGGATCCGTGGTGAGACCTTGGATGACATGATAAAAGAGGGTAAATGGCGAGCAAGCGGGATAAGGAATTAAAGAAAAGGAGAACAATAGAAGATGGTGGTTTGAAGAGAGGTTGATGACCAGGTCGAATGGGGAGCTCGAAGCTGGCAGCAGCTCACTGTCCTCTCACCGCCCGCTTGGCAAATCAAACAGAAAAAAAGTTCCATCTTGGCATTTTTCTTTTCTTCTCTATATTGTACATCGTTTTCATAACAGCGCCATGGTGAGTGTTTTTCCTTAAATTTTGTTTCTTGGATAGCCATGCTAATGAATTATAGAAAATCAAAGCACTCACCCGCTCCACAGCGTCACAGCAGGCCCCCGGGTCCGCTGTCGTTCGCCAGTCGCGGAATCTGGATCCCACTCAGCATCCTTTCGAGCGAGCTCGTGAGTACACTCGAGCTCTGAATGCAATCAAGATGGAGCGCATGTTTGCAGCTCCATTCCTGGCCCAGATGGGTAACGGACACGTTGACGGTGTTTACTCTATGGCAAAGGATCCCGCCTCGCTCGAACGCTTTGCGAGTGGCAGTGGCGACGGTGTGGTGAAGGTGTGGGATCTGACAACGCAGGGCGAAGTTTGGAATACCCAAGGCCATGAAAACATGGTGAAGGGTCTTTGCTGGACACCGGAGCGGAAGCTGCTGTCATGCGCAAGTGACAGGACGATTAAATTGTGGGATCCTTACAACTCATCATCTGAGGCGCCACCAATGGCAACCTATCTCGGAAATAGTGCTTTCACCAGTGTCACGCATCACCGAACCCTCCCTTCTTTTGCTGCGGCTTCTGGTGTCATTTCTGTCTACGACCTTTCCCGGCCTTCCTCCACACCGTCGCAGACTCTGCATTGGCCGACTAGCGTTGACACCATCACATCTGTTGCGTTCAACCAGACTGAGACTTCTATCCTGGCTTCGACCGCCATGGACCGCTCAGTCATCATGTACGACCTGCGTACTTCCCAGCCGGTACACAAGACGACATTGAGACTCGCATCTAACTCCATTTCTTGGAACCCAATGGAAGCGTTCAACTTTGCCGTGGCAAACGAGGACCACAACGCCTACATATTTGATATGAGAAAGATGGATCGTGCTCTCAATGTGTTGAAGGACCATGTGGCTGCTGTTATGGATGTTGATTTCAGCCCCACAGGTGAAGAGCTGGTCACTGCCTCATACGATCGGACAATCCGCCTATGGAACAGATCAACTGGTCACTCGCGTGACATCTACCACACAAAGCGGATGCAACGTGTCTTCTCGGCAACGTTCACGCCTGACAACAAGTATGTCTTGTCAGGATCGGACGATGGCAATATTCGTCTCTGGCGTGCCAATGCATCGGATCGCAGTGGAGTCAAGACTGCCCGTCAACGCTCCAAGCTGGAGTACGACCAGGCTCTGATCAAGCGGTACTCACACATGCCCGAAATTCGCCGCATCAAGCGCCAGCGTCATGTGCCCAAGCCTATCAAGAAGGCTGGTGAGATCAAGCGCGAGGAGCTCAATGCTATTAAGAGGCGTGAGGAGAATGTGCGCAAGCATACTAAGAAGAGTAACCTGGCGCCCAGAACCCATGAGCGTGAGAAGATGATTCTGGCCAGCGAGCAATAAATCGATCCACTTGATTTATCACTTTCTATCGACCAGACTCGGCTGCAAGACTTGCTGCAATCGAAACTATGGTTGAATGGGTAAAATGTTCGATGAAGCAGACCGCTCTGCTTTATAATACATCTTAGTCGGACTCATACAAGAGGCCTTCTTCATGATTCATGCCAATATATACCGCTCAGCTCCATTCGAGCCACCTATCAATCTGTCTTCCCAGATGCCTGCCGGCTTTGATTCACGGCAGCATCGATTCCACTCAGATATCTCGCGACCCGCTGCACCGTAGCGGGCAGCACGGCATACCAATTCACGAGCTTTGCATAAGTAGGCAATCTGATCACACCACCTCGACCGCTATCAATCGCTGCCACCATCTCCCGGGCGACTTCTACCGGTTCCAAGACTGGCGCAAAGAAATAGTTCGGCGCGCGCACCCAGTCGAACAATGGCGTCGACATCTGCCCAACTTCCACCAGTAATGTCTTGATCAACGGGTTACCCCGAATTTCCGCTTCTATCGTCCGATGCAGCGCGCTGAGTCCGGCTTTGCTTGCTGCGTAGTCTGACAGCCCCGCAGCACTCAGCTGGCCCAGCACGGAGCTAACTGTGACAAGAGTTCCTCCGCTCTCTGCTGCGATGATGCCAGGCAAGAAAACTTGGTACAGATGGAAAGCCGCCAGGAGATTAGTTCGGATGGTTTTTTCGAATGCGTCCGCTGGCAGATCAAGCAGCGACAGGCCGTTGATCCTAGCCGCGGCACAGTTGATAACGATCGTCGGTGTTCCCAGCTGCAAAACATTTAGCGAATCAGACCCCAATTGAAGCAAGCCATCGGGCACTATGAAAACAGCTTGTCCAACCATTCAATCACTAGAACCGTAGTAATAATAGGGCGATATGGCCCGAAAGTAACGCAACGAAACCAAAAACTGGAAAAAGCAAAACCTACCTCTTGCAAAATTCGCCCTTTCGCAACCTCCAAGGCGCCTCTCTCCGCGACATCACACGTAATATACAAAATATCCTCCCCAAAGACTTCATCGCGGCTGTTTTCTGGAACGTCCTTGATGTCAAGCACAGCCACACTCGCCCCGCGCATGCTATACATCTGCGCAATCAACAGACCCAGCCCACTTGCCCCTCCCGTGATGACCACGACCTCATGCTCGAAATCGACATTGCGCGGAACGCCATGGGCGGCGCGCTGGTTGATAATCCGCGCGATGGAGAGGACTGTCAGGGCCGTTGCATAGCTCACGGCGAGAATCCAGGCTGGGTCTGTTGATGGTGTGACCTGGGCGCGCAGGCAGAGGACGAATATCCAGGCTACAAAAGGGTTGAGGAGGGATTTGGAGAGGATGCTTATTAGGGTGTCGATTGTCAGGAAGTTGGTGTGTGAATTGGTTGGCCCGGGGGCTGGGTGGGATGGTTTGGCTGTTGTTCTTAGGAGCTGGGGGTTTGAGGATGTCATTGCAATCTCTGCTTTGGCTTTGACTCTTGCAGAAGATTATATGTCAGACATGTGAAGTGAGGAGTAAGAACGCCCTCGGGAGGTTCGAGACGCGTTCTGGTTTTGCGGGGCTGATAAGAGATAAGACGATCTATAAGATCCCGAGGTCAGCTCTGGAGGTCATGGCAGCACCTGGGCACTTTCAACCTAGGTAAAGATGCCTGAAATTAAGGAGCAGAAGAACTGCAAGACCACCTGGCCGTTATAATACGCTGCAACAAGGTATATATATGTCTTAGAAATACATATATATCCCAGAGATCTGGGTCAGATTCTAAATATTGGCCAATATTTCGCTGCGATTACCCCAGGCAACCGAGTCAAAAGGCAAACGATCTGTTTGCGAGGTTCACTTCTTGCGAGACTTTGCCATACACATGTCTAGTTTCAAGATGTAGTCCTACTACTTCCCGGCACCAATAGTGCAACTGCAACTGGAATTTGAACATCTACAGCCACTTAGATTCCAAATCGACCAATGTTCGATTGGCACCCGGAAGCAGTGGAAATTGACCTGTATACCGGTAACCCGCAGTGCCCAAAGGTCGAGACAACGCAAACAAACCATGGCGCCAACTTGTTTAGTCAATATCTGATGTTAAATGTTTGCCTACCTAGGTAAATTGGTAATATCTTTGTCACCTGGCATCTCCACGCGTTTGCACTTGCGCGTCGAGGTCAGTCTTAAGCCTGTGTTTGCGTCAACAGAAACAGACAAAGACCTCGCTAAACTTTTCCCTTTGTTTACCGATTTAAAAACGTCAAATTTCAACTGAACGAGACCTGAGACCTGCCAAAATCTACGCAACGTGGTTAAAGCGCAAAACCATCGCCGCATAGGATATTGTATATCCAGATATGGCGACATCCACAGTTGATGGGGGAGGGCCCGTTGGCATTAAGAAGGTACTACTTGAAGCTCTCGATGCTATCAAGTCATCAGGGACTTTTGCTTCGCAAGGCAAACTCCCACATGTTGATCCACAGATCAAGGTGCAAGATGTTGGTGCGATTTCTCTGCCATTGCAGGAATCACAGGTGCGCCAAATGATGAAGCAAGCCCATCAGGCACCATATGGCAAGGGCAGTGAGACCCTCGTCGACACCGCAGTACGAAACACCATGGAGCTCAATCCCGATCAGTTTGAATTGGGAAATCCGGACTGGGATAGTTACGTCAAGCAAGCCTGCGCATGTGTCGCTCAGGATTTGGGTGTCGATTCGCCTGTTTCAGCGGAGCTTTACAAGATGTTGATCTACGAGAAGGGTGCAATGTTCAAACCCCATACTGAGTGAGTAGTGGCCTGATGATACACACACGACCTCCCCAGAGCTGACTTTGCCCTCAACAGCACCGAGAAAGCCCCTGGCATGTTTGCGACTCTCGTGATCGGCTTGCCGTCACCCTTTGAAGGAGGCGAGGTAGCTGTCAAGCACCAAGGCAAAAGGTTGATCCTGACGACGCTGCAACACGGGTTCTCGTATGTCAGTTGGTACTCAGATGTTGTCCACGAGGTTCTCCCTGTCAAATCTGGATATCGATGGGTCCTCACGTACAACCTTTGCATCGATCCTTCGCGGCCATGCCCAACAGCTTGTCTTCATACGGACGAGGCGCGTCACCTTCACAGAATCCTCAAGGCGTGGCTTAACCAGAACACCCGGGAGGAGCGAGAATTGAGCCACGCCTACTACAGGCTTGATCACGAGTACACACAAGCCAGCATCTCACTCAATGCTCTTAAGGGCCGAGACCTGGCCTCTGTACATCTTCTCAAGGAGATTTCAAACGACCTCAACTTGGAGATCTTTCTGGCCGTGATAGCAAAGGGACAAATGGGACCATGTAGGTATGACGACCGCTACAGCAGAAACTCCTACAGGCCTTACAACTCTTACTATGACAACATCTACTCCGACAACTACGATGTAGGCCACCATGGCAGATCTGGGGCTATCCATGATCTGGAGGAGATTATTAACACCTCATACGAGACCGACACGCTGGTTGGCCTTGATGGTTGTGAAGTAATGAAAAGTATGGCACTGAAGAAGGACAACGTTCTTCAAAAGGAGTGTTTCGACGTTGATCCAGAGGAAGACTACATGGGCTTTCAGGGAAACTTTGTGCGGTGATTTCTGCTTCGAATTGCAATTTACCGTTTACTGATTGATCTTGACTTGACAGGGCCCAGAAGCAACCCACTGGTATCGCGTGGCGGTAAGTTTTTCACCCATCGGAGAGATTATGACCAACTAACCGTTGATATAGGCCGTGGTCATAGTGCCCAGAGATTCGATTGCACATTTTCTCAAGCTTTCTCCGGAGAGAACTGGGCTTTACACATACAGCGAATGCCAAGGAAACAAGACATCTATCATTGGCTACCTTGCAAAGTCTCTTCTACACACACCTGACGACCAATTTTTGATCAAGACTTTGAGGGACCTCTGTCAGGAAGTCTGGACCGTGAGTGAGAGCAGAGTTGTTCTTCCCCAGGCCATCATTACCAAGGTCGTTCAAGCCGCTATCATCTTGAAGGATCAAGAGTTCGTCAAAGATGCCGCGGATCGCCACGAGGGAAATTTGTCTCTTGATTTCTTCACATGGGCTCAAGAGCAAATTGCCGCTGGTCTCATCACTTTTGATACCATCAAGGACAGGTAAGACTCTATCTCTCCAAGGTGTTGATTAAGCTAATAATGCAGTGTGCTGCGTGCCATCCTGACGTTCCCTGTGCTTTGGAAACGACAGGTTGCGGTCAACAATTTTGTCCCTCCCAATGAATCCATGTCCGACGACGTCCGGTCGTTGGTCCAGAGAGTGCATAACAAAATATTGGAAATGATCCCGCAGCAGGACCTGGGTCGCCAGGATGGACACGCCGTGGTCGACATGATTCCAGGATATCATGACTTCTCCTACCTTTCGAGTCGGTATGTTGTTCAGCGTCACATTTCCTTCATCACGGTGCTTACTTCTTCTAGTGTCGCTCCTTTGGTTGAAACTAGGCTCCCAGATACCTCTTTCATTTTTGCTTTCTTGTCCCGACTAGATCAACGCACGACCGAGGGCGCCTTCCCCACCGAGGATGGTACAGACTTGTATAAACAAGTTGCCAAACTCTTCGTTGATAAAATTGACGTCCGCACTCTTACTAGCGATAGCGATGAACTATCTGCAAAGGCAGCGCGCCTTGCGTACTCGCCCGAGGAGCCTCAACCTGCATCGCTCCCCAAATCCTCCGTGGTGACCCACGAAATTCTGGCAAAGTTCTTCTCAACTCTCATCCGCATTACCTCTGATAGCGATTCAATCGTTGGTGTTCTCTCCCGCAGGATCTGTTCCCATGCTCCTGCTATCGAGGCGTCCGCATTCCATTCGCTCTGGCTCCCATTCCTACACGCTTTGGTCAGAGTCTGCGAAGCAAATTCGATACCGACATCTACGCCAGATTACCAACAGATCTTCGCTGCCATCCTGAAAGCCTACATCAACAACTACGTCGGTGAAAGGCCTTCCCACGACGGTAACTATGTTCGACCCACCGTGGGACATTGTTGCGCCGATTGCATCTCGCTCAACAGATTCCTGAGTGACCCGACCCGGACAGTTGGCAGGTTCTCCGTCAACCAGAAACGCAGACAACATTTGCATCGCAGACTCGACGCTGCTGGGATAGACTGTACGCATGAAACCGAGCGAAGCGGATCGCCGCAAACATTTGTCGTGACCAAGTCTTTCCGTCGTCATGAACGGGATTTTGCAGCATGGAGAAAAAGAAAGGCGGAAGCGGGAGTCAAGCTCCTTGACTTCAACAAGACAGATTTGATTGCTTGGTTCGGAGAGGAATACGAGGGACTTATGGGTATGGTTGGTCGGAGACCCTCTTCTGGTCGACGTCCACCAAGAACGTTGCTGCTACCATCCCAGAGTCCCGCGCCGGTTTTGCCGAACCAACAAACACGGCCGAGGAAGAGAAAGGCGGCAGATAATTGACATGGTTGATTTGACGGGAGACGATTAGGGGTCCATTTTCTGCCAAGTTTTGCTCAAGTATGATGAAGAATACAAAAATCTAATTGTGACAACAAAATGAATAGTAGTTAGTTTACTTAAGATCCATCTAATGACTTCATGACTTTTCTGTACTTTCTCGCGATGGGGCAAGAAGAGCATTAGAGGTAAAGACTCCATTAACGTACGTACCCAGGGCAGCAATAGAGCTCAAAACGATGATCTTCATGAGGAAGGTTGGGCAGAGGTCTTGACTACCATGCAAACAGGACTTGTATCCCGCCATCAAGACAACCAAGTAGGCTTGACCGTTGTTCTACAATATCTCTATTTCACTGCTTGTAGCAAGGGAAAGGAAAAGCAAAGTGCGTAAAGAGTATATTCTAAGTGTTTCAACACCCCAACGTCCAGCTCACAACATGAATAGAAGTGGAACCTTAAAGAAACGAAGTGTCCTCAGAAAGCCTTTGGAAAGAGAGCCAGTCCATGCATGGGCTACAGAAGCATTTACAAAAGCACAGTACATATTGAAATGGAATACCATCCTGGATGTTATATTGCAATTCTACCTAAGGACTTGCTTGGTTTCACCACAAAGGCTACTCATCCTGAACACCACGTAAAGGTGCAAGTCTCGTTCAGGTGTTGCACACAGGACCTGTGCAACTGGGTAGAAGGGGGAAGGGGCAGGGGAACAAAGAAAGAAACAAAGTACCTAGGTAAGTAACAAAGCAACAAAGAAATAGATAGACAATAGAAACAAAGGGGACGTACCTAAGTAATACTTCAGATCTCCTGATGCTCAGTGGAGAACCCAGAAAAGTACAGTCTGTTTCCGCAGAGGTGGAAGTTCTGATAGCCCAGTAGGGTCTCAGAGGATTCCCAAGGCTTCCCTGAGTGGTCCAGTAGGGTCTCAAGGGATCTTAGGTTTCCCCGAGTGGTCATTTAAGGTATCCGACCCACATGCTTCGTGCCATTCACAGCCTTAACTGGGCCGCATCAAAGAGCCATCAGCGCCTCAGGGTTGTCCTTCACTGGTCAACAGAAGACATATATCGGATATGACTCTGGAGCTGAAGTGGACCGTCACCTGCAGAGGGACAGGGGGCGTCGGGAAAGGAGGGGGGGCGGGGGGTGTGGCGTGAGGAAGGATGGAAGAGAAAAAAGAAGAAGAGAGAAATGGGGGCGGGGGGAGGGGGTATTTATATTTTTCCAGTGACTGAAGGCAGGAAGGAACTGGGGTGGGGGACGAGTTCTCGAAAAGGGAAGGCACCTGCCCAGGTGACCACCGCAGGAGTTACGTGTATGATGTTTATGCCTAGTGACAATCATATTGATTATCCTGAACACAGAATTGGCGACTTGATCTATTCATTCAGGCACTTTTGACCAGTCCAAGGCAGGCAAAGGGCAAGGTAATGCAACCCCGGGTAATATAAAGAGATGATAGGACCCTAACATAAAGACTGACCAACGAAGGTATGGTCGAATGTCTCATTCAGAGGCGAAAATATGAAGAAGCCACACAAAACCTGTAGAACTCCACGCAATAAGGACGAAATTGTTATAGCTGAAGACATGAGAAAAGACATATGATATTGAAAAAAAGTAGATCCAGGTTCACGAAACACATCTGATCATATCAAGCATCCCTCGTTCCATATTATTGAAGAAAAATGACCAGCATAAACCCATGAAACTACCCCCATGATTGTCAGACAGTGTATCCCCTGGCTTAGAGACCAAGATCACCGATCAGTCACCACTGCTTGCGCTGACCCAAAGGCGAATAAGGCTTCTTATTCTGAGCCTCTTTAGCTGGGAGTCGGATAGAATGACTGAAGGTAAGGCAATCCTTATCCTCAGCCATGATGTCGAGATCGCTTGGGGTTAACGGCACCTGGAAGCCCTGACCAGCTTCGGGGTAAGCGCGGTAATCTTCAGGGTCATAATCTGATTCATGCTGGGATGCGACGTGTGAAGACTGAGACGCAGACAGAGTGGGGGATTGTTGTCGGGATTGGGAGTATGATGACTCGTCGTCGGTGAGCAGGTCAGAGTTCGAGGAAACGAAAGAGGCCTTGCGAGCACGTCTAGCTGCAGGAGCAGCTTGAGATGTAAATCTGCGCGTCGCCCTTGAAGGGGTCTGCGAAGTTGTTGTGGTATAAGCCTGGGGAGCAGTTGTGCAAGCATGCGTGTGAGCTTTTCCGGCGAAAATCTGGCCCGTAGGGATGCCACCAAGAGCCGCTGGAGGAGCAGGTTCGGGGACAGAATCGGAGACCATTGCAGCAAAGGTTTTATCGGCATCCAGGGCAGCATCAGCAGTCTCGCTGATTCGTTGTTTTGAATCCATGGCGTTAGCGTTCTGAGACATGGGTTCTAGATGTTCCCAATCAAGTAATGCAGAACGAGCGTTGTTCTTCGGTGTAGGTTTGGGCGCTTGATGATTGTGTGGTATCGCAGAAGGTGACGGAGTGAAACCAGTCACGGGTTGCATGTCCGGGGGAAACATAGGAACCGACGGCCACTCGTTTGAGACTTTCACTACAAGCTGGACTAGCGAATCATGCGAAAGAGAGGACAGATACGCTCGTCGTTCTTCTTCCGTATAATAATTTCCACCAATTTGAGATCCAAACACTGGCTTCTTCGGGCGTCCGACCTTTTTCGCTCTCGTTGCATTCTTTCGAAATTTCCTCTGGCCTGTCTGACGTTGTTCAGGTTTACACTTGATGCAAAACCAATTCATCTCCGGGATTTCGATGACCTCATTACCAATATTCGGATTGTGGCATCTCTGATGCCACGGAGCATCACACGAGTCACATAGAACAATCAAATTGTTCGAGGGGCTGTGTCCTCGGTAACAGCCGGTGCAGACTATATTCACCTGACGGTTCAGACGCTTCCGCTTTTTTGCTGCCGCTTTGACAGTTGGCCCCTTTGTTGTCACAGGCTCAGCTTCTCGAGCAGCTGTCTGAGTAATACGACGGCTAGATCGAGTCCGATTTGAAGCTACGGCAGCGCTGGCATTTTGCTGACCCGTTTCCATTGCCCCAGCTGTTGTCCAAACTGCCTCTTCCTGAAGCGGTGCTGGTGATCCCCATGTTGCCCAGGGTATATTGTCAGCTATAAGCTCCGGGTGGTATGGTAATGGTTGGATCGCCTCGGAGACACCCTCATGGTCAAATATGTTGCCCTCATGGACGTTCTGGGGGCACCCGGGGTTGATATCGGGGGCGGGGAGGTCCATAAATGCCGACGAGACCCTCATGGTGATTTCCTTGCGAGTAAGTGTTCCAAAAAAAAAAGGGACTGGGCAAGATTCTCTTCGAAAACTAGTTGAGCTTTGGGGTGAAAGAAGAGAACAGGGTAATAGGTGATAGCGAGGTAAAAAAAAAAGCACTACTCTGTGTCCTTCTAGGGTAGTGCTAGTCTTTCAGCCTGATGCAGATCACGATAGATATTATAATTTTTGCTGGGCGGGCAGTTGAACATAGGTGACTCCTCTCAATTCTTTCAACTGGAAGTAGGGTTGGAGTGAAGTCGTCGAATGAAAGACCTTTGTATAGAATCACGTGATATCCCAATACAACCTTAAACGGCTTTCTTCAGTCGTTTACTGACGTATTTTGCACACATGGAGATTGAAACGTAATTTGAAAATTTTATTTATGTATTATCAAAGCTGTTTCATTTACTTCCAAGGTTGCTATGTGGATCTGGTGCACGTTTGACTTGTCCTCGATTAGACCACTATGTCCAAGGATGCTCGTTAAATGACCCAAAAACCCTAGAAGGACCGAGGAGCCACTTGAATGGCTATGGTTTCAAGTTTCCTTATATACAGACCTCGGGATATGTCATTCATGTTTCTCATAAATAATTCAAGGTTCAGGACACGACTCCCTCATCCTTCAAGCGAGCGATATCTGCCTCCCCATAATCGAGGACACTACCCAAGATCTCATCCGTATGCTGGCCTAAAGTAGGAGGAGGCGTGCGCACACCCGGTGTAGCTTCGGAGTACTTTATAGGCGTGTTGACCAACTTTATGGGGCCACATGCAGGGTGCTCAACTTCCGTCACCATATCTCGTGCCAAAACTGTTGGTAGGATCAGCACCGTTCTTTTGTCACACGTGGAAATGGACAGACTTACCGTGCTTGTGATTCAGGGTCCCTTGGATGTCGTTGACCGCCGCATAAGGCATACCGCTACCCTCGAAGATATCCAACCACTCCTGCGTGGTCTTCTGCATAGTGGTGCTTTCGATCATACCATCTATCTCCGCACGGTGCTGCACTCGGTCACTGTTAGTGACGAAGCGGGCGTCAGTCTTCCACTCAGAGAAGCCCAGTCGATCACACAGAACACCAAACAGCTTATCGTTGCCACCACCGAAGAGAATATCCCCGTCGCTGGTCTTGTAGCTCCGGTAGGGTACAATGGATGCTGGATGGTGTCAGCTTGATAATTATTACACTCGGCACAAGAAACTGTTCGCTGCTTACGGTGTGCTGTTCCCCAACGGCCGGAATCCTTCTGCCCACTGATAAGTGCAGAGCTTGCCAGGTTCGATAGCGTAGCCACCTGGCAATCACTCAAACAGGCATCGATATGCTGACCTCTACCAGTCCGACCCCGAGCAATCAAAGCCGCCATGATGGCATTTGATGTGTATAGTCCGGTGGTCAGATCAGTAACGGCAACACCAACCTTGACTGGCGCACCATCCCGGGCACCGGTGATGTGCATCAATCCCATCTCAGCTTCCACCATGACGTCGTAGCCTGCACGGTTGCTATATGGGCCCGTCTGGCCATACCCGGTGATACTGGCATAGATCAACTTGGGGTTGATTTCCCGCAGCGTTTCATAGTCCATGCCGTATTTTTTAAGTCCCCCGGGGAGATAGTTCTCGACCAGGACATCGCATTCCTTTGCAAGCTTGTGTAGAATCTCGACACCTGACTTGTGTTGGAATGATAGACCGAGAGATTTCTTATTTCGGTTGACCTATATCCATGATTAGTGCCATGATAATTTGTTTCACAAATTTAAGATAAGGCTCGTACAGCGAGGTAGTAGGCGCTCTCGCCTGGGCCCTTTCTGGAAGCATCTTCGTACTTCGCATACGGCGGACCCCAAGCACGAGTATCGTCGCCGCGCACAGGGTGTTCGACCTTGATAACATCCGCTCTATGTTTCGTGTTGTTAGTATTGTAGAAATCATACATTGCAGCTCTTTCATAGCTCTTAAGCTCAACACATACCCTAGATCACCTAGTATTTGAGTACAATAGGGCTAAAACAAAGTCAGCTCAGATTGCAGACACGCAGTAGCGTCTCGAGAGATGTACTTACACCAGCCAACACGCGTGTCATATCAAGCACCCGGATACCAGCCAAAGGTAGGGATCCATCGGCTGCAACTGCACTGGAATAGCTCCGTCCTGGTATCGTGCGCCGGAGGACATTGCTACCCCAGGACAAGCCCGATCGACGGGCAGCAACCTGGAACCTGAGCGCGACCGTCATGATTATATACACGGAGAACGCAACGAAACCCAAAATTCACGCTCAAACAAAAGCCCAAATAGCAAGAATCCCCAGTTAAATGGGATCTGGGGAAACCGGCGAATCTCCGCCAAAACGCCGACGCCGACACCGCTCGGAGGGGCTGATGCCGAGGCCACACGGCATTTTCCTTGTCGATCATCAACCGCAGCTATGTTCACAGGACTTGTCGAGACGATTGGGAGTGAGTAGATCTTTCATTGGAATAAAGTCAATAGCTAATGTGGTTTTACTAGCTGTCACGGCCTTGGAGCCCATCGACACCTCGTCGAGCGGGGGCGGGGGAACGTCGCTCACCATCTCCGACTGTGAGGAGATCCTCACCGACGCACACCTCGGCGATAGCATCGCAGTAAATGGTATTTTGCTCTTTGTCTATAATGCACGGGATATTGTCTAAAAGTGGACTCAAGGAACATGTCTTACAGTCACTGCATTCGATAAGACCTGGTTCAAGGTTGGCTGTGCGCCGGAGACGTTGCGACGCACAAACCTAGGTTCCTTGCAGGCAAATTCCAACGTGAACCTCGAGCGCGCCGTTTCGGCCGATACCCGGATGGGAGGACACTTTGTGCAAGGCCATGTTGATACCGTTGCGGAGATTCTCTCTGTCACGCCCGACGGAAACTCGTTGGTGTTCCGGCTGCAGCCGCGCGACAGAGATATTCTGCGCTATGTTGTGGAAAAGGGCTACGTGACCCTCGACGGTGCTAGCTTGACTGTCACCAAGGTCGTCGATGGACAGGACGGATACTGGGAGGTTATGCTCATTGCCTACACCCAGGGTAAGGTTGTCACTGCGGCAAAAAAGCCCGGTGACCTTGTCAATGTTGAGATTGATATCGTGGGCAAGTATGTCGAGAAGAGCGTGCAGGGATACTTTGCTGGTACCTCTGGTGGGGATTTCGCTATCTTGGAGAAGATGGTGAACAGGATCGTCGATGAACGGCTCAAGAAATAGCGCAGAGTGATGAATATGAATCTTCGTCACTCAAACCCATTGCAATATTCGGGTGGAAACAAGGCAAATTGTATTATTCTCGGCTTTCTACCGTTCTACAATGAGCTAATATGTACATTTGGAAAAGGAATTTCCCATTGATCATGGCGAATGAGACATACAGCTAGAAATTTGATTAGTTCAAAGCATAGAAAGGACAGAGCTCGCAAATGGATATAAGTGAATCAAGTCCAATTTAAGGGAGGACGAATGATAAATTTGAAATACTGCATTATATGAAGACAAAACCTGAAGAACGCCTAGATGCCTATCGGGTATGTGACTGACAGAAATTTTGGTCCATATGACATGGATATAAGACATGAAGACGGTGGTCATTTTTGATACAGTCCACCAGTGCGGCAGACAAGTCGGCACGAGTTGAACTCTCAAGTTTGGACTATCGCAAGAGCCGGCTCGTCCATCAAGAGATCAAGTAGAAGCTTCCGGACAGGTGTGGTGTGGTGATTTCAAACAGCCACTTACTCCTCCATAGATACGTCCAAATCAGCTTCAGAGTCGTCATCTGCCGGTTCACCCTCACCCTCAGCGTCCTTCTCAAAGTCATCGTCGCTGAGCCAATCTTCATCATCCATATCCTCATCCTCATCCTCCTCAGCCACTTCTTTGCCACTGCCCCTAGCCTTGGCCTTCTCCTGCTTCTTCCGCTCAATGTTCTCCCTCTGGAGCTTCTTTCTTTGCTCCTTCTCCTTTCTCCGAACGTCCCAACTCTGGTCCATTTTCCGCATCTCCTTCTCGGATTTCGTAATGAAGTCATGCCACATGACCTTGCCGTCGCAGACTCCATCCTCAACCTTCATCAAGCGAAGCCGCAAGCGAGGACCCAGCTCTACGAGCTTCACAGCCCGCTTCTCAACACCGGTGGTATGGGCTGGCTTATCCTGGCCCTTTTCAGCAGCCTTTTGGCGCTGCATTTCCCGCTTGTTCAGGACTCGGCGGGTTGTGCTCTCTTGAACCTCCACTTCGGCATCGGTATCTAGCTCAGTCTCACTTGCTGATGTGTAGCCGGCAGCAGAGGGGTCAAGCAGGTAATCAGCGGCATCTTCTAGCTTTCCAAGGTTGGGAACGGCAGTCTTCTTTTTGTCTCGGTTCCGGATCTCTTTGGGGTCCAGGCGACGGATTCGTTTCGATACACCGGTCTTCTTCGTGGCAATGGCGTAATGACGGAGAGTCAATATATATGAGTCGCTATCTTTTTCAGCAGGCTCTCGATTGAGGAGCATGACACGGCGGATGGACGATAGAGGCTGGTTTTGGGGGTTGATGGGCGGGAAGAGGGATTGGAAGATCGTAGTTGTGAGAGTCTCGAGCCGCTTCGGCACCTTGGAATCTTCGGTCGCATCTGGTGTGGTAAAGTTGTTCATTACCAAGAGGGGCGGTGTCTTGTGGTCCTGTCCACCACTTTTTGGGCGCTTCATCGATCTCTCAACATCCTTGCACAGCGAATAGTTCTCGACTTTGAAGTGAAGGGTGGGTCCACGGGGAGTAACAGCGAGTCGCATATTTGTGTTGCCAGTTGCGGACTTAGAAAACAACATAAGATGTGTGACACCGAGGGGACCGGTCATAACAGTATAATCTCGCAGTCTGTTGGATTTGCGTTCCTATATTGTTTATTAGAGGGAGCGAGAAGAATACTGAATGTGAATCATACCTTCAATCGCACGGCGGTG